GTATAAATAGGACTAGAATTGATTCATGCATTTCTCTATCTTAGAGATAACGAAATATAAAGGTTTCCGGTCGCTGCTTAATTTCTTTGGAATTGCATGCGTTCGATCAATCAAACGAGCGCGTTGCTTCCTTCATTGTTCAAGAGTGTTTCTGCAGAGCGGACACAGGAAGGCGAACTTACTTTCCGAAACGTTTTCAACAGTAAACAAGTTTGCGGGCCTTATTTCGTTTTCACAACTGCTTTCAACAACAGACATAGTAACCGAGGTGAGTATCAAACCTTTTTGAAAACTATCAGAACTTATTCTCGAGCAGCAACCCGTTTGTATGGTTAAAGTTGTCATGGCCCTGCTTCTGTGTAGGAAATTGGGGTCAGACAGGCTGAGAATAAGGATAGATTTTCTTAACCAGTACGGAGATAAATCAGATCAGCATATTGGTTGCCCACCACACTGCTTTCACTGGCAGACCTATAAAGCAATAGGAAAATATCCTTTTAAGACTTAATCTGATCCTGAAGATATCTTCTAGCAGTTAGATTTTTACATCTTCGCTAGAAAGGTCATTTTGTTACTTACTAGGTTGTTCATAAATTTGAAGATAGAAAGTGTTTATTCATTCGTAGTGATGAAGACGGTGGGTGGCTGAGCACTTAACGGTAATTAGGACTTCAATAAACGGTTTTGATTGCCATTCAGTAACTTACATTCCCATGAATTAATCTTGAAACTTTACCAGGAAGGTCTTGTTCGAGGGTTTTGTCACTAGTAGAGGAGAACGCTCGATCAATTAATATACAGTTACGGGTTTGTTTTTGACCCGCGTGGATGATTTATCGTTACAGCGAAAATGAAATCGTTCTTTAAAACGGGCTTACTGCTTTCTACTCGCTGAAAAGATTTGGTCTCTCTTTACAACTCGCTTTAAAAGTTTTGTCTTGGGAGTACAAACCCGTTCAAGGATCTACAAAAACAGGAGTGTCAAGCAATTTTACGGACTCAATATTCCATCACTTTTTGTAACATCTTTCATATATAGTAGACATTTGTTGGGTCGTTAAAACCACTGGTTGTCTAGTTGGTATATGGTCATTCTAAAGCCCTTTTCAAATTTTTATTGCACGCTAAAAATATTCGGTATTGGTATCATAAAACAAATCGTTATTTATTTTAGATCAAGTCGTAATATACGCACTTATTTGAATATAAAAAAGCTTTATAACTGAGCGGAATCTATCAGTCCGTGTTTTGAGGCGGCATTTAATGTTGGACAGTGTGGTACAATGATGTTTTAATCGTGTGTCTTATATTTTCAAACATTGAACACAGCCTTGAGAATAACGCGTTTGATTGTTTCGTACTGTCCTCCACAGCGATATCAAATTGGTCTCAGTTTACGGTCACATATGAAATAACTTAAGTTGTTGTTGTTGTTTTAATTAACTGACGAGTTGTTTTTCCCGATGGTCTTCGAAACTCTCAAATAAAGCTAAATTCCTTTTCACTAGAATTTTTGATGGAAGGTAACTTTAACTCACTGTATACTCTAATTAGCTCATTTTTGAAATACTAGCGAAATTTCTGTTTGCTCAAAATCTGTTGCTGCTAGCCAAAACGTATCTTTGACTCGCGTATCTTTGACTCACCTCACCCACGCACCAAAGTAATGGACACAAACACGTCATCTTCAAACGTAGATTAGGTCATCTTGAGCACAAGGCAAAAGCATTGTTTCATAAAACTATGTTATTCTAATGTAACATCCTTGGATGGGATGAGAAATCGAGTTTCGATTCAACCTATTACGTTACCAACAACGAGGATTCTTAAATGAACATCTAAAAGAGTATGAGGTCTGTTTCACACTCTATTGACCTTGAAAAGCATATTTTGGTGACATGAGTAGACCACTCCATTAAACTGTTATATATAGCACGTGTACGAAAATTATGCCTTTCATCGACATCGTTTATTCAGAAGAAAACCAGCATTGTTAACACACACTTTTATAAGGAACCACTGTATAAGGAACCTTTATGTTGAGAGCCGAACAATTTGAGGAAGCTTGTACTACTAAAGACAAATCCCTAAGGAAATTTTCCAATTTTGATCATTTTCATCACTAGACAAGCGAACTGGCGCAACAGCGCAACACAAGCTCTTCACGAAGAAGCGATTGAAGACTACATTGTATTAGAAGATATCAATAGAGCAGACATGTTATTGACTGACTTTGTACTTTTACATATATCAAACTTGCCTTCTTTGTGTTTTTAGGTTTTGTTTTCTAGCCACAATTTATAGCAAAATCCAATGTTATCTTGCATCGTCCCTACTATCAGGACGCTAAATGTGCAGTTATAGTTTAGAAACTTTTACTTCTAAGTCATGAGCTGGGTTTCTTATAAAATAGAGTGCACTACTTTAACTTGTAAACAGCTCTTGTAGAAAACGTTCTTTTTCTCAGATGGTCCTCTAAAACATTGGTCTGATAATTATTTTGTTCTTCGATTATCCTCTGACCTCCTCTTCCGTTGGTGATTATTTTGTTCTTCGATTATCCTCTGACCTCCTCTTCCGTTGGTGAATCGTTCTCAAATGTGGTACCTCGATTTCAAACAAGCTCTAGTTCACAATGCATAATTTGACGTTTCCTTTATTAAGACTTCAATATGAAATCTTCTCCAATCGCGATACGTGATATTTGGTGATTAGAGTAATGACATTATTTGAATTGGCTCTTAAGTCTGCAACTTGTCGTCTCCATTTAGAGAGAAAATACGGAGATAATTTTAAGAATGATTTTCAACAAATCAGCTAGCAGCTTTTCTCGATCAAATGGCGCATCGGAAATCACCCTGTCAAGTTAAGATAACTTTCTTTGCTTTCTTCAGAGAAGATAATATTGTCTCATCCAATTATTTGCAGGCTCCCACTCTAATTGAAATACGTCATAGCCATTTTCCAAGCAATTTAACAATTAATTTGAAAGATAAATTATGAAGAATATTGTTCCACCCTCAGAATTTCTAAAAGGAACATGCATCTTCACATTGAGTTCAAAACTTGTAGTACTGTGGTCTTCAAATTCAAGAAGATCCTAAAACGCATGAGACAATTGCATAAATATTGATGAAAGTATAATTCAAGCTGGGGCAAAGCCAAAAAAATTTTTGGAGAGGGTAAAGAACTGATTTTTGCCGACAAAAAGGGCGTGTCTAATTCATTAAGGGTCTGGTCAAAAGATAAATACTTTTATATGCTGCTTTAATGCGTTTCTATTTCAAAGTTCATACGTAAGTGCCATACTTTGAAAGTTCAACTACTACAGAAATGTTAATACGTTACAATTGTTGCAAAAGAGTTACAGGAAGAGTACAAAAATTGCTTCTTTTGCGCGGCAAAAATCCTCAATGTGCCGACGAACTAAATTCAAGCTTTTATCACAAGCAACTATAAATTAGCACATTGATGGCTCTCCCTAGACTATATGGTGGTCCGTCAATGACGTCAAATGAACACTGGGTGCCGTTGTTCTAACGACCAGATCCCTTAGACTGAATAATATTTAGTTTTAATTCCCCTTTTTAGGCCCGGGGCATACAGTATCTTGAAAAGGGTCCAACTGCAAAACTTACCATGTTGCTTTGCAAGCCTAAAGGTTTTAGGTTCAAATGAAACCACAAACATATCTTAAATAGATATTTACATGCTAGAACGGTAGCTGTGTGATGTGTGTGAATCGACTTGCTTGATCAATAGCTCTTGCTACATAGCCAAAACCCATTTAGTCATCAAGTGCAGAATATAGTCGAATAAAAAGTGCAACTAAAAAGTTTGTATTCGAAATTAAGGACGACATATTTTGATCGATTGTGTTTTTGTGAAAACAATTAGCATCACAGAATCTAAACTATGTCAAGGAATTTGTTAGTTAAATTAATAATACTTTCAAAGTATTTCTCAAGAATCATGTATATTTTCAAATTAACGGAGCACCTTGAAGATAAAGCATAGAGGAATAGATTGTTTTCACACCAACACAGATATTCTTTGACCCTGACAAGAAGCTTTCTATGTTAAAACCATGCTTTTGTCTGGCTTTTCACTAACTTCAGTCTGGGCTCGCTTTCGACATAAATGTCCCTATTTGTAAGGAGATATCACAGAATATCTGGCACAAGATGATGAGTTGTCGCGGCCTTTGAAACCTAATAGAACTGCACTGATTCAGAATGTTCTTAACACATTCTATGTTAACCAAACATTGGGACCAGTCGCTTTTGACAAATCCTTTGTTGCCACATAATATTTTCGAACTTCCCCTAACCATCATTTGGAAAGTTTGAAAGTATCCCTCGCCATATACATTATCTTCTGCCATTTTCTCTCTTTGAAACCAAAACTTCTTCACACTCTCTAATTTTATTCTGTTTGATACATTCTTTCATCAAACCGTAAATAACAATAGTAGAAGACAGAAAATCGAAGTCCCTGAGATTCTTTTCCAGGTGACGGAAATGCATACGAGGCTGGTTAATGAATATGGGTCGGGTCAGAACGTAGATTACAAGATGTCGCTGACATAGAAGTAATTCTTTTTAGGGTATCAAACCTTCAGGGCGTTTTATTCAAGTTTAAGCAAAAGGGGCCCACGGATAGTGTCGGTGCTGCGAATAGCGCGCGATGTTGGGGTGCAAATAATATTGCATTCATTTTGCGATTTACAGTCAAGATTAATTATTAAGGCAATGTTTTCAAATTTATCAGAGTTTATCTCTTGACTAGATGTGAGTTATTAGCATGTTATCATTTTCATCTGTTGAGCTTTTGACCATAAAAAGCCATCATAATGTTTGACTAATGAAACATCTAGTGTTCGTAAAAATATCTCAGACGATGCCCATTATTGGTCCTCATCTTTGTTTCTTGTAGAAAATTGATTCAGTACAAGAATTTGATTATCTTCATCTACTTTTGATTGATAACAAAATATATCCTTAGTCTTATTACAACTCAATAGTTAAGATTTGATAATATTTATTGTAAGATTTCAATAAAAAGTTTTCTTTAAAAGCTTTGCTTTCTTTGATTTCTAAAAATGCGTAAAAATATAGTGTATAAATTCAATTCATTCAGTTGGCAAATGGGGTGTGACATGGGTGTGGCCATTTCAGAAAATCCCATTGTTGTTTGATGCTAAATCTTTCCTGGACGTTACGGTCCGTTTCTGGGTAGTGCATGTTGCTTTGTGACGTTATCTAAGATTTACATGAAGGACAAGGGTCCTTTCTGTCTGAATTCTCATTCATCTGAAAAGACAGATGAGTCGACACAAACGTAAATCATCATAATTAGTATTAGTTTAAGGGATTATATTTAATAGTCTGTAAAGTTTTTTGACATGATAGGGCTCATATGACAAAAAAATTGACCAGAAAGTATTTAATTGTCCACGGTGAGAAATTCTTGCTGTCTGTTAAGTGCAGCACGAGAATTGTTGGCAAGTTTATTTTATTAGCAGGAGGCAATAATTCTTTCACTGTGCTTGATCGTTTTGAACGTCCTTTCGGAAGCAAGCTGTTGATAGATCAATCGTCATTGCTTGAAGACTGCGTAAGGTAGAAGTTACGCGGAGTTTAGCCCATTGTGAGAAATATTTGGTTCGCTGAGGCTCAGAAAGAAGTTAAGGTCTTAATACCTGTCAGTATTTGAAATTTCATTGAAGTCTCGTTTTGTCGCAGGTTCAAAGTGGTATGGAAAGTGTCTTTTAGCTGTCTGGAGTTTGATTGCATCAGAGGACAACAACAATGGGCAACTTTGTTTTCAATGCAGTTTTGTAAGTTACATTTATTCGCGATTCTAACTTAAACTGATTGTATGTAATCGTTCGGTTTGCTTTTTTAATCTTAATTGGTCTGTAACTGCAGACATTTTTTTCGTATGTATTGCAGGGTATGTTTTTTCCGCCGTTCATTGGTTAAGCCGTTTGTGTGCGAGGGGTTCCAAGTTTAAGAAGTGGCGGACATTGACTTTTTGAATGATGGGGCAAGCGGGGGAGTATTTTGCTTCTAATTTGAGCAGCCCATTCTCTTCTATTTTGATACCAAAACAACCTATTGTGATGAAAAAATTTAATGTCCACTTGGAGAAGGGGCAGTTGCCCCCAATCCCCGATAATTTCCACCACTGCTACTAGCAGTGCTAGGAAGAAACAAAACATTTAAGCTAGATTGATTGCGAAAATGAAGGCAACATAAAATGACATTTTTTGAAATAGTTTCAAGCTTATGTTGGTTGGTCTTATCGTAGGCCTATTTGACTTGTCAGATCGTGTCAGATTATATAATGATTCACACAAACATTCATAAAATGCGTAATAGGATAAGGGCTATTTCTAACCGATCCTCATTGATGCCATGGTCAATATACAAAGAGGGAAGGGCCAATATGTGCAGGCACTGCGGAGCAGGGGGCTGGGGGCTTTAGCCCCCCCACACTTTTTGCAAATAATGCCAAATATTAAGTAATAAATTACCTGTAAAGACTGTTTTTATACGCTTTTAGCCCCCTCTTTTTTAAACCCCCACTTTTCTCAACGCTCCGCGGTGCCTGGTGTGTGTGGGGAGGGGGACCCAACCTCCGGAGTACCTTTGAAATCCTGCAGCAGGCTTCGCTTGTCCCATGGATTGACAGTTTCTGGAAATTTCTGTGCCTAATTGCGCGGCAGAAAGAAATTAAAGTGTTAAAATATAAGGAAATTGCACAGTATGTCATCCATGAAATATGCTTCAAAAACTACAGTGATACATCCATCAATCAATTGTGGCCCATGGGATTATTGGCACGAGGTGGGAGGCGCAGGCACCATTTGTGATTAACGATTTCACACACGCTAAATATTTTTAAGAAAATTCTTTGAACTGATTTTCATATACAAAAGATTTTCTCATTACAAAGATCTAACGTTTCCATCATTTGATACCCTTTTGCTATCAAGATAATTTTTTGGGTTTAAGTATTTTTATGTTTGGGTAGACAGAAATTTATCTGTTAATCAAAACCCAATCACCCAACAGATTTATGTCGCATTTATGTTTCTACCACACGATGACACCAGAGTCAAATTAGCCATTCTTTAAGCAATAGACTTAGAAGGCTACTCTCGAAAATCATTTTTGATTAAACACAAATATAACTTTAAGTGTTAAGATGCAAAAATTATCGAAGAATGTACACGATAAATGTTGCCTAGAACACTAAGATAAACCCAAAAATACATCGAGCAACTCCTAGCAAAATCTTGCAAAAGCCTGTTAATGAGCATGTTATTGAGATGGATCTAGTTAAAAAAAAACCTGGGCTCAACCATTTTGCCTGGTAGATTTGCCCAAGTTTGTCAAGGAGCATTTCTTGGGCCTAGAACATAACTAAAGAGATGGGGCCCGTAATGACGTCATCAAAACAGTTATTATTATTGTTGCTGTCTGGGGCAATCGGTCCCCTGCTCCCCCTCTCGGCAGGTTTGGAGAAGCATCTTGTTATGAACAGTGGCAAGACTCTTCCTAGAGAGCACCTAATCAACACCATGTCGCGTCCATTAGGTTATCAAAACCAGGACAGGATAGCAAAAATTTCAAATTTATTTCCCAATTTATACAAGGTGGTGGGCGAATTAACAGTAAAAACTTGACTTGAGAGGGAAAGGGAAAGAAGGAAGGCATGTATAAGGCTGAAAAAAATAATTAATTTTTGCTCTTTTTTGCATAATTGGCGCAAAAACTGCCATAGCGAAAAAAATAGATCATCTTTGGGTATCCTTTGGGTATCACAATTGAGAGCCATTTTATCTTCGATAGTTTTTCATGCCTTTAGCACAAAGTGTGTAGTTTGGGTGTGCGATTATGCAAAAACATTCGTGATGAAAGGTCACTTACAGGATTATGGTAGTCTTGCATTGTTTGGCTTTTACTGCAAACCAGTTACACCTTATTCGTTGAAACGAAAAGTCTTTCCCAGCTTCTCTTGTTACACCCTTCTTGACTTCTTTACCTCACCGGCATTTCATTGGAATGGCTAAAATTGCAAGGAACTCCACGTTTTCCCACTGAACTTACTTCAAACTCGAGCTTGACGTATTGGATGCTGCTTATCGCAAGATTAATTGTCTGGAATTTACATGTAGGATACAAGCCATTTTTCTATGGCAGTAAGATAGAAATTAAAATTTGTTTATTAAGAACGTTAAGACCAGGTTAAAAATCCAATAGATCACGATACAACCAGGGCGCAGTCTGTGGAACAGGTGGCCTTAGTCTCCCTACAGCAAATATTTTCTGAGTCTAAATTCGCAGGAAAAGTTTTCCTTAAGCCCCCATTGCTCCCCTTGATCCAGACAATTTATTGAAAATGTTTTTAAGAAAGAAGCTGAGAAGCACTTTACCCAGGAGCCCACTCGCGTCATCTTGTTGAAAAAGACATAAGAATACAAAAAAATATGTAATGCCTTCATGTTACTTTAGTTTTTGATCAAAACCAAGAACATATAGAAATTCGAATTAGTACAGGCAAAACCTGTATTGTTAGCCAAAACTTTTAAAACCTTAGGAAAAATGGTTTTAAAACCTTAGGGAAAATGGTTCCCTACCTTAGGCGTAGGGAAAATGGTTTTTAAAAATTGAAAGATTTCATTAATTCTGGTGCGACGTTCCTAAAATGTCCATTTTTTGTAGTATTTTTGACCACACTAATTTTTTCATTTCAAAAGGGTTTTCAATGTTTTAGACTATGGTTAACCTTTCACGAAGCTTCGAAACCAAACTTTTTCCATCAGCATGGACAAATTTGATTTGATTAACTTCCTCAGAGTAAGACCTTTGCTTCGAAGGTGATGTTTGTGATGAGATTGCCATGCGACACTGTTTACAATTCCAAGATACGAGTATAGCAATCATGAGCTAACACCAATTACTGTTTGTTTATAACGACCCCAATAAATGGTTTGAATGTTATCGAACAGTATATTAGGAGTATTCAGCTCGTGCCATATTTGCCGTGAAATCGATACAGCAAAGAACAGTTATTCCAGTAATTCGGAGTAATTTCGAGCTTGCTCAAACAAATTGTAATATCGATAAAAAATCTGCAAATATTTGGAACCAATAATTTCATTGCTAACTTCTATTTGGCTCCTTAACAAAGATATCAAGTCAATGCTTTGATATGTTACCAATTAATGCATTAATGTATCTTGTTAACTACATTCGATACTTTAATCATTTATGTTATGACATTGTTTTTTATCAATATCCATTTTTTTATGTTGGCGATAATAAGGTTGTAGCTACAACGTTCAGCTTGCTATGCCAAAATCATAAAACACGATTACTATAATTGATTTTGCGATTCCAACACTATAATCAAACCAAGGTTACATTTATGAATTGAAACATGAAGGGAATGAACGGATACAAAACTGGCTAGCCTACACATCTATTAGCCAATTCAAATTGAAAAGAAATTGAAACTGTTTTTAAAACACTGGGATATATGTTCGTTGATTATCTTTAATTCAATTTGAAATTATTAGAAAACCAATTTGCTTTTGTGACTATCTTCTTCTAAACACTAGCGATAGCGTCGCGATCTGAGTGGCATGCATAGGCACATACCAGCAAATTTTAGTAATTATTTTAGATAAAAAACTGTTGTCTACATTGAACATCAGAGGCCTTTACACTGGTCCTTGAGGGACACCAATATTAACTTCTCTCCTGTCACTGAAGTAGTTATTTTTTAAAAGCAAAAACTATCAAATGTGAAAGACGTGACATTAATTAACAATCAATCCTCCTTCGTCAGTGGTTGTACAAGTAGTTTGAATTTCTTTTATTGGGAACTTCATTGTGACATTTGCAATAGGTTTCTGTACGTTTTAGCTGAATCTACATGGTAAAACACTCTCAAAGAGGTTTTTAAAAGACTAGCTTACTTAATTCCACACTCGTTTTTGTCACCTTTCAATAGTACTTTGAATTTGTAATTCAATTTTCAGCAATGTTATTCATTTATTGATGCAAGTTGTTTAAACCTTAGTTTGCTGGTATTGCTATCTGGTGTGCATAGTTTCATCATTAAACCGCTGTCAATTTGCTCAGCTCGAAGAGGGCTTTCACAAAGACAAGTAAAGCTATGCAACGAGTACCGGAACCATATGCAGTTCATTGTGGATGGCACTAAAATGGCCTTGGATGAATGTCAAAGGCAATTTAAAGACAGACGATGGAACTGTACCTTTCCTTTAAATCACATGCGTGGGTTTATTCCGTTCATCCCTAAAGGTATGTGATAATCTTACTGCGGTGTATTTCCATGTATTACCTAAGTAAAGTTTTTATCAATACGAAAGTAATTTTTCATTTGTAAGCAATCTGGGTTATAACACAGTTAAAACCTTGTACAAGAATGAAATTCATTGAAAATGTATATTTGGAGCAGACACAGCCACTTGTGCATGGCCCATATTGAAAATGGCATCATCATGTTGTTAGAGAGGAGAGCTTTGTACGTCACTGCTTTGTACATAATTCTCTAGCGCCACAGTTGGGAAAAGACAGAAGGGAACCATTTGACCAAATCACAAGGAGCATAGAATTATGGGGCAATTTCATCTCTGGTTGTAGCGTTATTCAAAAACATGAAAATCTGACACACCTGACAATGGCTTTCTTTTTTAGGCCATAGAGAGGCTTCATTTGTGCACGCCATTGTTTCAGCTGGAACCTTTCATGCAGTTAGCAGAGCTTGCATGGAAGCCAAGCTGACGTCACATTGCCATTGCAGCCAAGAGGCTAGGCCTGACAGCCTGAGAAAGTCTTTTTTATGGGCAGGTTGCGGTGATAACCTCCCTTATGGTTACAGCTTCAGCAAATTATTCATGGATGCTAGAGAACAGCTGGGGTCTGATGCAACACAGGACATACAAAAGATCTCGCGTGTTTTGATGAACCTACACAACAACGAAGCTGGACGTAGGGTAAGGGAAGATTCTTGATTAAGCAAGAGAAAGTTGGTTACTTTCACATCAACAAGTCCTTCTTCTTGCTTGTAATGTTTCTATCACTAAATAATTTTTACATTTTGACAATTTTGTACTTTTAGCATCATCAGCTTTATGTATATTCAATTCAAATTTAGTAAAAGAATACGAGCATATGGTAATTGTAAATTTGATAAAAATACGTATGGCCTATTCACACTGAAGATGGCATTGTCCTTCAATTCACAAATCTTGACTTTTTAACAAAATACCTGGCTGAATTTCCCCTAGATGGTCATCAATCATTCAACCAAGGTAAAGAAATGCTCCAACTTTTTGTCCTTAAATGACAAGCATTGCCCCATTCTTTGCGGCAATGGGGTGTATTATAGTCAATCATAGTTTTGCTAAATTTGTTTTGCTTGGGAAATGCTTTGCAGATGCCATTGTTACTTTTTACTGGAATTCTGGCACAATCATGTTTGGTACCGAACGGATATAAATGTATGCGAATGTATGCGAATGTATGCATCATAATCATCGAAGTCGAATTCCTGCTCTGTTTATAGTGTATTTCGTTTAAGTCTAAAGGCTTTTCCCCCTTTCAGGCACTTATGGAAAACTCATTTGTGCAATGCCGTTGTCATGGTCTATCCAAAGGCTGTGCGACGAAAACTTGCTATAGGCAGCTCAAACCATTCAAAGCTGTCGGTGAATTTCTGAAGGACCAATACGCAAGTGGCATTGAGTCGGAAATTTCCCAGAAGAGGGCTCCGGTACACGATGGAGAGATGGAACTGAAACTACGGGAAAAGTACCCACAGTACCAGAAAATAAGCAAACGGAACTTGGTATATCTTGAAGAATCGCCGAATTATTGCTTAAAAGACATGTCTTTGGGCTCTTTAGGAACCAAAGGGCGACAGTGTAATCGCACGTCGGAAGGACTCAATAGCTGTAGCCTTTTGTGCTGCGGGCGAGGTTTTCATGTTAAGAGACAGTTAACCAGAGAAAGTTGCGCGTGTCAATTTATTTGGTGCTGCCACCTCAAGTGCCAAACATGCGAAGTAGAGAAAAACATGCACTATTGCAAGTAGACATAATATATGGGCAATGTTTTGTCGTGTACCGAGATATACAAAGTATATGCTATTGCTGATGGAGAAAACGTCCGCATGGGAGCGCGTCAGTGCTCGGGACACATGGCAAGGACTGCTATGTCTCAATTGGTACAAAATTTGCATCAAAAGCCTCACAACAGTGTTTATTTTGTGCAAATGAGTAGAACCGCTCATGTTCACGTTGCATAAATGTAGGCGTAAGATGACCTTGAAATTTCAACTGTTAGTTGTATTGATTGAGAACGGAGAAACTCTTTGTAGCTAGTAGAGAGTTATGATTATAATATTATCATTAAATATTGTTATGTCTGACTAATTTTAACAAGAGTTTTGTTAGTCCAAAGATCCAAACATTCGTTTTCATTATCAGATCCAGAAGTTACAAGAGGGACTTGTGTGGGAATAGGTTTTGAGATTTTCGTTTTTAAATGGAATTATTTTTGTTACCCTTTTTTGTTTCGCAATTATGTATATAGATAAAATTTTGAGTGTATGCTCAGGGACCGCGCACCAGTTTAAAAGTGGAGGGGCTGAAATGGGTGTCCCAAAAATGTTTTGAGGCCACGCCCTACAGAACGCAGGAAAACACCCCTTTTAGAAAATATTGCTTATTTCTACTCAATTTTTTTAAACAGTTTGGTTCTGGGAAGATATCAATAACTTTGAAAATAGATAAAATTATCTTAGGGGTAATAAAATACCAAGCTAACAAAGTTAGAAAATACATCATATCAATAAACAAGATAAAACACCTAGAAGAAGAACAAAAATGGTTCCTAGTCAAGAAGAACTGCTACTTCATAGGAGTAAACTATCCAAAGATGCGTTAGGGTAAACCTTCCAAAACATTTTATTCCAAAAATGTGAGGGGGATATAGCCCCTGCTAGCCCAATGGCTGCGCGGTGCCTGTCTATGCTTTCAGCTCTCCCAACTGTACATAGATTTAATTTAGTACCAGTATTGGGCATCAGTTGTAGACGCTCCGCGTACAGCACTAGTCTAGATCGTTCTAATTATAAGATCATGCCAGATCAATAAAAAAAGTGCTTACATATATATCCAAAACAAAACTACAAGACACTTTTATACCGCAAGTTTAATATGAGCAACTTGCGAATTAAAAAACACTTAGTAAATTACAATATACTGAGATTGAATTTCCCCCATTTTCTCATGAGTACCCAAAAGGTCAGATCTCTCGTTCACGAGCGTCTGCGGCATTTGTTTGTGGGATGTCTGGTCTATTTCCGTCAGTAAACGTGAAGAAGTGGTAAATTATGACACGGTAACTGCATAGTGATGCCCTGTGACAACAGAGCCATGAATGTATACCTAGAGAGCAACGGCTTTCGGAAAAACAGTAGATTTACCCTAATGCAATGATTTTAAACTCAAAACTATATTATTTTGTCCCTACCCAACATCCATGCTCTCCCTCGATTGGTCCCCTACTACTAGCTTCTATTTAAATTTCTCTTCATCTTGTATTTTCTTTCCTATCAAATACCACCTTAATTTTCGTTATTACGCCACTCGTCAACTGTATGAGTCCTTTATTGTTGAATACCCCTTGTCAAATGCTCCTTCGTAGAACTTGTATGTCACTTTCTTTTATCACTTTAAATTTTGCAACTTTGTAAAGAATTTGTTTGGAAAAAAGGGCGTCAGTACTCTGTAAAGTATAAATGGAGGTGTTTTTAATTTTTAATATACGACAACATACTTCCAGTGTGTACATTGTAAAATTTTTCTGTAGACATTTCATCTATTAAGATATAAGTGTAAAGCAAAAGATTTTGAATGAATTTTGACTTGATCTATACTATCGCTCTTTGCTTTCCTCATGAACTGAACTGAACTGAAACATCAAATGCTTTTATCCATCTTGAATTGCGATGGTCTACAGAACAATGGTGTTCACAGAACTCCAATTCAATTCAATTAAAAATGGTATCTTGCAGGACCAAAGGCATTTTGAAGGATGCAAGGACAAGCAACAATGTATCTTTTCTACATAATTCTGAAGCGTAGTTGTTTCATGTCGTTAACAATTCAGCATAATTTGTTCTTTAATAAATCGATGAGATTTGTTGAGACCGGCAAAAGTTTTAAGGCTTTCACAAACGATTCTTGTGGTACAACTTCGGTTATGTAGCTAAACAATTTGAACGACCAATTCGAGGCGAGCATTTCTTTATTTATCTATTCACTGTTTGCAACTTTATTTCTATCATAAAATCTGTGAAACTATGTTCAAATGCAAATCATTATTTGTTACCATCGTCCAGTAGGCTGGATATCAAAGGTATACTGTTTATTTATCAAAATCAGATTAAAAGTTCTTTTACCTTTCAAAACTCAGGTGAAGTTTCTTCTGAGGGCAATTCAATTACCTCGTATGAACATTGCCCAGAATTTACCGGCTTTCGCGGAACCATTTCAACTTAGAAATGTCTGATTTAAGCCGCTTTAGAGATCTTCTATTCAGTAATACTTCGATGCCGTAATGCTTTTAATGAACAGATTGCGATTCAATCCCTGGGATAAACGCCCCTTTGTGTCATAATATTTATTTAAACGCCCATCTCAAAGAAGCTTTGCTTAATCCGTTCGAAATCATCAAAGCGCGGGGTTTAACTCAAAAAGTCCTTGATCATTCCTATAAGTAGGCAGGGGCGTTAAAGCTGCTTGAGTGAGTTCGATTTATTGCATTGGTTCTGAAAAAGTACTGCGATCGATCTAAGAACAGGAAGGGCATTTCTCTACAGATTTCTTCACCTCTCTTGAATACATACCACGTCTCAAAACAACGAGAATAAAAAACTTTCCTAAGATCTTGATTTCAAAACGATATGCAAAGACACGTGAGCTAGTGCAGCAAAATATTTGCTTTGTTTTCAGAGAATCTTACTTGAAAAAGCTTAAAATAAACAGGCTGAGAAACTTACAAGAGATTGCAAGGCGGGTGTTTGAAAGTTATACTTGTTGCTTCTTGTTGACAGTAAAGGAAAACAGTGTAAGCAGAGGGTTTGTTTTAAATGGATTGAACTTTGGTTTATGAAGTAAGGCGAACAATTACAGACGAAGGAGTAGGATGGGGAAAGGATAAATGTGATCTGGGCAAGTGTTATCTTTCAAGCGAGGTGTATGAAAGCAATGGTGTCCAACTTAGAGCGAAGGAATCTAAGTGAAAAGATGAAACTTTGATGGAACTGCTGTTTTTTTGAAGAAGAACGCAATTTAATTAATCATTAACATAACTATTCAATCATATTTAATTTACGGACCAACGTAGCTATAAAACAGCTTACTAACGAGCGATATCCCCTCAATGAAATTCCATATTTCGCTATTTACTTTGAAGAATTTTCAAATTATTTTACTGAAGAGCGTCGAGATTCAAAGCGCAAACACTTATGAAATACAAAATTAAAAGATCATTCCAAGCGTATTAAGGCACTTTAATATCGTAAGTCTTCAAAGGCAGTGGATCTGAAGTATTTTGGTACAATCAAGTCGGATCTTGTATTACTTTGAACGTGTTTACAGAACACATTATGTGCTCATCTTGAAAAATGCGAATAATATTTGCAAAACACTTACGGAGTCCTTTATTGGCAATCAATCTCATTATCAACTTTTTTAATAGTTACAAATCATAACTTTAAAAGTGTATATTGGAGCTTGAGACGTGCCGATGAATCTCTGCCACGCAAGGAGAAAGAGCATAAAATTCAAGTCTGCAAATGTTGATTTTTTTTAGTTTGCTATACAATATAAGTAAACAAAATATTTTGCAAATTATGGGGTTATTCGCGGAATTTTCTCCTGGTAAAATGGGAAAGGAAAAAATATTTGAAGTACAGAAAGCCAATGGGACTGGACAGGGAAATGCAAACGCTACTATTAATTTGCAAAATGTCAGCTGAGTGTCATTTGCAATAGAAACTTGTAATACTTAGACATTAATTTGGAATTATTCTGTAGTAATTAACTAAATTAAAATGAATTATAAATTGCTCATTAAAAATAAGCCAAATTTCACTGATGGAAAAAGCCTCTGTAATCCCTTAAATTAAAACACTGCGAAAATTGTAGTCAATTTGTTGTTCCTAAAACATGTTAATTTAGACCAGCTTCAAACAAATTCCAGCAGAAAGTATATTGTTTCCCTACAAAAACACCCTCAAGATCTAGTAGCTATCCTCAAGAACCAATGAAACAAGGAGGTGATATGTGATCATCTAAACGTGATCATGTTTTTTGGACTCTGGTTTCAAACTTTGATTAAATGTTGGCCTAACTAAGCAAAGCGCGAATAAGGAAAGGAGACGTCAGGAATGTCACCAAAATGGACAGAGAGGGCCACTCCCTGCCCGTAGTTTTGTGATTGTATCATGTTAAATTCCACGAGCAACGGATGTAAATAATTTTGCCGGGGAAACAAGCCCCCTTGTTGGCAAAGCGCGTCATGTTGTAGAAAGGGTAGCCCTCTAAGCGGGAAAGCTGGCCTTCTCTTCGAGAAAATACTTGTGACACCCTTAGTACGAGGACCAATCTAGCTTCTAACAAACGATTAATGAAAATTTAAAAAAATTAGATCTCGGTATTAATTTTAATATTTTTCATATATGTGACTAAAGCTATTGAGGAATATAATTCATTGGAAAAAGTGTTCAATTTCTAACACTACCCTTTCATCTGCATCTTTGCGCATCTTTACCCAATTTCGTCATGAGCCTCTAGATTGATTACCCAATGTTGAGACAGCATGTTAGCTAAAACAGTCTCTTTTCATACCTGGATGAAAGAATACAAATTGCTTGCTAAGAAAGGGCATTAGAAACTTATGAAAATTATAAAATTTATGAAAAACACTCGAGTCCCACAATAACTACAGGATCCACGACAGTAATCACAAACTTGTTGAAAATTTACCATCATCATTACATTTACATTTAACAACCCTTTTGGGTCATACAAATGTCTGCCCAGTCAACTACAACATTAAAATTTACTGAGGTGATTTCGACATAGCTTGTAAAAGGTATCCGAATTTGCCTGCATCACAATACTGTCTGGCAGGCTATTCCATACAGAAACGATTGAATAAAAACAGCATCTCTGATAATGGATCACAAATATAATTAAATTTAAACATAAAAAGCAAGATCAAATATAATAAAATTCAACCATAAAAATCTAAGGAATTAAAGATGATGGGAAAGACTTACGAATGAAGGCTGTGCACAGATCCTTCCCCCTGGGCAGAGGGTGACCTTTTCTCAAACCGTAAATTTCCCTCGTACATACATGACCTAAGACAATTGAAACAAAAAGACTAGTAAAAAAGCATAGAATGGAATTTAGAATATATTTACCCATAATTCTTATTCTATGATGCAAGATGTCTTCATGCATTTGCCAAAAGACGATGAAATATGAATGAAATTCGGATGCAAAAGCTGTTTAGATTTCTATTTACAAAAATCCCGTACTCCAATGGTATAAACCTTGTTTCTTACATGGACAAAACATTTTATGAAAATGCGGCAGAACACCTCTATAAGTATGGCTATGGCTCACCTCAGCACCGACAAAGACAATGCACCTATATCCTGACAACCATGCTGTATTCCGGCAATCAGATACGGTATAAATCTATAAAGGCTTCCTTTGTCCTGTACACTTCCAGAAACACCTTGTGCCACTTTTATCCGGTCACTTTCACTAAAATTAGGATGTCGACGACGATGATTATCATGATGATGATTATGACGATAGTCATCTAATTCGAAAAATCAAAACCGGTCATTATTTTGAATCATAGGAACACTAGGACTGCACGTTTCTTAATGTAATTTTATCCTATACTTAATTCATTGTTTATTCAATGCTCAAACCCCCGTCTAAAGATAATAATTTTTCGCATTTATTGGATAAATAATACATATATGATCACATTACTTCTTGCACTTTCCCACTTTGCGCAAACTTAGCTGAATCTTTAATACCTACTTTGGAGTAAGCGATAAAGTGTTAATGACCAGTTCAATCCCCCTTGCATTTTGTTTTGCAAACGCAATAGAAATACCTGTAATTCAATTGATACTTTTAATAACAAGTGCAGATATGCAAATAAACAACAAATAAAACAAATCAATAGTGAAAATAAATAAACAAGTAGAAATAAATAAAAAAGACAAGATTCAATTCACTCCTTACCTGAAATATCTTGTCTGACTGCCCTTGCTTTCCATAGCAGACAAAGACCCCATGCCTAAACGAAATAAATGAAAATTTATCAAAACACATACAGCAACACGACCTTCCTACACATAATTTCATTGAAGTGCTTTCGAATGAACATAGTGAAAGACTAGCACGACACATAAAGAGGTAGACACACACACAATTCAAATAAATATCTTTCATAGATATAAGCTCGAGAAAATTTAAAGCCATTTAACTAAATCAAAACTATGTTAAAATAGGTTTTTACCCGGACAAGCTCGGATCTCACGTTGGACTACTAACAACTAGTAACTTTGAAAATGCATTAAAAGTGGTGTTTTGATAATGTCGTAAAATGGAATACTATTTTGAAAGTAAACCTTTTATATACTTAGGTATAAAGACCGAAATAGACAAAATCATCTGGACAGCAAATGCAGAAAAAACTCGCAATCCAAATTCAAAACACCATATTAATTAATGCTTTGTTACGTTTATCTTTTTACTGTGAAATAGCTTGATACTAGAATGATATTCAAAGACTAGGTAACTACCAGTTTGATACAAATTTACAAAGAGACTTCTATCGAGATGAGACATTCCGTCACTTTAAGTTCAGAACGCCCAGATAAACATGCCTGTCCCATCCTCTACGAAGACATTTTTCCAGCACCTAAGCTTACAAAATTGCCAACCATTCCTGAGTTACGAATAAATTTGACCTCTACTAAGTCTTACCTCTATACTTTTTCAGTCGAACACCATCAGCATAAAAATATTCACCAGGAGCTTCCTGCGTCCCCGCTAATAAAGACCCCATCATCACTGAAAAAAGACAAAGATCATGAAATCCAAATTGATGAAAAAGCTGGGCTGTCACTTCCAGTTTAGTGTCCTTCTCTTTTCTCTGAAGATCTTAAAACTCAAAGTGGCAAACCTAATAACTGTAGTCTTGCAAATTCAAAAATTATTTTTAGCAGATTCAAAAGTGCACAAAATGAACCTCAAAAATAGGCAGAAAACACATAGACTTAGGATCACTTGTTATCAAAAACAACAATAAGCAAAACAAGACAGAAACTGAGAATAAACTCGATCTCACCAGTGGACGCTCCAAGTGCAAGCCCTTTGATGATGTGGCCTACATTTTTTATTCCGCCATCAGCTATGCAAGGAACACCTAAGCAAAGAAACAATTTCAAATGAATTCATGATGCAATTGTGAAATAAAAATACTGGTTAAGTAGATCACTTCAATAGCAACTGTGAGGTAAAGTTTCAAAATTAGTGATAATCAGAAATTTTGGAGACAAAAAGCTGCTTTCAAAATATTAATCACTGGTTCCCAGTCTTTTTGTTTAATACGCTCATACTTTAGCTTTTCCCCTACAAATTTTATATAATAAAAATGGTCCTAAACCTTTATCATTCATTATTCAGAATACTGGTTTATCAAGAGGTGAAACTTTATTAGAACTTTATTAAATACATATAAGAATTTCGTACCTCGTCTCCTTGCATACTCTGCGACCTTGTATACAGCTGTGGCCTGAGGTCGTCCAACCGCCATTATTTCTTGGGTGATGCAGATCGATCCACTGCCCATTCCGATTCGAAGGGCGTCAACGCCAGCATCTATCAGATTCTTGGCTTGCGAAACCGTCACCACTATGAATAAGAAAAAAATAACTATGAGAGTAATTTATCTTTGAAGAAAATTCTGTCATCATAAACGATATTTGTCAAGTAGCTTGCAAGTCACACCTAGATTTTAGATTTAGATCATAAGCTACTATGGGCCATTACGATTTTAAGGCCTTTACGAGGCTGGATAAATAATTTGGATGAAAATCAATGTTGTTGACAGAGTTCAGCCTTTGATGCATTACTGAGCTTGGGCCAAATAATATTATCCATTTTATTCAGACAAGCTTTTTTTATTTACTTGCTGAAAATCAATTCTTTTCGAATTGTATAGTTTCTTTAACTGAAAAAGAATTCTTGAAAAAGAAGTATCTTTAATTTCCTTTACCTATCTCAATTGTTGTAAGAATCGAGAAATAAAATGAGTCACTTACCATTGCCCCCAATCACATCAATTTGAGGATATTTCTAAAAGTTAAGAAGATCTAATCAATTTTTTGCAAAATTGGTGAGTTAAATTTACTAAAAACCCTTCAATGATACTAACAGTATTAGAGGTTTTAATAAAAGAAATATAAGACGTACAAAGTAAGAAAACAACAGTCAATTGGACAAAAGAACAAACAAATAAAAGAACGTTTCTTGCTCAGATTCAAGGAGAGGCTGTCCATGTTTTTTCATTGCCGAAAACATATTGGTCAAGGCAGAAAGCATTTGACGTTCTTGAAAATATTTCTTGACCTGAAACTTTGGCTTAGATGATTTATGGAGAATGCTTCTAGAACTATGAAAATAAACAGTGCTGATTTATATTGAAGTGAAACCTGCTTTATCTCCTTGATACGTTCTATCTGGTAGCTAGAATTGCCTTGAGATGAATCCAACACAACAACATCGACTCCTGCTTGAACGAGAGCTTCTAGTCTTTGACGATCCTCCGGGTGTGTGCTAATGGCAGCACCAACTGTATACAAAAAAGCAACATCAAAATGCAAAACTCTGATACTAAAAACTCAGATACTGATACCTGATTTTGAGAAACGTCTATTTTCTGGCACAGAGGTTATTTGGATCGCCAGTGTAAGACGGTTGTGGCACAGTGATCGTAACAAGAAAGGGGGGCTTTGTTAGGTTTCGATACCTTTAGTTTAAAACGTAAATACCATTTACCTGTACAACCTCTAAAAAAATGCCAGATGAGGCCAATGAAGACAGAACCCCTTCATTACAATCAGAAACACAGGTTGCTATAGTATCTCTTCATATTATCATTATTTCATAACAGCGGCTAAAAAAGAGTGGATAACTCACCTCTCAGTTGTTTACGATCATCTTTGGAAGCCAGAGGAAATTCTCTGTTTTTCTTCAAATCAGTTCTTGATATCAATGAAACTAACTTGCCTTCAGCATTGATGATAGGCAGTTTACCTAAAGGGTAGTACAGAGACACGATCAATCAAAAGCAACACTGGGCGAAAAAATTTTCTGTAAAAATTAAGCATTTTTAAAAATCAAACGTTTCCCATCCAAACAATGTAATTGCAAGTCCTAAAATATTTTTATTGTACAGAAAAAAGGTTCACTAATAATTCTCCCATTCTCATTGCATAAATTACGGTATTGAATTACTAGGGTTTTGAGCTACTCTAAACGGACTGTACTTGCAGCTTAATATTTCTTATAACTATAAAGTATACACACTTAAATAGCAGCTGTTGCAGTTAACTCTGTAAATTCTTGCTTTATTCTGTGGACTCATCAAAGTTGAACGTACTTACCCTTCTTGCTCTTTTGCAATATTGTATTAGCCTCTCTTAGGTGAATGCCAGCCTGGCCAACTACAAGTTCTTCTCGTGGAGTCATCACCTGAAATAATCGCCCGTTTTCCCTTTATCAAAATGCCCTTGTCAACATGGAAAATTATACTCTGCCAAAACACTATAGGAATCTGAGATGGGAACAAACCATTGCTGCTACAATCCTTTGGAAAACGGGGTCTCATCTAGATAAAGGCACTTTGCCTTGGTGTTTTTTAAAGCAGTTACAAAACATAGTAATATTTGCTTGACAAAACAATGCTTCATTAGGAGGCTTCTAACACTAAGGCAGTTGATCATTCAGGGAACCTGACGGTCATCATTAAGTTTAAATTGACGTGATTTTCAAAAGATAAAATTGCTTGTAACACAGTTAACAATTACTTCCTAAAAAGCTTCTAAGAAGAGATGTTGGAAATAAAGATAGACATTTAGGCTATGTTTGCAAATGAAATAATGACCGGGAAACATTCAAATGAAACAAATAATAGTTCTGGAATATTGTAGAGGTTATGGGCTAGAACTTCGTAGCAAGTATACAAGATATGCTCCCGTATCTCTACCAGATATATGCACATACTTTTAATCTTGTATTGCCTGTAAGGAACTTTTAAAAGCCTTGTTTCTTGGATATGTATACATCTCTTACATTTCTATCTTTCAAATACAAACAATAACCATAAATGTTGACAACAGACCTCAGTAACCGAGTTTTGGTGCTCTTCCTGAGTGACAAAATCAGTATCCCTATGTGTTACCATTCCAAGAAGTTCACCACCAACTTTTCCGTTATCTTTCAAAAGCAAACAAAAGTAAAAGTCCAAAATTTTCGCTTCATTTTAAAGACATATAAAAGAAGTGTAGTCATACCGAAATTAAGATAAAACTACACTAAGTGAGATGTTCCGGATGAATTGATTTTGGACATTAGATTTACAGGAAAAACATTTTTACCAAAAGTAATGATTTCAGAAAAACTTTGAACATTTTTTGACAAATTGACAGTGAATATTGCATGTCAGCGAGGGTATTTTGCAAAATATGTTGATTTGAGTTAAGGCTGAAATACACAATTAGTATTTCTCTGTCAGTTTTTCCCAAAATTTTTTACATCCGTTTTTTCATCAGTTTAACTGAAGGAGCGCGATCACGATCAGCAGAATTTTGCGATGGATAGCAAAACAGAACGTGCTGCAGCTGTAATTATTATTGCCACAATCAAAACGAAAAAGGAGGAGAAAACAGAGGTCCACATGAGTAAAAGCATGGCTACAAAAACGTCCGCAAGCTTGAATGTATGATACATTGTTGAGGGAATTTCGCCAACAGGAGAAGGATGAATACAAGAAGTTTTAAAAGATGAAACCAGAAAATTTCGATGAACTGTTGGCCTTGATACAAAATGTTTCTATTCGCTCAACCTTTTTCGTTCTCGTAGCCACGTTAAAGCTTGTTTTTACTGAGATTTACTTTAAAAAGTTTCGCTACCCGATGTTTGCCTCAAAAAATATGATTGCTCACTCAAAATATGTCATAGATAATCCGTTAATTGATGTGATAACCACTGCTTTCCGCTTCAAATGAGGCTTTGACTGATCAGTTTGACTAAAAAGTTAAGCATGTCAGATTTAAAAAAAAAACTAATAGTTTTGCCTTGTCAGTCGAAAAAACGTCACATATTTCGACAGATGAGCAAAAACTGACGAAAAAACTGATCGTGTATTTCAGCCTTTATTTGAAGAAAAACTTTCCTCAGTGTGACTGGATCATATTTAGTGAGTCACTGGCAAAATATTCTATAACTAACTCAACATCTTGTTAATGGGAGGTTACCTTGGCCAAGTCAAGAAAAAAGGAAATCAAGGTGCAAAGTTTGGGGTGCTTAAATAACAGAAATGCAATAGTCTGCCAGAAGGTGATAAATTTATAGGATATCATAGTCTAAAAAGGCTGCTGTTTCCAGCAGAATCCTTGATTAATTAAAAACGTCAATCTACTTTTTTCTAGAGTTTCTAAGTATGCTTACTGAAAAAGGGTAGCAAACCTGTAACAAAATACTAACAAACTGGTTAAAAACTACTGATAAATCTTTTTTTAGGAACTCACCTGTGACAGGAAAACCTGAGAACCCAAACCTCCTTTTTAATTCCAAAGCATCTTTGACAGAATGACTTGGACTCAACACAATTGGTTCAAGAATGAAGCCTTGTTCAAATCTCTTTACTTTGTGGACTTCATTTGCCTGAAATTCCACTGTGCAGTTGTGGTGTATTATCCCAATTCCACCAAGCAGCTAAAATTAGCAAACATAAATTTAACTGAAAATTAAAAGATCTATCAAATACGCTGTGGAAATGACTGGATAATGCCACCTATCATTAAACAAAAATTTATAAATCAAAAGGTAGGAATCACAAGGTGTGGTCACATCGAGAAGAAGGACCAGGACACTGCTCGATAAGCATAGCTTCTCAGTGTCCTGAAAAAATTACCTTCGGATGCTAGGTAGCAACAAATACAAAAAGCTTTATATTTAATAATCAGGCAGAGATTTGGTATGTTACAAGGACATCCGGAGACTCTACGAGAGATTGGAAAAATAAATAAATATATCTGAGTAGAAAGATTTCTTTATTCTAAAAGAATTTAACATAAATTTCAATATCATTTCAATTTACATAAATTTGAAGTATCTCAATACATCTGAGTACAAGTGCGTTTCAGTCAATTAAAAGTGAGACATTGAGGTATTGTTTGAAGTAAGACCTGCATACAAAATGCATAACATAAAACTCTTTGCCATTATACTTTACAGCTCTGCAAACAACAAACAGTGATGAGTAAAGACATCTTAAAATACAACAAAAACTTACTGCTAGTGTTTTGGCCATCTCAGATTCTATAGAAAGAAAATATACACATCAATTGAGTCATAAACAAAGTAAAGGATATATTCATTTAAAAATAGCATCTCTGCAAGAAATATTGCTTAATATTTGTATTTCTAGAAAAAGGTTAATAGTTCCTTAGTCAAAATGATTTAAATAATAATAATAACAAAAAAAAATTATTAGTAATATTTACACAGGTTTTCTTATTCAGGATAAAAATCCTGTTATCAATCACAGACCTGTCGAACAGAAAAGGGTTTCTTAGACACCTTCATCATAAGAATTTTCTTTTTAGGTGGGAGTGTGTGGTTACTTCAAGTGAAGTGCTGATTGCTTGAATTAAAGAAATTATCGTGCTTTCCTCATGACAAAATAGTTTACAGCTTGCAAAAATCTCTAACTTTTTTGCATTAAATCTTAGGCACTTTTTAGGGATTCGTGCAGTAAAATATTTCAAAATTTGCACCCGGTGAGAAAGTCGACAGTAGCTGCAATACAAATCTTTGTTCATGCAAAATGTTTTTTAACCAATGACAATTTATTTGAAGCATGAATCAGACAATGGCTAATAAAGCCAGTGGGACTGGTGAGCGCTTACCAATTACAGAAGCTCTGTTTTCGAATTTCAAAACAATACATATCAAATTCCATGCTTCTAGTAGGCATGTCTATAAAACTGAAGAGCACAGCTTAGTTTTATAAAAATTAAAATAACCTGTAACTGTGTCCATAGGAGAGCTCACCAATGGTGTCTTCAAGTTTATGTTCTTTGTTAATGCTGATGAAAGACTCTGAAAGGAATTTGACAATAATTTTCATCAGAGATATAAATAGAACAGTATATAATAAAACAAGAGTTATGTTTTTACTTTCTCTGTCATAAAAACAGATAAGATAGAAACAACAACCTTAAAAATCATTATCTGAAAACTTCATTTTTGGGTTATAAACCTGGGTATTTAAAAAGCAAAATAAAAGCATCAAAATATTTTATTGATGTTCTTCAAAATATGAAAAATTGCTTTCTTATCTTCAATCTCTTTTAATTTAATCAATTTCTTTGCGTTAGGTCATCACCAGGTTGCAATTTGTGCCTAAGGACACCAGATTATTTGAACCTATAAATCATTGCATAAATGAGCATGTTCTTTCTTTTAATAAAAACTGAGCTTTTCTATACCCTTTGTGAAGAAAAATCATTTGCTTAAAATACCCATAGAAAATTTTCCTAAACATGCAAAAAGAAAAAAATTATTAAATCCCAGTCAAGGAAATCAATCATCAGGTAAATTCAGTGATAAATTTCAGATCAAAATTGGGGAAATCGTTTCCAGAAAATGACAAGGAAATGGATGGGAAATGGTGTGAAATGAAAAGACCATTATTGCTAGAGTTCCAGATTCAACATTATGAAGAAATTTTTAACAATTCAGTAGACTCCGGTTAAAGTCACACAAAATTGCGTTTGAAAACATGTGACTGTAAATGGAATATGACTGCAAGCAGAGCTAAGTTGTATAGTCTTGAACAGTTGGGTCTAAATTTTATGTAACTTGTGGTGTGATGTTAAGTGGAGTGACTTTAATCAGTGTTGACTGTTTTTCCATATTTATGTACAACAAAGCAAAGATATCATACCACATCATTTGCTGTGAAGTCTATGTAGCCTGGCAAAATTATGAAGTCACTGTAATGAAAGAAAATTGACAATTAACAATGACCTACTAAATCATCAATGAAATGAAAATTGAACTTTAAATCTCTACAGTCACATCATTGAACAGTTAGAAATCACCAGGGTTTGCCTTGTCTACCACAGTTGTTGGGGCAGTTTTTATATTGAAACAGTCGCATGCTGGCAGGGGGCAAAAGGGGCAAGGGGCAAGGGGCAAGGGGGCAAAAGGGCAAAAGGGGCAATTGTCCCCATGCCAATAAAACACCAGGGGTGCGAAAACGAGTTGTCACCTTAAAGTTGTCACCTCAAAGTTGTCGCCAAATAAGTAGCAACAGAAGAAAATTTACAAAAAAGAACCAAACAATATTCAAGGCAGACACTGTGTAACAAACCACGATAAATCGCTTTAAAGAGATAAGAGTTACCACCTTGTCTTTCTTACGAACTTTGATGCGCTTAACAATGTTTGTGAAATACCATCTCAGGATCTCATGCTTAATCTAAATGATTTTTGCACAAAGTAGATACCATGGGCATACCAAGGTAGGAGTTGTGGGGTATTTTTGAGGAACCCATCAATAATTTTGGGCTTCGTGGCAAAAGCGTCGGATTAGGCACCATTTCATAAAATTATTGGGAGGGTGCAAGGAGTTTTAATTTACTGAAACAATAAGAAATAATAAGAAAAGATACAGAGAGATCATGTCCCAATCTGAAGGAAATTATATTGTACAAGTTAAAACATTAAACAATGACACCAGAAAGTTGATTAAGATCATCAAATAGCTTTCAGTCTGTGGATATTTATTTCAGAGAAAGCTTGCGTTATTGAGAATTGCTTCAAACAGTGCATTTTCCAGGAAATTAGAAGCATCAAAATTCAAGAGTTTACTTTTCCTTCTGCGGCAGCCATGGTGCTGCCTCGGACAGTATAGTTATATTCTGGGCTTTTCCCGATATATAGATCTAAAGGGTTGAGAGTTCTGATATAATCATGTAAATAGATGTTGTGAATCGACACAATGTATTGTGGCAGGATGGTGTCAGCAACTAACAGGGGCAGCTGGCACCAGAAATAAACTGTTATTAGTCAGCCAAGCAGTGGGGGCATTTTTATTAGGGAATTTGGGCTTTCAAACACCTGATATGTTGAGTCTGTTTTCTTGTCGAAAAAGGAAAATAATGTATACTTAGACCATAGGTATAACGGTGGCTTTGATAGCCATAAAAATTAATTCAAAACTTCAGTCCCCTATGCATTTCAGGCCAACCTCAAAAACAGTGTCTCGATTGCCAGCAACGGGGATGGCCTGCTACAGCGATGTGTTCTAAGGGCACGGCTGACCTTTGATGCCTCATGGGTTTTATCGATGTGGATCCAGCAACATTTCGGCAACTTTGTTATTAGAAATGGCTTTCTAATAACAGGGCCTTCGAAGACAGAAAGAACAGACCATCCTGGATATAACAGAGCTCTATACCATACTTTTAAAAAGACTTGATAATTTTACCTTCTGGAAATCTCACAACAAAAGACCTGGGCAACAAAAATAAGTATTTTTTTTCTTCCCTGCAAATCCATGGAAATGTCTCATTAACACTGTAACGATTTTGATTAGAAAAGATTTGACATACTTGTTCATGCTTTAGGCTTTTACCAGCTGAAATTCAGAAAAAAACTTGAGAAACAATCCAGTGCACAGAACCAATTTGATTCATGGTAGTTACTTTGTTTGCGATTTTGTTTCACGAAGTAAGCGGTCAATATACCAGAATGCGTTATTAGAACGAAGAGGCTAATAAAATGGCTTTATGCCCTGTTTTCTATCACATTCACAGAGTAAAAACAAAGGAAATGGCATTCCACGTTATTAGAAACGCAATTCTAATAACAGAGATGTTAGAATGGGCTATTGTTGACATTTTCAAAGGGAGATTGAAGGCGAAAGAACTTCAATACAAGTCTGTTGACATCTGGTGCCTTGAGCACGAATCCAAGTCAGGGTTTACGAAAATAAACAATGACAGCCACTACAAGCTTATCACTTTGGAGAAAACTGTTATTAGACTAATAATACTAATAATGCTGTAAGCCGCCCCAGGCAACTAAACAACTTCAGGTAATTTTTTCATTCAGACAATTTGTAGTAAACCCAAACAAGGCCTGCCTTGCACCAACCTTTAGGCCATATTTTGGAGAAAGCTTATAGGTATTGTCCAGGATCTTCCACAAGTCTAGAGCAATGTTGTAAATATCTGGATGCATTTTCCCGACCATCTCTAGAAGGTATTCTTTGCAATTTTTTGCCCCCAACCATGGTAATGGTCTCTACTAAACTCTTGAACGATCTTACCTCCCCCTTCCTACCCCCAACCACCCTCAATAGTGACATCCCTGATTATCAATATTGCGCAAGTTTGATGGTACAGCTGCTAAAACAATACTTACAAATACTGTTAGGTATTACAAAGAATAACATACTCTCTTTTGAAAATTCTCTATCACATCCTGTCAGAAATTGACTACCCTATCTCCCCTTATTTGAAGGTCTCTCAGTATGCCACAGCTAGATATATATCTGTGTACTTTTGAGCTCTTGTACTTTTCTGCACATTTCCAAAATTTTGAAGGAAAATTTGTGAATAGCTAAATGAGGGGCACCATTTTGACCCTTTGCCCCCCCCCCTCATCAGCACACCATTGTTTTGAAATCAAAGCAGGTTAGTTGCACATTAATGTTTTAAGTGCAATTTATATTCTCTTATCTGTACACAGATAATCAAAATGAAGTACTTCTTAAAAATGTTTCCTCTGGCATATAAATTAAAATGTCAATTAAAGTAAAATCATGTGGTAATATGGGCATTTATAAGAGTTAATTAAGGAGCAAAGTCAGTTGAAACCCAATGAATGGTGGATATGTATAATCATGGTTCCCCAAATGAAGAAATCAACTGCAGTTTCCACATGTTGCAGATATCTGCTGCATTCCTGATAAATGCCCTCTGAACACACTATGATGCAGGATGTGGGCAGGGGACACTTGTAAATTAAGACTGCTATGATAGTAATCAGAGCCAAATCCGGAGTAAAAACTTGACTGAACCTCAGGTTATGACTAAGCAATGCAATCAAAATTTTTCTAAGATTGAGGAAAGATTAATTTATTTTATTCCTTTTATGATTAATTAAAACAATTTTAATGGGGCTCCAGAAATTTGTCTCCAATTAAAAACTTTATTATATTTCAATTATACATTTTTGCTATATATTTCTTAGCTTGAATCTTTCTTCTTTCAGATTATTACACCATTTCAAAATTTATACTTAAATAATAAAAAAGATGGAAATGCGGTAATTTAAAAATGCACATGCACTCAAAAGAAACTTTTTTCTGACAAGAAACTTGTGCTACTACCTTGTGCAAATTGACTGATAAATTAAAAGCTGTAAATACAAAGAAACAAGCCAAAAACTGAAGAGATGTACAGAATTATGTCCCCTCCGTCTCATGTTACATTCCTCGTGACATGTGGTAACAAGATAAGTCTAATAAAAAAAGTGAACAGGTCTTTTTATTCTACTTAAAAACTTTTTGACATTTTTAAATTGCTCATCAAAGCCTTATTAGATCCCAGGCTACATGACAATTGCAGATATTCTCAGAAAAATATGCTCAAGCGTCTGGACATGCCTCGAAACTGAAACCCAAGGGAGTGCATTGCTGTACATGTTCGGGCGAGATGTATTTCCCTGCGTTTGCTATATATAATTCGTATTTCAACAAAATGAGGCTATTTTGATCGTGGTTGATACTTTACTTGCATGATTACAGCTGTAAAAACAAAAAAGCTGAACCCATTGCATCCTGGGGGGTACAAAAATTTGGCAACTGATCAAAAATTACACTGGCGTCAAAATCCCAAAATTTTCAAAGTACAACTATAATCTGTCATGTAAAATCAAGGTGGAGGACTTCTTAACGTGAAATGGTAATTTTCAAAGCAATAACGAAAGATTTAGAAAACCCACTCATATGTTAGTCCATCCCCACATCCAAACAACGTTTTGGCATCTAGGCCATCTTCAGGAATTACGTCGACATCTACCATTGTATTGTCTTTCTTACTGGACATATTATCTGCTGCTTTGCCTTCTGCCTGGATGGAAAGATGTGATTTTGAATTATGGACTTTAATTTTTATTGCACAGGCAGGTGTTTAGTTTCAGGTGCATTCCCTCGTGCTAAACTCAAACACGTTTTCTTGTGCACAAACGAGGCTTCTAACTGGATTCTCCTGACACTGTCACACTGTCACGTACCCTGTTCACACATGGAAACAGCGGGAGACCTTGACTTTCCCATTTAAATTTACATATATCAGATCAAAATTTACATATTTGTGCTACTTTTACCTCAGTTAAGTTCAAATTTGATTTTATTCAACTCCTTTTCAGTATTATGTTGGGCGTGGTAATAAGGAATGTGTCACATGCAAGTCACATGTGTTTCCCTACCAATAGCAGCACCTTGTTTAATGTGGGCGTAACGGAATGATGACCACGCCATAAACTGTAAAATAACTTCTTGCACATGGGGAAATTCACTTCAGACCCATGTTGATGAGCTTATTTGCGTTTGTCATTTTGCATGATCAGTAGTAAAAAAAGGAAGGTAATAGCACACAAACATATCCACAATCTGTATATTTCGAACAAGTTTTATCCGATTAGAATCAAATTTCTCTTTGAAAAAGCATGGTCTGAATTTGATTCACGGGCAAATAAACATTATGGAACTTGTAGTTTATGAAGAAAATTTTCTGGCGTCCACATGCAATAAAAATAGCTATATGTCAAAAATTTGCATCTCAAAGCAATGAAAAATGTTACAATAAATACTAACTAGTGGCTTTTATAATGTTTTGCAGTTATAAAGCACTAGCACAGTTTAAAACAGCGACAAGGCAAAAATTGTACGGTTCTTTTCAGTGCCTTGCACCGAACGTAATTGTAAAAGCCATATTATCTGTATGCCAGAAAATTGATATTTCAGTGCTTTCTCTGGCCACTGACGCTTAGTGATTCACATCTTCCAACTTCCATGAACATGCTTGTCAAGATTTCAAGATATGTTAGATATGTCTAATTGGCTTTTGAATAAAAGCAAAAGATCGTACTTCTCTTTCGTGTATGATATTTTCATCTTGTTTTCTCTGTAGATCTTCAGGAATTAATCCGACCATGCTTGCTAAAGTTGAACCAGCACTCCATTTTCTCCAAGAGTTATTGGAAGCTACATCCTCGGATGTTCTTTCCTCAACAAAACTCATCCTTTTGACCTTTTGTTAGGTAAAATAGAACCTTGCTCAATATAACCAACTGAGTTGAAAATAAAGTTTTTGCTTGGATGAGTTGAAAACAATTTCTTTGCATAAAAGATACTTAGATGGGACTGTGTGAGATTATGCATAAAAAGACTTACTAAAGGAAACAATCTTTCGCAAAGCGGTATGTTTATCAAATGGGAGCGACAACTGGATGCTTTAAAACAGATTTAATGCAAAGGAATGTTATTTGACAGGGGTTCTCCACCAACGTACATTTCCTTCCACTAGCACTGAGATTGAAGAGGGTTTCCTCTAGCATTTGGACGAGGTCACGTTTGATTCACTTGCTGTAAAGCAATTTAATCCTGTCTATTTTGACTTATAATCTGAAGAAAATCGTGCCGCAACAGCAGGGCTTATTGGTCACGTATTCTAATGTTCTTTGTTAGATTTACAATGCAAATTGTTAGAGAACTACAAAAATATAGTCAAGGTCTTCCAAATCGCCTAATATTAGAGCACCTATCATATTCAAAATGCTTATTAGAATGTGAGAATATTTCGGCATTTCCCTAATATTTTAGGTAATAAAGTTGCTTGAGGGGATGTAAGTTTGAGAAAAATCGATGCTGAAGTGTAGGTTGAGTCATCATTGCTTGAATAGGGTCGTCAGAAGCATTTCAAACCTGAGGAGGTACAGGTAGTAAAGTAAGCCATGTCACAACAAGAGGCCCCTTTCAGAGGAAATTTTCTCAAACGTTTGAGGATGTACCCCTGGTGCACCCCAAGTACCGACACCTCTGTGGTTGAAACTCTAGCCGCAATATAATATAAATTTTGCATTGAACAGTATGAGGACAACTGTAAAAAGAAATGAAGTATGGCAATATATAAAAACTTTTTCATTCTCTCTGTTAGCTCGTTAAGCCCAAAAACACTGTTGTCTAACAGGGAGTCGTAACTACAATCCCGGACAAAAATGTTGAGACAAAATGCAATTTTGTAATTTTCTACTTTACCTTGCCCCTGTAAATTCGAATCCCCCCTTTCCCCCCGAAGCAATGTTGGATTTGTAGTTCTATCATTTGGCTTCAAAATCATGCATTCAACATTGAATTGGGGAAAGGGGGAAAGTTTTTTTCAGAGGAAAGAGAAAACATAAAAGTTTTTTTTTAAAAGTCTAAAATATTTTTGGCCGGGATTGTAGATTTAACTATAGAGGAGTGGCATTGGAAAAATCAGATTTGATACGAAAAAGCATATGATTATAACACTGAAGCTTCCAAACATTTGATAGTCAAACCTCAGGACAGACACACACTGGAAGTATATGAATTTATTTTTTATTCCAAGAAAGTTCGTTTGATTTGATTAAATTTTAGCTCCAGAATGACAAATTCTAAAGAACATCGAGGATCTGCAAAAATTGAAGTACAGTGGAACCTCAAATAGCGGCCACTTTTAGGGACAAAGCTGAGTGGCCGTTGTTTTAGAGGTGATGGCTATTGAGGGTTTTTTATATATTCATTTTGTCAATATAGCTAGTCGAAAGAGGATGATAGGGTGGACTAAAGTTGTTTATACACTTGCTTTACTTACAAAATATTTTCAAAGTTATGAACTACGAATTATGCACTGTCATTGAATCGTCAATAGAAATAAGTCGTGGGGGGGGGGGGGTTAGAACTTAGGACTTTAAATCGCTGTTATGTGTCAAGCAAGGAGAACAGGCTGGAAAAAGACAATGATTTTGAAAAGAATACATACTTTTTAAAAGGAAATGATTTTTTTGAATTTTTCTTTCATTTCATTGCAAACCGTTACCTGCTTGACCGTTAATGGAAGTCAAATAAGGCATCGGGGGCACTCCCAAGTGGCCGTTTGGCTGTTGATTGCAAATGGCCGCTGTGAGGAGGGTTTTATATGAGAGTTTGACCATAAATTCGACTGGGACTTTTTCCTCTGGCCGCAAATCTGAAGGTGGTCCTTACACAAGGGTGACTGTTATTAAAAGATTCACTGTACATTTTTGTAAAAATTGTAAAAAACTATCTTTGAATATAGCCAAATACTACATAATCGATCATAAAAATTAAACGCTAGAATTTCCGTGATAATATACAACTTTAAATCTGCTGCAAAAATCATCTCACAAGCCTTTAGAAAAACTGCCACACCTGAAGGGCATTTTCTTTTACAAAAATGTTCTCAACCCCTTGCGTCAGTGTTCCCATCAGTGACAACATCATGTCCCATTTGTTATTTTATCAATATATTGAGGCTAAAATCCATTGTAGAATTCATGACTCATTTTGAATTCTGGTACTGGTGAAATGATTTTACTGCAGCTACTTTGGAGGTTTCAATCTTAGCTTTTTATTCGCGTTATGAGAATGAAAACTCAAGCGAACAGATCAATTGTAAGATGCATTCAATCAACAATGACGTGCATAGCTTCTCAGGGCCCGCGCGACAGGGAGAGAGGGTAGGGGCCCATGGCCTCCTCAACATTTCACTAAATAAAAGAACAAAAAAAACAGCTTAAATCGTTCATATAGGTAAGCCTTTAGATTACAACGAAAACATTGAACCGAAGTATACAAGTAAAACAGCGTCAGCAAATTTTTTCCACAATTGGGGCCATTTTGAAATTTTAAATCGAAAATAACTCGAAGCCACAATATAGTGACTTGTCTAATTCCATTGTTTAAAAATATACAAGGTTATAATTTTGAATAGGGACTCAAGATTTGCTGTTCAAGGGACCTGAGACTGTTAGCTTCCCTGTAGGTAGCAATGAATGCAGGCAGCATTTCTTCGAGATGTGGACGGATTTGATCTTTTATTACATTTGCGTATATCTTGGAAAAGGTGTTGAGCACACTTACAGGGAGAAAACTTGTTCCAAGTATAGCGTTAATGGAAACAATAATACTCATATTAGTCCAGCATGTTAATACAATGCTTCAGCAATAACTGTCCAAACTATGAATACACAAGAAATAGAACTGTAATTATTTAAACAAATAACAACACTAAATACATTTTACACAATTTATTTTACTATATGTGGTAAAATACTGCGCCGTGGAAGGTGTTAGCCCACGCGCTAAGGACCTTTTTTTATTTCAATAGTAATTTAGCTATGAAGTTTTCTGGCCATACTTTGTCACTGAGTTTCTGCAAGCAAGATATAAAATAAGAGCTATGATAATTTGGCAACAGAACTCATTCCTCGAGTACTCAAAAAAGAGAGAAACCATGGAATTATTCTAAAGTGGTCCCTGGAAGGATTTTAGTGACCTTTACTAAAATTATATTTAAAAAGTCCCTTATCAACATGTGGCTCTTGATAAAAACTGCTGTTAATTATGATGGCTCTTGATGAACACAACACATGAACAAACATTACTCCTTAAAGGCCGATTGCTATTTTTCACAGGGCTGGCTCAAGGCTTGAGATGAAGGTACTAAAAGAGATTTAGTCATTCGTTAGGTGTAGAGAACATCGAAGCTTGATTTGCAAAAAAAAATAACAAAAAGAGTGTAAAGGGATGCATTTCAGTCTCAGTGATTTGCAAATAAACGCACCACAGAAAGGTATTTTCTGATAAAATCTCGACTGCCAAAGGCACCATTTTCATTTGCTGTTTTTAAAATGGAGGACATGGTCTGAATCCGCCCCTGCCGTGAAAATATTTTCTGTATTAAAAAGTTGTCAAGGGTGGCTATGTCCCCTCTAAAGATATTTCCTTGAGCTCCTAAGCCCCCCTCCGTGGTTGGCATCTACGAGTTTAACCACATTCCCTTCGAAAGAATGAAATGACAGATGCTGTATGTGTATAAGTGAGGCCCTACAAGGGGGGTTGACATTATTTCATATTTCATAACGAAATCTTGCCATTATTTCATATTTCAAAATTAACAAATAAAATATTTCAAAATTATCAAAAGGCCCATCCTGCTTCCAATTAAGGAATTGGATTTTTAAGGAATTCTTTGATACCAACTAAACTGAAGTATATGCTTGCTACTCGTTCTATCTATGAATAGCATGGTTATGGAAACAGTTAAAGGTGAACTGACACGCAAAATTAACTTGACCTCAAATATAAACAGCTCAATTATCGCTGTTTTGTGTGCTTCTGCGATCAAATTAATAATCCTCACATAGAATTTAATAAAACACTCGGTTATTTCGCTATTTTGATATTTCATTCTGGGAATCAATATTATTTCATATTTCAAAGCTAAAAAACCTGAATATTTATATTTTTTCTCCAAAAATCGCAATTATTTCATATTTCAAATACCCCTTATAGGGCCTCATCTCATAAGTAACTGTCTCTGTAAGGTTTTAAGAACAGAAACACAATAGCCATCATCATTGAGTTCAACGCCTGTCAGTACATTGTACTTAGAATTGACTCTTGACTCTGGAGAAATCTGAAAGTTAGGACTACCAAAGAATTGAAAGAGTTAAAGTTATTGAAATGAATGGAAAGCTTAGTGTCAAAGACATCAACATCAAGGGCAAGAGGGTACTTATGAGGTATTGTACTTTTTTCATTTTTTTTACTTCTTTGGCCATTGCAACTCAAATGTTGGTTCTCCTTTAGTGCAACAGATATGACAACAATCATGGACAGGTCACAAGACTTTTTTTCGGCAGTACATGAGTGTAGCGGGCTTTGATCTTTCCAAAAATATTTGCTTCGCTGAGACAAAATTGTTCAAATGGGGCCTTGAAAAGCGATAAATTTTGCCTAATAAGAGGGGCTTCAGCCCCACCAGCCCCTAGGTCTCCTACGTTATTGCAGACATATACTCTGCTTTGCTTTGTTTCGAAGTCAAGAGTATGGTAGTCTATACTGAATTTTAAAGTGAAACATAAAATTTCGTTTAATGTAAGTTGCGTTGCCACTAGCCATATGAGTTAGTTCTTATTCCTTGATTTACATGGAGTAGGCCCGACGATTTGCAGACAAATCATTATGCAGCTTGCATTTATAAACAATAGATAAGGACATTTGGAAGTCCCATTTTCATCTGAATCTTTTGAAATAGCATTGAAGCAACGTTTCTTTTATTTTAAAAAAACAGGGCTTATAAAATCGCTATCAATAAGAAATATAGTTATGAGTAGAAGCACCTTATATAAATAAAATTTCGGTTTCTCTGGCAAACAATTGTTCAGTTTACACTTGCCAGACACGGGTAAGAACCTACAGTTTAAGACCCTGTTTACACGGTCCCAAACTGGATCGATCCGTAAGTTTTGCTTGCGTTTACACGGGATCGATCCCAAAACATTATGTGTTTACACGGGATCGATCCCAGATCGGCCCTTAGGGAGGACCGCACATGCGTATTGCTTATTTCATTAGCAACACAAAGAAGATGGCGTTGATAGCTGACTTCGAAGGAGTACAAAACTTCGAAGTTAGCCGATGGCCAGGACTGGGAGACTATTCGTTCTAAGTATGAGGACATTTATAAAAACTTAATAGCGGCCTACCCAAATGAGGAGAAAGAGGGTGAAGCGTTTCCAACAGGCGACGCTGCCTCAATCTATGTCGGAAATAAATCATTCCCTTAAGTTGAAGCCTGTTCGCTAAATTTTTCGATAAAGTTGTAAAAAAATTCCTGGTGGACGAGAGCCGAGAATGCGCGCAAAATCTGATAGAAAAAAGCTCGAAACACCATGTTCAAAGCACCTCCAATTGGATAATTTATTAGCCTCGTTTCCTATCCGTGCCAATTTGGGATCGATCCCAAACTGGATCGATCCCAAACTGGAACGCTTTCCAAAGCGAACCCAAATTAGCACGGATATCGGATCGATCCCGAGCGTTCCCATGTAAACGGAAGGCCGATCCGTGCCAGTTTGGGATCGATCCCGGCCTGGATCGATCCCGTGTAAACGGGGTCTAAGATTTTTTGTTATCTTTGATTTACTCTTAACCGAATTTGAAAGCATGCAAGTATGGTTATAAACAATGCCCTTTTAGTAGTAGCATGAAACAATGTGCTTCCGTATTTTTGCATACATAGGATTGATAAGTTAACTCCAAACAAGAAATCTAGGTGTGAAACTGACGGGGTGTCGGGGGAGGGTGTAAATCTCGTTCCCTTATATAGTTGGTGGGGTCAAACGCTCTAACTTCTTCCTGGGGGTTTCGTGTGGGATTAGAGATGCTAGCCTGCGTACAGACGCTATCGAAAAATTGGAAAGAGGAGAAAAAGTAGTCCACTCACAGTAGTACTGCACACAGGCTTAGGAAACTAGTACAACTAAAAAAGTACTGTACCCAGGCTTAGGAAACCAGGAACAATGGTATCTTTATGAATGTCTTTATCGCTAGACGATACCATTGCAACATCTCATCATGCAAATATGTTTTTAACATACACTGACCGTCTCGCATGGAAATTATGCTAAGAAGTAACTGGGGGGGGGGGATAGCACATGTATGTCAAAAAGAGACAGCTCTGTGGGCTGTAAATAGGCATTTTGTCTCCCTTTCTGAAAAGGAAGAAGGAAACAGGTACCCTTGATGCCCTCTGGATACTATTTCTGAGGCCTGAAGTTCTCTTGGTAGTACGACTACTGTCGATAGAACAAAATCACAAGCAAAATACTAGCCATGCAAATCATCTCAATCAAATAGTTATGAAGTTTAGAAAATAGTTTAGAAATTTCTTTCATCTAGGCCTTATTTCTTTAACTCAAATTGTTTGTATTTCCTATTCAGGCTCATTTATCATTCAAGGAAAGGAAAGTAAAACAGCTTTTCTCTGTGTCTTTCTTTTAAAACGAAATGTTCTTTGACAGGGTCGAGTTCAATCTTCCAATGGAAAATGATAAAATCACAAGCAACTACAGGTGACAGAAAACATTATATAATATATTTTATATAAATCATTTTATCATTCAGTTTCTAATGAACTCGTACCTTCATAGTCGAACCAACATTTTTGCATATCGTACCCTCATGGATAAGAGTGTAGCGACTAGTATCATGCATGGTAACGTGATTTGCTCTTATTTTTCCAATAGAATCATAGAGTTTCCCAATTTATAAAGACTATTGTAGAAATATCGGCCCAGGCTCCAGTATCTAAGTTATTTGCTAACTGGGTGTTTTGTCGAAGTCCTTGTAAGATATAAATAAGCACATTTTTTGTTTTTTTGCTCAATTCAAAGTTGATGCCTCATTGACAGTTGATTTGCAAGTCTTAGAATGATATGATTTCGAAGATAGGTGGCAGCGAAAGATGAAAAGTAATTATTGTAGAAAATCGTAAATAATAGTGGGTAACAGTAATCGGTCTTAAATAACTAGGCACTCAAAAATTAGTAACTATATGTACCATTGATGTTCGTAATAAGTAAGTTAAATGGTAAGTTTATAATTATAATAAAATTGTAGCGTTTGCATTAAACGTTCAAAGTGAGGAGAATCTTCACTCCCACAGGCTTGTCTCAACTCTTCCGACAATACAACTTTGCATTGATAGAGGAGCCAAAAGCATCATCATTCTCAGCCATATAGGCAAACCTGGCCGGCAGGTTTCATTAAGACCTGTCGCTAAGGAACTGCAAAGGTTACTTAAGAGGTGCGATTTTATATTTCTACAAGTTTACTTTTATTGGATATATGCAGTCTTAAAAGCATTGATATGCCATCCACTTTTGCTCCATTCCTGTCATTAGTAGTGTAAAAAGATGTTCTAGTGAAATGTAGATGAATCAGGGTTCTTTAAACTTTGTTTTGTTTTGGTTGTAGGTCAGTGCAGTTTGTTGATAGCTGTGTAGGGGAGATTGTAGAGGAAACATGCGGCAAAGCTGACAATGGTATAGGCCTACTCTTAACATTTTTGGTTTCTTTTCCCAGGAAAAAAACCTGCAAGAAAAATCCACGTTTATTTTATATTCCTTAATTTCTAGATTGTAAATTTTTATCAGGTTTAATATAAAATAGCATTTACTTTAAATATGCAATTTTTTGAAATGCGTCCAGAATCCAATCAGCATTTTAAACTCCCAATTTAAGTGGCTTCAAGTGCGTACTGCCTCGAAACAAATACTCTGTTGTCAAACTGTTTGAAGGCAGTGTAGAAGAATATTCCAATTCATTAAAGTTCATGTTTATTTTATAGACTTGTACATTTATTCGTTATAACCGTGTTATCTCTATTTGAAAGCTAAAAAATATGTTATTCTTCCGTTTAAATTGGCTTTTAACGATGCTTAAAAAGTTTCGACCATCAAGGATTCGAAGTTTTCAGTACTAGCAAAAGCCTTAACGCCCTGCTACAATCACTGCCAAAAGTCTTGGAACACTAACGTAAGTTTTTAAAGGCAAATTCGGCCATCCCCCTCTCCCCCTAGGAACCATGTTGATTTACTATAGAAAAAAGAAAGGGATTATGGAATATGCTTTTTCTTGTGCCTCGTATGATATTTTTATATACTTTCAACATTGTTTTGGGAGGAAAGAGAGCTGGAAGTAGTAGTATTCGGGAAAACAAATGAAAAATAGAAAAGCACAGCGCAAAGTATTAGATGTTCCAAGTAATTTTGGCAGTGATTGTGGAATATCTGCAAGAAATCTTATTATTTTATTAATTGTAGAATATTTTACACGTGGCAGGCTCGGTAATATTGCTAGAGAATGTTCGATTCCATATTGAAGAAACGGGTACAGGGTTGGATCAGTGTGGAAACGAGGTTTGACATTCTATTGATTTTAGACTTTACGAGGTTGCGAGTGCTTATATGGTGATATTTATTGAAAGTTTTTCTTTTACGGGTTTGAGATTCATTCTTGCGAAATCATTACCTCAATTTTGTTTGATTACCCTTAGGATACGACCTCTATTTATCCAAAACTGGAAGTCAAACACGAAATCAAATATGGACACCCAACATAATCTTAATTCCAAAAGTCAAACTCGTTAATGCAAATAATATTTATGTATATCACAATAAAAATGTCAGCTGACATGTCAATATTTAATTTTCAGTTAATTTCATGTTGAAGAAGACTGAAAAAAATTGCTATTGCAGATATTTGCAACAAAAGAAGAAATATCAAATTTCAGAAATCGTTTATCAAAACTTGGAGATGTATTTGTCAATGACGCTTTTGGTGTTGCTCAGCGTGGGCATAGGTTTGTAGGACAAAACCAAAATTATTCCACTATAGCCAAAAGCACAGAAGTAATAATTGAACCATCCTCGTGTTTATGATTTAAATAGGATCCAAGGGGGTGGTGATGCTATTGTGCTTAGAGAGAGTTTTACCATTCACCCACAAGATTTTGCAGCTAGAGTGGGAGCACCCACCCTATATATATATCCTTCAAGGGGCATTTTAGGGATATAATATAGCAGTTATGCAAATTTAACAGACGCTGGCATGCTTCATATCACTTGGAAAATCCCCAAAATGAATCTTGCATCTATATCTGCTAAATTTAAGTGCTTCATTCTTCAGAACTATGTGTAAAATGACAACCTTGGGAACCCAGGCTACAAAATGACAAGCTTTCTTAGCCATGAATCCATATTTTTCGAGAAAATATCTATAAAGTGCCTTTGTTAAAAAATAGTGCCTTTTTGTCGAGAAAGTTCCCTTCATATCGATCTTTTCATCCAGAAGAAGAGAAGAGAAACAAAATGGCAATGAAAAGATACAGGAACCTTTCCTAAATAATTTTTCAATCTGCACAGACTCAAAAGCTTTTTTGGCAGTAAGGTGCTTCCCTTGAAAGACAGACATAAGCCCACAAAGTTAATCTTTTAGCCCTAATTGTAATCGCATTTTTAACACGGTCAGTATATTCTAGCAAAACAATTACTTTTTCTTATAGCTTTCAAACATATGATTTCAAACTGTTTCATTAGAATAATAAGAACCGTTACATTTTTTGCAGTTCGATGACTGGGATCAATCTTGAAATAAGAGCATCTGGACTTTTAATGGAGAAGGAATTACACTTTTTTACTGAACTCATAAGGAATCCAGAAAGACCGTTCTTTTGCATTCTTGGCGGGTAGGTGCAATTTGCACCATCTGATTTGCAAAGCATGAATTCTTTCCAAAAATATCATGCTTATAAAATTCAAATTTGATTAATTTATTTGTTGGTATAACGCCTCCAACCTAACAATAAATGTTCGTTTTGAGCAGCTTTTTTTTTGCTGAATTTGATGGACTGAGTAGAGCCTTTTTATTGTGATACAGGGAGACATAGGCCCTTCTAAAACCAAATGAAATTGCTTTGCTCGATCCATAGCATAGGTGCCGACTTTGATTTTAACAGTCATAACTCAAGATAGGAAATGAAAATTTGGTAATAAAATGTTTCAAACCTTTCGCAAAATTTAATGGAAAGTTTAGATTTTAACAATACAAAAGTTCACGAATCAAGCAGATCAAGGTAGAAAATTTCGACTGCCAAAAGCACATTTTTAGGTTGCTTTTCAGAGGGGTAGCAGCCATAATTCAAAGCGTATTGCCATTAATGTTTTTTTCAAAGGCTATTCAACATTTCAAAGCTGCCAGGGGTAGCAGAGCTCAAAAACTCTCCATTAAGGTGTTAGAACCCCAAGACAACCACATAGTTTGCGTCTATTGTTTTTCCATCTTCTGTAAGAAAAATACACGCGTTCCAAGCTGGAGCTTAACAAATTACAATTAAAATGCATCTTTTTTCAATTTTTAGTCATTTTTACTGCTTTTAATGCTACTTGCATATTATGCTGAAATTAGCCATTGTGCATTGCAGAGCAAAAGTTGGAGATAAAGTTAAGCTGATTGAAAATCTGTTAGACAAAATTGACGGACTGGTAATTGGGGGTGGTATGGCATTTACATTTCTAAAAATCAAACATGAAATACCGGTATGTTCTTTTTGCCTTTGCATATTTTAATTTAACAGTTCTCATTTAACAAAAACGCATTGAAAGTATATTCTTCAATTTCTCAGAAACTCATACCAAACTAGCACCAGTATTTTCTGCAAAACATATATTGCAATTTATGAATCTTTATTGCCTAAAAATGCACCTATTTCAGCTGATCACTTCCAAAACCCACCCACCCTCCCCCCTCTCATAGAAAATCACGTATCTGTACTAACAGAGAATCTATTATAGCGCAGTAATATACGGATGCTTCAATAAATCAGGGACATGAAATAAACTTTGGTTATTAAGTGTCACTGTTCTTTGTATAGATAGGTGACTCCCTCTTTGACAATGATGCTGCAGATTGCGTCACAAGAATAATGAAGAGGGCAGATGTGCTTGGACTCAACATCCACTTGCCAGTTGATTTCATCACCGCAGAGAGAATGGATAGTGAAGACAATCTTCGAGTGGATAGCATTAAAAATGGCATACCAGCTGGAAGAGCAGTAATAAATGATTTAATGATATGAGATTAAGAATTCGAGATCTGCTTAGCTTTATTTTGATAGATTAGCTAATTAATGAAAGTTGTTCTTGTAAGTAATAGTGAAATTAACATTAAATCGACAGCAAATATTTCATATAACAGACTTTTGATTAAAGAAAACATCAGCTTATGATACTTGTCAAAGAATATCTCCCAAATATTTCTTTACTGCCTTTCCATACTAGTAAATTATATACCTTTATCGATCAGCTGTCATACTTAAACAAGTGTCTCCAAACATTCTTTTTTCAGAACATGAATGTATAGCCGTATCAATTTGGAAATATACAAACATATGTAGTGTCTTAGTATCTACAATATAGAAAAATATGTTTACCTCGATGCAGGGCTTTGACTGTGGTCCAACCACCACCAAGAAATTTGCGAATGCCATTGCCAATGCAAAGACAATTTTCTGGAATGGGTGAGATGAGTATCAAGCTATAACTGATCACCTTGTGTATTGGTTAATAAAAACAAAAAAGCATATTGTTTATCAGCCTTCCAAACCCAATAAAGATGGAACTTTATACTAGTTTCTTAACACGTAAATTATATTTTCTTGTTGTGCTGTATGTTTTAGAGTGAAATATTAAAGCCAAATATATAATGTTCTAGCTGAAAATAGATCCATGCGTTTTACTTTGTTGAAAGGAAAAATACCCTCCGTCAACACTGAATATAAAAACTGCTCAATAATTGCCCTATTGAGATTTTTGACCTTTAGAACAACTAGAATGGTTTTTTTTAAAAAATAAATTAGGCCAAAAAGTTTGATGAACTTTTTATTTTGAATCATCGTTTTTTTAGACCCATGGGTGTATTCGAAAGATCACAATTTAGCAAAGGAACGAGAGATCTGATGTCTTCTGTTGCTGAGTTAACAAAGAATGGGGTGAAGACTGTTATTGGTAACATATTACACCTTGGTTTTTGCTTTACTCTTAACCTTTGTTTTGGCTTACCCAAAGTACGTAAATGACTGTCAGTGTATAACACGGGAGGTTTTGCTATATGGCCGAATTCCTGGTCTCATTCAAGGGACCATGCGGATTTACCATTTCTAAAAATCCTTTTAGTCATTGTTAAACATATTGTTTGAAAAATGATTTATTTAAGGTTCAAATTTAGAGGGGGCTGTATTTTCTTCTATTTCGCGTTGAATAAATCTAGGAGGCTGGGGCAATCTGGAAAATGTTAGTCTTGCGCGCAGACTTCAGAGTCTTGTGCGCAGGCTACAAAAAGTCTCATTGTGGATAACCAGAGTCAAATTTTCTGCACTAGCAAAAGAGTGATCTAGGTACCTTCAAAGATTCATGAAAGACTTTATCCATGAATAAGAGTCTTGAATATAAATTAGTATCTGTACTGATTATCAATGTATCAATGCAGTTGATGCATGGTTTGTTTTCCAAGAAACAATGAACGTAACATACATATAAAACAGTTCAAATGCTGCCCAAATGTGAATGCAGTTCTTAAAAAAAGGGTCTATCTTCAAACCAGGTTTGCAAGGAAGGGGCTACATGACTTGCTAAAAATCATTCATAATTTTGCGGATATCAATTTGACATGCAAGATGATTTTTACTTAAATCATCTTCTGGTTACCATTAAATTTCTAAATATTTCAGGAGGTGGAGATTCAGCTGCTGCATGTCATAAGTTTGGTATGACTGATGCCATGACTCACGTCAGCACTGGTGGCGGTGCAAGCATTGCATTTCTTGAAGGTAGGCAAGCCAACAGATGATAGTAAATATGATTTAAATGAGCCCGGATTTACAAGCATAGGATAACATAGAATGTAATTTCATTATTTTTTTATAGAATTTATTCACTTAATTGTATGACAAAAGTTGCATTAATGATTTCCTTGATAGTGAATGCCAAATCTTGTATTATTTGCTTCCTACGTAGATAGGAAATGGGTGAGCTTGGCCCTGGAAAATGAAAAATTCAACATTCTATATCTATTTCATTGCCAAATTTCTATCAATTTAATTGCCTAGATTTAGCCAATATGTTCGGATATCGGTTAGTGAAATTTTATATTATTCGCTAAAATATAAAATTAATTTTTACAAACTTTTCTTTTAACAAGAATTCATTTCTTTTTTTGCAGGCAGAGAGCTCCCTGGTATAACATATTTGAGCAATGCTAATGAGTTTCATTGCTAAATCTGAGATATCATACCTTTTGCGCATAAAATTCACACTGTTTTGCAAAAATGAATCGTTTATGAGCAGAGAGGCGGAGTTAGATTACTAGCATAGGCTGGTGCTGGTCAATGGCGTGATTTCCAACCAAAGCCTCAAAATCTTGGTTTTCATCTTCCTATTTTTAGGCCAAACTCAAATAATTATTACATCATTAAAAGTTGATCATTGGTACAAAAATGTTGACAAAAATCACAAAAAAACATAATTTCACTGATCGCTGTTTTTAGGTTCTTTTAGTCATCTTATCAAAATAAAGAATGCAACTTCAGGAACCTTACCCAAAGACTATAAAACTGTTTAAGCCTTAAAACTGTAAAATGATGCTCTCTGGGAACGAAGTCTTTTTTGGTACGGATCATTCTTGCTAAGCATATTGTGTTGGCTTCACAACCTTTGAGCCCCACCCCGCACCAGCCTGTAATTTGTAAACAAACATCCTGTTTTGATTGTATAATTGTGTATTGTAGAATTGATAATGTGATTTCGAACACAAACGATAATTTTGCAAATAATAATGTTATAAATTAAAGTATTTTTGAATGGTCTTTTGCTGATGAATTTCAACAGAAAAACTGACATCTTTCTGTTTTCAAGCCTGTTTGTTTCAAGTTCCATTTCTATTTACAATGATACGCTAATAGGACTTGATAACGAGAGTTTTAAAAGGTAGATATGATAATGATCCTCAAGCCTTACATGCTGCGAATAGCATTGATCTACTTGTTTATAATGTCAGGGGTCTAGGGTGTTGGTTTTTTATTAATTGATGATTAGTATACGGGAAGGCCTAAAACTACTTCCAAATATAATTATGATTAAATTTTGGACCAACTGAGTAATCAGTTTCCATTTATTTTGGGTTTCATATCTTATTTGAGGTGAATCTTCTGTTTAGCGCCCTTTGGGGGTCCAAATGATGTTCCCTGTTGATTTTGATGATGTCAGCTCGCTCCAGTCTTTTCAGTTTCCGAGCCATTGTTTTGAGCTGATCAGAACGAGACCAAGGGAAGGGGGCCACGGAATCGAAAGGAGATCTTTCCACCTCAGCTGTGCAGTCTGACCTGTCTCGTGCAACTGGAAAGATAGTAAAGTTGTGCAGAGAAGGCTACATTTTACAGAATGACTTTGAAAAAGATAGGTATATCTGATCTACAAATCTCAGGCAAAAGAGTGCTGATAAGGTATGCAAACATTCTTAATTTGACTAATGAAACCAATACGTTGTTATTTCACGTGCCTTATTTCACGGACGTTTCTGCATCTGGCTGTATTCCACACACCCCCCTTCTAACTTTTCCTTGAAATTCAACATTGTGCTATCAAAAATATTTTGAGACTGCTTCTTCAATATATTTTAGTTAATATAGGCGCAGACTTAGGGGAGGGGGCTCAGGAGCTTGCCCCTCCTGACAAAAACCTGGGGGGCTCAACTTGGGGGACTAAAACTTGGGGGTATGGATTCCATGGCAGCTGCACTCCCGATAAATTTTTGTAAAATAACGGGTGCACTCTTGCACACCTGAAAGATGGGCGCAGTTTGGGCGTGTTTTTGGATGTGGCTCCAATTAGAAGTTTTTTCAAATACAGTTAATGGCTTTCTAAATTTGTTTGCAACTGAGATTGGAAAAATGTATGTCGTTCTAAATTGAATGATCCACTTGAGATCAGGGTGGCCAAATGTTTGAGTTGACCTGGGGTTAAATTAAAAACTAAGGTTTATGCGAGTGAAGCGAGCAGAAAATTTTTGTCACCCCGTTCTCTAGATTACCTTAAAAAACACTTCAGAATATTCTTTGCAGTCATTTCTTTGCATTTGTTCCATTATTACTTTATTTCAATTGTTTCATGGTCACAGTTTACTAATGATTTCCTTCTATAAATGGATTTCTATCTTACTAAGACATTGAGGCCCTTAGGCAATTTGCCCCCTTATCCCCCTCTCGGTAGCCCTGCTTTATATCATCCTCATGATACTCTTAGGATGCTAAAGTTTTTGGCCTTTTTATTTGAATTATCTCTTTACTTGCCAAACCTTTAGGAATTTGGATAACAGCCACTGATGGTAGTGGTAGTTAAGCATAGTTCAACTATAAATCATGGATTTCCCAGAAGCTCAGCCTTAGCTTGATCTTAATTTATTCTTAACTTTTGACCAATTTTGAGGCTCATGTTTATATAAAATTGTTCTTATAAAAAGAAAAGAGTGTGAATCTGTATGATATACATATTGTTGTTTATTGCCCTGTTGCAATCACATTTTTGGCAACATTTGAAAGCTTTTCAATTTCTTTAGCCCAAGCCCACAAAGATCAGAAATTCTTAACAAAAACATATTAAACACTCAGGCAGTCAAAGAAATTCATTTAACACTAAGGCAGTCAAAGACTCAAACTGCTTCTACCTTACTTCATTCATAGACTTTGGTCATTATTGTCTCTATTAATGACAGTTTGTGGTAATGGAGAGGCTTGACTATTACTTAGAATTTTTTTATATGGGCCCATATAGCCAAGGGCCCCTTGGTCAGTGACCCCCTATGACCCCCTCTCCTCAGCACTGCAACCACATCTAAAAATTGGCTCATAAATATGTGTAAATAAAGTATGCAATAATTGTTGGCCATCTTACTGAGATTGCTTGCTTAAGGGGCAAATGGTATAAGCCTATATTCTGTTGATCTGTTGAATTATCAGATAAACAGACTGACAAAGGGCCTTTGATTTAATGTAAAGTCAATATTAAAAACCTCTAAGTATATTTAAACATAGTTTAAGCTGTCATGTTCAGGAGTCTGTACTAAAGTTCCTCTCAAGAAGATTAAATGCATATTTGACAATAATTGTTCATGTAGTTATTTTATTCTAAATACTTAATGTATTTTTATAAGATCATGGAAATTTTGGAATTATGGAAAGCTGTTCAAAGGCTGATAACATAAGGTTATACATAACCCTATAGTAAGAAAAAATACTCCTATGTGAGGATGGCTTGGTGGTTAGGGTCACAGACTTTAGATCCAAGGGTCTGAGTTCTGAGACTCTGCAATGACCAGACTCTTACTTAGAGTGTTTATAGTTGTCTTGTCTATGTTATTCTAGGCATGGGAATGTCAGGGGTGGACACTCGGTCAAATATTGGGGGGGGGGGGGGGTTAGTCTGTTGTTTTGACAAGATAATATCATACTTTCCCCTTGTTTTAGAACAAAAGGCCATTGTCAGGGGCGGACACTTGATCAAATATTGGGGGGGCAAGCCTATTGTTTTAATAAGATGAGGTCACATGTCCCATTGTTCTAGAACAAAAGACCATTGTCCTCTAAAGTATTGGGGGGGCGGTGGCCCCCCCTCGCCCCCCCAAGTGTCCGCCACTGGCCATTGTCCTCCAAAATACTAGGGGGATGGCAACACCCCCCCCAAGGTGTCTGCCACTGCTTGGTGCCCTAAAACTGTCTTTGGATGCTAGGATGAAAAATACAAGTGTGATTTTGGATTGATGTTGGGACAATATTGTATACTTTGCTTTTTTTACCATAGAGTTGACTTTAATGTTCCACTGAAGAATGGTGTGATTACAAATAATCAAAGGTATGTGTTGATTAAAAAATTAAATGTTTATTGATTAGCAATTACATATTTATGCATATGCTACAGTTCTTCAAATTCTGTGCCTTGTTTGGTATTGTAAATTTACAAATGATTCACACACAGAAGTTTTTTGCTTTCAGAATTGTAGCAGCTCTCCCCAGTATCAAGCACTGCCTAGATTCAGGTGCAAAAAGTGTAGTGTTGATGAGCCATCTTGGCAGGCCTGATGGACAATCAAAACCAGAATTTTCTTTGGCCCCAGTTGCAGATGAGTTGAAAAAGCTCCTTGGGAGGTATGTTATCTCTTTTCAAATGTTTTATACCTGAAAGCATTGCTGATACAGATTGTGCGGTCAAGACAATCAACCTTTTTGGGCAGTTTTAAATTTGTTCAAAGGTAAATAAAAGTGTTATAAATTATTCAAAGGTGAATCAAATTCTTCAAAATATAGAAGCAAAATGTTTGAAAATTTTGGACGCTTGTAATGTTATATGAGGTGGTATGGTTTAACTGTTAGCTGGTAATTTGCACTTAAGTTTTGTGTTTGTTCAATATCCAACCTATTCACATGCTATAAGAACTGTTAAGATACGTGGCAAAGAAGAAGAAGCCATACAACTCTATTCAATCCATACTCAACTCAAATTTACTAAATCTTGTTTACCAGATCTAAATTTAATTGAATAAAAGCAACAAAGTGAGAAAACCCATTGTCAATGTTCTTAAGGTTCTTTCACTACAACAACAAAAAGGGTGTGACTTTAGATTGTACTCTCAGCAATGGCTCTTCATGAAAACTTAAATACATTCCTTGTTATTAAGTTTATACAGGATAAATTTGGTATGGCTTTCAAGTATATTGTTTGAAAGCTCTACTTTTGTGAGTACGCTGTTTATAAGAAATGTGCTCTTCTAGGGATGTTACATTTTTAAATTATTGCGTTGGAGCTGAAGTTGAAAAGGCTTGTGAAAACCCTACCACAGGTTGGTAATATTTGGAAAATGTCTTTACTCTTTACATGTGTTCAGATCAATATTGCTTAGAGAACAGATGCAGCGATTTTCTGCCTGTCATAAGAAAATGTGCTAAGTGGTATGTCACTTTCTAGCGTTTCAGGAGAAATCCTTTTTGAATTGTGAGTATTTTATTGAGTGGCTATGTGGTGACACCTTAATTATCCCTTTTAAGAATTTCAAACTTGAAGTGCATATTCTTTCTTTTACAATTCAATATATTTTTATTGTATAGGTAGTGTTATATTATTGGAAAATCTCAGGTTCCATGTTGAAGAGGAGGGAAAGGGTGTTGATAGCAGTGGAAACAAGGTAAACAGGTTTTCATGATACATTGTGTGACTCATAACAAGAAAATAGGATCAGTTTTCCCTTAAAACTTTGCAAGTATTTTTCTCTAGCACTCAGGGCTTCAACTTAAGGCAATAGGGAAAAACACTTTTTATAGCTCTCGTATTTTATATTTTATGGTGGAGCCTTTCATTCAGAGAAGTTGATTTAAAAATAAAACGGCATCTCATTTTCTACCAGGTAAAAGCAAGCAATGAAGATGTTGGCAAATTTAGAGAATCATTGTCAAAACTTGGAGATATTTATGTTAATGATGCTTTTGGCACAGCGCATAGAGCTCACAGGTATGCACAATTCTTATTTATGCAGGCAAGGGTTTTGTTGATTTTCTTTTATCAAACTTTTTTATTCAAAAGAGCCTTTGCAGGCCTGTCTTTAAAATTCTAATGTATCGACAGGCTTTGAAATAAACTGTTTAATTTATCTTTCGAGTTTGCATTGTAGGAAGCAGACGTCCATGTATTTTATGTAGAATTGAGAATTACAACATATTTTGAGTAAAGTATAAGTAAGATAGTTTGGCTGGCCATAAGATGTTAAAGGTAATCTGTCCATATAAAAGGACTGCGTATACCCAACTTGTCAAGCCACCCATCAAAATAACGGTTTGCGATTGGTTAGTATTCTTGCGACGCAAAACTGATCACATGAAAAGCTAACCTAGCAGCAGTAAAAATAAACATGTAAGCATGAAAAATCACATGTTTCTAAAAAACCCCGCAGAGTCGCTTGCTTAAGCTGGACACATTACCTTTAAGCAGAACAGTAATAGACAGCTGCCCTAGTAATTTCCAGGTAAACTATTCATAGATACATAAAAATAGAAATAGGGAAAAAATTGTTTTTGAGGGGGGCAATTTGCTTTTTTTAAACAGTTTATTTGGGCAATCAGCAGTTTCTCTTGAGCATTTAAGGGGAACCTGGAGTGGAGCAAGAGCAATGGCCTTTGTTTTTAAGTATCTTTTTGCTGAATTATCATGTTGTTCTTTCATTATTTTCATAGTTCAATGGTAGGCATCTGCTTAGAGAAAAGAGCTGCTGGCTTTTTAATGAAAAAAGAGTTGGATTATTTTGCAAAGGTACTCGAACAACCTGAGAGGCCATTCCTAGCCATTTTAGGCGGGTAAGTGTACATTGTTAAAGTTATTTGTTTAAAATCTAGAATTTATCAAAGGGGAAGATTTTCAGGCTTATGATGTGTCTAAAATTTTAAATTCACAGAGCAAAAGTTGCTGATAAGATTAAACTCATTGAGAATCTGATGGAAAAAGTGAATGAAATGATGATTGTTGGTGGAATGGCATTCACATTTTTGAAAGTTTTGCATAATATGCAGGTAAACATATATACCAATTTTTCCATTACTATATGTACATGTAAGATTTATTAATGCAATTATTAAATTTAATCTGGCCTTTATTTAGGTTTCATACTTTGTACTGTAAAGTGGAAAAGTTTTTTTATGTATAAGAGAGACTGTTTTGTGATAACTATCCTTTCTTACACATTCCATGTCTACATTTAACAGTTGCTAGTGCCACCACTTCCAAGCTCATGGAATTTTTCTAAGTAACGCTTTAATTCAATTGTCTCTGTAAACATCAGATTGGGAAGTCCTTGTTTGACGAAGAAGGCTCAAAAATCATTAATGGTCTAATGGAGAAAGCCAAGGCCAAGGGGGTTACAATTCACCTGCCTGTGGATTTTGTAACTGGAAGCAAATTTGCTGAAGATGCTGATGTTAAACCAGCAACACTAGAAGGTGGCATTGATAATGAGTATATGGTAAATATTTGCTTGCGCCAAATCATAATGCCTTTTTCTTTACTTTTGTGTGATGTATATTCATTTCATGTTCTATTGGATGGTGTTCACATACAGCAAGTAGGGAAGCTTATAAGAAAAAACTGTTACATTATTTTAATTCAAAAGTTGCAGAAAACATGAAAAGGATTTCCGGTTTAATGAAAATATATTTTGTAGAATATCACATCTACAGAATTAGACGCCAGCAAGTCAAGTGTAAAGATTCGACTTTGAACAGCCAGAAAAGAGTAGAGAAGGAGGTCTAGAGAAACAATTGTGATCAAACAAACATTAAAACACCCTTTTAAGCCTTTAAACATTTTAAACTTTTTCAAGCGAGAATTTGAACAACTAATTGCCATTGTACCAAACTGCAAAGTTTGAAAAACATTTCAAATAGAATTTGAAACAGAAAATATATACAAAGCTTTCATGCTTTAGTTGCTTGGCTGCAGTTTTTTATATTTTGAATTCATAAGCATCTGCAAGTCTACTTAACCCTCAGTTTGCCAATTGCGAGAATGTCTCTAGACTGTCGGAGATGGGAGATTATTGGAAAGAATTGGGAACACTGAATTGTTTTGTAAAACTTGTATTCTCAGAAACTATGAACAGAGACACCTTTAAATACAAAAGCGCGATTTTGTTTAATGATTTACGTAATTGAAAGATTAAAGTATTTTTTAACGTCTAATGAAAACGTGAGACAAGATGTGTTTCTTTTACAGGGTCTTGACTGTGGGCCTGAATCTTTGAAGAAGTTCGTTCAAGTAGTGGACAACGCCAAATTAGTTTTCTGGAACGGGTACGATAACCTTGTTTACTGGCTGTGAAATTGTTTTTCATATGAGATTCAATCATGTTTTAGAAATATGAACTTTTAGAAATATTTGTTTTCCCAAACGCCATTAATCTTTTGTAGCTACCACCTATTTCAATTTTATCTAGTGGATTGGCATCTAGGGTTTTTCTGATTTCACCGATGTTTCAATCGATGGACACTTTTTATTGTCTCTTTGCACTGAATTACTTCTTTATTTCGGATCTGTTAGTGAAAATGAACAAATATTTCCAGCCATTACTTTCCTGATTTGTAAACCATTATTGGCCTAAGCAACATTGATTGTGTGTTAATTGGCCGATGGTTTTGGGCATGCAAAGAACACCGAATTTCAGTGGTTTTTGTAGTGAAGTTTAACTATTCGTGTTTCATTGGCAGACCAGTTGGAGTATTTGAAATGGCAAAGTTTGAGAAGGGTACGCGAGACCTTATGGATGCCGTGTGCGCAGCAACAAAAAGAGGCGTAACTACTGTGATTGGTATGAGGTGTTTTAATTGTGAATAAAGGATTATGACGAATGCAAAATGATATCGCCAGTGCGTCCCAAGATTATTTTACGCTGTGATTTTGCACATAGGCTGTTGTATTTGAAATTCTCTTCTTTTGCTCTTTTAATTTGCAGCTTAACTTTTAAGTATTCGAATTTTTTTTAATGGCAGTACTTTTGAAGCATTAGAATTTTTCTTCATTGATTAATATTATCTTTTTATTTAAACCTTCAATTTATTATGAGTTAAGTGACATTATCATGGAATTAGCATTAGAAGTGATTTTAGCCAGGAACATATTTTATCAACTGAGAATCAGTTGACAACAAAAGACGACTTTATCAATAGATCGGCAGAAAAATTAATATACATCCTGCATATTTGGTCCAAAAATTGAACCCGTACAAGAATTATGTAGACTAAGCAGTCGCCAGATATTACAGAGTTTTTAAGTCTTCAATCAAATCTTCTTGCTTAAATTTGTGTATATAAATTTTTATCTTCAAGGTGGTGGAGATACAGCGACGGCCTGCAAGAAGTATGGCAAAGTCAATGACGTCAGTCATGTCAGCACTGGAGGAGGCGCTAGTATCGAGCTGCTTGAAGGTAAGGCTTAGACCCTGTTTACACTGTGCCGGATAAATCTTATCCGCATAAAACTTGTTCGGATTGATTTGCGTTTACACTGTGCCGCACAGATTTTGTCCTCTTTGCCCTCCCGTTTACACTGTGCCGGATAACTGCAGTCACGTGATTTAAATCGTGCACAGAACGCCCAAAACGAAGTCATCTCTGGGCAACAAAATAACAGCTAAATTCCCGCCAACGTAAAGGACTTTTAATTCTCTCTTCAGAATCATCTGCTTCTCTTTCGGACATAGTCCAAAGATATTGTCAAAGCAAATTAGGCAAAGTTAGTTTTTATAATTTGTTCTCTGAAACAAAATGACGCTGAAATAGCGAAGAAAGTGGGGAAAGCTGACAAATTTTACGTGGACTGACGAAGGTACTGCACTTTTAACAAGAGTATTTAGCGACTACAAGGCAGCCAAGATGGCGAAAGGTCTTGATTGGGAGACAGTGAAAACTGAATTGGATGAAATAGCCAATCGCTTTCGAGCAAGATATGATGTTGATAAAATTTTTCCCGGATAAAACCGTTTACACTGTACCACATAGCTATTCGAACTAATTTAATCCATTTTCCTAGGTGATCTAATTTTGTTCGGATAGCCGCTAATTTTGATGCGGATGAAATTTATCCGGCACAGTGAAAACGGTGTCTTAATAACTTGACGAATTTTAAACTTTTTGCCGAGACTTTGATGATTAGAAATAGGCAATTAACTTTTTTCTTTTTTATAAATTTACATTAAATTCTTTATTGAAACTGTAAATTTTTCTAGGACGTGAATTGCCAGGAGTCAAGTTTTTGTCGGATTCAGCTTGAGTACCCAATCTACCAAAAGACATTTTGCACAGAAAAGCGAGTTACCCCTGTTGTTGAGTCTTGATGGGACATTACCAAGAGTGCTTTGTGCTGTTTCATTTAAATGCCTATACACAGTAGAACTTGACATACAGTAATTTATTGAATCCAACGCTGAATATTGCTGCTTTCTTAGATTATCTGCTTAAATTTCATATTAAGTAGATTGATTAGTTAATATTACTTAAATCGCTATACATTTGCGACAGATGCTGAATTTTGTCCTTTTCTTTTCACGTATCACTTCTTCAAGCTCCCAAGGAATATAAATTTGCTCTTGGAAAATTTCAGTTTCTAAAATTTTTGCATGAATCGGAGTTTAAGTCTTTTGACTTTTTATATGTTTCGCGAGCTTCGTTTCTTGTATGTGATATTTTTATCAATCGTAAGTTATAAGTTTTAAGAGTAAATAATGACGTAAGAAGTCAGTAGGTTTAAGCGTCTAAAAGACCTTCTTTGAATCTTTCGTATTTGTTTTTTATACGGGGATTTCTTTTTATGAAACTGAAGCTGCTACGGCGTAGGGTACTTCTAGGCCCACACAGACATTCTATATAGAAATGGATGTGCCCTATTTTTGCTTTCCTGTGTGTAATCCAAGTTAACACGGTAATACCCAGAATGGTTTCTTTGAGCCAGGGGCTCAGTGGCTGGGGGGAGGGGGCTATGGCCCTCCCTAAATAACCAAATTTGTCTGAAAATTTCAGTAATTTTGTTGCAATTTTTCTGAAAATATTGCCTTTAGCATACCCTCCCTAAAATACTTCAACCTCCAATGCGCCCGTGCTACCCTCTCCATATAGAATTTTTAACTTTGAATTGTTAACATCCATGTATTCAAGTTTTGAAATTGGTTTCTCGCTCATAGATACGCTCCTGTTAATCTTGTTTTTTTGCATTACATTGAAACGTTTTCAAGTATCCAAGATATGAAATATCCAGTTTGCACGCGAAGAAAGCCCCGCACACGCGCACAAAGGTCGACATGCACTGCGCTTTTCAATGGAGCCACATGTCATTGGACAAATCGCGTCCCTCTTCCAAACGTAAATACCTTACAACAATGCGCAGATTTTTTACATGCCTAATTAAAATTGGATTCACGCATTTTCGCAAACTTTTATTTTCTGGATTTAAAATTACTTGCATCTTGTTATGATGCGAGTCACTTGACTTGTTTAATTTCTTAGTAGAATCTAGTGAAATTTTATCGCAACCTGACGCAACCTGACATAATTTGGAAGATGGATTGTGCAAAAATGTTTTGGATGCTTTTTGGAGTTACCGTGGTCTTCTTCGTGGATTTTGCAAAAGGTAAGTGAATCAAAAATAATCAAAAACTGAATAGGTACTTTACGAGGTAGAAAAATACGGCAAATTGATTATTAGCATTAGACCTAGAGTTTGATAAGCATTGAACGCGCTGATTTAATGCCTCTTCTTTAATGATTTTGTTATCCAGAACCGTTACTTGTTTGCGTGTAAAGAAATAGAGCTCAAACGCTCCAAATTACGGCATACCTTAGTTTCCGTCTGTAAGGCGAATGGCATGTTAGTTTTCCCGGGGTTTTTCTGATGTCCCGTTCTGAAGTATAAATTCTGATAAATTGTATCTACACCTAAATGCCAGCAGAAGTTTTTGCCTCCATACCATTAGCTGATGTTGCTGTAATAGTTTATGCTTTATTTATTTTGTAAAATGGCTTTAAGCGTATTTACTGTTAAGGGGAGTATAATGCCGGGCATCATTTTGTTGCTACATTTGCATCAATAAATCGCCTTCACTTCTCAGCGATTCAGGTATGAAAATTCCCTAAGGGGTTTACAGGATAAATTCAAGTAATGATACTGAAAAAGTATTGACAGACAGTATACAATGGGCGTCATTGAAAGCATAGATTTGTAAAAACGATGCACTTGACGAGCGGTCGTGAATACTTCTTACTTTGAGTTATTCTTTCGTTGTATCGATGGATTAATACCTAGAAGTGACGTGTGCCTCCCACTTGTCTGTAAGGCGTTCTACCACAAGTTAAAGCCGGGAAATTTTGGACGACCAACTCTCGGACGATCAAACTTTCGGACAATCAAACTTTCGGACGATCAAATTTTCGGACAAAATGTTATTTGTAGTTTTAACTGATCGAAATCTGGTTTTGTCTGAAGATTTTGAATTTTTAGAAAAAAAACAAAAACACTAAAAATAGGTAATTTATCACACTCATCCATAGGAAAGGTATTTAATCACATTTTCTTGTAAGCATTAAAATTATAATGTAAGCATATGATGCAAAAAAGTGTCAGTTACAAATGTAAATCATCTCTGATTTTTGTTGTCTATGAAGAATTTCTTATGCTATTGTGGCCTTCTTCAATAAACACTAGCAAAACGCCATTCTGGTCATCGACTTCATCCTGGTTTTCTTTATCGAATTCGGTATCAATTTTTCTCATAATGTTATGAAAGTTCAACATTGCCATTGGCAATCCTTGAGTTTCCAATTCGTAGTTGTAAAAACAAAAAATATCCTTAAATCGATGAAGGTATTGGATGCAAGGATTGTGATGCATTTCCTACGATGCTTGTGCTGCAGTTGCTACGCATCTAACTTTTTCATCGTAAAATATCCATGATCAATTAACATATTATTGTTAGATATTTTTGTCCGAAATTTTACGAAAATGCATCCAAAATTTTTTGTCCGAAGTTTTTGTTCACTAAAGTTTTATTCAGTTTTATTCAGATTCCGTAGCGTCTTAAATTTTCACCCCGTTGGAATTAGAACGCGTTTGGATCTGATCAGATTGTGACACCTCACTAACATGAACTTCTAACTTGTTTCATCCATTTCTTCTTTTCTTAACTCTACATACCTTGAACTTCGTAGCAATTAAACTCATAAATGTTACTTTGGGCAGGAGTGTAATTATTGGGTCTAATATGACGTGAACGGGCGATTAGGGATTCGTTTATTTAGTGCTGAAGAAACTATGTTGACCTTCCTCTATCTAAAAAATTTGTGACAAGACATTATTTCTTCTTGAAATGGGCACCACATCCCACTAAGATAGACCACTTATAAATAATGCCATAGATCATATACTCTATCTTCTTGAGAATACTTTCTTTAACCTGAACTCTAAAACGGTGCTCATTTTCTAGTTTCGGTAATTTGTAGTCAGTAAAATAACTGAATGCTGCATTTTGATAGAACTTCCCATTTCTTTTCTGCTAAGGTTGCCAATATTGTGGGTGCTATGGAACTCCAAACTGTGACTGCTACTGCCCCCCTTGGATGTACATTGGCTATGACAAAATAATCCTTAACCCTGCCCAAGGTAATGTTTATGACGTTTATCTTGTTAAGACAAACCTCTGTAGGTCAACTGTATGCTCTCCTTTCTTGGGCCAGGCTTCTAAAACACAAATTACCTTGTTATGCAAGACAAGGACACTCCCCATGATTTTCGTTTAGTTTGGTCCGGTCAAAGCTGTACATGCTTTATTAACTTCCAATTTTTTAACATTTAAGATAACATTGTAATTTGTTAATTAGAACTTCACAGTTAAGAGTAATTTTCAGTTCATTTCTCGCTGATATCATTATAAAAGACGCTTTCCTATTCTATTTATCCACAGTGTTGCCGAGCATATAGTGGGATTTGTTGTAAGGGGCACAGTGAAAACCTGTACATGACAATGTATTTTAAACCTGCAGCCATAGATTTTTTACCGAAGAAAACCATTTCTGCCTGATCTCGTAAATACGTTCTTGATAAAGGGTTTACAACGCGGGGCAGTAAACCTTTTTCCGGGAACTTTGGATACAGATCATTGATTGGGAGATATTGAACGTATCGGCTATTTTTGTAAAAATTCTTTGGTGATAGTGGATTCAGCCGCAAAGAAGAACAGCTTCTGAGATAATTGTTTTGCTGCCTTAATTTCTGTCATATTTCAATTCTCAACCCATTACAATCCTTTTTCTGTCTATGTTCTATAGAACATGTGTTGTAATGCCACACCTAAGTTACTGGATTTGCCTCGATACTTCTATCAAGCTAAGTTAAAAAGCTTAGGCTACTATGTACAGAAGTTTACTGTATTGGAATTTTTGCTTGTCAAGTGCACGTTTAAGCAACCAGAAGCTTGTAATAAAAGTATTATTACCTAATTTCATCAACCCTCTATTCTAGGTCAGGTATCAGTCAGTTCCAGTGCTGCTGCATCCGTCAAATACAACAAAGGAGCCCCACAAGCCTACATCTCATCTCTCTCTAGTGCCAAAGCAGACCCCAAGGTCCCAGTTGTCATTGTTCGGCCAACAGTGCCACCTACTACAAAGGGAAGCCCGACATCGCCTCAACCCCCAACAGGCCAACCTGTAGTGACACAAAAACCATCCCCAACTCCAACCGGTAATGCAGGTAGGTAGTAACTTTTGATTTTATTAGACTTCCATACATTTAAGTGCTTATGATATACATGCTCTTAGAGTAGCAAACCCCAACTTTTCTGTACATATCAAACTATATATTGCTAGACCGAAGTAAGTAATGAAGAATTTCCCTGAACTTTGTTTGTAGGACTTGTTATCAAGGGCTGCAATCTGGCAAAAAAGGAAGTATGAATTAATAGCACCCATGAAAAGTTATTTTTTACCCCCATCTCTCCCGGTTGTGTATCATCGAAAAACTGTGACCCCTCCATTTTTCTTCCATCTAATTTGAGGTCACCCCTCTCCTCCATCACTGTTCACAAATCTGATACAAAAGCTTCTCTTGTTTTCTCAATACACACTTTTTTTATAAGAATACCAAATCTTTTGTTGAGCCTTAATATTCTTGAATTTTTTCAATTTTGAGCCCTAGATTTTTCTTATTTTTCAGCGACATGTAGTAAAGCCAGATTTCATTAAAGTTTTAATGACTACAAGGCCAAATACGTCTATTTCAAGAGGCATAGCGTGAAAATCGCATTTGTTTTGCTTTCCTAAATAATCAAATAAACAAAAAAATCAATTCTTTGTGAAGCTTGAGCCTTGCATTATTCTTGAATTATCTTTAATTTTCAGCGATTTTGAACCTTGATTTTCTTTTAGACTATATTTTCATAATTGATAAAGACTATTTTCTTATAGACTATATTCTTATAGCCTATCTTCTTATAGCCTATATTCTTATAGCCTATATTCTTATGGACTATATTCTCAAGAGTGAACAGAGTTGCCTCTTTCATATCTTTCTTTCCCGACAGTACCTAACGAAAAACTGTTCCCTTATCATGCTTTATTCTTTTTCTTTTTCTAGGAAAGAAAGCTTGGGATTACCGTCCTGGTGACAACGGTAGGTGTCTTTCGTTGACAGCTTTCAAAAGGTTTTCACCGAAAGGCTCTGTAGCCTGTCATGGCTGCTTCTACTCTAGCATAACAACTCGACCAGACATTTAAATTCCCCTAGTTACATTTTCAGAAAAAGTAAATATGCCTTTGGGTTTCAAATAATATTCATAATGCACGGAGAATTATTATGTCAAAAAATTGTCATTGAATGCTAATTTTTGAGCTCTAGCCATGGTCACTCTATCCCAGAAGTAATTTTGCAGTATCATAGTACGCAATTAAAAATGTTACTGTGGAATTTCTTCATTTTGCAGCATACGGTCCAGCTAACTGGAAATTGCAGTGGCCTAAGTGCTCAGGCTTGCGTCAATCCCCAATTGACATAGCAACAGTGAGCGTCATTCCAAAGAATGCTCCTTGGAAGCTGCAAGCCGGCAATCCTGACCCTGCTCTCGCAGAGAATTTTATTGTTATGGGAAAGCTGATAAATAATGGCAGGGGGCTTGGATTCAGAGTAGACGACGTAAACACCCCTATTCAGTTGGTTTTTAACAATACGTATAAACTCAGGCAGTTTCATTTCCACTTTGGTTGTGAAGACGAAATGGGCTCGGAGCATTCCCTTGATGGGAAACGTTTTCCTGGAGAGGTATGTCTACAGGCCTTGAATGCAATTAAATTTGCTCCAATTTTTATTTTGTGCTATCTTCTTTTCAACTTTGTGCCTGACAGAATTGACATCGATTTTAACTTTTTTCAGCTATGTGGGAACAGATTTTGGGCTCTTCAGTTCGCATTTTTAGCGAGTTTTTCCTCTTGCCGTCCATTTCTGTTCATATTTTTGTTGGCCTAACACACTGCATGTTAGTTATCTTTTATTCAATTCAAGGTTCAGTCATAACATACAGACTATGAAAGAGCGGTGTTGCGTTGTTTAATGTCGCATTTATGTTTATTGCATAATCGAGTTCATATTAAATCTTATATTGGTATTTCATAGTGACTTCAAGGTATGGTCAGAAAAATGTCGTGTTTTTATCTTTCAGATTCATTTGATATTTACAAATAATAAATATGCAACTGTTCAGAATGCTTTGCAAATGCCAGACGGCATCATCAGTCTTGCATTTTTCCTGGATGTAAGTTTATACGCTCTTGAATTATTGTTTTGAAACTTATTCACTTCTCGGTGCTTTTATTCGTCCAACATGGCGTCTTATCTTTGAAATGACATCTATTACGATCTTTTCTAGTAAGTCAAAATTATAAGTTTAATTTGGCGAATTGAAAGTCGAACCTCGAATAAAAATTCAGGTCCCAGTCTACTTATAATCAAGTCTCGTCGCAGAGCTTCAGTTGTACCTTCCTAAAGTAACTAAGGGCGAGAAAAATTGTGCCAAAATCTAGCAACGTACTAGTACATTTACCTAGTATGTCTATGATATTCCGCCCATGCTTAAGTCTACTAATTCAGCTAGTACCCGCTCATTCGACTTATGCAAAGCTGCCCTAGTGTTAGAAGCCCGGCTTCACAACTCTGTTTAGTATCTCTGCAAGTTAGTCAAGGCATTCCGTAGCCTACTACAGAGCTACTAAATGAATTTTATTTTTAAAGCTTATTTACCCTTATTGCACGTTTTCTGAGAGTAGCATTTGGGTTATCGAAATGCGGCCTGTTCTATCCTATTCTGCTGCCGCACAATCTCTGTATTTGCTGGAATCTGTTCATACTTACCAATCCTTTTCAGTATGATGAAGCTGTGCAAAACAAAGCCTTCAAAAGGATCACAGACAACATCAATACAGTGAGGCTGCCAAGTAGGTTGACTTAACAGTATATCTCATTTTAAAGTATTTTCGGTGCACTTTGCTTGTTTTAACGATAGGTTGAAAAAAGACCTGTTTCTTTCTCATCAAGTAATGATTTACTCTTGCTTTGCATTTGTATATAATCAACATAGATATCATATCCTTATCAATTAAAGGCATAAAAGTGAAACAGGGAAGCCATACTTCTTGAAATATTTCTCACATCACAGCTGCAGTTTGCAAACGTATAAACAGACAAATGATTCATGTGTAAAGTTGATCATTAAACACTATAGAACGATTGTGTTTGTGTGTCAAGCTCGTCTTTTTCCAAGTCATTTCGAAACCGACTGACTTTTTTTGGTATTCTTACCCCTCAGAGAGCACAGTGGCATTTCCAGATGGTATCTCCCTCATGAACATGATTCCTGCAATGAAGGAAGGCCTTGCAAACCTCAAGGTCTTTGCATACAGAGGCTCTATGCCAGCTCCTCCTTGCTTCGAGTCTTTCACGTGGTTGGTTTTCAGAAGACCAGTGAAGATCAATCCTGTTACGGTAGTTTTTTTTTCAAACTTTTATCTTGCAAAGATGTCCAAGCAGTGCAAATCTTTGCAATTTGGCGTTTCAGCAATTTACCTATGCAATGTTACTTGAATTATAAGCAGAGAGTTTTTTCTCTGTGAAAGAGAGACCGTTTATTGTGAAAGAGCTTAATCAAACCTGTTTAACTTAATCAGAACCAAGTAGATTCGTTGGTCTTTGATGCTCTATAATTCTTGCCAAAGCTTTTGGAGCACTGAAGCTTGCCATTAGCCACTATCCTACCCTCCTACTTCACCGCCTATTTCCTGTGATTTTATTATTTATATTATTGACTGACTCGTTTCAGCGGTTGCTTGAACATCAAATTGTCTATATTATATTCATATCGGGGCAATAGATTGAAAGGCTCTGAGGACATTCTTGGTATTCTGAGAAATACTTCGATGCTTATATCAACTTACTGAACCTTCTTTTAGCTTGAAAACTGGAGGAACCACTTGCAGGGAAACAACGGGAGGATGTGTGGTAATTACCGACCAATTCAACCACTCAATAACCGAAGAATCTTCACTTTAAATGGTGTAGCAGCTCCAACGGTACATCCCATTGTCGTAAGTTCATCCCCAAAGCCAGGAAGCACCAAGAAGCCAACTAGCAAACCATCAGTATCAGTACCAGGTATTTGTCTAACAATTATATTTCCTAAATCTTTTCAAACTAGTCTTAAATATTGGGGGCAGGATGAGTTTTCCACCCTTGTGAGCCCCAACTTTGATCTTAGTTTATCTTTAGTTGCCTTCAATCGTGATCTGTCTTAGAGGTACCACTTTCATTCGCTTTGCCCTAATTGACTGGCTTTGCCATTTGTGTAACCTTGTTACAGGTACCTTGGTCTCGAGGAAAGAGTTGTTTTAAACACATTTGTCTTGCTCCTTTACAGTATCACCAGTGGCTCGCTTCCGAGCTCCAGGGATGCCATTTGAAAGAATAGGTGCTGGTTTACGAGAAAAGGCATTTGCAAAATTCGTCGGTAGCACAGGGAACCAGCTCGATGAGAAAGTTACTTCAGCGGATGCCAGGCAAGAGCTACACCCGGCTCAGACAGGGAACGGGGGAGCCCCGCAATCAGTTGGCAACATAGTGCCACCGAATGTTGGTAATCCAGTGAGGGAGCAGAGCTCAGCTTTTACAAGCATGTCATCAGGCAAAGACAGTAAGCTACTACCCGAATCAAAGAAACAAATAGACACTCAATCGCCACAAGGTTTCAAGAATATTGATAATGGGAAAAAAGACGATAGTCAGGCCAAGAAACCGACTGTCGCACCTGGAATGAAACGGCAATGGTTATAGATTAATCTGGTTTGCTAATAAAAATCGCTTTGAAGTTTAAGCGCCTTAACCTGGTAAGGTAAAAAGCCCGGACTTGATTTTACGGCAAATGGTTGTCAACATTCAGGCTTACGACTTCATCTGATGCTGACAATGCCAGATTGTAATGCTCTAGGATGGTTGAAAAGCGTTGCTGTAGATTTTTCTGTAAATATATCGCGCTTGGTAATTTCTGGATTTAAAAGCTGCTATTAGAAACAACCGATTTTGCATATTACGTAATTGGTAATTGACTCAAGAATCAGTTTTTGCGAAAACGCAATATGTTGCAAATGCAGAGGCGTAAGCCTTATCATGATATTTCGATGCATGTGCATCTATGTAATGTGTGAGAATAGTGATATTACCGATAAGAAGTTTGATATGGACAATACACAAGGTTGAAATGTCCTAATAAAATACAACCACGGATATAAGGAAGACTGTACGTGAAGCAGATCGATGCTAAGATAGCAATTGCAGAATGAGGCCACACTGCTAGCATAAGTGCCCAAATTCATGCTTGCGATACTAGATTCTTGTCTAATGTGGTATGTATTTGAGATACCTGTTAACTAAAGACTTGCAAGGGGTTGAACCAGCTACCCTATATCAAATCCAAATTATTTCTAGCTTGAAATACCCGGATTACTCAGGTGAATGGCCTTACCCTCTACATTTTATAACTTCCTTGAAACACCTGATTAATAAATTTTTAAATGGTTGGTAAATACACAACTACTTCTAGTGTTTTTCCTCCTGGTAAAATGAACAAACCAAGAAATTTTTAACTGTATTGGTCTGAAAACACAAACAACAAATATCCTGCCAAGCTTTATCATAACTAGGCCGTTTGTTGTTATTAGCAACCAAATCCGCTCAGATGTGATTGGGTAATCTTGAAAGGTTAACAGGGAGTGATTTTGCTGCACAAACCCCAAGTAGTTTGGACACCAAGAAAATTAGTGACATTGGTACTCTAAAAATATTTTGTTGAATTGCATCAGTAAAACGTTGTCATATTAAAATTGCTAGTTTCATTACACATATAGTCAAGATATTACCTTTTACATACCAACTTATCACTCATTGAGCGTTCGTCAGTATTTAAAAGACTTGGTTATTTATCACTACTCGAGTCACAATAAACTTCTTCTACAAATATTGTTATTTTGCGGATCTGATTTGTTTATAATACATTACCCTTTGAAACAGATGTCTTGATAAATGTTTATGTAAAAATATTCTAGATTTGCTTTTCATTCAAACACATTCCACTGTAACAAAGAATTTCTAACAAGCATTTTTACTTGCCATTCACGATACTTATTGTGTCTGATCTTGGCTATGGGAGATAGTTCATACCAGATTAGCTTTAGGCAACTTGCCTACAATTTGCCTACATCTTCTGTAAAAAATTGCCTTCAAATAAGACTCTTACACAGATGCTCCTTCGCTGAAATGAAGTCAATCTAAGCTTTTCCCAACTTCTCGCGTGAATGAAATTTTATTTATTGGCATTCTTTGGAACTGCAAACTACCCTAAAATTTTAAAGAGGGGGCACTGACATTATAAAAATGCAGACAAGGCTATATGGGGCAAGATATTGCAATTTTACTTGTGCAAAGAGCGACTCTTTAATTATAAACAATATTCAGTAAGGAGTGTGAATATATTAGCTTTGACCGGAAAGGGCATGAGAGAAGTAAGGATAAAGGAAAACTAAAAAGCAATCGTGCGACGTTCTAAAAGGACGTAAATCAAATCCACTATCAATAATGAGGCCTATCCATATTCTGAAGTTGGCCCTTAGTATTGTCTCTCTTAGATCTATGAATTATTACAACATCAGTTTTTTCGGGGTGTTTTTCCGTATAGAGCTGGTACAGCCACCAGAGCATGTCTAGAAGTCCCCGAAGGCATCGTCATCTGCTTCATCGTCATCAGAATCATCCGATCGGTCTTCGTCATATCGAAATATATCATCTATTAATGGCTTCTGGTGATCAAAGGCAGACTTTCTCGTATCCATTAATCCGTCACTGGCTGCGACTGTATCACATCTGCAAGTTTCTATGTTCCGCACTGTTCCTACCGGGCATGGAGTATCAATGCATGCACATCTGCAATTTTTCTTATCCCATTTTCGAACCCGTGATTTGCAGACACGTCTGTCACTGCATATGCAATCACACTCAACATTGCTCCACTAAAATCACCAAAAGAAAGAAAGTTCATTCATTTAATAAATAAAGGTAACCCAGTGCCAGTTACCCAGTTACCATTCACCGCTAAATAAAATTTTTGGTGCAACGTTGAAGATCTGGTTCATGTCTACAAGCAATAGAAAGCTCGCACTTTAAGGGAGTATCTGATTGGGAGTTTGAGTCTATACCCCAAATTCTGTAAAAGTTGGCTGGTAAAATCGCCTGGCGGTAGGTAAAATAGCACCAAAGCTGCCTTCAATAATCTCTTAGTCTGTGATTCTTACTTCTCAAAATGGCGTTGAAAAAACGTTTAGTTTTCCGATCGACACTCTTCAGAGTACAAAACGTCAGAACATAGGTCGAGCACTCTAAGCTTTGAAACATATACACCCCGTTATGATTCGAAATAGGCCAATCAAAAACAAGCGCACATGACTGTAAAGGTTGTCAAATCAGTGTCGCTTGCCTATTGAAAATATTACCAATGAAGTTCAGGGGTGGAAACGAACTTATTCTGTCTACACAAAAGAGGTTTTTCATTTCTATATAGATAATTCTAAAACTGTCTAGATGGAAAGTAACCTCTAATTATAATCTGAAACCTTTCGCCATAATAGTTTTTGGCACAATCTTGGTATTTATACTCGATCCAAAACTTGGTACATATTTCAATGTTTATACCTATATTCTGAGGTTTTAAACTCTAAAACAGTGTCAAACGAAAAGCTTTAGAATGCTTCAAAATGTTTCATACTCTAGAGTTTTCGGCCTATATTTTAAGGTTTTGTACTCTTAAAAGAACTTTAGAATGTTTCAAAATGCTTGCTTTTTTCGAAGCCATTTTTATTTTTGTACCTCCAAAAAACTCTTACTTTTTATGACTCTCCAGCTCCCCCACTGCAACCACCACCACCCCACCCCACCCCACTCAATCTGCCAACTTAACATGCTGACTTTAACTAATACGAGGAAACTTACATTTAGGTACTGAGATAGCAGGGAAATCAATTGACAGCCAAAATAGAGAGACTTGCCTGTTTCCCAGAAGGGCATGTCTGGGCATTTCTGTTGCATTCACATTGACAGTGTACACTTGAATAAGTCTGCATCGGATAGCAGTCAGTTGGTTTCACTATGCAGTCACACTTGCATGTCTTGTGCTCGACAAAAACTTTCGAAACAAGGCGATAACTGTAGTCAGCTGTAAAAAGGACAGGCTGTTGATGAGTGTCCTTAGTTTTCTAATCGCAAACACAGATGTAATGGAGCATAAAGAACCCACAAAATAAGAAGAGTATCAGTTTGAAGAGATGGTTATTCACTAAAAATGCACTGATTCATGAAGGGAAAGTCGGATCATTTTCTTCCAATCCAGCAAAGGAAAAATAGCTGCAGGCAAGGAAAAATACGCGGAGGGTTGGGACTCCAGGGAAGGACCATTCGCTTCAAGTACCTTTCTCTTTTGACGTCACCAAACACTTTAATGACTGAATATGTGCAAAATACAATAAAATTTCTTGATATCGTCTGAAATCATGTTTATGCCAGGAAACATTGCCAGAGATTTATAGGTAGAAATTATCAAGACATTATCTTAAGAACAAATAGCAAGACATAATCTTATGAACAAATATACAACAAATAAGAACCTACCATGAGACATCTCCAGAACTGAGACTGATTTATTAGCGATGGTATCAGCCACGCAATGGCGCGACACAGAACAGCATCCACCACACCGCTTTACGGTGACGCAAGCAGGAATATGGGTTTTGCCAATCTCTGAAATTGAACGCACGGTGTCGCGGGGCTTGCAAGACATGTCCGTTGAATCTGAAACTGTAAGAAAAGTTGTTGACAGATAATGACGAACAACATGTTTATGGATTTTCTTTCAAAGAAAGTTGGTTTCCATATCGTAATCACATATGGACAAAAACTCTTGAAGTCAAATAAGAAAAGAATGCGAATGCTGCTAAAATAACTTTATTGTTTATAAAAATAAAGGGTTCTTCGTAAATAAACTAAAAGTGGAAGAAATCTTAATATTGCAAGATGCTGAGGGTTGCTGTTTCTTAATACAATCGGTACTGCAGAGTGAAGTCAAAAATATCAAGTTTTTATGAGTGCCAAGACTTATGATCAAAGCAATGGCAAATAGATAGCTGTCTCGACCCGGGGAGATTACTTAAATATTACGGGGATGTGCCTGCATGAAAAAACGTTATGATCCTGCCCTGGAATAAAATTCTGAAAACGTGACATCTGCCTTTAAATAAGATCCCGGAAACTGATGGCTCGCCTTAACATAATTTTGCTGATAAAAAATTTTTGAATTAATATGGGAAGTGAACCTTTCTTGAATTTGAGCATTAAGAGAGTAACTGTATGAATTGAATATTTTCATTTTCATGAAATATCTGACATGTCCCGGAAAAAGTTTTTTCAATGGGCAAACCTTTTCCGGTTAAAAGAGACAAAAGGTCCTGTCCAGGAATTTTCAGTCGAAAATGAGACCCTGTTGGCAGGCACATCTCCGGTTAATGTGTAGGAAGGAAGAACCGCAGGATAAGCTGTCCGTCGGATTTTGTGAATCTTGCAATGCTTCAGTATTAATACGAAAGATATTCAGGAAAAACACAATACGACGACGAGAACCCAATGTAATGAGATAAATTTTCAAAATAAATTAAATAAAAGAATACTAATATTTCGCCCCGGTATACAGGGCTTCATCAGAATAAATGAAACGAACGAGTAAATGACTTTGAAATGTGAGATGATGATGCCAGATTGATTGTGGATGCAGCGCGGAGGAGAAAAAACGAGTGAAGGAAGTCCAGTTGTCCGTGTATTAAACAAACCCGCCGGGATCCCAACCGACCAGAATATTAGAAACTCGCTGGCTATCTCAAATAACAAAGGGCAATGTATTTTTTTGAGGAATACTCACATTGAAATGAATCGGCAAGTCTTTGGTCACCTTCATAAACAACAAGAACTTCCTTTTTCTCGATGCTACTACTTGAAGTCTCTCCGGAGGAAGAAGGGCCTGGCCGTCCTGCTACACCGGTAGAAACGCCTGTTGAATGAAGGAACTGTGATTTTAGACGCCGTTTACACGAGAATTGTTCTGATCCTGATCGGATCCAAAAGAGAGGAAGGGTAAGCTCTGCATTTACACGGGGTCTGGTAGATCCGTATACTTTTGGATCAGCCCTCCGAACACTTTTGGGATCGCCCCCAGAGGTAATAGCGAATGGAACCGATCTGGACCGGATCCCGTGTAAACGATTGGATCTGGTCTAGATCGCATCCGTTTCGCGTCTGAAAACCAAACACGAAATTGACTCACTACTGTGTTGAAAAATCAGTACGATAAAATGTTTTTATAGGCATAGAAGGTAAAAACTAAAAAACCAATATGTGAATAAAAGTATAAAATCCAAAATAGAAAAATGAGAATAAAGGAGATAAGGAGTAGTCACTACCACCTGGTTACAGCCTCAAACTCAGATGGGGGGTGGTTGTGTGTGCCCTTGTATGTTTTAAGCAATTAGCTTGTAAGTGGGCAGAAAATGATAAGAAAGCAACTCATCAGCCAGAAACCCACGAGGGACATTTCGGGGCTTTAATTCGGTATGTCCATTTCTCGTAGCCCTTTATTCCCATAGCCACGCCGTACCATGTTTATCCTCTTCACCCACTCAATTTAAATGCCACCATACACTCTACAGTCCTACTTTAGTAAGCACTCTGTGTTGATTGCTACTTTTTGTTGATCGTTATAATATATATATTTTTTATTTGTATTTCCTGACCTTTGCAACCGTGATCCAGGACGCAGGATTGCGAGGGGCGCCTACGAGAAATGGACATACTGAATAAAAGCCCCGAAATGTCCCTCATGGGTTTCTGGCTGATGCGTTGCTTTTTTATCATTTTCTGCCCACTTACAAGCTAGTTGCTTAAAACATACAAGGGCACACACAACCACCCCCCATCTGAGTTTGAGGCTGTAACCAGGTACTCCTTATCTCCTTTTTTCTCATTTTTCTATTTTGGATTTTATACTTTTATTCACATATTGGTTTTTTAGTTTTTACCTTCTATGCCTACAAAAACATACCTGAAGTCTTTCCGGAGGAAGAAGGGCCTGGCCGTCCTGCTACACCGGTAGAAACGCCTGTTGAATAAAGGAACTGTGATTTTAGTCGCCGTTTACACGAGAGTTGTTCTGATCCTGATCGGATCCAAAAGAGAGGAAGGGTAAGCTCTGCATTTACACGGGGGCTGGTAGGTCCGTATACTTTTGGATCAGCCCTCCGAACACTTTTGGGATCGCCCCCAGAGGTAATACCGTATGGATCCGATCTGGACCGGATCCCGTGTAAACGATTGGATCTGGTCTAGATCGCATCCGTTTCGCGTCAGAAAACCAAACACAAAATTGACTCACTACTGTGTTGAAAAATCAGTACGATAAAATGAATCCAGAAGTCTTGAAAATATTTTTATAGCATAACTTTTATTCTCATTTTTGCTGTGAGTCTGTTATTTGTGGACAGCTCTTTCAGGTTGAATTGTGAATGGCTTTACGTCCCTCATGTTCAGAGAATTAGTAAATTTCGCCTGAGGCCTTTTCTAAACAAAGAATATACTGAATATAGCCTCTCTCTGGATTTCAGTGTAGAAGAGGCTTCCGTAAAAACATCACTCAAAATTTGTTGTAGTGTACTTATCGTAATCTGCAGTTCGAAAATAAGACAAGTAAAAAAGATAATATAGCAGAGCATGATATAAGATAGAAAACATACCTTTAAGGTTATAGGATTTGTCTTTTGTTCCCTTCTTCACGTTAATATACTCCTTCCTTAGTGAAAATCCTTTCGGATTAAACACTTTGACAAAGTCGGCAATACTGCTGACGCGGTTTAACTTTTCAAGCACTTTCGGATCAATCTATCAATAGATAAACAATATAATTTAGTCTTATAACTATGCATATTACTGGAATATACAGTGCTCTCAGACGACAAGACTTACTTGAAGGCTGTTTTAAGTGGCCGCACCTGTCATTTTTGAGGCGGGAGGAAAACAGGAAATTTTGAAAGAGGGGCAATATTGGCAGTTTTTGAAACAACACCCCTTTAAAAACATCTTTAGATGGATTTCCTTCTGAAAACGCTGTATCATCAACCAGGGCCATCGCTAAACAATTTCACTTAGGGTGGGTGCGAGTCACCAAGTTGCCGACAAAGTAGGGCGTGGCTTAAAATATACCAATTTTTGGGTGTGGTATTTTGATGCTTTTGAATTTATTAATGAAAGACCATGTTGTCAGAGGCAGGCCGCCGAGAGGATTAGGAAAATCGAATACTTGGGGGGCGGGACCGAAAGACGAGGCACCTTGAGAGCGGAAATTTCTTTGTGACCACGCCCTTTAGATTGTCTTAAAATGAATTTCAGAATATTTCTTGCAGTCACTTCTTGCAGTCACTTCTGGCACCCCCCGCATCCCCCGCTAGCGACGGTCCTGCATCAACCATTGCAAACTAGACTAGGTCCATAACTACCATGGGGTCGCCGGGGGGTGCGACAGCCCCTTGGCCAAATCTCAGACGGCAAATCAAGAAAGGTTACATACAGTAAGTAAATTGAGAAGAAAACCTAAAGCCAAAATATGGGCAGATATGCTAAAGTACGTCAAAATCGCTAACATTGGTGTTAGAAATTGCCAAGGGCAACGGAAAGGGACACAAATTGGTTTCTCGGGTATCATGTTAGAGACACGGAGGGGGCTGAGGGGGCTCGAATTGCTCAGCCCCCTTGTTAAAACTAAGATATATTTTTCGGGGGGCTCCCCTCAACTAGCCAGTATATGTTTGGTTTGGTAAATTTCATACATCAAAATGTAAATTAACTGACTGATTTAACCACCACTGAAAACATATATTACAGCAACACAACCCCATAGATACATATCAAATAATTTTTGGAATGACTAGTTGTTCGATGTCGACAGTCGAACGTAGGACATATAATTTTCTATGAACGAGATGCCAATACATACACGAGCGAGGGCTAGAATTTCTATGCACTCCAAAATCAGCACTCTACCCGAAATACAAGGTCTGTTAAGATCAGAATGAGAATGCGATTTTTAACAAAATTGATATCAATTTTCCCATGATCTATATATCAGTTCAACTTAAAGTGTATGTTTCACTCTTTTCAAGACCTCGAATCTGCATCTAGCTGGGTATCCTAAAATTATGAAAGAAGCTTCATTTTTAATGATTATTTTTGCAGAAAGATACGAACAGTGTCACTTTAAGAGTAAATACAAGAATTTTTGTAAATAAAATGACCCTTTGTTGTTTCCGAGAAATTGGTCTCTGGCCGGACGCTTAAAAAAATATACCAGAATCAAAAGAAAGGATCAGCGGATAAACTGCAAATAAAGTTGCAAGTTAGTGAATGTTTCTATTGCTTTTATAAGAGTCAATATTTATTTCTCTACAGGCGAGGCCCTCGTTGTTATCCTTTGGGCTCAGACCCATAAGTATCCAAGCTTTTCAGTGTCTATTGTTCAAAACAATGAAGTGAAGCGATACATTGTGCCCTTTATCGAGGCAATTCACTCTTGTAAACAGATTTCAGATAAAACAATAGGATTTCCACCTAACGTTTACGAGATTTCCATAAAGGGATTTGTCACTTCATCCTTTCGAAATTGATGTTCCAAAATGAATTCAACTTGCGGCCTCGATTTGGAAAATACTTTGTACGATTCTTTTGAGCTCAGATCCGGTTTATGTTTTTCGGCAAGATAAATATTTTCACATTATTTAGATTTTACGGAGAAATGAAGTTTGAAAACAAAAGGCTGAAAGATCTGACCACAAAAATCGTTCCGATGAAACTTTACCCCCTTAATCGCCAATCACGGTCAAATCCCTAGGTTTGTCTTTACGTCGTCGGCAATATCGTAAGCAATAACATAATTTCTTGCTCTTAATCTAAATCTTGCTCTTAATCCAAAAATGAGGCTGCGAGTTAAAGAACAACTGAAGAAGTATGCAAAAAATGTTCTGATATAAGTAAAATATGAAAAGCTGTTCTGAACGTGGGCAGTGAGAACTTACAGATGAGTCGTTCACAAATAATGAGTGCTGGCCAGGCACCGCACAGCTATTGGGCTAGCAGGGGCTATACCCCCCCCCCCACTTTTTCTGCAATGATAGGCCAGAAAATGTTTTGGAAGGTTTACTCTAACGCGACTTTGGATAGTTAAATCCTATTATGTAGTAGCAGTTCTTCTTGACTGGAAACCTTTTTTGTTCATTTTCTAGGTGTTCTATCTTGTTTAATGATATTATGTATTTTCTAACTTGGTTAGCTTGGTGTTTTATTATTTTCAAGCTAATTTCATTTATTTTTATAGTTATTGTATCTTCTTTGAACCAGACTGTTTATAGAAATTGAGTAGAAATAAGCAAGTGTTTTTGAGGAAGGGCGTTTTCCGGCGCTCTAGAGGGCGTGGCCTTAACAAATTTTCGGGCACACCCATTTTAGCCCCTCCACTTTTAGACTTGCGCGCGGTTCCTAGTTCTGGCCAGTATACACTCATTTTTGTATAAGAAACTGGCTTTAAAAAACGAGTACTGGACTGGGAAAAATTAGGAAACTTCAGTACTCGAAGCAAAAAATCAAGAAACTATTAAATCGTGATAAAACTTAGAACAACGAAATTTTGTAAAATTCAAACACATGATTGCTCTGCTGGCCTAGAACTTAAGACACAAGGGATATAAATATACTTCCCACATCTAAATACAGCATCAAAACGGAAGCGAATCTCTTGACGTGATAAAAAAGGTCACGAACATTTCATAACATCATTCATGAGATCACAATCAAGGAACTCTTAAGAAACAATGAGTATTGAAATTCCCAGAACATTAAGAAACTGGAGTACTCAACATCGACCTTTGTTTCTTATAAAAAAAGTGAGTGTACAGCTTTTCGCATCTTCTAATTTTGTAGGGGGTGGGGGGGGTGGGGTTTGCTACCCTTGAAAGTTTCGTGAAAATCGTACAAATAAGCACAGAATAGAAAGTTCCACTCTGTGATAAGAGGTTACAAACTGTACTAAATGCGGATCAGGAAAAAAAAGACGTTGAAGTGAAGTTGATTCATTGATGACCTTGCAACATGTAGAAGACGGAAGATATTGTGACGCAAAAACATTCCGGTTGTTTGAGAAAGACGTCAGTTGAATTTATTTAGGGACTTATAAACAACGGAAACCTGCTTGCAATAACCATGTGAATCGGATTCAAAGTTGTGGATGGGAAATTGAATACAAATACGTATTTGATGTGTCATTTGTTGGCCGGCAGTTCACTGATGCTATATGATCCTTGCTTACACTATGAGAAACTGTTTTGGTGTACATGAATGTTGCTTTCTAAACAAAAGCCATTATTTTTATGTATCAATGAAGTTTATCCTGTTTTCAAGATGACGCAGCCTTAAAGACCAAAACAAGCTCTATCGCGAGTTGGATTTTTTCGCGCTGATACTAATCAAAATCGGCCTTGCTTCGAAACGTTCTGATTTCAAGTACTCACTCACCTTACCAATTTTAAAAATTTCTATAAAAGGTATTTACAATTAGTCATTTACTATGGGCGAGAATCATGAAATAAAGTCATTGAATGGCCAAAGACATGTCTAACAAACAATACAAGGGGATCTAACAGACCATCCTCCAAAAATTGGAATAATCCTTTTCTTTCCAATTAATAATCTCTTTTGTTTTCAAACCACGGTGCCCCTTCCAAAATTCTATGCTCCTTTCGGGACATATATTGCTTCTGGCATGCCAGGGCATTATGTTTCATAGTGTTTGAATATTCACCGAAAAAGCACCCACACACATCGCTAAAAATCTTCGATTTTGAGAATAAACGTTGTTCACAATTGCATTTAGCAGAAGCTCAGCCTTAGCCTGTTCTTAATTTGTTCTTAACTTTGACCAATTTTTAGGCTCGTGTTCTTATAACATTGTTCTTATAAAAAAAGAGTTTATACATATATACTTATAGATAATTTTTAGTCATAATAAAAACTGATCGATGGAATGATAACCAGTCATAAAAATGCCTCAAAGAAAACAGTTTTTTAACTTTCTATGGAGGTAATTTTGTGTTTTCGTATCTTGAATAATAATATTAAATATTAAACAAACAGTTTCTACATCCGAAATATTTGCTTTACAGAGAATTTCAAGAAATAACTTACATAATAATCACTTTTCTTTTGAGGCTTTTTGCTTTGTTTCTTCGCTACTTCTTCGGGCAGCGCACCAGATACACCGGGTACTTTCGTCAATCTTTTACTTGCGATGTCAACCTTCAATTTTCCATACCCACCTTTTACTTTTGGTTGTTTTCTTGTTGCAATCTTGCGGAGCCGCATAGGCCCAACTGGTCTTAGCCTGCTCCATTTATTTCTTTGAATCTCTTTGGATCTGTGTAACTTAGTATCTACCAACGACAAAACCAGAAGGAGGGCAAGTGAAATTAGAACCAACGTCTTCATTTTAAATCGGTAAGAAAACCCCAATCGGTTTTTACTGAAACATACAGCTTGTAAGTGCCTAAAATGAGACTTCAAGTGAGCATCGTACATTTCACAGTTTCGGGAAATCGATACGTCAATGCACCCCGTGATTGTATTGTTTTTGTTCTTTATGACCATTGTCTTTTTGTCGTATACAAAACAGCTTTCAACAATTTGCCCGCAGGTCGATAGATTATGACGTTTGGCCATTGGCGGCAGTCTGTAAAATACGGATTGTGGAATACCCGACGGGAATCAGACCTAATGCGGGGCATTTGAATTTTCTATTCAATTATGAGTATGCCACTAACATTCTTGCAAAAAAAACAGAATCGGTCAATCCTGTTGCATTGAATCAGCATTTAGACAAGATTTATGCGAAATTTATGTGAAAATGATAGAGGTTCGGTTTGCCACTCCTCGTCCGCAAAATTGCTTTACACAAGTTCCACACCCTCAAAGGAAAAAAATCATGAGCCAAGTTTGGAGGACATTGAATTTGTAGCACCTGTTTGTATGTCCTCCTTCGTCATGATGTTATTTGAAATGAGTGTCTCAGATTAATAAATGTATAAGTATCTTGTTGTTTGCTGTTCAAAATAGCCATTCATGCTTATTGACGTACTTTGGGAAAACTCGGTGTTGTAATCTCTGGCTGTTGCTTTGACGTAGTGGGACGCAATCACGAGACATTTGAATTGTTCCCCACAGAAAAATCTAGTTCGAATCTATGTTGTCAGTGGTCATGCTGCCTCGGTGTTGTGCAATATAAACTACATACAGAAACATAGAGGCGTGACGAAAAGGAACGGGAGTTTTTCTATTGCTAATGAAAGGTGAACTTATATCCCAAGAAAACTGAATGTACATAAGGTAATAATGGCAGATGTATCTCATGTTTTTGAGTGATGTGAAGTAGTAGAAAAGGGATCTGAGATGGTCAAAAAACATATTATATATGTATGGGAACGGGAAAGAGCGGTGTCATTCTGCAATGGCCAATAAAAACCTGCTTTTTAACGGTTGTTTCTAGTTAGTTAAATGTTGGTTATGTGGTTATGTCAATCGAGTCCTCAATATAGTTATTTTATGGTCCACGAAACGAAATACCGTAAATCTTCGAATGAGCCCCCATGTAAACATTTCCAAGCGCAAATAAGCTCCCAAAAAAATTTGCAATTATCTTACAGTTCATAATAAAATCCATAACTTAAAAACTGGTTCTTATCGTCAAAGTTACAAACAAGCCCCTAACCGAGCTAGCCCCCCCCTTCTCAAATAAGCCCCCACGTAAAAATTACTGACATCAATACACTGCTTAGTTTTGCAAGGGCAAGAAGTGAGTGGGCAGCCCTCACCTTCGATGTCACTGCATATTTTGTCCACAATTGTTTCTTAATGATTGATAAGTATAATTTCATTCGCAATAGCTCGTCCCATCTGATGTTGGGAGCAGATCTGAACTTTGGGATTGATTTGAGGTATCAACAGCAAAACAACAACCGCATCGAGAGTAAAATAACCCAGTAAAAAGGTTCTATTTATTTCCAGCAAAAGCAAAATTCAACTTCTAGCTTAATGTATGATTCAACACTTGTCGCAGAAATTCAATTTTGGATTAAAAATGGTTAACAGGTAAACTTAATTAAAAGGGGGTACAATAGAATGATATAAGGTATTCTTGGGAATTGGTAAACAGATTGTAAATAAATTTTTACAAAGTTGCCTTTTCGACAAATTATGAATTAAAAATGCCTCAGCAAAACTTTTATCTTGATATACTGGATGCAAAGAAAGTTCTCTGCCCACTCTTTTTAGTCGGTTTTAGCCTCCCACTTCTTTTAGACCCCACACTTTTCTCAACGCTCCGCGGTGCCTGGAGGGGACCTCACCAAGGGTTTAAAAAAGGGAACCTCACAAAGGGTTTAAAGGAAGAGCCTCTTCAAGGGTTTAAAGGAGGGGTCTCTTCAAGACTTTAAAGGAGTGGTCTCATCAAGGGTTTAAAGGGGGGAGTTCCATCAAGGGTCTAAGGGAGGAGTCTCCTCAAGACTCTAAAGGAGAGAACCTAATTAAGGGGTTGTCTTCCGAGGGTGAATCCTCATTGGCGATAACGAGAGGATTTCAGTTATAAACAAGTGACAATTGGAATACTGTCTTGTTGAATAGCTTTGATTTAATCAAATTTCGAGTCAATTGATTCTTGAGCGTTTTCGTTTTACATTTGAAAATATCTACTTCCTCTAATGGCTTGAAAAAAATTACATACTTTGCTACATACTACAACGATAACTCTCGTTTCCAGCGAGTTGTACAAATAACAATCCCGAATTCACTAGCCCTACCATTACCTTGGTGCGTTAATGAAAAAAATCTAAATTTCCAAACTTACAATAACCGCGAAGCTTTTCTCTTTTTCATTCAGTTTAAAAATGAAATGATAGCAATTAATGTAAATCTGAATAGATGTCCCAGAATTTTTAATTTGTAAGTACATTTTTCGTTTCAATTTTCGTTTTACAGTTCTACTTCAGTAACAAATATAAAATGCTACGTACAATAAAATACACAAACATGTCAAGTGACTAGGAGATACAGGGACGACAAAGATATTTTCACCACGACGCCGAATCGTTCTGTGAATAGATAGGTGAAAGGTTCCAAGGTAATATGCGATGCAGGGAATATGCCAGAATGATAATATATAAGCTTATATACGCAATAAATATGCCTAGAAAGCAAAATGTATTCAAAAAGATAAATTTGACATGCTGTGATTGTCAGATTGTACACTGTAAAAACAAGCTTGTAAACTAAAATGAGAATTAGAAGCTCGTTGTTCTCACTCAAGCAGAACTGCCAGTGGGAAAATAAAGACTAAATGTGATCCGCTTTTGTATGCGTACTCAAGTTTTACATCAGCCTACCCATAGCTACAGGCATTTACCCAAATAAATCATTTTGCCAATAATAAAGTTCTTAAAAATGGCACATCACAACTACCCAGGTAATAATATCTTCTCGAAGTTCTTTCACAAATACATTTATCTAGCACATATAATATGAATCCGAAAATACACTATTAGTTATACTCCTAAATTTCATTGAAATCATAAAAAGGTTGCAATATGTTACATTACATTTCAAAGTATAAAATAGTAACAAATAACTATTTACATCCGCATTTGTATAGTAATACCGAAAATAAAAGCTGAAATGCTAAAAGTACGTTTTCGTTTTAATACCAATTCGGGATTTAGATTCAAAAACAATTTCATAACTTTTCCTCATACCCTGTCTCCCTGAAAAAGAAAATTCTTATGAATGAACACATTTTGTAAAGATTCCTAAAGTGAGCATAAAATTTATACCCTGCATACTGTACCTGTGGACATTATTCGCCGTTTATACTTTGAGCAGTGTCGGACGAAAGCTACTTTAGTACGATAAGTTTTCGCTCTTCCGTGTTATTTTCGAACTTTGCGGTACCAAGGCTTAAAATATTGAACAATTTAGTCAGTACATGTTCAACAAGCCCTCCTTTCATAGTTCTTTTCTATAAGTTTCAACTGGAAAGACGAGGTTAGGAATTGAAACTGGGACAGATCTATGGCTGAAGATAATCTAGCTTGCCTATTAGGCTTGACTTTTCAATTTCACTTGACATCGAAATGTTCTACAGCAAGCTTACTTGACCAATAATATATCCGTGGCAACCAACAACCCGCACAAGAAGAGAAGGACAGGGATTTTCCGCGAGATAACAACATGGTGAAAAGATAATAAATAATATCCAAAGAGATACATAAAAAAGAACATTTCTAAAGGGAAACATAACGAGCACCGAAACAAGAAGAGAATTGTTCTCAACAAGACGACATTTGAGTGTTGAGACAAAGTATATCAAAGCGGTTGTTAATCCTTTTTTAATAATCACAAAGTAACAATATTCAATGATTATGTTCCAGACCGAGATGACCCCTTCGACCAATATGACCTGAGAGTCATATCGGTCCAGACCAATATGACACCAGGGTCATACCGGTCCAGGGAGGGTCATATTGGTCTGGGCAAAAAGAATGAATTTGAGGCTTTATAAGAATTGCAAACGCACCGAAGCGCTCTTTTAGTTTCTAGTAGGCCTATAGTTGGTGGTTTTAACTTTTCAAATCCAAATTCTACTAATCTTAATGTGTTAAAGCTTGTTTGACTTTCAAAATATATTTTGGACTTAGCCAAAAATTTGGCTTATTCTAGATTTATCTGGATAATTCTCCAAATTGGCCGAATATTTGAATTTTTTAAGCAGCTGTTTCGTTTGTTATTCCTCTGCTTTAATTGCCTCTAAGGGAGCACCTTTTTGTCGATCATTTCCTTTGAGACCTTTGCGTTTCCTTCGTAAGGTAAAACAAAGAAAGTTAGGTGTAAAAAAATATTCAATCCAATGGTGTTCTTTGTTGCAGTTTTAATCGCTTTTGATAGTGCCAAAAGATCAATTGAACATTTGTGCATATCGTCCAGATTTAGAAGGCCAAAGACATAAGATTTAAAAGGCCTTACAATTTTTTATAATAAAAATAAATTTTTAATAGGCATTATAGTTGCCATTTTGCATTCTATCTTTGCGCATTGTTGAGTTCCTCGTTCTATTCTTTAAATCTACTTGCTGAAAGTATGTATTTGTTTGTCGTCCGTGAAGCGGCTCTGCTGCCGTGGGCTCTTAATTTCAATGGAATTTGTTAAGCTTGTATGTATGTTTGTATGTATAAAATTATTTAACGTGAATAACAGGGCTAAGTTAAAAACTTGTTTACATGTTTTCGTCATGGCCTGCGCGCGCTGCAAAAATACATACAAGTTGTGTCAATCAACAATAAGCAGGAACCACGCCAAACGGCAAGGAGCAATCTAAAGGAAAATAATGTGATATGATAAGCTAAAAGTTTCAAAATATTGTCTAATTCGCCCGGAGAGGCCGGCAGAGTTTTCGCTTGCCATTTCTTAAAACAAATTGCAATCGAGGCTGGCAGCTCAGGGGTCATATTGGTCCAGTTGGGGTCATTTCTGTCTGGGTGTCATATTGGTCTGGATCGATATGACCCTGGAGTCATATTGGTCTAGAGAGTCATATTGGTCTGGAGCAATTACACAGGTAATCTTGCAGTCAGTCCACCAATGAGATGGTGGCTGGACGGCTAAAAGTCTTATCAGGGCCCAAAAGCCACAGACGCAACATTCTGCACTGAGATTTGACACTTGCGAAGCGTAGGAGAGAAATACCATGCTTAGGTTTGAAATTTTATTCATAAACATAGCATGCTTATTGTGTATGCAGAGAGCATAATCATTGATCAGACCTTCCCATGTCATTAAAGCAAGACTGCGATCACGTACTTGCCAAGAGAGTATATAGGCCTAAAATGACAGCTATCAAGCAGACAAATTATAAAAAGATGCAAATGTAGACAACATATATGCAGGCAAAATATAAACAGCTATGGCCAGCTAAGTTTCAAGGCAGAAGAAGGATGAATGGGGAATTTTTGCAAAGAGTAAAAAAATCTTGTTTGCTGACAAACACTACGGAAGAAAGAAACGACTAGTGCCAAGATTGACGTGAATGAAGGTTTTGCCTTTCCAAGCATAGCGAAAGACAATGCCTGCGAGTCCACTGATAACAAGAGACAAAGTGACAGGAGAAGGTGTGGAAGTAAAGGAACCTCTCAAACCATTTAGATCTTGGCTAACAGAGGCTGGGCAATGAAATAAAGTAATCTTCGGTTTGGCTTGGTTTCAAATTTCTATCTTCCCGAGTAACCTACGATCGTCCAAGGAGAGATCTTTAACCTTTTAAATCTTGAAAAACTAGGACAAGATACAGATGTTTCATTAGAAGATAAACAGCTACAGAAGCAGGATCTAACAGACACTTTATCTGTGCCGTATAATGGAAAAGGAGCATTATCTATGGATATCAGTTTTCTGGTTATGAAAAATCTTTACATATCTAACCAGAAAATATGTATTACGATAAAAGGGGTCATACCTTTGGACAGGTTCCTAAGAGACATTTTGAATGCCTCTGCAATAATAGATGAGACGAGCACGTCTGTAGATCAGCAATTGCCGATTTCGCCTTGCCGCAAAGTTCTATTTTGTTCTTTAGAACAGCTTTTTCGCCAACAAGGTAGGTCCTCGTATCGAAGACTCGTAGAAGGGTCTTCTCTAGCTGATTTCTGAGGTCTTTACTGAGATCCAGGCCTGCAAGGCGCAGCATATCTGGGACATTCTCGGATTTATTAAAATGAGCCATGAAATAATGACTTAGATCATCGCCGTGCTCAACGACTTTGTTTTGAACGGCGTTTCGAGTGCAGATATACGATGAATTGCATGCGACGTTATCCATGACTGTTTGAAAAAAGAATTCGTGCAAAAATTAACTTACTACAAAATTAATTAACATAATTAACATGAAAACCTAAAATAAAATCAGTACGATGCGATGCTCGCCACTGAAAAATCCCTCCTTACAATTTTTCCGACAAGACAAGCCTTTGCTTTTTCTGGCGTAAACTGAACAGTTTAACGACTGTGTTAATTGTAGATATCTTGTGAAGGAACTTTTGATTTTGGAGCAAAGTATAACATCATCACAAACAGCTTCATGATTTCTCCAAATTGGTAAAAACTGTTAAGATAGGCCCAAAAGAAGAAAAAATCAGTTTTAAAAGCCTGTCTTCTCTGCTAAAAGCTAAAAGATCTTGCTGGCAGAGCTCCTGGCTTGGCAATGTTTTACAAAGGAACAAAAATCTCTACACCTCTGGGCATTTAGTCAATAAATCGATTGGATTCTCAACTTTTCAGGTCAAAATCAGCACATTAGCTGTTGGCAAAACGTAATTTACTCTTTCAAATGATAAAAAACAGAGCCTAGGGGAAAGCGTATCTCCGAGACACTCCTAGCGGCACATGTATATTCAAGATATAGCATTACCAAGCCTTTGTAGCGGTTGGCAAATAGAATCTTTTTGGGTCAGTCTCTAGAATAATGAAATCATTTTCAATACATGAGAAACCCTTAATCAAAACCAATATAAAATCGTTTCTTAAACAGTAAAACATATAAAAGTCAACGTACCATCTGTGCATAAAACAAAAACGATATCAGCCTTGCTGAGCATTTCGTTCAAAAAGACTCCACGGCCATATTTGAAAACACTCTCCTCTTCAGTTAACTCAGACACTGCATTAATTCCATTCAGTCTAAAGAATCGGATTAAATGAAGGACAAACTCTTCCAATACCACACACCCAGCGCAATGCACAATAAACATCATTGGCTCTACGGATACGATGGAAGACTTCAAAGTATGGTCTATCCTGTTCTGACAGAAAATTGCATTAAAAACGTTATTTCCTGCAGTATTACCTACACAATTCAAATTGTTCTGTAGCTACTAAATCTATTAATGCATTTCACATTGGAAAGTATGCATATCGAACTTCAAACGGGATAGGTCGTGATTCTAGGTATAATGGATGATTCTGCAGTGATTAACCGAACTCTTAGATTAAATTATCGTACTGTTAATTTAATCCCCGAACAAAATTTTTACATGACAGTTTATCCCCGGCTAAAGTACAGGTTTGCTGTTTTAGAAAAGTACGGGGAATAAGGAAATTCTTTTGCTGAGATACCTTTTCTTTTGGTCCCGTCATCGTCACGACTTTGAATGAGTGCCGTTGAGAGTGATTTTAGGCCGAGTCCTTCGCTCTCTCTCTCAGCTTTTCGTCTTTTAATGAAACAGACAACAGTGTAAATGCAGGCGATGCAGAAGAAAAGCGCCAGTGCAGCGACAGTTCCAACCAACAAAGAATGCTGACGTCTTGTTTCTAATCGAAAGAAAAATATATTAAGGCAGGAAGATGCGGGAAGATGTACAGACTTAGATATGACTTGCAGAGCAATAGATAGCATTAGGTTAATTGAAAGAACAATGCATTGAACCCGTCACTGCAACTAAGAAAACACACCAAAACCTTTCTGAATCAGCTATAACAGCGATCTCTATCACAAGTACCTTTATAGAAGACATACACCAACCAATGTGCCGAACAATCAGATAATGATTTGTCAATTGTCCATTAACCTTCAGCAGAGAATATACCAAAAATATACCGGTTAGTTCATAAATTAATGCAATACACAATGCAAGTGTATGTGCACAATGTAAGTGCATACTACAACGCAGATGATTCTGATGGAGGCAATCGATGCTGGAAAACCTATATTCCCCCTAACCTTGGTCGGATGAGACCCTAATTTGTTCCTTCTATTTAAGTTTCCTCAAAATTTCTCAGCCAACAGCAAGAAATCCAGATTTTCAGATAGCTTACAATAAAAAAATAAACTGTCGCATGATTCACCTAGCTAGACACATTATTGCCAGGCTTTTATCAAACTTGGGACATGCTATGCTCCTAAAACCTGTGTTATCTAACTCTCTGGATGAGGTCACCGGTTGCTGGGTGGCAGGGTTTATTTTAACGTTCAGTGATAACCAATTCGTGCAATGATAAATTGTTATTGTGCAGTGATAAACTCAAATTTTGTGCAATGATAAAACCAAAATAAAGAGATTTGGCATTGAAAAAGCAAAATTGAAGCAAAACTGCCAGTAGACACATAAAGCTAATCAAAGAGCATTACAATATTAAAAACGAGAACATAACAGTAACAGTGATCATGATCTAATAAATCTCTTTGAAAATTGTTCAGTATCTAAAACCTTTCAAGTTTTTTCATAATCCAGTTAGTTTGATGGGTGTGGCATGAAAATTTTCTAAAGGTGACACCCAAATTTTCAAAAATACTTAACATTGCAGTGATAAAAATTTCTTAAAAAAAACTCTACTGGGAAGATTAAGATAACAATTTGACGTAACTTAGATTAATATTAATCTGCGGTTTCTGCCGTTCTAAAGGCTTAAAAAGGACTATACAAGTGAAGAAAGTAGTGCCGTAGAGAGCAAATGGGTTTGTTTGACTTACTCGGACATTTGATGAAAAGTGGGGGGTGTTTTGATTCGCAGTTCAAAAGTTTCTTCTCACCAGCAGGGCACATCAAAATCTGAGATAAAAATAGTGTGTATTCTGTAAAAAGGTCCAAAATATAGATTCCATATAAGCTAGCATTTCACAAGGATAAAAGTCGACAGAGAACCCGTGGTGAAGGAAACCTCAATGCAAAATAAATATCCTTCAAATATAATTGTTCCTGCTGACTTGTGAGATATACAAAAATTAGTGAAATAAAAGGTACTCAAAGCAAACTACCCAATGCCATTAATCAATAAACTATAAATGTTATTTGTTCACCTATGTAAATGTTATAATAAGTGATCATTTTGAGTACTTTTACACGGACACGTGAAAGCAATGTATAACTTTATCTTTAGAGTTCTCAGAATGCTTCTTTGATATAATGCAGCCACCAGAAACTGCAATTAATGACAAGTAAGTTGTGTTAACCTAAAAATTATCTTTTGTATGTACAATGATATCCTGACAAGATGTACCCCTGTCCCTTCTTGTAGCGAGCTTTCAAGCAAAACGATGTCAGCCTACATCTCTGGTTTATTATAGTTTATTATAGTTCAGCATTACAAGCTGTAGCTTTTCTTTTGAATGAAATCATAACAGCTGTGACTGGCGAAACACCAGTGCCTGTACCGGGTCCAACTTCACACCACTCTGTCACATCAACAGAATTTCCGTTGATGAAACATACCATTTCATCTTTTTCTAACATCAAAGTACAGAGCTTTGTTTTCATTTAGCTTTTCAATTAGATTTCTACTCTCTCTTAGACCTATTTATATTCTGCTAATTCCAAAAAGGGGTGACCAATCTACTCTATTGGGAATATTGTTAATAACTCAAATGGAAATTGTTATTCTGGTTGATTTATTGAGAAAAATGCGCGTGGGTACTACGACTAAGGCAAGACTACAACTCGATATATTTTGGCAAGAAGAGTCAATGTGGATAAGGAAGAAGGAGACATAGAGTACTAAATTAAATAGCTGCAAGAGTAGAGTTCAGAGGTGTGACATCATCAAAAAAATTAAAAATTTTTCAAATTTGTTACAAGGATTACTGTTATTCTGGTCTGGTTCGTTAAGTTATGAACCAAGACCAAAGGGTTTTACGGAGCAAGAGCCTGTGCTTATGTGGTCGTATCTCATCTAATTGGTAGCAACTTTAACTATTTTTGCATATTTAGAGGAATTTTACGATGCTCTTTCGGGTTATAGGATCAAAATTCAAGAAATCTAAAAAACAGACGTCATCACGTCGGCACTCTGTTAGTGTGATTTGTGACGTCATCACAAATCACACTAACGTAACGTCGGTACGTCTGGCAATTAATACTAAAAAATGGCAATGAAGGACAGTTTTTCGTTAATCTAAGCCTGGTATACTTGGACTTATTCATCCAAATCGTTCTATAGGAAACACCAAATTTGCTTACTTCAATACAGTACTGCATTCCCTCCTCAATACTTGTCGTCGTCGTGTTGCTGTAAATCTAGACAGGTTAATTTCAGAATTTGTTAACTTGTTTACGCCGTACTTTGCATAATCATGATAGTCAAAAATTAATTGCACGATGAAATCGATATCCAGAGAAACTCTACTCAATTATTTCAAAATAAAGAAAAATGCCGTTAATCGGAATTCGAAAAAGCAGAAATAAAAGCTTTGCAAATAAATAGAATGATTTTTATTGATACCGTGACATTTTTGATAAATTTTAGTAAAGAAGTTTTAAAACAAAGCAATTGTAACGATTAGCATTGCGAACGTTTTAGTTTTGTCAACTCTTGTTAATCAAAGCTCCCTAATAGCAAGCAGAAAACAACTTGAAATCTTTAAGCAAGCTCAAAAAGCCACTAGAAACAGCACAAAACAGAGATGAATATGTCTGGAAGTTAAGAACTTACTAGGTGAAGGCCCGAGATTCTTTGATACTCAGCATGTTTGCAACAGAGGCTGCCATGAATGCAGTTAACCTTGGTCTTCCTTATTACATATCCAATATGACCGTAGACGTCAGGGGGACTCCATGAAATCTCAGCCTTCTCTTCAAAGCATTTGCGCACAGATACATTTTTAAGTCGTCTCACTACAGAGAAAAAAAAACATTATATAAGTAAAACATAATAAAATACATCTAAATAAGTCTTGTTCATTATTTAAACATTGTATTTTCAATATTCTTTATACCTTAACTTCATGTTCGATAAATATTTTCCTAAAGAAACTTTAAAGGACAAATCGATGATAAATTACAAGGACGAAGTTTTACAAAAATTATAAATTGGTGAAATGATTATTTTGGATAGAGATTTTGCATAGCAATCTCAAAAACGTTTAAATCATCCACATAAAAATTAACGAAACATTTAGACTAGTAGCTTTTTCGCACCCAAGAACGCTTCGGTGCGAAATCGTCTCGTCATAGATGCGGAAAGCATTTCAAAAGCGGTCAAAATAGGGGCATCTCTGAAAGCTGCAAGTAGGTGCTTTACAATTGTTTCTGAAGAGTAGGGCGGGGGCACCTGCCCTCTGTGCCCCCCGGTTCCTACGTGTATACGCCTGGACCCTTAAAACTCCCCTGCAATAAGTTGAAATTTGAAATAACAAGATTGCAAGGAATCGCTTTCCTCGTGGTTGGTCGCAATTCTGCTTTCACGTTAGAAAATGTTGGTTTATAGAATCTTTAGACTTCATCTCAAAAGCGGCTCCCATCTTACTTTTCCTCTCCATATTCTCCTGCTCATCGTTCACGTCAACTAACCGAGTTAGCTTTGGTTACAAGTAGGTGCCAAATAGCAACGATGTTCATTTAAGGAATTCCACATCAGCTGATTGACAAATCTTGAATTTTTAACCGTTACTTTACACAGCATATAAGTAAGAAAACTAGGTTGAGAAAGAAGGCTAAAATACCATTATAAAGTCAAATATAGACTGAGCCTGGCAAAATATGATGGATACTCACAGCACTGGAATGGAGCCGGGATTTTGTAACGAGAATATGCTTCACAAATATCTACAACATAAAGCAAAAGAGAATGAAATGCTAAGAAATGCCCCCACTTTTCTAGAGCTCCGACTCTAAAATGTGCTCTGGCGTCCCTGTTAATGTAATCAACTGCGAAAATTGAAACTAAAGATTATTCACAGTCAGTTTGGATGTAGCCGAAAACGAATTTGGCAAACATTTTCAACGGTTTTAATGTTCCTCTGGCTTTCAGCATCAATGCCAGAATGAAGCACTTTGATAACAAAGTAATCACGATCAATATTGCGTGTCAAACACGTAATACAACTTGTACCTTTTGGATTGATAACCATTTTTATTCTGTTTTTCACGTTTAGTGGTGTGCATCCCAAGTGTATCCTGTATTGTTCTACCCTTTTCAACGTCTTAGGCAGCTTAATCGAATAAGTTGTGATTTTCTGAAATAAAGAGTCAAACAAAATCTCAGACACAAATAAACAGTATATCAGCGAAAAAATCACATGCAACTGAAGGTGCGCCGGTTTCTTTTACAGTGTTTATGCGATAATAGAAATGATAAGGTAAACAATGGAAATAATCATGGTGGTGGGCTAAGCAAAATAATACATATTGTTCTTAAAGTTACCAGGTTTCGTAGTTACTATCATTTTGTGGGATAGAGTCACCCCTAATAATCCCTATCCTTCCTACGACACAAGGCACCGCAAAGCCATTGGGCTAGCAGGAACTTTAGCCCCCCACGTTTTTGCAATAAAAGGTTAGAAAATGTTTTGGAAAGTTCATTCTAACGCAGTGTTGGAAAGTTTACCCTAACGGATCCTAAGTAGTAGCAGTTCTTGACTGGGAACTCTTATTTGTTCATTTTCTTTGTGTTTAATCTTTTTTGATATTTGTTTAACTTGGTTAGCTTGGTGTTTAATTATCTTCAAGCAAAATTAATATATTTTTATAGTAATTCTCTGAATCAGACTATTTATAAAAGCAAGTGGAATTGTATACAAGTATTTTCTAAAAGGGGTGTTTTCCGGTGTTCTAAAAGGCTTAGCCTCAAAAATTTTTTCGGGTACGCCCTTTTCAGCCCTCCAACTTTTAAACAGGTGCGTGTTGCCTGTATGACACTGAAGTTATACATAATATACCGAGAATGGGAACACTAGAATTCAACACAAAAACGAAGGAGTATTTGTTCAGTATTTCTATAATAATCTGCATTGACGAAACCCTCTCCATGGCAGAAAGTTATAGCACACATTACTTATTATTCGATATGTGGGTGCATTATCTTTTAATCCATACAGACTATCAAACTGCGAGCTTTTTATGTGGAATCAATGTTACTTAGATAAGCAGTAATAAAATCAAGAAGCTACATCAATGTAAAAATAGTAATGATTCAAAATAAACAATTACATTAAAAGCCAAAAATTTCGGACGTGAACATTTCTTATCATTCATCATAACTAACCACTCGGATAGTTGGAACTTCAAAAAATTCTTTAGCGTCCGAAATATTTACGTGGTGCAAAATTTTACTGTCCGAAACTTTAGCACTATAGGGAAACCACATCAAAGTTTTTCACTATTTGAAAATGGAAAGTCTTACTCACAAACAGCATATAAAGACAACGTGGTGTAAGAGTTAGCTTCTGTGTGGAACTATGTCATAACTTGTCAACTAGAATAAGTATTTACAAAACACTCTAGCATCATTCTCCATAATATTGTGCTGTCCTCCGTCATACTTTCATCGTAATCAACATGGATAGTTGAAAATCTTAAGAAAACTTCATTTTGAACTTGATACCATACAGACATTTATCATTTAATGTAGAAAAAGCTCGGCAGTTGTGGATTTTTGATGAAATACCTGAACTGTCTCATCAGCGTGAAAAAAGAGTGAAATGCAAGATGTTGACCAAAAAGTGACTAAATCGGAGAGCAAAGCTTTTCCCATTTACGGATCAGAAAATTTCAAATTGAAAAAGGATGCATCAGATTCAATTTGTTCTGCCTTGATCACTGAGTGTTAAAAGCTCTTTCTGCACTGACACTGTAATGATATGACACTGTAACAATTCCTGACTGAATCACTGGTATTTTATGGGCTACTTATAGATAGGACTAGATAGCTGAATTACAGTCAATGTTGCTTTTAAATGAAATGCAACCCTTGAAGGATTGTTAGGATTCAGAGAGGTCATCCCTCAATGACTTGACATATAATAATAATATAGTAACACAGTATAGGGGGTTAAGGGAGTAGAAAGTCATGGAGACCAACAAAACCCTGTTCTGATCTATCATTTGACAGTATCAAGTGTACTTTAATTTGTCTGCATGTTTTAGCTGGTCATATGCTCTGCTTGCTCAAATTGTTACACTGTCAAAGAGCTGGTGACAAAACTTGTCATTGTGTGGAAAATGTTCTATGCTGTTTTTTGTATTAGTTCATACACATACACTTTTTAACATACACATACTGCTCTAAAGAAAACATGTTAGGTGGCCAATGTCACAACAATTCAAATTTATCTTCTTTCGTAGTTATATCATCAATGTCCCTGGATTCTTAAGCTTTGTCCTGCTTTTCTTTCAGTACTGTATGAAAGCTGGACATTTTTTGAAGCATACTCTAAAGACATTTTATCTGACAGACTACAGGGAAAGAAATGTCAGATAAAAACATTCAATTAAATGAACAGATGATTTTGAAACGAATAGAAGTTGTTGTATGTAGGATGAGTTCAGAAGTCAACTGTAAGCCCACATGCTGAGGTAACATAGTGAAGAAAACAAAGATTCATTTGAATAAGTGAATGAATTGTGAAAGCTTTTGGTTGAACATAACATATGCACATCAAAATCCACAAACCTTTTTTATGAAAAATGATCTTGATAGACCACTGCTAGTCAAAAGGTATAGATGAAATCCCTCAATACTATCCAAAGCTACAAAAAAGGTTAAGATGTTAAATTCATATCACTTACAGTTAGATCTTTTATGACTTAACAAGCACTAAGAACTTTGCATAATGTCAAAACTTGACGCAATGTCAAAACTTAGCATAATCTAAAAACATTAGCTTTAGCCAGCTTTACTAATAATTGAAAATCACTTGGAAATTCTTGAAGGCAATGAAAAAATTGTTTACAAGTCTTTTCCACTGACATGAAACATCACCCTAAGTGCCAACCTGTATTTTTTTCATTACTTTATGTCATTGTTAAATTGTAACACTTACATAAAGAAGAATCTAAATTAGTTTTGTTGATGTTCCTGTAAATATCCTACATCATCATTTATAGGAAATGTCATAAATTTTATCCGCCATATGATAATAAATTCTTCTCCGTCAAATCTCTACTGGTTTGACATGTCACAATTTTATCTTTAGTCAAACAGTGAGAGGTCTGTGGATGACACAGTGATTAGTGTCGAAGACAAGGAATCAAAAATATTGTGTTTGAGTCCCTGTCATTCACTTGATAGTCACCATTCTCTGTAGTCACCAGTTCCAGGCAAAGGTTTCATGAAGTGTGGTCACATCAAGAAAAAAAGGTCAGGACACTGTTTTATAAGCAACATTAAGCATCCTAAAAACACCTTCAGAAGGTTGCAAATTCAAACATCACTGCTTATTGACTCCTGCTGTAAAAAGTCAATAACACTGACAACACTTACCATTATCTTCAACAAACCACTTAATTTGAATCCCCAAGATTTCTGGATTTTGTATCTTGACAACACTGGCTGATGCATTTCTAATACAAGTATCTACAAAACACAAATTAGTCAATGTTTAAACACAAGAAACATTTATAAATGGTACATCATTATAAACCAAAAACAAGGTTTACTTAAATGGCACAGTAAAAGAGTAGCTCAATTGATAATCATTTCCATTGATAAAGTTTATAAATCCTGTTTTTAGCTTTTTTACATTATGATATATTCTTTTTAGCATCTTGATTGTAATACAAGCTGTTTAGTTTTGCATTGTAAGCTAAGAATGGAGATGGATAGGCATCATGTTTCTAGGGAAGCAGCTGCTGAGATTATTGGATTAAGGTGAGTGATAAACATCCTTGGCTCCCTTGGTGAGTGATAGACAGCAGAAGGTTACCTGGTTCCAGAGAAGGAAAAAGTATGTAGAGCCACTGTAATCCAAAAAGAGAGAGAAGTAAGCAAGAAAATTGGAGAGGAGAGAGCAAAACAAATAACACAGGAGGAAGGAAGGGAAGAAAGAAAGAAAAGTAAGGAAAGAAAGAAAGAAAAGAAAGAAAAGTAGTTTGAAAGACATGGAAAAAAGAAAAGGGAAAGAGCATTTAAAATGACAGAGGTGAACAACTGAAATACCATTGCCTGGCCCTTTGTATATATGCCAACAAAGTAAGCTAAGTTCATTACCTTTAGAACTTGGATACAAAAGCCCCTCAGTAGCAGACCAACCCAACAGTGCCTAAAAGAGTAAAAGAAACATACTTATCTACAATTTAAGTAAAATTCTTACTTACAAATTGCATTTGACTGAAAGGCTAATATTTTAGAGGAAGTGGACATTTTGAAATGAAAAAAGGATATATTGGTATTTGAAATGATCTCAAGATCCAATAATGTAGAATAAGCTATTAAAAAATGTATCGACTGCACCAAGAAAGTGATGAAAACTTTGAAATAACTTTCTTCCTGTGAATATTCATATATAAGCAAGGTTGTATTTTGAAAAATTGCTTCAGAGAGTGCATTTTCCAGCGAACTGGAAGCACCCAAATTCAAAAATTTTTCAACCCTTCTGCGGCAACCATGGTGCTGCCTCGGATAAGAGGCAAATTGTGTACTTGCCCAGATATGCAGATATATAGAGTTTAAAGAGGGGTATAAAGGATTTGAACATATACCATTTAGGCATCTCCATAAACGCTGAATATCTAAAAATATATTTGGTGTCCATTTTGTGCGTTATCTAAGCCAAGGGTGCCTCTTATATAAAAAATTTAAATTTTGCATGGAATTTCGAATTTTGGCATGCAAAGCTAGCCATTCTAAAATGATCTCGTCCGTGCATTTGCCATAATTTGCAGTTTTGGCTGTAAGGATGTGTCATTGGAGTGGCCTCTTGAATTTTAGGGTAGCACCCCTGGATTATAGTGCTGAAGGTTGCAGGTCCCATTTACGTTTGACCTTTGATTTAGGCACAGTCAAATTTTTGCCTATAAGACTTGATTTAGGCACAGTCCTCTGTTTTCCTATAAGCCAAGTGGGAATACCCGTGGGGGGGGGGGGGGGGTACTCTCATTATGGCCTGACAGGGGGTCTGCTCAAGGTCAAAGAGGGCCAACCCTAAAATTTTAGAAATTTACCCTCATATGGCAATGTTTGTTGACAAAACCCCTCAAACGGTAGCATAGAAACCGAAATTTTGGTAGCATCCATTTCTTGTTCGCACCTGGTCCTAAGATAAATCCACCCCCCTCCCCCCCGCGGGGGAATACTAGGAAGGCTAAGGCAGCAGAAAACGACATGTCCTTCGCTACATAATCCTAGCCAATATTGCTCTCGTGCCCCCTCAAAAATAACAAAAATTTATTGTTTTCAATGGACTATCCAACTTTTGCTAAAACAAGGTGTACTCCCCCCAATTCACCCCCCCCCCCCAAAAACGGTTAGGTAAATTTGTGACTTGTGTTAGTCTGGGTGCCTGCTCATTCAGGGCAGTCTCACAAGGGTATCCGATGCAAAATCGAAACTAGATAGGCCAAGAGCAAATTAAGAACTAAAGATTTGCAAAAAAGCTTTGTTGCTTTGCAGTAAGCAAGGTTGGGGAGCCATGCATATCTTACAAGCTTGGCAAAATTAGCTCCTACCTTTGCAGCAATCACAGCATATGGGATTAAAAAATAAAGCATTGATGATTTCACAAGGTACACATCTTCAATCTTCCATTCAGGTAATACTCAAAAACTGTATACAATTTGAAGACAAGGCTGACACCATGTGTTTTACAAGGCTGACCACTGTTTGTTTTACTCAAAACCGACGATCTATAGTTCTCCTCCACAACAGTTCATTCTTTATGCACAGCCCTGCTCTTTGGTTTCAGGCTTTTACGTAGTTGAAACCAAAGGGTGAACCACTGAAAAAATCTCGTACACTTTGCTAAAAAATCTGTTAAAGTCTTTGCAAGGCCTGAAAAATCTCAAGAAAATCAAAAAATCTATCAAATCTAAAAAATATTCTGAAATTCAAAAAAATCTTCAAAAATCTTTAAATCTCTAAAAAGCTTTTATTTTTTTTGGCTCCCAGTGTATTGAATATAACTGGTGCGAAGATATGCAAGTTATTGAAAAATGAAACGTTACGTTCCGTCTTTTCTACTGAACGTTCATCGATTTACCTTGTCCAAGATTCAGGAAAACTTTCTAACGATCATGGCCAGGGGCGCCAGCGCAAGATTAAGGCAGGAGGGGCAGTGTTGGTGCTGAGGGCAAATAGCATGAATTTTCCCATAATCGATTATTTTTGAGCGGGCGGGGGAAGGTGCAAAATGAAATATTGGCACGGGATCTATTCCGCCCATACCGCTGGGATTTTTGCAATCAAAGATTCTAAACATAGTCATCATGTTGACAAAATTCGCCATGCAAGTGGGTATTAAATGGACCTGTTATTATTCAAAATTTTTAGTTTACTACGAAAATCATGGCAATTATAAATGGGCTGACCGCAAGTTTCTATGGTTGCAGAATCGTTTTTAGTTTTAGAAGGGAAAATAATAATCACAAGAATCAAATGTAAATAAAATAATTGTTCACTTCAACATGTTTTTTATATTAATGCATAAACTAAGTGTAGTGTCCTTGCTCTGGTGATGAAGTTTATTATCGTCTCCTGAAACAGAATTTTCCGTTTTCAAAGCATTTACTCCTTCAATATATTTGCACATTTACCCTTTAGCTCGTTGAAATGCAAAGAAAAGTAATGGGCCTATGTTGGATCCTTGCGGTATTCCACATTTTTCTGTTGAATTTTATGATTTATGTAGAAAACATCATCCACTTAGAAATGATCTACTGATCCATCTGATAGCTCATTTTTGACGATCTTCAATGTACAACTGAAAGCAGTTTACCTCATGTCTCTAAGCATCAAAATCTCGATATTTGCTAACAGACCTCGATGGCCTACCGTGTCTTAACGCCTTTTTAGTCCCCAGTTTTAATTTCAGCTCGCTGTTATTGACTTAACTGTACCATCGTACCAAATATCATCAGTGGTGCCGTGGGGCCGTGGAGAGGGACTCAGTGAGGCTCAGCCCCCTTTTAGAATCCACAGACATTTGGAGGGAGGGGGGGGTACTCAGCTAGTGAGTTCATCTTTCTTTGGACGAATTCTGTGATGGCAACTCTTTATTATACTTTAGATTTCTCATGAGCAGTTTCTTATGAGTCTTTTTGCGTCATTGAATAGTTTTAATGATTTCTTTACACAACAGCGAGTCTCTACACAAATGCAAGTATATTAGGTGTGGTCATGGATGTGATCTTTTAAATTTCCGACAGCACAGCCCCCCTTTCTTACTTTTTAGAAAAGCACACCTGTTTGAATTTAATACGAAAGAAATGGTCGAGAGTAGTCTTTTTAAGACAATTTGCTAAGCACTAAATAGATTATTTTTGTTAAAAAAACAACGCATTGCTCATGGGCATACTTTAGAAATGGCAGATAATACTGTTATTGGTTCATAACAGTTAGCACAGTGCCCACACCACCGGGTGGCCGGGGTGGCCGTGTCCCTCTTACTTTGTTTCGAAGCAAGTAGTTTTAAAGCTGTAGTAAAAGGAGAAGAAGCCTTGGCCCCCTACTTTTGCTAGCCTTGGCCCCCCACTTTCAAGTTCATGGCGTGGGCCCTGTAACCAGGCATACTTCAAGTTTTGTGAAAAAGGTACCATTCGAGCAACTTTTCATTTAACGGAAATAAATTATACCAAGCGGAACTACCTATCCACAGAAGTTGGGCTTATTTGAAGTTATCTTCTACGGGTTTTACGATTTGTAGGAGTTTGGGTAAGCGTCAATGTAGAAAAATTTCGATGTTGTTGCTACCGAGAGGCAAATCACTCTAAGAAAATCTCGTACACCTTTTGTGAAAATCCTATTGTTTTGTTTGAAAGTCCCTAAAAATCCTTTTGTTTTAGGAAAAATCTCGTACGCTATTTGCAAGAGTGAATCGCCCCTCGTTTGCTACCACTTTGAAATGGTAAAATGTCAGAGCAAATTTCAAAGTTATTAATAAATTATTAAGATAGCCTACAATATTTCTATCATTTATATCGTTCAAATGATGAAGAATTCAAAATCCTCTTATTCACGGGTTTAGTATTCGAGATCGATGCAAACATTTTGTTTAATTCATAAATTCATAGTCAAAGTTTTCAGGCATCGTTACCAAATTTTGGGAAAAAATCGAAAAGACGTTATCCTCTTTACAGAAATTTCCACAATTACACCCCCGGGCTAATTCGAGGGCTTATGGTAATCGGCAAATTCAGCACTGAACCCCCCCCCCCTGATTTTTTTATAAAGTCGCCACTAGCCGCCACTGTTCTGGCGACAGTTGTCGTGCTCCTCCGTAGCGATCCAAAACTACAAAGAGTTCATGTACGAATTCATTGGATTCTGCTAAGAAACCGAAGAGACAATTCAGGAAAATTGAATAGAAACACAGTAAGTGGTCTATTCTGCATGTCCTACGAATTTCAATGTGTGTTTCACGGTTTAATGATTATATTTTATGTCTAAGCACACATGACGATTACTGTCTTATTTCGATTACTGTCTGCGTAGAAAATTGGACACCGTGATGAGGACTGAAAAATCTATTCCAGTTAATGTTGTCGTTGTTTACTTCGCATTTGTTTCTTTTTATGGCCTTCCTGGCCTAGATTGTTACAGGGTAGGATTCGACCCACCAGAAAGTTTAATCGCGAAAAGACCTTCGGAGAAAATTACAAGTGGTGTCAAATATCAGGATGATAGCTCGGTAAATATGTCCTTGACTTATTTGGATTATATTTCATTAAAGTGCAGTCGTCCCGATTTCATATTTGCACTGAAAACTTTGCCGTCAACCAGCCTCTATGATCACTGCTACAGAATGATTCAAAATTGATGCGGAAGCTCCAAAATATTAAGGGTTGGACGAAATTTTTCTATGTTTCACGATATCCACCAGACAGTTTCACTCTTTTCGCACAGCATTGAATTTTTCTGTTCAAGGAAGCTGTCATAAGGAGTTCATTCTTGCTTCTTTAAAAATCGCATGTCACAGGTAAACCTTGTCTGTTTACTTCAAACTTGTATCCACAATAATGTTTTTTTTTCTGGAACGCTACACCCAAATATGAGCCTGCAAACCTTAAAAGGAATGCAATACTAGGTCAGCCTATAACAGGGCCCTTTTTAACATACTATATATGCTATATGATGAAATAAACTTGCGAGGGCAATTGCCCTACCATCCTTCGACTTTGCCCCCGCACTCAAGAGATTTTTGACCCCAGAGAATAGTCCCTTGTTTGTCGCCACCACTACGTAGAATTGTGAGGCACACCTGCAGAAGCCATAAGTCATAGTTTTCTAAAACGATTGGAATACGATATCATAAGTGTTTACATGACAGTGATTTCATAAGTTTACATGGGAGACTTTTATACAGTCGAAAACTGAAGGAAATTAGTGGATCAAAACTAAATGAAGATGTTTATTGGCACTCTTTAGTATAGGAATCAAATCTTTAAAAAATAAAGTCCTTAAAATTACTGTTTAATTCCTGTATCAATGTGGTGGCCATTCATTCCAGATTAGTGAAAGCAACAGCACAGAAAATGTAAGGGTCAGACAGCAAAATTAGCTGTGGAACCTGTTTGTCTACATTTAGGCATAAATTTGTGCCACAAATTTGATTGTGTTTTTTGTCTGCATGATTCATCCCAATTCCACTCATCTTTGAACAGTTCTGTTGCAAAGAGATTTTTAGCATAGTGATTTTTTGGCTACCTTCCATCCTAGAGTGTCTGATTTCATTGAATAATCCAGGCATATCATGGGATCAAGTGAAAGAGTTTTCAGATAACGTCTTCGATACTTTTGCTGATTTCAGGCCAAACAAGACTTTTCAACGAGGATTTTATACACGCTTAAAAGAAATACTTGACTCAGTTGCTGTCTGCCATTATCCTTGTAGCACCTGACAGTATGACTGTTGATAGAAGTGTTTCTGCATACAACATTATTAAGGGAATCAACATCAAGAAATAAACTGTTCATTGCATGGAATGGCGTCCCAACATCAAAGTTTGAAACAAACTATAGAAACTTACAAAAATAGAAAATTTATTTCTCAGTTTTTTTAATGGATTTTCTGGGACTTTGATCAGGCATATTTTCACTCTTGAATAATATCTTAACTTCAAGTGTCAACACAAAGCTGTTTCATTTCATTTGAAATACAAAATGAATTCCTTTGAAGTATGAGATCATAAAAGCTTCCTAGAAAATACCCCTTATCTCCCATTTTTTCTTGTTTATCTCGTCCCTTTTCAAAAATTGCCCCCCTACTTAAAATTTCTTAAAAGAGGCACTGGCCTATAAAGAGTAAAAAATAACAGTTGTCGCGCTAGTGGCAATGATAAACTGTTCTGTAATCGGTTACATCAATGAGTGAACGCTCAAAATATACCGTGAGGGGATGCTAACCACATTCCAACAGAGACTAGGCATGCTTTACTATTTATCTTTTGTGCTGACCCGGGCCCATGAATTCTCTCTGCCCGTTGGCAAAATCACAGAGCCATCGAAACAGACAAAGACATGATTGACGTCCTCTTGATAGTGCACGTGCTAGCCCATAAGAACTTCAGAGAGTTGAATTATTAACACCCCCACATGTTATTTACTAAAAATTAATTCACATTTCTGGTTGTTCCGCTTGTTCCTCATTTTAGCAACATATTTACTGAAATGTTTTCTTCCTACTGAAAGATTTACACAAATTTACTCCTAAATTTAAAGTAATATGACCAACAATTTTTCCACTGAAAATTAATCTACCAAAATTTTTGGCGCCGCATTTTCCAGTACTTAATGTACAATATCTAGCACTTCTAAAATGATATTATAGAAAATGGGTACAAGAGAGAGAAGATTTTGTCCAAATTTACTTCCTTTGGGGAAGGCTGTTAGTGTTCTTCTGCATGCTAAGCATAGAGCTACAGCAACTTTTGGGACTGAAGCTTTTGATGTTCTAGATAAACATAATGGCTGTACATTTTAGGTTAGGGATAGTCTCCCAAAATCATGTATAAGAAATCATGATATCACAATGTTTATGTATGTTCATGTTAGATCGATTTTTAAACATTTTAGTAACCCTTCCTAGCCATTCCCAAAAAACATCCTCATGATGGAGCAGGTTATATTTGGAATCATTCCAAAATTGCTGGGCAATTGAATTTGTGACTTGAATTTGTCTCAGGAGATCAGGACATGTGTAAACTTGGACAACTTTGAATTCTAAATTATCCATGATATGAACCAAATTTTGAAGCCTAAGAATCAATAGTGAAACAAGTTCATAAAGTGATTTTTGTATGTCACTTTCCTGTCAGTACTGATTTGAAACCAACCTGCCTGACTGGTTCCATGTCAATGGAAGGCCTAACTGTACTCATTTTAGTATTGTTCCAAATTGAACATGTAAACACTGCTTTTCATTATTTTTGTATGTTCTCAACAAATGCAAGTATTCAGATTTACATAAAATTCTTAGTTCCCCTTGTTTGCTTATCCTATGGGATTTTTTCCCCTGATCATTTAATCTAAAAAGAGCCCATCCCTTATGATATTTTTAATGCAAAGCAATTTTTATTCAGTCTGATCAAAAATATATTTCTATATTTCTAAATAGACATTTTTCTAAATTTGAAACTTTTTCTTAATTTTGTATCTCTGGTTTTCTTCCATATTGTTAGGAACTAAAATGCTTTGTTCATGTTTCAGTTTGCCATTACCTCTTAGCTTTCCAAGTTATGTTGCTCGAGGCACTATATGATATGTTTGTTTTCAGTTTAAAAGGGTGTCAAAGAGAGAAGCAGGTTAGTAGTTTCAGTTTTTATTTGGTTTAAGTTGGTGTAACAATGATTTTTATCCATAGAAACAAAGTCCTAAAATGCATGTCTTTAGACTAAATCTTCTTTGGATCTTTTGATATGAAATCAAATCAAATCAGTTGTGAATCAATTTAAGTTGTAAATTTGCTCTTATATGCTTTCAGTAAGTTTATTGAGGTAGAAACTCAGCCTTTGGGAGTAAGCCATTTGCACATAGAATTCTGTGCCATGTTTTTTAAGGGATTTATATTTTTTCTGCAGATTATTGCAAGTCATTAATTAGAAATTATGAAAGTAGAAAAGGTGAGATTTTTACAAAGCTTAAAGTTTAGAGATTGTTGTTCAAAAAGAACTAAAACCCGTACCTGCTGTAATAGAGATACAAGGGTATTGCTGTTGTGCTGAGGAGGCATATCAAAACTGTAGGACTCTTTTGTTGTCTTCGTTTATTATCTTCAAGTTTTGTATGATGAAAAAAAGACACACTTGGAAATTTTATTTCTGACTTTCATAGTACCTTCTTTATAAAAAAACATTAGCTAGATTGATGTTTTTCTGGGATGCATTTAGCAAGGAATCATATATTTTTATTATTTACCAGGTGCAGGCCAGCTTTGGAAATATTTTACAGGCCATTCATAGTTCAATTCTTAAAAAGCTCTCTTTCTTTCCAAAAATTCCATGCTATCAATGTGTTATCCAGTACGCACCCATTGCACACCACTACAGTTTTGTTTTTTACAATGTTATGGGTTAGTCATTCATTAAGGCTATTGTAGCCATTTATGTTTAAATCTTTTTGTCAGGCAAACTTAGATCTTTATTGATAGGAAATCTATTCTTTTTTTAGTTGCCAGCTGCATTCCTTTTGGTCTAGTAAGTCCATTTTGCAATGGAGAGGAATGCCCAAATAAGCCAAGCCCACCTGCAGAGTTGCATGTATCAGAATATTTTTTAAATGAAACTACAAAGAGACCTCAACTTGCGATAACATGGAAAAAGCCTTTATTTGGTAAGAAAGAGCATGGTTTTAGTAATTTTTCAATGAATCTGTGATAAAGCTAACCCTTGATAGAAAAAAGAACAAAACTCAAGATTGTAGAGGGGCCTTGCCATCCTGCCCTTGCAACCTGAGGTGACTATGAAGTGTTTGGTAAGATTTAAGTGTTTTCTAAAAAGGATCTTTTGTTTCTGGTGTTTTTGACTTAACATAAAATAATCAAGCATTAAGGAGTGTTGAGGAAAAAGTGTAGGTTTTATTATTATACCCATGGATGGACCAGCTTTTTGTCATTATTTTTCTTCAGGATTTCTTATTTCTTAGATAGATTGTTTTCAGTATTTTTCTTTTATTTTTATGTAATATTTATTGATTTTTTGTAGGCTTGAATAATCTTTGTGGTTATCAAATAGTAGTTGCTTCGCTGACCAATGGTTTGCAGACAATATGCATACAATTGAACTCAAAGGTTGTTTTTGAAACATTTGATTCTATTAATTGTAGTTACTTATTTTGAAAATCCCACTTTTTCGAAAGTCAGACCATATATGGCTCTTATTTTTTAAGGTGTAGATGGCAATGGCAAGATTTTTGCATTAGGTCATCATTCAAAATTGATATCTTAGTGATGAAATAAACTGGACAATGTGTTTTATATAAAAACCTTGAAGTGTTTTATGCTGAAAAAGTGCTTCATTCAAGAAACACTGTCTGAGGTTCTCAGTTCTTGGGTTCTTCTTTCCAGTAAATGCTTTACTTTGCAGTGTTTGTCCCTACGATATCATTGCCCTTTTTCTGATTTATGTTCTTGCTTATAAATTAGACTTGTTTAGCATGAAATACTTTTACTTCTATAGGATCGCGTCTCATATGCTTTTGATAATGTGCTTTTTGGAGGAAAGTACAACATAACACTTATCAGTCTTCCTGCCTTTAAAAGTGTTGGCAAAAGCAGTCTATACAAAGTAATACAGATACCAGGTAGTCTTCATGTATTACTTTCTCTTTTCTTTTTCTCGTATGCATACTTCGTATAGCAGCCAAGCACGGGTTTAACTGACAAGGATGGGGGATTGGGATTGGTTGGGTTGGGGGGGGATTTGGTGCCACACCCTTAAAGCAACTGGAAATAATGGAAAGGCCAATTTTTAATATTCAATTTTTGACTTTAGGATAAGAAGATGAATAGAGTAATTTTTTGCATCATTTTGTTACTGCTAACTACAAAAAATGCTTTGTACGGTATCGAGGCAGAATTTACCGCAGTCCACAAAAGTATTGTGGCACATCTCACATCCCCCAGTGATTCCGTTCCTGATAGCCACAAAATCCTTTGATTTTTAAATGTTCCATGAAATTATTGACACAAATACTTTCAGTTAATTGATGGATGGCTACCATAGATATCACTTGATTTTTTAATGAACTGAACCACGCCAATATTTATGTTGACAGATTTTAAGGAACATCTCACCTTTAATTTATATTAAAATAGCTATTTTATGCATTCACCTTCTAATTTCCAACGTTCATTTTTAGATAAATGCCAGGTCTTCAAAGATGCCAAGGAAAAACTACCGTGGGATTGTAGTAAGTAAAAAATTTTTGTGTTGTTTGAAATTTTTGTGAAAAAAGAATTTAATGATAAAGCACCGAGTAAATTTATTGTTTGCGAAAGCATGGTAAAACTTTGAATTAGTGAGTGAGCATGACTTTTGAATTGAGGAGCAAATTACTTCGCTAAAGTCTGGTACACATTGCGCGAAAATCCCTTCGAGAAAATCCCCGGGAAATCTTTAAAAATCCTGTTGTTCTACAAAAAATCTTGTGCGCTGTTTTGAGTGAGGGATACAGCCCGCGTTTTGAATAAAAGACATTCCAAACTTGAAATATTTAGTTCGTTTTAACAGATATAAGGGGGCATATTCGAAAAGCTCGCAATTTTATCCCGTAAGATATGAAACGCTTTACATAGTATATCGAGGTTTGTTTCAAATGTTCAGGCCCCTCTAGTATTCTAAATTGACGATAGGCTAGAAAAAAAGACAGACAAAAAAACGCACAAGAAAGTACTCTTAGTTATATTCAAATAAGTAATTAGTAAATTGGTAAAGTCAGGCAGTAAGTTGCAAATTGTAAACTGTTATTTGGCTATGCATTCCTAGAAGGCATAAAAATTTATAAATGAATCTGATTGTTTAGACTTGATTCTTTGTAATCGTCTTACAGATCTGCCGTCCTATCTTAATACTACCGGTTGTGTTAATGGGAGTATCCAAATTCAGTTTCCAAGAATCGACAATGTAGAAATTTCAGAATACCATCTGATGATTATACCTGACAATAGAAGAAACCCATCAATTTACCAGAAGAGTTTCAATGGGGTAACTTCTTGATTTACTGACCTTTTTACTACCGTGTATATTTTACTATTTGAGTACGAGAAAATTTTCCTAACTTTATTTCTTGCTTTCAATTGCTCATATCCAAGTTTTGTTAACTTGCAAAATTCCATATCAGCTCCCTCGTACTGACATTTAGAATTTTTTTTCAATAAATTTTTTTATTTCTTTCGAAAACATCGAAAGATCTAACATCAGATAGAGACGTTACCAGCAAGGGATCGAAATGGTATGGGGGTTTTAGATCCCTTGGAATTTCTGAAATATATCTTTATTAACAGAGCCTTCTGTTAGGCACTTGATTTAAATTTTGCTACAATTTTGATGTTAGGCTTTCTAACCGATATGTTTTTTAAAAAGATGAATTTAACAAGTTTTTTCTAATTAGGTATCGCTAATTGCTATTTATCAGTGTCAGTGTTATCAGTTTTGCAACAACAAAAAGTGTATCATTCAGTAATGTTTTAAAAGCTTGTTCATTCACAGGAGACGGAAAATGCAACTGTTAGTGAACTTGTTGAGGGCTTCAAGTATTTTGCAATGGTAGGTGACAGTAATTAAAACAGTAATTAATGAATTAAGTTTGAAAAATATTTAAGTTATATATATCTTTAAATTTACATTTCTGAAGTTGATATGTATTATAAAATTTGCGGAACACTTATTTTTTTATTTGTAGCAATATATATATACATTGCATTGAAATTTGTGACAATGCATAGTCAACAAAAGGCAATTGAATATTTTCAGGTCTTCTACACAAATAGAAATAAAGAAGAGAGCCAAAGACATTCTTCAATCGATTTCACCTGTCCAGGTTTTAACTCTTTAAATTTATTATAATAATTTCGTTTCTGATGATGAAACCAGTGCTATCCTAGACTAGTTGGGAAAAATCCATCGCATCCTTTCCACTCTCCAAGCGTACGAAGACCCTTTTATCATATTTTTATGAATGATATTGGACGTATTTAGCGCATGGGAAAATGGGGGAAAATATTCAAACTTTTTTGTATAGAACCCTATAAGCTAATGAAATTTATATATCTGGTTGAATTTGCAAAAAAGCAGAATAAGTTTCTGGCCATGCTACACACTTTCACTTCCGTTTTACTTTTGTAGTTTTCTCGTTTATCAAAATAACTTACTGTTGTGATCACATATTCTCACGAATTTGTATAAATGGTTTTATTCGAATTAATTGTATACTACATTCTGTACTTTCTATTACTGCAGCATTTGTTATTGTGAAACTTTCAAAGGCATTGTGTCTTTAGTTCAAATTCATACTTCAACACTTGCCTTTTTGCACATATCAGTTAAAATTTGTTCCTTATTCAAACTGACTTCATAGCGAATTTCTCTCTAAATCCAGGTGAGCTTCCTCGTGTAAGGGTAACCGAATGCAAAAATGGCACTGTTTATGCTTCTTGGGAAAGGATTAAGTTTAGGAAGAGTCTTCAGTATAATCCGTATGTCAGAGCAGTCCCTTACAACCTCCATTGGAGCCGTCTTGTAAAGATTTTGAGAGTAAGTCTACATTTCCAGTTGCATCAAATTCCAATTGCATTACATATGCGATGCTCATGTTATCAAGGAGATGGAATTTGCTGCAAATTTTGGTTTATTTGCATCTTTTTTGTCATTAGGTGATTTCCACGAGGCTGTGATTTCGTGTCGAAATCAGACCTATCAAGGCATGCGCAGTTTTGATTTTTGATTTCGCTATAAATTCACAAAAAAGGCTACGTTTTCGCGGCGAAATATGTTGCAGTAACTGGAAGCTAATCAGAACATGGGAAATTTGCGTCTTGTGGAAATCAAAAAGTAATTTCGCAGTGAATTCCATTTTGTATATACCATTTGTTTAAATCAAAAGGTAACTGAAATCAGCCTTAAAGCCAAGAGATCTATTATCTTTCTGTAAGCTTTAGCGAATTTATGAGATGGTGTAAGCCAAAAGCCAAAATTTTGCTGAAAATAAAGAACAAAAACCAGCAAAGTAGTATCTACACTTTACTAATCCCAAGGGATAGATATGATACAATACTGTTTATTAATCCCAGGGCATAGATATGATACGATACAGTCTATAAATCCCAATGCATAGATATGTTACAATACTGCCTACTAATCCCAAGGCATAGATATGTTACAATACTGTCTATTAATCCTGAGGCATAGATATGTTACAATACTGCCTACTAATTCCAAGGCATAGATATGTTACAATACTGTCTAGTAATCCCAATGCATAGATATGTTACAATACTGTCTACTAATCCCAATGCATAGATATGTTACAATACTGTCTATTAATCCCGGGGCTTAGATATGATACAATACAGTTTTCTAGAGTCGCTGCTGTATTAGGATTTTCATAGTTTCGGAAAAATAGCTTTTGTTCGGGTTCAGAAAGAGTCATAAGGGAAACTCAAATTGTAGGCACGTCTTGGAATTTTCATTCTGAGAAAAAAGCTCCCAGTATAATTCATGTATGTAGAGAACAGAAGATGCCAAATAATTTGATTTAAAAACGAAGTAGTGATATAATTATGGTGAACCGTACATATTATCCAACTATAAGTGCTTAGGCTACCTCTATATTTCTTTAAGTTTTATCTATGTTGACTCTAAGTAAGTTATTTTTCTGCATCTAAGTATAAGAATTTTGAACATGCGTTCTACAGGCTTGAACCTTGACACGAGAAGACTGACGTCGATTTTGAAATGATTGCTTTATGTTTTGGTTGTCTTAATGTCAATAAAGTCAGGTTTAGAAGATAAAACGACTTTGGATCTGAAGTGATCCTCGCGTTGCTTTAGTAATTGTCAATTCTTCACGTCACTTATCTGCTAGGGATGTGTTTTTTTAGCAGGAGAAAGATTCTTTCAAAGTATCAGGGCTGCGGACAGACACAAGCTATACCTTCGAGGTACGTAGAGATCTATGTTTTGGCTGTTTATTTTGTTCATAAAGTTTGATCATTTGTATTTATTTGTATTCACTACTTACTGTCTAACTTCCGAAGGTAGTTTTGAGTACACTGAGAAAGTTTGTTTATCGAGCAATTTCCTTGTCCTCCCTTTCGATGGGACCATAAATCGTAATTTCTACACCTCAAGTTGCAGAGACCTGTCTACTCCTCTTACTCTAGGTGAAAGATTGGTCATGTCAAGGGCTCCAACCCTACACCCTTGGATCCTAATCGCTGAACCATCCTCTCACTTGTGATTACATATTTTTAATGTTGCTTATATTTGTGTCTTCGAAAATTGAAAATAGGAAGCAATGAAGAGCGAATACCAATAACTGGTCAGCACATTCGCGCCTGTTTACAAGTACGCGATGAAACCGAAAACGGATTCAAAAATCTTCACGTCATTGTGTTCTTAGCGTATCCAAAACTTTTATCTATGGAAAGTAAGCTCAAAAAGTTACAGACTGTATTGTGTTTTTTTATGTTGTGAGCTGAAGCCCTCTCTTCGAATGAAGTTTACCATATTACACAGTATCCGTACAAATATAGATAGACAAGGACTTGGTTTTTTTGATGAACTGCCTGGAGTTTGGGTTAGGCTGAGTAAAGTAAAATAGCACAAAAAAAATCAAGCCATCTCAATTAGGAATGATATTAATATTGTGTCTACTTTTCATGTCTGTAGGTTCATGTCATACTGAGATTTCGAAAAAATTCCCTTGCTATCATGACTTCGGTGCCATTTTCTTGCAAAGGTTAGTTTTATTTTTTATCAATAGTGAAGACAGTATTATTACTTTTCATTTAAGAGTATTTTTCTTATTTTTAAAGCTTAATGGATATGAAACAGAAACATAACGACGACGTCATACGAGAGACAGCGTATGAATGAAATAGAGTCGTGGCTGTTTTTTTATGAAACGTGATGCTTCTGCACAAAAAATATTGCATGCAAAAATATTGCAAGAGTAAACAGACTACTGGGAAGGGTTTTAATATCTTAACTAATATGCTAAGAGCATGCAATATGCTCAGGCCAATTGTATAATATTTTCAGTTCTTTACTAAATACTGTCTGTTCTTTTATGTACCCAGTAGACTGCAACTCATATGATCTTCCTGGTAGCAGTTTTCAGCCAAAATATATCAGATTTCGACAATGTCTCTGTGGCTTGAAGCATGGATAACTTTCTATCTTCGTCGGTCATCCTTTTTTATGCTTTTATATTATTTCTGAAGAAACAAAAATGACATTATTGATGTGTAACGGTTGCGTTTAGGTTCGGCAAGGAGAGAGAGACAAGATAACATACCTCACTTCATTCCGATACTCAAGAAACTGATCATTTCATAAAACACTTAACGTAATACATTTGTTAAAACGGAAGTGACAGATTCTTTATCACGTGACACGTTACATCATTCGTTACAGATGTATCGTTTGCATACTTAGCTTTAAGACATTTTCCCAAGTGAACGGGTTTTGTTGAATTTTTTTGTTTAAATTCTATCTACAGGGGCACTGAAAAAAACCCAGCAAGGTGGTGGTGGTCAACCTGTGGGAACTTTTGGCATTTTAGCAATCGTTTGCGTACTTCTGGTTGTGCTAATTATTGCCTGTTTGATATGGTTTGCTCGGCGAAATAGCTGGCGACTGAGGCTGAAGATTTGTCAAAGAGCTAAACGAAACGTGCTTCTATCAGAGGCCCAAAGTTCTGGTAGGTTTTGTGATATTTATGTTTGACATTTAGTTCCTCGCAAACGCCTGTAAGAGTTTCTAGTTCTAAAATCAAGCTACTCGACAAGACCATAGGAGGCTAGGAACTGTCTTATAACTTTCAAAGTTAGTTTATAATTTTCTATAAATTTAAAATAGCTGAAAATTACAAATCGTTCATATGCCGATTTTCAGAGGAGCACCAGAAGTGGTATTATTTTACCAAAACATTTAAGAAAAATCGTGTTTTCAATTTTTGGAAAGCTTTGTTATTCTGAATATTAAGACTATCGGTAGATTCTTTAAAAATGACAACTAGACTTAAAGATAAGGCTTTTTCTAAAAATTCGGAGTATAATGGATGCAAATTGTTTACAGTAATATAGAGTAGATTTTGTTATCAATAAGAAGTACAATGCTTTTGATATTTTTGACACCAGATATTTTTGCTTTAGAATCGGAAATCTATTTTTAATTATTCTACTTCTGTACATTTACTTATTATCTAAAATAGTTTTGTGCCATTTTCTTTGTCCAAGGGTACTATTTCTAGCTTGCAAATTGATGCTGGGGAAGATGTCGTTTGAAAGTGTTTCGGAAAGCGTTTTTATGAGCCCTTATCTCTTTTGACATTTCACTCTCAAATAAAGGTGGTCGAATCTCTATCTTAATGCAACTAAAAAACCAAAAAATTATGATGACGGTAATGCTATTCTTTATGGTTGGTTGCAGGATGTTTTTTGTCGTTGGGCTTAAATTTTGAGATAATGTGCTGTACTAAGATTTTATAATGTGTTTGATTTGCATCATTGTTGCTATATTTGGCCTATATTATTAATTATTGCATTTGCTTTTGATGTACTTTGCAACGAAGTCCTTTTTGCTTCAAAAGATGGTTTTCATATAAGTTATTTCGACGCATCTCATCGCCATTCAGGGTCCACGATTTTCACGGTATATGAACATCAAAAAACGTATTTCATCTTAATTCAACGGTTTTGTCGGGAGAAACAAATATTTTTTATTTCTTGCGATGAATTACGTTCTATTAGGATTATTTACGATAGGTGGTTTTCATATAACTTGTCTGTTTCCACAGTGGCGGATATAAAGGGGGCAACTAGGGGCAGTTGCCCCTCCCTCACCGAGTTGAAGCAAGTCTGGCGCCCCAATTATTGTGAAAATTTCCTTACAAAGTGAATACAGAGCCTTCTGTCTGTAGTAAGGGTCTGAAATTGGTTTATACAGCTTACAATCGTCACCAATTTCTAAAAAAATTTTGAAAACCATCCTTAAATAGCATTATACTTTGAAAACGATCATACATTACGGTTTTTTTAATCTATAAGAATGCCTGCAAATCAGCCTGTATTTTTCTTTGTGGGAACCTTACGCATGAGGGAATGCTGACTGGAAGTTCCACACACGTAGATTTTGCTTCCACAAACATTTTACATAAGTAGTTATTAGGAATTCTCAGTCTGGGTTTGATTTGTTGCTTCATTGTGGCAGATATTGCAAAGAAATGATTTTCTACAATGAGTTCAATTTCTGTATTTTGCTTTAAATGTTACTGTCAATTCTGAAAATTTACTGGGAACCTAATCCCCAGGTTCCGATATATTTTTTAGCTTTGTCTATCAGTACCAATTATTTGCGGGAAATAATTTCTGATTGTAAATGGTGACGGGGGTTCATTTCAATACTCAATGCCTTTTGGGATCAGTTGGATCTATTTTGAAGGGATGCATCTTAACATTGGTCCGTGCAAGTTACCACCATCAGTTATCAAACTGACCAATAGTTGCTCAACATTTGACTTTTTACCTCCAACAGGATCTGATGAACAAGCTCAGACGGTTTTGCTTGTTTACCCAGAGGGATGTGAATGCATCGAACAATTTGTCGTCTTGTTAGGGAACTTCATTCACAACATAGGAATAAGGTGCATTCTCGATGTTGTCAAGGAGACCGAAGTGGCCAAACATGGCGGGAGAGATCTCTTCGTAATGGATTACCTAATAGAGGCAAACTACATTATTTTCATCAATTACAAAGGTAGACCTTTTTGGTTCTGTTAGTTGGTTGTGGAAAACCACCTTGCTACAAATCTTTTCGAATGTATTTTATTGCAGATTCGTTATACTAGTGGCCTTACCTTAGTTGCGAGTAGCTTCTTTTGTTACGTCAGAATTTCATGGGGATAGTCCTACAATCGAAAGGAACTTATACGTAAATTTCATAATTTCAAAACTATCATTTTTACGACATGCCCTGTTTGTACAGCATACGACAAGTTGTATTATTCAAAACGTTTGACCTTAATTTAGCAAATTTTGGTCAAAATTATTTACTTGACTCTTTTAATTTTTTAGACACAAATGAGGTATCCCAGCATGCATTACAATGCCACGAAAAGACAATTCACAACTGTATTTTCGCAAAGGATATTGACGGAACCACAGTCATACCAATACTCTTTGAAGAGGATAAAATGATTGGAACTTTGAAGCCCCTTTATTTCAATGAGAAAAATGTCAAAGAACAAATGGATACATTAGCAAGAAAACTCTTAAATGTTCCCACTACCGAATTTGCCCCAGAGCTGCCGCTGCAAAATAAAGTCAAACAACAGACCAGTGCTTTGAAGGCAATCAATATGTGTGTCTCTAATATCAAGAGAAAGCAGCATCTATGCTGCCCGCGGACAAAGTGCTTGCGGGTAACTATTCATTATTCATTATTTGTTATATTCTCATAAATTTTGCGAACAAACATACTACAAGACAATGCCACAGGAAGCATGGAAATACATCGCGATCCTGTGACCATTACATGTAACATATTTACTTTAAATAAAATTACATTTAATGTTACATGTAACATATTATAGATTACTCATAGCAATTATCAAAGCTGACAATTATCAAGTGAAAAAATATTCATTATTCTAAAATATATAGTACGAAAAAGCAGAAATAAAGCATATAATTCTAAAGCTCTTTTCGTCTGACACTCTTCAACGTAAAACATTTAATGTAAACGGGAATTCAGTACAGTTGCAGGACGAAAATAATGGGCGAGAGAAAAAAATTTATATTTCGCCTCTTCAAAAAAATTAGAGATAAGCGGTCGCTGATTGGACAAAACAAGGAGCCAATGAAAAGTGATATTTACTTTTGTTCAGCAATAAATTCCTGTTTTCCTTTTGGTCATTCCAAGACGTTCCACCAGACCCTCATAAGTGTCGGACAAAAGTGCTCTAGCTTAATGTACTGTTTGTTTCTCCTTTTTCACTATTTGGAAATCTTGACAAACAAAGAAATATATTAGCTCCATATTGGCCTACGTATTTCTGGGTTTATTCCTAACCGAATTATGGACCTTGAGTAGGTAGCTCATCTGCAAACTAGCTACAGATTGAGTTTGGCCTTCAATAGGCCATACCGATACAAATGTCTAAACATATCCATGTGGTCTGATCGCTTATGATTATGCTACGTATCAGTTTGATTTCAAACCTGTTTTTGTCTTGTGACTTGTCTTGTCTTGTGTTTCTAAGTCTCTATATGTTTTATGTTATTCCCCCAAGGGTAACAAGAAAAACTGACCAAAAATGGTTATGGTTCATCGTTTAGCGGTAAAGAAGCTGGCGGCTGTTTGAGAGATCTGGGTTGATGCATTTTAAGGAGCAAGAAACTCGTTTCTTACATGTTCGTTTCTTACACGCAAGAAACACGTTGGAACAAAAACAGCATCGATTCGTTTCATATCTTCGATATCGGTGCCTGGTAACATTTCTATCATTGACCGCAACGCATTAGAGACACTTAAAGGGCTGGTGCTAAAATTGCCACGCCTAGAGACCAGTTTTAATACATGTAGTGTGTAGTTAGATGTAGGTTTTAAAGATTAATAAGAAGCTTACGCCTGACATCCTCTACACTCTCCGCATCTTCGTTTCCCGTTTTCTTGTCCAAAGAATTTATACTGAGCATTGTTTGTCCTCATCTAAACATCCACATCTGATGTTGTGCTAATTGTTGAAGAGGAAAACGATAATGTAGCAATCTCCAGTCCCTGTTGTTTGTTTAATTATATTATTTAATTATGTCGAATTGTGTTTATTTAAGTAAGAAATTATGAAGTGCGCTTAGGTTGGAATGCTGGATATGTTTTTCACTTTTCTTGTCGTAGGATTAATTGCAGCAAAGCTTAAATCTCGAGTTACATGCGCACATACTTTAAAGTATTTTGAATTTCGTGTACGTTTTCAATCATAGTTAAAGAGTTCTATAAGAAACGACACCCGCTTATTTTCATTGGCACCATGAAATTTGTCATTTGACCGACGAAGTTTTTTGGCACTGGATGTAATTAAATAAGAAGAACGTAAAGATTTGCATTGTACGATCTTAGAGCTATTACAACTTAGATATAATGATCTAGCTGAAATTATTGTTTCAAACATTCTATGTTCTTATTTTTGTTAAGTTCGGGTTGACACCCGTCCCTTGAATACCTAAGCAAAGTCTAGTTGAATCATGTTTTTAGACTTTTAGACTGTATTATAGGGTTCTCTGTTGTTTAAGTTCTTATCGTTAAAGTCGTGTGGTATGTCTTGAAGCCACGAGTTTATCATTATGACAGCGCCCTTTTTAGCGTACTAACTGGGAAGCAATTGCCCCAGCAGCCATTGTCAGTGTTTTAAATAATAGGCTATTGTCCTCCTCTTTATGTAAAAAAATACTTGCCCTGCAGTTAGTTGCCTTCAGAATTGGCTATGCATTGTGAGAGTTGCTAACGTTGCTTTAAAGATGCAGTAAAGGTTGTTGTTTATATTTAAGATCAAAGATCAATAAAGATTGAAGTATCGCCACTGCAAAGTAGTTATTTGTTTGTATATTTATGTTGCACTTGTCATGGAAGTATTTAAATATTTGCTGTTTTTAGGTGTAAAAGACCTATCGGATGTGAGATAAAGGATGTGAAATTTTAGTCATAATCAACATGCCTTCTTCTTTTTCAATAACTTGAAATAATCCAATAAAACTCTTGTTTCATTGAGCTAGACCGACAATCACTGTGCAATGTTCTGCTGTAGTTCTTTAATGTTCTGCGGTATGACATAGAGTGACTAAATGCCGGACCAGCGAAATGTAATTGAAATTGGAGGGACCAAAATTCTAGATCGTGGAAGGGTTTAGTAAAGGCTGCCAAAATCGTTTGAATGAAATAAGCAATCAAAACAAAGAGGAGAAGATAGATTAATGGAACACAATAAAAACATATCAATAATTTAACAACAATGTTTCTTGCAATTATTTTCTTGTCATCTGGGACAAGACCACAAGGCCCTGGGGCAATTTGAACCCCCCTCCCCTGAACGCCTTCGTTTGTGTTCAACTCCTACATGCAGCTCGATTTACTGATGGCTTATCTGGTTTTGGGACCTTAAAATAACAAGTATAGGTAGCAATTAAATTATCTTTTTCATTTCCTCGCATCACAAGTTAACTCCTGTATACACAATAATGGTTTTTCATTCTTAATAAAATTACAAAAAACTGTACAACATTCTTAAAGTTGTACTAGACTATAACCCAAATTTTGGTGCATGAATCAATGCAAGAATCAGTCTCATTTTACTAATTGTCTGACAAATTCTTTCGCACAAACTTCTATTAAAGAAGAGCCCACAAAGGAATTAAACATTAGGGACTTAAACATTTCAAACTATTAGTTCAGCCTGATGTTATCATTGTGTTGTAATGAAAGGTCTTATTCATTCATTAGAAAGTATTTCAACCTGAATACTTTATCATGGAGTCCAGAAAATGTGAATGCAGACGTGAATGTAAAAAGCAGATGACAAAATGGACTGACAAAGCAGCAGTTTTCAAGGATGTTAATCAGTGCTATCATTTATACTAAAATGTTTGGGCTGTAGCGTATTACTAATTACCAAAACAAGGAGTGACATATTGCTTCTTAAATATATGCATCACACTAAATATTAGTACAATATTCTGAAAACAATTTGATAAAAAATATAGCAAATAAATTGAATAGACTTTCAGTGCTTGTCTCATTCGAAGTTTTAGTGAGAATAAAAAGTGATAAAAGTCATTAAAAGGTAATTTTGTTGATGACTGTACGCAGTGCTTTGGAAGGATAGAATTACAAGAGCCACGTCGCCTGAATAGTAACAATGAAGTGGACATAGAAGATCATAGATTTTTTCACAAAGGACTTATGACGCACAACCAAAATATAATTACAGCCTCCCGGGGGTACTCTTATTAAGGCCTGACAGGAGGTCCAGTCAAGGTCAAAGAAGGCCAAAGCTAAAATGCTTAAAATTTCCCTCAAATGGTAGTCTTTTTTACAATAGCCGCAATCTCAACTAAGCAGGCAATTAGAAGAAATGTGTGAGAAGGAAGAACCGCAGGATCGGCTGTCTGCCGGATTCTGTGAATCTTGCAATGAGTGTTGTTATGAAAGATATACAGGAACAAAGCAATACGATGATGAGAATCCTATGTCACGAAATAAAATTTTCAAAATAAATTAAATTTAAAGAATATACTAATATTTCGCCCCGGCATACAGGGCTTCATCAGAGTGAATTAGAAGAAACCCGACGAGGTAGCATCTAATTGAAATACCCCAAGTTGTAGTGTTATTTTCCAAAAGTGGCCAATTTAGTAGCCATTGGGGAAAACCCTAAAAATAACCGGACCCCCTGTCAGGCCGTAAATAAGAGTTCCCCCGGGGGCTATCATGTCAGGGACCGCAGCTTGACCTTAACAGTAAAGGGACCAAAAAGTTTAGTTGCCACCGACATGTGCAGTCGCCATCTTTCCTTTCCCCCTCTTCTGTTGGTGCTAATTAATTCAAGGCTCCAAGCCTGAAAGATTAAAAAAACAGCAATTGCCTCTTCATACAACATCATTTATTTAACCATTTAACTTTTACGTTCGTCCCATGGTGACGTAAATGGTCAAAAAAGGACTGGAAAGACTGTTATTTCGAGCATGCGCCGATTGTAATGCTGAATGTGTTTGGCAATCGGTTAATTTACGCTTCGGTAAAAATTTAAGTTTTATAAGAACGACTGAATAAAAGGTGGTTTTGATTGAAGAATTGTTTAGGGCGGAAGCCAAGGATGCTGTGTGGCCTTTCGAACTTCTGAGCACACGTTTGAAGGAGACAGCATTTGTCAATAGGCCCGAAAGCCTCTCAACAAATTGGGCCTAGCAACGATATCAGAATGAGTAGCAGGGAAGGATCTACATCGGAAGAAAGTAGTAGACGAGCTGACAGCGCGTCGAAGTCAAAGGTAAACCATTATCTGTCAGATTTCTTCGTTTTTATCATGGCCTGCTTTCTTTTATTGAGTACGACACTGCATTGAGCAAGGCACGTAAATTTAATATTTCGCAATTGACTTTTGCGAATGAACGTCACAGACAAAAAATTCAGTCGCACAATTCCCTCACCGACCGAGAATTGAGCAGGACATTGAAAATTGAAACAAACGACAAACAGACTTATTACAGAGCTTTTTTTCTATTTGTCTCATTTTCTGAAACGTATCGTATCATTTTTAACGCTAATGTTTAATTCTTCACAGAAATCACTGTCTGTTGAGAGAACTTCCCAGTTTTAAATTTTATTGGGAATGATTCCTACCTGACTCACATTACACTGGTATAGTTTCAGTGGGCAAAATATTAATGTTGAAATGGGATGGCTTTGATGTCTGCCACTGTTTGTTGATCCAAAGTAATCAATTGAAGAGAATCAACAGATATGAAAAACGGAACAGATGTAAAGCTAACTTTATCCACATATCCTGATAGGTCATATATTATAATAAAACATCTCTGTTCATATAACTCAAGTTATATTTATCTAGAACTATTTTTGTTTATATCAATGTTAGCCTTTAAACACAAGTAGTTTGACTTAGGTCTTATTATTTTTTGTCTTTCACACTTTTTTTGATATAATTCATTTTCAAGTTTGTTGTGTTTTTGAGGTTGCTCTAATTGTTACATTTTATGTCACTAACTACACAAATTATCATAAAAGCTTAAAATGGCCAACCCTTACCTGTTCCAAAGTTGGAATTCTCATGTCTTCTTTTACCTGATTTCTCAGAGAGAATTTCTTGGAAGTAAAAAATACAGGTTAATTCTACATCTAAAAATTTTCTTTGAAATCATATGTGAAACTTTTCTAAAACTTTTCTAAAACTTGATTTAGAAAATGTATAGGCCAAATATAGTATTCTACCTCCATCATCAACCCCCTGAATAAAATTGTTTTACCTTTGGTGCATTCTCCACAACTATTGTCTGGAATATAAGTTACTGACATGAAACTATAACCTAACAATACTGCAGCAGCAAGATAAGTTTGCTGTCAAATTGACTACAAAATTCATCTAGTCATAGGGTATGCTTCTGTATTTTTTAGATATTCCCTGTCAAGTAAGATGTTTCAATGAAAACAGAAGCTTTTTGCTTTACTTGTTTTGTCATTGTGAATATATGTGCAAATCCCTTTCAACAACCATTCCTTGAATACTTTTAGGTGAATCTGAGATTAATTATGGTAAGTGGGAAAACAGCAGACTTTGTTTTCAAGAACACAACATCAGCTGGAGAGGTTGCTGAATATGTTTATAACAACTGGCCAGAAGGTACAATGGAAAATTCTTGTTTAAAAATTTTCTAATCAATGACTCTTTTGTCATTTTAGCATTAGTTCAGCTTACTATTAAACATCTCATTTTCTGTTTAACATTTTTGTGTTGGCATTTCTCAGGAAAGGTGTGAAAACCCATGTAAACACCCTGATCTATGGATTGTTTGAGTCTTTAGCAACCATGTAACACAAACCCAGCAACAACAGTAAAAACTTCATTTGTGATGCATTGACAGCACATAAGGAAGCAGTTGTCATTTATATCAAGTTATTTATAATATCACAAGAAAGAAGGTTCAACCATTGCCAAAAATTTAAAGAATTGCAGGTTACTAATTTGATTAAACTTCCCAATTCACTCTAAATTCCTTGCTGCATGACCACCTACCTTGAAGTTTCATATAAATTATGTGGGGGGGGGGGCTTATAAGGGAGATTGGTGATTTGGGGGTTTTGTGTTCTAAGATTCATGTTCTTTGATTACATTTTCTCATGCTTCAAAAATAGATAGCACCCCTTCAAAAGTTATTAACTGTGTTTGAGATGTATTTATAGTTTCCATGTAGACAGAAATGATCACACACTTCCACATGCCTGGACGGATTCAGATGTGTGATGGTTAGCATTCCTTCCGTTTTTCCCCATGAAAGCCTGTTTTATGCTTAGTTATCTTGGATATGGTAGTTATATTTTTGTTTGCCTTGGTGTGTTGTTGTGACTTACTTGCAATTTTATGCTTGTAGCTTGGGCAGATGAGAAAGATAATGTTTCAAATCATCAGGTGTTGAGGTTGATATACCAAGGGCGTTTTCTTCATGAAAATGTTACTTTTTCAGGTTTGCAAATTTAAGCTTTATTTAATTTTCAATGTAAGCCTTGTTTGTGCCTTTTCTTGCTATTTTAAATTTTTTGAATTTTTAAAAATAAAGCCCAATTCAGATTCCGTTTGGCTAGTAATAAATGATTGTTCTTTTTTATTAAGTGATCTACATTATAAACATTTGTGTCTATTTCCATATGAAAATAAAATAGTGTGGTAGATGACAACAACATCCCTTTGATGAAATCATTAAAAATTAACAATTAACAAGTAACATTATGTTAATCAAACCAAAGTTTGAAAATGTCATCTCAGGTGCTTTGTTTTTTGTAATCACCTTGCAGGACCTCTGTTCATGGAGTTTAGAATAACTTCTCAGGCAATCATTTATAGGTGATAAGTTGATTGAGTGCCTTTGAAGGCGTAGTTGTACAATTGACAAACACAAGCTAAGCAAGATGAAATTGCAGTTTGTCATCAAAAGAGGTATTTTTGGCAAATATTCAACAAGTCTTCTCATAAACAGACAAGTTCAACCAGGTAACAATGTTATTTTTGTTTCAGCGCTGAACCTTCCATCAGGAAAAAGGACTGTGATGCATCTTGTACCAAGGGAAAAACTACCCCCTCTGTCATCTGATGGTAAGAAATCATGCTGTCATTATTTATATATGTAATATAATACTTTTATAAAATGTTTTGTTTCATTAGTAGTTAACAAAATCTGTTGCACATCTTGCTGTGATGCATATGTCTGGGGTGCATGGAATGATTTGCGATAAATACCCAGACCCAAAGACCTTGTCAATTTTAAAACAAAAAAACAAACAAATAAAAAAAAATAAATAAATAAATGTTCCATCGTTAATTTTTAAAATAAACGATCATCATAAAAATTTGCTTTCCATCATCAAGATCCCAGTCAATGGTCTTAGTCACCATGTATTTTTTATCTACAGGTCTAAAAAAATTAGGTACAATCATACTATTGTACCTAAAGGTTAAGTTTTCTTGTGTAAAAATATAGTAACAGGTATGTATACATATAGGAAAACCACCAAGAAAAACACTGTTTGCAAACTTGCACATTAAATTTTCAATATTTTTTGGAAAGGTCTGAATGACAAATATGTGTTTTACAAGCAAATATTTTCTGCAAAGGAGACTTTATAACAGGCAAAATTTTTTGAAAGAAAGACAGTCTCATACCTATTGACTCCAAGTCTCTTATTTTGTATAGGGTACCACTTAAATCAGCAGTCACAATACGCATAGCCACCATTTCACAAAGATAAAATTTGATATTTGACTTTTCTCTGGTTTATGATTTTGTAGATAGGTTTTTTGCGGTATCAATTTAAGCTTATCAGTTTGTTGTTTTATGCAAAACCTGATTGATAAATATGTATTTTTCACACTTTGTTTTGCTGTGTATCAGACTAGTCATAAACTAGACATAATTGGTTTGTAGTCTGCATGAAAGGGCATCTTCCAAATTTGTTTGTTCATAAGCTTGAGGTTGCAATCCCCTCCTCCTAGCTGCATGTACTAGAGACCTTTTCATTAAAATAAAACATATTTTCTATCTAAAATTTGTTTTTTTCCAGATAACAAGACAAACGAGAAAGTTTCTGAGAGCAGTTGCTGCTGTACCATTGTATAGTTAGGTATTGTCACCATTTAGTTGTTTGAATTTGTAAATGTAGTAAATATGTTGATAATTTGTTTTTGTCTTGTATATAGTAGAACAATTAGTTGTTTTAGATGCCTCATTTTTATTCATCCGTATTTTGGGAATGTGGTAGATAATTTTGAGTTGTTTAACCTATTATTAAAAAACTTGCAAGCCTATGTTAAAGGTAATAGAAATTGCATTTTTCCACAAAGCTGTTTGGTATTGTTCCATGGTGAATCTAAGTTTGAGTCATATTTTTATGAACAAAAATTTAATTAAGATGTATTTTCTTTTTCACTATGGTTTGTAGTAGTTTAATTCCAGTTTTAAATTTTCACTAAAAGCTTTTGTCATTTCAATATGACCATGGTTTTCATGTAATGAAGCAGGCACTTCACCAGCAGCAATTTGGTAACTTGCAATTTGAAATCAAATTTTTTAATCTTGCAACATTGACACTAGGCATAATGATAATATTAATATCATAAGTTGATCAGTTCTTTCATAAATACATAATCGATAGTTTCCATGTTTTGTTAATTTGGTTTCCTGTAAACTAAAAGCAGCTGGCCAAAAACCTTGGAGTTGTATATCTCAAAATGCTTAAATCATTCCAATGATTTGCAACTTGTTTGTTCCAGCACTACGGAAAGGGTCCTTTTATATTTTTCATTGGCTAGATCAAAGGTTGAAATATCCAATGTGACCTTTGGGGAACAATTTGGAAAAGAGCAGTGTCCTTGTTCATCCTTGTATTTGATCACATACCAAAAAGGCATGTCACCATTGCCAGTTTCAACCTTGAAAATTGCAACTGACTTGTAGCTTGTAGCTTCCATTTTTGGCAGGACTTTCCAGGCTTTACCAGATTTTTCCCATTTTCAGTTTGATTCCCCTTATCTATAATTGGCTGGAAATGGGAATGTTCTGTTGTACTCTTTGTCCAGAAAATGAAGGGAAGAATCAGAATAGCTTTTTTGCCCCCTATCAAAGCTTTTCTTCCTTCCTCAGCCCCTACTTATGAACAAGGCTTTAAATATATTGTGATGTAATCCAAATGATAAGGTTCTGTGATCACTGAATGTTGATGCTGTTAGAAAAGTAGACCAACTATAATATGTACGCAAGGGTGTACTAGCCTAGCAAGGAAAGCAAAGGGGACAGTCATAGCGATAAGAAGGTTGGTGTCTGAGAAAGCAAATCTGCAATAGGATGCTGCAAAAGCCAATGACAATGGCTTTTTTCAAATTTATTTTCAACAGGGGGCATTTTCCAACATCCCAAGGGGTCATGGCAGAGGTGAGTTGAGCAACAGCCATCATCTAGTCTCACTCTACCCCCCCCCCCCCAAAACCCTTCTTGTTGCCTAGGCTATACTCCTGTGTGTGTTCTAAAAATTAGCAAAATCATATGCATTGTCAAAACCTGTATCACATTTAAATTTTTTGTACTTATTAAAGAACTGTTGAATTCATGTGTGTGTCTTTTTGTTGCCCAATTTCAAGGTTTTTGCATGAAAGCTTTGGGACTGCAAATCATTGTATTCTCAGATAGTTGTGACCATAGTGAGACCATGTGATTTTGAAGGTCAAAAGTGCAAGGACAACAGTGTGAAAAGATTCCTCTTGGATCAATAATATTGGCCTTAAAATTGAGGTTTCTGCTTTCCTGCTCATCAAAGTATGTATAACTGCAAAGGGGCAGTAAGAAATGAGATATATGAATTCTATGTTGTTTTTAGGCATTTTAGTAAACAATTTCACACAGGCCAATATATGTATGATATAAAATGCATTTTTATGTTTTTCTTTAAACTAAAACGTAACAGAACAATTTCGTGTTTAATTATAATGTAATAAAAACAACAAAGAGTAACAACAAGAATAGTTACAATTAAATTAAATTATAATTGTTTTATTATCTAAGAAGAGAGGCTGGTACTTTCCAAATTGTCTGGGTATATTCCATAAACTAAAATTTACTCTTGACATAATAAATGTGTTCCTGTTCAAAATTTGAAGCGCCTCAGATGGCAAGTTTTAAGTACCAAGTCGACTAGACCATCCAAAGGTCATCAAAATAAAATTCTACTTATGATATTGTAACTGATGTAGTATATACAATGAAAAACTTCCCCAAGTCTTGACGTCCCATTTAAATTCCTTTAAAAACTGGATGAAAATAAGACTATATTTAAACAGTAGAACAATCCCTCTTTGCTTCAAATAATATGATATTTTCAGGAGTATCCTTCCATAGTCTCTAAAGCTGGGGCAAGGTTCCAAAGTATGTTGCGAAATCTTTGCACATTCAATAAACCAGCTGTCCTTTAAACGTTTGTTTTTCCTGTGTTATTCATACACCCACCATTTGGTTGATGTTAGTAAAACGGCTTTTCCATGTAACAATTATGTGACAACAGGATACTTAGAACGGCAGATTGGTGATAAAAATACCTTCGACCATAGGGAAATACATGGCTTCGACCATAGGGAGATGATTGAAAAGTGTTGAAGATGACAAACATTTCACAACATACTAGCAGTTCTGTACTACCAAAAAATAAATTTCATGTTTTGTAAAGGCAAAGGGTCACACTGCTTTGAAAAATGTCTCTCTAGTATTTTTGAAAAACTTTTTAGAAAAAGAACATACTGTACTGGAAGACGTTAAACATTTTGCTGGCAAGTTGAAAGCTGAAAGTTTCATTCTCTCAGACTTCTACATCACAGTTGGTTAAAAAAATCGCCATTGTATTGACAATCAACAGATATTTCGTAGAACACTGCATAGAATTTTTAATAAATATTTCAAAAAATATTTTCTGCTCTCTATTCCGAGGAAAGGATTTAATTCATTGCTCCTTAATCGAAAATGGCAACAGCCAATGTTTAATTTTAAATAAATGATGCAAGGAACTATATGTAAAAAAAATATTCCTAATATTAGGTTTTGTTTACACAAGAACGACGGAGCACAGTTCTATTTGGCTTCTAATTTATGGAATGTTCGCATGTATGACTTGTAAAAAGCGTTCCAGTTTTCAGAACGGAAGGATACCATTCAAACCGTTCATGTGTTATCGCAACCACTGAGTGTTCCACTATTTTGAACAGGAACTAATTGGTATGAAATTTCTTCAACGTAAACAAAGCTTTAATAAAGGCATCAGTTTTGTATACTAGTAAAATCATTTTCGCAACTGGCAGTAAATATAAGGTAAGTATACGTGCGAGGTTTTAAATGGGGGAAATGTCTTTGCAAGTAGGCACAGCTCAGTTATTAGTGTTTAAAGACAAATTCCTTCTGTACAGACTTGAGCTGCGAGTCAAAAAACAATGGGAAAACGGACATGAAACGATATTGCTTTTAATACCACGACGAATTTTCAACTCAGTCCTTCAACTTGATTTTTTGAACTCGCATGTTTTGTCCAACGACTGGACTGTCATGGTCAACTCGAATTATTGGGTCTGTATGCAAAATATCTTCATCGGATGGAAACGAATGCGTATCGGTCAAAATGTCAATTCGATTCTTAGCACGTGATGCGTCACCAGGTCCAGGAGAGGCTCTCAGTGGAGGAGTACAAGAAGCAAAATAGCTTCTGTTTTTAGCTCGACCGACAGGTACTGACCTTGCCAAATCGGTTTTTACACCGAGAACAGAAGCCAAGTTCTTTCTCGCTCTCATTTCACTTTCTGGAGTGTCTTTTTGCGAATCTGCAGATTTGCTACCATTCTGGTTCTCCGGACTTAAAGGAGGATATTCTTCGTGATACCTCGTTACCAAAGGACTTTGCTTAGCATTCGGTGAATAGTTGCTGTCATTTTCTTTACCCTTATATGGGATCCAGTTGTCAGCTGGAGTAAATTTATTACTAGATCGCGATCCTTCCAGGCGATTGTTGTTTAACATGTCCTTTTCAAAGCTTTCAATACGTACTGCATCCGTTTGTATGATTTCCGTCGTAAGCTGCACATTTTTGGCTGCATGTTCAACGGTATCTCTGACCATCGTATCCTTTGCCGAACCACTCTCTTTCTCGGGAATACCCTCTACAACCGTGCTAGAATTTAAACCATACTTACTTCGTGTTTTCTTCTTTTCCCTAAAATCCCCCTCTGATCTAAATACTAAAGGTTCTTGTCCTTTAACTGAACTGTCTTTAACTTCATCTGGTTTAGATGATCTCCATGGCCTCATTGCCGGATCGATCTGTGCTTCATCAGTCATAAGCGATGACCAAGCTGATTGCCCAAGGTCATCGCGCTCAACTATCTTCCCGTGCTTTTGCCTGTATATATCGGCAAACTCAATTCCCTCTGTCCATCCTCCATCGTTTTTGCTTACAATATTCTCTCCATTTTGACCTCCTGAATAAAATTCATCTCTTTTACTCATCTGCTTGTCTTTGTCCTCGTATCGTCTCCATCGTCTTTCTGTGATCCTCTTCAAATCGTGAAATGCCCCAGGTACTTTGCGTGTCTTGGCCTGAAACAAGTTAGTCAAAAATCATCATGGAATAAAACACAACTATGTACCAAAACTCCTTTCCTTCGACCAAAGCCTTGTACAAGAACCTGTAGAAAATGGGCACCCTTCATACAGGACTACCCCTAGTCACCCATTTGACTAATGCATGGAGGTTTCATGATGTGAAAAATATGACATTACAAAACTACATAACAATGCATTGGAGAGAAGGAAGAGCAAAAATACATTCTTGAAACAAGCCTTTGGTGTCGCAAAATTGAAAATATGAAAGCAAAAACACCTCATACCGAAGTACGTTTTGTTCAACACTTGTCAGATTTTAAACGTTTGAAAATGAAAAAAAGGTCAGCGGAAAGCATCCAGACGCGGATCAAAAACGTTAAAGGGGAAGAAAGGTGCGCTTGACTTTTTCCTTGTTTTTGAGCAATTAGACCAACCGCCAACCCTTCACATAGCTGAAGAGTTCAAGAGACAAAACGAATAATACTGTCTACACAAAATTCTTCAATGGGAAACAAAATCTTTCAAACATGTGAGTTATCTGGTTACGAAAATGGCGTCGAAGTGAAAGAAACTTGAGATTAAATTACCAATGCATTTGTGCAATCGACTGGCGAATCTCTGAATACAGCGAGATATATGTCGACACCAAACAAAAATTCAGCAAGCATCTTCTCCATCAGTGCAATTCTTAACTCTCTCAAGAACAGAACTTTCTACATTAAAAAAAAGCAAGAACAGTTATAGATCATATCAGAATTGAAAATGAACTGTGACCCAAAACAACAATAGAAATTGGAAAGGCACATTGTATTAACGCAGCACTTGAATCTTACCCACTTAGCATTTAACAAATGTTTTCAAACCTTCTTCAAGTTCAAAAACTGCTCTTTGTTGACACAACAACTCAGAAACTAGAAAGATCCAAATCAATCAACACCAAAATACCTCAGAAACTGCATTAAGTAACTCTCTTTGAAGAGGTCTTGTTGTCCAAAGATTTGCGTCAGTCTAAAGCATAGAGGAGACACTGAATAATGAAGGTGATTATGGGAACATTGGTTCCTTAAATATTCAACAAAAAATGAAACGCTTGTTAGCAAAGGATGCTGAACGTTGGGTGGATAGAATAACAAAATAAAAGACGAATTTTGACGAAATTAACCCTTGAATCGCTTGAATCATCAATAAAGCGAATAATTATACATTTATTTGACCTTTACCTCTACACATTAATGAATAGTGCTTCAAACTTTAGTTATGATTGAAATAGAGAAAATAAAAATGGTCCAACCCTTTAAATAAGCCCCATCCTCGAATAAGCCCCTACACTTGAATAAGCCCCCACCTGAATTTGTCAATTATACGACTTTAGCCCAAAATGAAATATTTTCAGTGAAAAATTTAAAATTTACAATAAATTAAGCATTTAAATGTTTTTTTCTCAACAATGTTTGGCAGAATATTTCCTTTCTCCAAGTCAACTTCGATCGAAACAAGCAACAAGCTTCGTAAACAAGTTATTTGCGTGGTAACTTTCGAGAAAGCCCTCATTAAAAATCGTTTCAAAATAAAATGCCCGGGGGAAGTATTAAAAGGCATGTGTCGTGAACATCATTGGCTAATGCAATACAATTATCTTTTTTTTAGTACAAAGCATGGAATTCAGGGTGAATTTTTACGGCAGTCAAAATTAATTAAGAAGAAATAAAAAGTCACGAAACAATGAAATTCAACTCCAAACGCTTTTGCTTTATTAGCCAACTGCTAATGCGACATATGCCCTTAAAAGTATTCACGGTTATAGCACCGACAAAACTTTACTTTAAAAGTAAGAGTTTCATACCTTAGTGAATTTACCAATAATTGACGAAAAACTGCATTTAGAAGGCTTGAGATTCAGGTAATCGAAGAGACAAGGCTCGAGTCCATTCACTTCCCTAAAAAGCAATATTTTCAAATAAACTTTGTAATTTGAAACTTTCACTTCCTTATTCATTAACTTATAGCAGTCAGCCATTACTTCTACCAGGAGAGACCAATGAACTCAAATCTAAAATATGCCATGGTGATACTCTAAATCTTCTGTCGGAAATACGCCAAGAGAGCGAATAGAATGATTCATTAAAGGGTTTTCAAGAAGAATCGAGAAGATGCTAGTCCAAAATTTCATCGTGCAATTAACAATTTCATTTTAGGATGACTGCCCTTAAAGTCTTAAAGTCTGCCCAACTGCTGCTCTTGATTTCTTTTACTTAAGAAGCTTTGCAAACATTGTCGTTTCTTAATGATAATTTTTAAATGTATATTTGTATGTTTGAATATTTAGGGGCAAACAGAATACAAACCTTGGTAGTTTCCCTCTTTTTTGCTTGTAAATAATAATATCTGCAACCTAAACAGAGTGAAAAGTGTGTAAAAAGTGTGACTCTAGATTCGAAACGAAACAAATACGCGCGTTTAAAACAAATACGGGACTAAGAGCTAAATAAATAATATGTTCTGATACGATGTTGCAATGGCAGCCACAAATATTTGCTTCTCCATTCATATTTGACAGAATTCGGAGGCAGTAAAAAAGGTTTATAAGCTGGTGAAAATTGTGAAATGATGAAAAATTATTCATAACATTGAATATAAACTGATAAAACTTGGTCAATGTACGAAATTTAAAGGAGAATTCATGCAATTATAATTGGAGCACGAAATTTTATATTTCTGATCAGATAGCTATGTGTCCAAAACGTACTAGAAAGAATAGGATGATGCTACGCGTGAGAAATGGAAAAATATACGAAATTATGACGGCTTTAGTGTGTAGAAGTTTTAGCTTTCAATTCCGGATTAGAACCGTCCAGTCCTTCATTAACAGCTTAGAGCTGCCCAGCTCTACACACTTGTGTGTATGACTCTGTCGATGTGACATTGAGTACGCTGCAATAGACCGATAGAGGTTGCCAAACTAACAAATTTATGAAACTTTTTACTGGATGTAAACATTACTCTTTGTCTTTTGGTTGAAAGGCACCAACATTACTTTTGAGCAACTTGTACGTATGAAAACATCTAAACCACATACTTCGCATTCCATCAGTTGTTGAATGTATAAGAAAAGAAACTTAAGCAGACTATTACCTGGGTATCAAATATGTTCCTCATTTCTATGTCATACACGTGAAAGAGGCAGTCACTAAGGAGTCGGCAATCATGAACAACCTGTGAAATAAAAATACCCCTTTTAGATTCATCATATTAGGTTAACAAGTTATTCATCTGCAACTGTGAATTTGGGGGCGAAAATAACAGACTATGATGGTCGCACTTAGTAGCCCTTTATGATTTCATTGCCAAACAAATGTATTTGACAAGTAAATCGGCGTTATTGAATGTTTCAAAAGAAGCAAATAATGGAAGTTACTTTAGATGAAAGGTTTATAAAGTTAGTTAAACTGCAGAAACACATTTCAAGACAATGATGGCTCCTTTACAGCGCAATAAATTACCAAAACTACTAACCTTTAACAAATAAATGTTTTCAAGGAATGAGCGTAATCCTTTAGCAAAACATTCTGCACCAAGTTTGTGCACATCAAATACATAGGTCGCACCTCTGCAGCCAACAATGAGCAAACACAAGACCCCTGACCTTCCCATTTGATTGGCCTCAGCTGATAGTCCCACTACTCTTTGCTCATTGATAAAGTAAACCTAAGAAAAAAAGCCAGATGTATTTTTTTGATATAACTTCACACACATCAGTGGGGTGATAATGAATGTTATAATAACCATTGTAATCGAAATACAAATGAAAAGAAGAAAACCATGAAATCAACTTTGGGACAGTAATAGTCAGTTTTAACATGAACTGTTTGACAAAAGACTAAGTAATAATCAATAATGCGTAAAAATTGTAGAATTCCCAGTTGCTATGAAAAAGCATAAATATTATGCATTATAAGGCAGTAATTCTCATCATACTATTACAAGAATAACAAACTTTGGGTAATGGGAAAAAATAAAAAAATAACATGAATATAAAATTCAACTGTGATGTACATAGATAAGGTGGGGCATGGAAAGTAAAAGAAAATCTCTAATAGAGTCAAGACACAAAACATATTTAAAATTCAACAGTCAAAGCCAACTAAAACTCAAATGTATTTCCTTTCAATGCTGCTTATCATGTCAATACACACCATAAATTCAAACAAGCATTAAGAAAAGTTTAATAGGTGTAGATATTCTGCTAGTTAGACCTAATAATGTTAAATTAAGTCAAACATACTGCTTGATCAAATTTCTCATTCAGTTCATCAACCAATATAACATCAGGAAGATCACAGAACTCATCATCTTCAATTGTCATATTTAAGTTTTCTTCTCCAGATAAATCTATAAACCAATTCATTATCATTTTCAACAAAAATCTAGTATACCATAAAAGGAACAAAGAATTTTCAATAGGGAAATCTGTTTGAGAGGGCTGCAGCTATATTTCAAGATATTCGGGGATTTGGTTGCAATTTATCAAGGATATTTCTTCACAAGTGGCAAGTTTTAATTACTACAGTCCGGGGACATTACAACAAACAAAAAAGTGTCATTAAAATAAACATAGCATCGTAAGTTATACAACAACTAGTTAGATCACAATCACAAAGCATTACAAAATCTCAGTGACCCTCAACATTCAAAAAACAGAATCTCTGAGGATAATTAGTGAGAGAAGGGGTCTAAAAAATATCCAATATTTGAAACAAACAAGCATTGAAAATTGAATTAGTTTTCAACTTTACTTGGATGTATTATATATTATCATTCATTGTATCATATTAAAAGCACATCTATTCACTACTTACATTTGTTAGGCAAAAATGGTTTCCTGGCAATAAGTCTAGAGCCTTCATCACTAGGGTCTTTCTCAGTGAATATACTCTTTTGCTCAGCTTTATCATTTTCAAGGGCTTTTTCGTTAGTAAGTTCATCAAGCCCTCGATCTGATGATCTGATGGTAACAAATAGCACATAAGATTTTAGCAGCATTAAAAATTGTTCTGCAGTTTGAGGTATATTAATCTGCAAATGTCTGATGCTGTAAATTCAATATAATACCAAAACAGATATTTAAGTTTAAAAATCTAGCAACAAATAGAAGATAAAACTTGGTAGTTCCTTCTCTTTTGCTTGCAAATTATAATGTTGACAACCTAAACTTCTAGTTTTCTAAACAAAATGGTCACATAACATAACTGTTTATACTATTCTTTCTTGGAATTAAATTTGAAAAATGTTCATGAAAGGTATATTTTTTGAATGCAGAATAGATAGGAATAATTTCTAAAGGCACAAGTAAGAAATCTAGCAGTCTTATTATAAGCAAAAAGGTGATCAATACAAAGATAACCAGTGAAAAAGCAACTTTAATCTCTTGAAGATAATTTACTTCACATCTAGAGAATTGTTGAAATGATTATCATGAAAAAATATATCTTTGTGTTTCTTTGAATTACTTTTTACAATTTTAAGTAATTATGAAAAACTCCCATCTGATAACTCCCATCTAACTAAAAAGGTAGGCTACTTACCTATCATCTGTGTCTGCATCACTTCCATTTTGGTCTAAAAGTTGCACTACATAGAAAAAATTTAAGTGGAGCTAATTTTCGGAAATTCACAAGGAAAAAGATGTCTTCTTATCCAGAGTTTGACAAAAAAGGCATATATAACACTACAGTGAACAATATCACTAAGCTTTGGATAATAAGTTCAAATAAAAGTTGAATAGCGCTCCATAATTCCAAAACAATTATTTAGCTGTACAGTTAATTCAGGAACATGCATGGCAGTGTGCACACCTACAGGTATGCCTCTGAAGTGAACTGCAAAATTGATCAATAATTAAGTATTTAATTAAGTGCCTTGCATTTACTTGCCTGTGATATGAAAACAGATATAAAAGGAAAGCACTGTGAAAATGGAGCAAATTGCAAATTCTTATTCTCTGTCTTTTTATCCAACGGTCCCTTACATCAAGCATTTCCTTGGTGCCCAGTTTCTTCCCCATTTTGGGAATGGATCATAGAAGCTATTACCAACCCCATAACTCTGTGCACCACCACAGTGGTGGACACCAGGGGGGGTGAGGTGGGCAACCACCCCCAAATACTTTAGAGGACAATGGTCTTTTGTTCTAAAACAATGGGAAATGATATGTCATCTTATTAAAACAAAAGGCTTGCCCCCAATATTTTATCAAGTGTCTGCCCCTGCACCACCCCTGCTAAAGACAAGGTGTTTCAATACTAAAATTCCCTGGACAAAAAACTTAAAGTGCTTTACAAAAACAATATGTTAAAACTTACAATCTCGAATTTCATTTGTGAAGAATATCTGGAGACCCCTTATCTTCCTTCCATCTGCCATAGAAACTAAAATCATAAGAAATCATTACTGATACCTGATAATGATAATTATAAGAAAATAATAAACTTTTGGTTAATCAAATTCCCTTCACATATATAACACTTCACATATATATTGTTTTGACTAACCTTTTTGAAGAATAAGTCTTTTATTCTTTTCATCAACTGAGTGTATGATCCCATTATATTTGCCTTCGTCAGTAAGTATCCAAATTTTTTTGCCAACATATTCTGTTCCCATTTTGCTTCAACAAAATGCAAGAGACTCTCCGAATCAGTGCTTCATTTGGAACATACTGTAAATATTTGAAATTTTTTTAGGAATGATGGAATATATTTTGCAGGGTTGTAGACAAGTTGGTAAACTTTTATGGAATTTTACCATGATGGTCATTATTTTTGGTAACATACTTCAGCAGAAAAGTGAAGGGGTAACACTCCCCCCTCCCTGCTCCATGTGTTAAGTGGCAAGCTGAGCTCCAAACTAGGGGAAATGAGGGTTTTCAATAGTAAAATTTACTTACAAAGACATAAATGAAGAAAAATATTTAGAAGCTATTTCACCTATAGTTAGACCATTTTAGAGACAAATACATGATTTTCTAGAAGAAGCTGTGATTTTAAGAGACAACTAGACGAACTACTTTAACAGAGAACTACTAATCACTTAAAGATTAAGATATACTAACACGGTTATGAGTCAATATGAGCTGTTAACTATGAATAAGATGGATTTAATAATATGAACAAGCCATGGCCAAAAGGGGAAAGCCCTATAGTAACGGTGTACCAACACAGAGATAATCTTTGTATGCTGAGGTATGCAATGTTGGTTGTGGCTTGCACGTATCTTATGTGATTCATGCTGGGCTCTGTTCTGGGTATTGATTTTTAAAATGATTTTTTTTAAAAACGAGACAACCAAGATGATATTGTTTGTTATGATACCAAACACTCAGCCTGGGAACCCAGGGTAATTTATATATTCACTTTGGAAAGCAATTTGTTCAACATTGATTTGATATATCACAAAATAATTAGTTCTCAAAAAGGGCAATTAAGAAACAACCCTCCAAATCAATGCAGAATAAATATTTATAATTTGGGCATTCTTAATTTTTTCAATGAACAATAAAAGCTGTGTAGTATCTGTTATCTTCCCATATCAATACAGCGTCAGTTCGCAACAACTTGATGGACAAGAAAGGCACAAAGCATCAAATTGGTATGAAGATTCAACACCGCAAGAGGTTGGTATAGGGATTTTTTATGTTTTTCTTGTGTAACCTACCTTTTTGGTTTTATTATATTGAGCAGAGTTCGGAAATGCCAAGAGATAAATATTCAACGCAAGTTATCATCCCAACCTGGTCTTAACGGACGTCATAAATTTCCCTCCGCATCCTGCATCCTGCATCAAAATTTGGCATGCAAAACGAGGCTATTGTGTCATGTCCTTTTCTGCATCATGCCCCTGCGTAGCAAAATGCTGACTGAGGTCGTTGGTGTAAACAAGCGCAAAAATTTGAATAACCACCGTGGAAGAAGCAAGAATTCCAGTCTTCAAATATAATGAGCGCCACAATCTTTTGGAAAAAAGACGAACCAGACGAATCCCAGATAAAGGAAGTCAATGTTCCTGGTGTGTTCCCAAGACCATCTTCAAATGTCTATGGTCAAACGGTCACTGCGTTAGCTAGACCGTGGCTTCGGACTAAAAAAGTAGGCCAACAAACGGCAACAAGAACTTTGATTGACCAATCGGATGAAAAGCCGCAGCAAGGTACAGAACACCAGTTAAAAATGAAGCAAGCAAACGAAAAAAGCAAAAAGAAAATTGCAATCAGCCTGAAGGATTTAAGTGGTGAAGATAAAAGGAGGGTGGCTAATTTGATAAAGGAGCTTGCAAAGGCCGGTGAGGAACGCAAGCTAGCTATCAATGCATTACACGAAGAGAGAATAGATTTCCAAGGGAAAGAAGAGCTCCTTAAGCAAGAGCAAGAAAAATTAATAATGGAACGAGACGAATTGAGGGAGAAGATTTTAGAGTATCAATTTCTTATCAACCAATACAGTAATCAAATTCAACAGAAACAAGACCAGTCCAAAGGCGAAATAAATGATAGAAATTCAAAGGGATCAGAATTAGGAGACAAGTATCACTCAAAAGAAACTGACAGTCATACTCAACTTCACTCTAATGATAATCTGAGAGGAACAGTAATTATGAAAGATCCTGATGTTGGTAAAATCCCAACGTATTATTCTGTAGCTGGACATGAACAAAGGGAATTTCAACAGATCAACCCACAAAACTCCCCAAAAAAATTTACAAAACACACTGAAAAAATTTCTAATCAAAATTTGAATACTGTAGAAAGATTTACTTGTGAAAGTTTGGATAATTCACTAAGGAATGGAACCAGTATTGGTGGATGTGATAAGCATGATGTTGAAGAATCAAAGTCTGGCACCAAGTCAATAGAAGCAGCAAATTCTGATTTTATAGCTCAAAATGTATTATTGACTCAACAAAATGCATTATTAGAACAGCAAAAATGCATTCAAGAACAATTAGCAGGCCTTAAAGAGTTGCATAAAAAGTATATGGAAGACATATCTTACATTGCCATGCAACAAATATCCCCAACGTGCCTCGGTAACAAAAGTGACATTGATTTAGAACAATCAGAAAAGCCAACTACTAGTGCTAGTAAAGATGCAGCTGTTTGTACAAGCAATTATCAAACTATTTCACAGGCAGTGCAATGCAATATTGAAAATTTAGAGTCTATAGAACAATCAAAAACTGACCATGAAACAGTTTTAAATCGTGTTGTTATGGAAGAAGAAGTACCAAAGCCATCACAAGCAAAATCTCTTCAAACGTCCATGAATAAGGAAATGCCAAATGATTTGAAGGGTGATTTGAGTAGCCAGACAAGTTCTATGGATCAGGCTGCTAGTTTGATCTTTCGTGGCAGAGATTTATTGAAGTCAAATGAATTAAGAAAACTAAAGTATCACCAAAGGCAGCCAAATTCACCAGATACAAAACAACTTGCTTATTTCAAAATGGAATCTCCAGTGAGCCTTCAAGCCAAGTCTAACATAAGCAGAAATAGCAGACCAAAGACTAATTTATGGGAGTTTGATTACGAGAACTTTGAAGATTTCCCACATAGAGATGACACTGACTTTGATAAGAAGGATCTTTTAAAGGTTAGTTCAAGAAGAAAGCAAAAAACATCTTTAGATACATTTCTCTCAGCAGAACCAAGTGTCAGTAGCTCTTCAAAGAAAGTATTTTTGAGTCCCTCTGCTGATAGAAAGCAATCATCTTTATTGAACATTTTTGATGAAATTGATCATGATATGTTAAACAATGAAGAACTTCAAGACTCATATGAACTGGGAAGTTACCTGGGATTTGCCAAAAATATTCTGCAAGGAAAAACTAGAAATGAAAATATATTTGCTAGTACTGACCAGTCAGACACTGAAAGTGAGGAGGATGAAAATGAACTCCTTTCTGATGTCTTTTATTTGCATAAATTTTAGAACTGATTTAGTTTAGTAAATTCTTCATATTGATTAAATCTTTAGTGATGGAAATCTTGAATTATTTAGATTTTTTGTTAAATAACCCATTAGGTTTGACTTTTGACAGATACAGGTCTCAAGTTTAGAAAATGCCTATTCTTTGCTTGGGGAAGCATATAATTAATAACATTCTTAAAAAGATCATTGTTGCATGACATCTATTTGTATAATGGTGATCTTCTTTTTTTATTCAATTTTTACCTCCACTGTCATCTAGTGTATCAGTAACAAAACAAGTATAAGATGATTATGACCAATCTTGCCAAATAAGGGCTATTTATATATCAGCAACTGCTGCCTCCTTTTAATTTAATTAGTGCTTATAGAACAGAGCTGCCTAAAAGCTTTTGATTTTGCAATTTATCACCATATTGTCCTTGGTAGTTAATACTTCAGTAATTGCCTGATTGTCTTATAAGTCTTTTAAATTGTGAAACTGGCCTGACTTAGGATCCACACATTCTTCTTTATTTCCAATTATGATACAGGAAATTTTGAAAAAAGTACAATGTGTATGTGTATGTTTAATGTGAACTGTGAAAAGCAAATGGATTTATCAATGGATTGTTTTGGAATTCCGGGGAATTTCATTCCAAAAGCTGATATATTTTTGACACAGTCCAACAAAGTTTCATACATTTTGCGTGAGTATCACATATTCAAGAAAAAAGGGGCAATAGAAAACTATAACCAATTAAGTACATAGAACAATAGATGTCAAGCATCTTGGAGCATTAGCGTAAGATGTTTTCTATGTCAATACGGTACATGTTTAATGAAATGTTCCTAAGGCAAATTAATTTTGCAGACTGTTTTTTCTAGGACCATGTAGTTTTGTGTTGTCTTCAAATTGGAGCAAAGTTGTCTTCAAAGTTTTTCTCCGGGATCCACAAACCTCACTCTTTTCTTCAATACCCCAGGTTACGAAAATTGGGGAAAATTCCGAAAAGAAATGAGAGGAAGACAAAATAGAAATTTTATTTAAAAAAAAAACATTAGCATAAATCTAAACAGAACTGAATTAAAATTACAAGTGAAACGGGAGCTTTTCACTCTGTACACATAATGAAAGAATCATGCTCTAAACTGGCTTCGTTTCCATGGTGTTTGCCTCTCTTGCGTGATTGTTCAATGTGGCCTAAGTACCGCATGTTCTTTTTGTCAGGAGCATTGTTGATTCCAGAACAACGATATGGGTTTTCCGAGAGGACGAGGCGGTGGAAGAGGAAGTTTTAGAGGTGGTGGAGGGCGCGGAAGAGGGAGAGGTGGCGGATCATACTATGATGCAGGACCTCCGGAAAAAGTTGTTGGTGAGTGGATTGTTTATTAATATGATGAAGATTGGCCCGTTTCATTTACCATTCATTCTCTTGTTGGGCCGGCACAGCTTATTCACACCCAAAGACAATTGGTATATTCTAGATTTTGTAGAGAAAAATGCAAAAATGAATAGATATTTGCTTTTGAAAGATTGTAAGGCATATAAAAAGCCATAATAAAAGAGATAATATGCAAAACGCCATCATTCTTTAACGTAAACAAATATCAATTAATATATCTAACATAAAACAAATATCTAACATAAAAGTGGAAAACAAAACTCTAAGAATCTTCTTATAAGCCCCAAATGTAAATATTTTTGTTTATAAAAGGAATGGCGATGCGAATTGTTATTGATGACCAAATTAAGTTTTTATGTGTATACTGCCTTTGTTGAGAACTAACAACTCACTTTTTACCAAAGCAAAATTTTGATAAAGATGAAGATTTTCCGATCATCTAGGGTATATTTAATTTTGCAACATGGTATGTAGACGAATTGTGTGAATGGAAGTGTTCTGAAAAAGAAATCAAAATCAATTTTTTCAAAAGTTTTTAGTATTTTAAGCTGTTTTCCTAGAAGATGATAATCGCAAATCTCCTTCTCTCTCTCTCTTCAAGTACCATGTCTGGCGAGGACGTTGGCGATCATGGCTCTCCACAGCTTCCTATCCCTTGTTCTTCTCATCAGTTCTTGTTCTGACACCTTTAATCTCTCCCTCTCAGGCAGTTGGGCTGCCATCCATTTGCTTAGACTACCTAAGTAGGTCAGCCGCTGTCTTCCTCTGCTCCTTTTACCCTCGATTCTTCCTGTTAGTGTCAAGTCAAATCTCCTTAACAAGCCAGAACTGCCGATACATCAGAAAAACAAGTGAATGACTGAAGGACAGATTTAATGAACACAGACGAGACATTTTCAAAAAAAAAGTAGACAAGTATGGTGTTGCAGAACACTTCTGCAGCCCAGTACATACCATCAATGACCTTACAATAAACCATTACTGCAGCTTAATGAAAAACGAGAAAGTGTTCAACGAGCCAAAGAGCAATACTTCATTGGCTTGGCAAATACTCTCACACTGAACGGCATGAACCAAACCACTGACCGTAAACCTTCAGCAACACACCATCATCATTCACATGATCATTTCTTCTACCACCCAAACATTTCTATTTTGTAATTGTTATCATTCCTCTCTATATTCCCATTATCATGGTCTTTTATTACTTTTTCTATTTTTATTTTTACTATCATTGTCATTATTATTATCATCATTATTTAATATCATAAGAACTCTTCTTTATTATTGCCGCTGCCCACCCTCATAAAACTTTCATTCCACCACCACCACCCACCTTCCACACTCATTACCTGTTTCTTCTTTGCTGTGCTGCATTAACATCATTTCACAGCAACCAATTCAACTCCACTATTGCCTCTTTTAAATTCCAAGTACATCTTTAGTCGGTTTACTTTTGCTCTGATGAAGCCCTGTATGCCAGAGTGTTTGTTGTTGTTCATTCTCGTTGTGACGCAATGTTACTTATTTACTACATTTTAAAGGCAATATACTTCACTTAATGAAATTAAAAACTTGATACACATTCACATGAAGCCTTTGCACAAAACTCTGAAAAATGGCAAAGCTAATAGTTTTGGATAATGAGCTCGAAATTGTACCAAAAAACAAATATCTAGGAATGCAGTTCAACACCACCATAGATTCTCCAAAAAGGTCTCCAAAAGAATTTGGCTTTCTGAAAGCTGGCAGGAAGCCTTCCTGTCAGAAAAAACTCGATTCACAAGTACTGCAGAGTCTCGCTTTCACTATTGTTGTATAAACTACCCTAATTATGCTACAGAATTTCGATGAACTTTCTAATGGCTTCCGTAAATTAGTATCTCATCTCTTATAAGAAATGCATTTTGTTTCAGAAATTGGACATTTTCTGCATCCTTGTGAGAATGAACTGGTCTGTAAATGCACAAATGAAAGTGTTCCTTACTTCAATGCACCAATCTACCTTGAAAACAAATCACAAATCGGAAAAGTCGATGAAATATTTGGACCAATGACAGACTTCATATCCTTTTCTAATGTGCATTATTTAAAGGTCTTTTGTTGTAACTTATAGGCCAGTTTCTACATTCAACAAGCAAGAAAGTTTCTTTAATGAAAAATCATTACCCACAAAGCTGTGATCTTTCTAGATGATTGTTTACTCAGACTCATCTTAATGTAACTGTTACCCAAAAAAATTTTAAGGACAATGAGCCTATTGACTGATTCTGTGATTCTTAGCATGGATAATTTCAGTCAGTAATTTATTTTAGATCTAGTTGATAAGATATGTTCCTTGACTGAAAACACTATTTTTCAGTAAAACTTTCAGAAAATATGCATGCATCCTCATTTAAAAGTGCTCAAAAGGTAAGATTTTGTGCCATTTTCAGAAGTGTGTATACTCATTTATTACAGATAGCTGAAGAAGTTTCTTCCCCAATTTTTGAAGTCTGGAGCTCTACCCTGACTTATTACATAGTTATCATTAGGTTAATCAATAAATCATTTTTAATGTTCTGACTCAATCACCATGATTTCACTAGGACATTTATCTGAATGTTCTAAACAAGGTACTAAACTTTTTTTACTCTATGCAACAGATTTTCAATTTCACTGCTAAAATTTCAATGAATGAGCATAAAGATTATACCCTGGAACCATTAGTGTGTTTAATAGTGATTTATTTTCCTAAAGAAAAACCTATGCGAGTGTTTCTGATGAGGCTTGATTCATTGATTTGATCATGGATTTACTAGACCCAACCTTTACCAATTATATGAACAATCAAATGAGACTATAGTCAATGATGAAAGAAAAGAAAGGGAATCATCTTCTCTCTCTATTTTTCTTTAAGTACCCAAGAAAGTTTGCATTGTTATGTCATACAGTTTCTTAAAAAACCTAGAACAGTTCAATCTTGATTTGAAGCAGAATTAGGCCATAATCTTTCAAGATTCAATCTTTTCATACTTTTATCACCCAATCCTTACAAAGACAAATTTCTGTTTGTGTTTACCCCTAGTTCTACATTGATCCATACAAGCTCCTGCCTTTATCAAGATTCCTACCAGGTCCAAAAGGTTAGTAGTTTTAGGATGTTAAGTCTTTCAGGTAACCATTCTTTTTTTAAACCTAGCTGATAGTCACACCTGAAAGCATCAATTCATGGTTTTTTTAAACATCAAATTATTATGTTTTCAAAAAGGTGCAAACAATGTGTTATTTTGCTCTTTTGATTCCACGTGTAAATATATTCAATGCAAACTTGGTTGCTGTCTTCCTTTTTGCATTAAGATTTTAAACCTAAATTTCAAATGAGCATTGTAATGATAAAAACTATTTATTCATTGTTTAAGATTTTTCATTAAATGAGTGAAAGTTTTTGTAGTAAATATATCATATCTCATGTTGGTTAATGATTATTGTAGGTGCTGGTCGAGGCAGCGGTCGAGGCGGCGGTCGAGGAACACCAAGAGGAGGAACACCCAGAGGTGGGAGAGGTAATACAAACATTTTTTCTTTTTCAAAATGTATTTTCCAAAAGGGTAAGAAGTTGAGGGGTCCCATTAAAGTTGATATTGAATATTTCGTATCTTTCTTGGACACATCAACTAGTTGAGAGGTTTAGTGGTCACTTTTTTTTAAAAAGCAGAAGAACCAATCAAACGCATCTTTCTTCCTCTTATCTTGTTTTTAGCTATAAATTTTCAGTTTAATTTTATTTTAATTTCAGCTATAAATTGTCATCATCTTATGTTTATGAAGAGTCTTGGAGTAAAAGTACTTCAGTATGCTATGTTTCCACTATGTTGTGCCATCTGTAAATAAATTTGGTTAGAAAGCACTGAGGAACTTAATATATGTATTGACTACCTATTAAGTGTTTAATGCAGGCTACTTTTATAGCTAATGTATTAATCAGATTTCACAGACCCTGCATTCCCTTTCTGGCTTTATATATTGTCTGTTGCATCTAAATTTTGCTAAACGCATTATCTCACAAATATGACAGCCAAATCTGAAAGCTTAGCCATTAGCTTTGTGCTATAGATGCACTGTCTGCCATCAAATACTTTTTGACTGTTGACTGTAAGTTGCCAGTATTTTTATCTTGGCTTGTTTTATTGAGATGAGATTTTTAAATTTTAAAAAAATGAAATTTGTAATTTCTATGATTTTGTTCTCAAAGGTGGTAGAGGTGGAAGAGGTGGTCGTGGTGGCTTCACACCACGTGGTACAGGTTTCAGCCGTGGAGGGCGTGGATTCAGTAAGTTTCTGTCTTTCTTATATTGTAGCCAGCAAGCCAAATTTGCATTCAATATGTTTGATTTTTAGATCGGAGTCTGTGCAATGTTGACTAGGGTCTAGTTAAAGATATAATTTGAGATTTGACAATCCAAGGGATATGATATAGTTTGAAAATGAAACCTAAACCTAAATTGTCTGCTTGTCAGTGTTTGATAACATCCTTTCCTTGGAAAACCTGATTATGTCCGGCACAGAAGTTTCTCACTGGGGATGGCTTGTCATATAGGGGTGTTTCTATGTTGGAGCTACATGCAAAAGCACTCTTCCTATCCAAAGCAATAAACCTAAAGTTTGTTTAAAATAGATTTAAGATGCATAGATAGATTTTTCTTTATTTACTTTAATTTATATCCTAGTAAAGATATGATTTGTAATAACCAGTAAATATATTTGTAAAGAGTCGTATTTCAAATGAAGACAGTTAACTATCTAGAGTGCCTTTCTTTGCTTATGGACAATTGTCCCTTGCCCCCCCCCCTTTAGCAGGCCTGGCAAAGAGAATAGCAAATTACAAAATGAAATCACATGAAATCATTGTCAGGATGTTTACAGGGCATTTTTGGGGCAAACTTGTTTTTCATTGTCAGCTTTTTCTGCTCTTTGTTTGATAGGAAGCTTGTACACTTCAAAACAAGGACTAGGAAACAGAGAAACCTTTTTAGTAGGATTTTTGACATCCAAATATTTTTAGCATTAGGGTAAATTACCAGTGAACCTTCACAGTGATTACAGTGATCTACAATCATTTTGAAACAAAACTAGTAGCACCTTCGAACCCAAAGAAAATAAGAGGAAATTTATGTGTACTGAGTAGCATTAGAAGGTGAAGCAGTGAAGCAGTGAATCAATGAAACATTTACCACTGAGAACCATTCTAGACAGAGGCTCTCACCAAAATACTGCTTGAAATTCAAATATTAAAATCCTGCTAGATCCAGGTAGAGAAATGCTAGTAGGGCCATATGAATCATTGTGTGCATCACACTTCACAATACCTCTCCTTAGCTAGCAAAGACACTGAGGAGCTATGCCTCAGAGTAGTGTGGTGGTCTTTCCTCTCAATTTGACAGAACAACATTATTCCTTTGCCTCAAAATAGAGAGGGCTGGTCACTCTCCTTTCTCCCAGTTTAAGTTTGGTAATGGCAGGACTCAAATCACGGACCCTTGGTCCCTGTAGTCCACAAACCTAACCACTGAGCCATCTTCAGATGACATTTTACATTCATTGGAAGAAATTATGCTAGAAAAGCCTAACATTTACTACAATTTTAAGGCAATTTATCACTGAAATTTTCTACATATTTTAATCCATTATCTTTCATAGATCGCGGTGGAGGAAGAGGTTTTGGACGTGGCAGATAGATTGGGCAGTAAATCAAGCCATTTCAAGCTCAAATTTTTATATTTCTGAAGCTGAAGAAGAGACAGCAACACGAAAAATGTTAATTCTTTTCCAAGTAAACTTGTCTTAAACTTTTGAACAAGCAATCTTTCTTTTTTTATCACATCCCTTTCTTGGTAACCGAAATCCCTCTTGATAGATACCTCTTGTTAGGTAGAATTACCACAGGATTTTTAGAGCCAAGGTGCCAGGAGAATAAGGGTGGGGGCAGGGGGTACCTCCCCACTAGAATAAACCATTCTTAAATGTTTTTGAAATTTTGTATCTGTTTGGCTGACCAATATTGGTTGCTAATAGAAAATTATGCAAATTTCAAAGAAACTTATCAGCACAAGTGAGAGTTTGCAAAGAAAGATTAGACATGGAGAGTTTTGTTATGCTAGTCAAATCAATGAGCAAATCGAATTTACAGTCTGCCAGTCCAAATCTTTAGACTTTGTGCAAGATAATTGCAACCTTACCATTTGCTATACCAAATACGAGCTCACCTTTTTAGTGCTCAAGTTTGTAAAAACAGCCTTCGGTCAAAAGTTAGCCAAGAGGGGTTCAATTTTCCAAAATGATAACCAAGTTTGAGCCTTAGTTATGATGAAGTAATTTAGGAACATACTGACACACTATTGCTAAGGAAACTTTTGATGAACTGAAAATCGTCCAGTTCATTTTGTTAGATTTTTATGATACTAGTTACAAATCCTATTTTGTGCATTACTTTTAATTACAAGTACTGATTATTGATGATTGCTATGAAACAAAATTTGAAAACAGATGTTAAACTGCAATTTTTTCCCAGCATTTTAGAAAAACCGAGAATCACCATGATAAAGTCATCACTTTTCAATAAGAATTTGGATGTCAGCAAATTTGCCAGCTAAGCCCCTTCTTTTGAAGTCACTTCCATGACCCCCCTACCGAGTGCACTTGTATCATAGTTCAATTGGATTATCTTTCTCAAAACTTTGAAATTGAAGGAAGGCTTTTCCAACTTGGATAAACAGCAGGGCATTGCCCATTGTCATGTTTCAACGGAAGATTCTTTGATGGACGATGCAAAAGTTGTCAAAGCCAGAAAGAATACATTTTCCAGGGCACACTAGCAGATTGGAGACCAATAGGGATTATGTTTGTCATAAAAAATATCACGATTCAAGTGCTGGTGTGCCCAAGCCCCTAGCAATAGAGGTTTATTATTAAAAGTTAACTGGAAAAAGCAAAAAATAGTTCGTACAAAATAGGTATTAGCTTTCATTTAGATAAAACAACACCTAGGACAACCCAACTCCTTCAGCTTTACTTGTATTTTAAAGCATTTTTCTACAACATTAGTGCTGCTAAAAAATCAAATTAAATGTGAACACTTATCTTCACTCCCCTTTTTGCACATCCAATTTGGTCAACAGTCTAAATAGGACATCAACCTTAATGCAAGCTAAATTTTGAAAGTTTTTTAGTGTGTGCTATTTACTAAAATATAAGCTGATGATAAATAGATATTGGGCTACAAAAACAGTTAAACAAAATCAGTTTGTCCTTGTTGTAAGAATTAGTTTTTGGAAGTTAAAGAAATAGTTGGAGCACTTTCAAAACCAATAGGAGCTCCCAATACCTCTGGCTGTTGTGAAAAAGCTTGAGTCTGTGGAGCTGCAGTTGCTTGTCCTCCCATTCTTATGAACCACCAGCTGTGGACATCAAGGGGGTATTTTGTTGTACTATGATCATCTCTTCTGTCCACATGATACTTAGCAGATACATCGGCTGAAACAATGACAAACCAACCTAAACTGGCACATAGTTTTAACAAATGAAGCAACAAAACACGACCATGAGCACCATCATGACCATCATAGCTGTACCTCCATGGATTTCCCTTCAGTTGTAACTCAATGCTGGGGCCATTTGCCTGTTCACATTGTATGCCAAACAACCAGAGTCGTCTTATCTCATTACTTATAGCCTGTACAGTATCTGTTGGGGCATTTATGATGCTTATTCTGTCAGTGTAATTCAGTGAAAGGCAAAATATGGGAGCCGCAATTGGGGGCCCAGCTTGAAAAGTAAGCACACTCTTGTCATCAACTGCTCTTGAAAGGTCAATTGCCATTTGTACCCTCCAGCCGATCCTCATCAATGCTTCAAAAATCTTGCACATAAGTAACCTTGGGTATATTGCCTCTGTGCCATCTGACCACCAAGGATAACCAGCAAGTTTGAATTCATAAGCATTGAAATGATAATTCTCTGCCTGAATTCCACCCGCCCAGAATTGAATCAACATGGTCTTTACACAATTGACTACTTCTTCAGGGCTATCCACTAGCCTCAGACGATCATACCCACTTAAGCTTATAGCAAATGCAGGTCTTCTTGAGCCATCTGTTGGTAAGTTTGGATCATATCTGAAGAACAATGTATCTGTTGTTCCTTTCAAATTGCTGCTGGCATAAAGAACCCACCTTTGTGCATCAAGCTCATTAATGAGAGCCTTCACAAGCGTCTTCGACTGAACATTTTCAGATCCACCTGCAGACATCCAAGGGTTTCCACTCAACTTTATTTCAAGAGCATCACTTATGGCTATAACATCTTGTATGTTCTTTGGCCAGTTCCTCTGAACAACACAATGAAACATCTGATGCATAGAGGCAGGAAAATCTACAAACTGTAACTTGTCAGTGCTGCTTACCCCAATGGCAGCAAAATGAAACTGGGCCTGCTGTGTCTGCTCTCTATGAAAAATCCATGTTGCCAAGTCTGTTGTTTGTGCTAGGTCACTTGAAATTAGCAACTTGCATCCCAAATTATATAATCTAAACAGCAGTTGACAACAGAGTTTCCGTAAGTTTATTGCTTCCTGAAGAGATGTATGTCCACAAAAAGGGTTGCCCCTGAGTTTGAATTCATGTGCACTAGCAAGCACATTTATTTCTTGTTGTATTCCTATAGCAATAGACAAAAATATACGACATGCTAGAGCAAATGAGATAGGGAAAGAAAGCAGGCCTTCACCTGCAAATATTGCATTAGTCTTGACTTATTCAGGAAATATTTGAAACCCTTGGTAAAGCCTATTCCTATAAGCCTAAAGTAAATGGGCCTGCCAATATTACATTAGACTTCTTATTCAATAAATGTTTCATAGGGAGTTCCATCTTAGAAAAGCAGATCAAACATTTGCAATTATAGCTAGTTTTATGTAGCATGTGTTTTGAAACGCTTGGCAAAGTCTGCCTCTCCAAACACATGAAGTGTTTACTTAACCTGAAAGCAAATATTTATTTTGAACAAACAACTTTTCGACATATTTTCAAGAATTGCAGATGTTACAACAATTTGCTTGTGTTGTGAACATCTATTCTTGTTAATACTGGCTCAAATAGATTATTTTGGTAATGCGATAGTGCCATGCAAAACACAAGTTTCAAGCAACAGATTTGTGGTCAAAATAATCAAGTCTATGTTGCCAAATTTGAGGCATATTTGATGTGGTGAAATACATGTATCTGGAAATTTTTTTGTTTTTTACATACCATTTGGCCAATGATGCATAATTGTTTCTCTAATTCCAGTCACTTCTTCATATGTTGGATATATAATTCTTATGCGATCAGTTGCTCTAAAAGTGATGGCCATGTAGTCAAAGCCATCAGGCATTGGGATCAAATTCGATTGATTTGCTCCCATTGTACCAAAAGATTTATCTCAACTGGTTCAGACCTGAAAATAGAATAGCAAACATTTTGATATATAAGTATCTGAATAGAATCTAAATATAAGGACTGACACATTGGGCTTGAGTGGAGTTGAAAACTTTACAAATAAATACTTTTTATAGAGCAAGCTCATTACAGCAAACAAAACCTTAACAGTTACACAACTGTAGAAAACAAAACCACATTATTAGTAAGCATAATAATTTTTTATGCCTAGCATTTGACTGAGATATTAGAGCCAGTTCTTAATGTGTTTAGGTATACCTAATATGGAAATACCTATTGGACTTTGGCATCATGGAAGTTATGGGATCAACCTCATGACTAGATGATTCATGTCCTATGACCTGTGTACTTACAAAGGTTAGGTGCAAAAGAGCAGGGAATGCTGATTGACTTAAAGAAGGCCCACCTAAGCCTAGCAATCATTATATTTAAACTATCATTGAGACACAGTTACAGTAAGCACATTCAAAGGTTGAACTGGTGGAGAGCAAATTTAGATGTCTATGTTGTGAAATCGTTCGTTTGAACGCTACCTTGAAATGAAAAATGGCCATGGCCTGCTTTACCTGCAGACAGTGCTATGTTCATAAATGTGTTAAATGTAAAGTTTATGAATTAGTATACGCATCACAGGTATCCAAGGGCCGTAGCTAGTGGCGTCTGTAGGGGTTTAACACCCCCCAATACTTCATAGATTCGTCGGTAAATCTTCAATTTGTCTACAATGTCCTTAGTTTGTTGGTAATATCATCTATTAGTAGGTGAAATAGCGCCTAAATTCTCCCCTATCTAAACAAATCGTGCTTCGATGCCATAATTAATCAAGCATCCTACCCGGGGCCTATCATCCGTTTAAGTATTATCCACATAAAACGATTATGCATAATGTCCAAAGAATTTTAAAGCCTACCAACGCAATTGTGTAAAGATGAAATCAACTGACGGAAACAGATGGAATTTCCAACTCTTTGCGACCACTTTCCCCTATCATCAAAGACGAGCTGATTTAAAAATTCTAGAAATGAATAGAAACATTTCCTCAGGGGGGAGGCAGGTGTACTATGCGTTTCTGCATTTTCTGCATAGGCATGCGTGTCTGCATGAGTAAAGATCTTATCTCTATGGTAGAGACGCAAATGCGTTTCTAATGCTACAGTGTAATGGCGGACATGCAGGGCCTAGCTGTGAATGGCGTGAAGCGCATATGTGTTAGACTTTCTTTTGCAATAAGGCTTTCAACGGGTGTGCATTTCCTAGCAACTTTTGATAAAGGTTCGTGGGCTGAAATGATTCATCACCACAAAACCATATTATAAGTTTAGACTTCTAAGTTAGAAAACAGAAATTAATTTGCTTACTCGGGAATGAAATACCAATGTAATAAAAAGGGCAGAAAGTTCCTTCAGAAAAACTGCCACAGACATCAGAAAGACAGTCATGAGGCTACGTTCCCACATCATCGAGAGCGAGATGGGCCGTTGGTGCATCGGCGCATATCGCACAACCTACTATAAGTCATTCACTAAAGGGGTTACCAAGAGAAGTTACCCAATAACCCCCAAATATGATTGATAATTGGGAGAAAATGGACAGGAAAAGCCTCTTTTCCCCACTAATAGTCAATGCACCAGTCCTACTCAATAGAATCAAAAAGCGCTAAATAGCACAAAGGATGTCTAAAAGTATGAGGGTATTTAATGATGCCGTAAAAGAAAACTCAATATCCAAAATTACTGAAAAGGTATTTTGCATAAAGAAACAAAACAAAGAAGGGAGGGCTAGGATAATAAAACAGCTTTCTTGTATTGTGGCTTCAACAAGCAAGGTGAGACCCACGCTATGCCAAAACCTTTAATACCTCTAGATTAACCAAGAGCATGAAAACGCCATGAAACTCAATCCTACCCTAGTTTTACAAATCAATTTCTCAGGAGACCGAAAGACTCCCTGTATTACCCATAAACTAGTAGCGCAGTGAAAGAAAAACGCAAGGAAGCGTGGCACAAGAGACCATAACGAATAAGTAAAAACAGTTATCTCAAGCGAATATTAGGAAAAGCTCAAAAGCCTCTCGTGAAAATAACTCTGATGAAATTTCATTCAATCATCATCTAGCTGATATAAAGCTGAGAACATGTGATAATATCATGCGTTATCTTCAATCTTCAATCGTTAACTCCTAAAGGCTATACAACCAATCTGGAGTAAAAAAAATGGAAAATTAACTTAGGAGTAGGATTAATACCATTTCCACCCAGCGCTCCAGTTATACAAATAAAATTCTGTATATTTACACAAAGAGCTTCCCCCAGATGATTTCCATAATTCACAGCCAAGGATATTAAATTAGTTGTTCATGTTGTTGATATACGACTAATCTGATGGCTACAGAACCAGAAAAACTTGTCACACAGATCAAGGAATCAACTTCTTGGCAATTTTGAATAAATCACGGTTAACATAGAATGCCTATCATTCTGATAAAAAGGTAAACCAGTAGAAGTTGATTTTCATCCTCCACAGCTCTATTTCTAGTATTGTTAATGCTTTGTTGTTGAAACTGCTTACCAGTCGCTTACGAAAAAGCAGAGAACTACTTGTTACAATAAACAAACCTCAAATTTTATAAATATCTTACATTTTATGCTGTTGCAAGCTTTGCATCTATGGTATTTTATAAATAATATTTTGAATAACTAAAGGGAGTCTGAATTTTTCAATTCTGGTTATAGTGTCTCTCGTACTTTTTCCTATAAAAATGACCGTTTGATTCGAGGCAAGTTGGTATTGGTAATTGTAGTTCATCAAGAGAGGTTAGATTTTAAGGAGTTTTTTCCACCATAGTTAGCTTTATGAAGCTAGAACTTAGATGTGATATTGTTTTATAGATCTCTACAAAAGCAAAAGCTTGAGGCATCATCAATATATACTAGTATAAGCCCTCTCGTGAATTCAGTTTTTCTTATTGTTCAAATTTCTTTCTCGAAACACCCAAATCAACAGGCAGTATCTAATCTGAGACATCAACGGTTTTAGTTTCTCCGCCTCCATGAAAATTGAAGTACGAGTCAAAGCATGAAGACTCTAATCAGCTGTTTTGCAGAACAGTTGGACAAGCTCAATCACCAAGGGTGTCGCGAACAAAGGGTGTGGGGTTTGGAGTGTTACAGCCCCCAATAGTAGTTTCATTGGAATTTTGGAAAATCATTTCAATGGAAGAAAGATTTTAGGTAGTTTAGTGTTCAGAGGTCAAAAAAGAATCATGCAATCACATGATGACAACATAACCTTTTTCCAAAGTCTATACCACTACGCCCTTTTTCAGTTACAATGATTGGTAAGAAGTAAGAAAATCTATGACAAGATATATTTCTTCGTCAAGTGTAGTAAAAATAAAAATGTCCTGTTTTTGGAATTTTCTATCATATGTGCTTTGCTTTAGTACCTATAAACAGGAACTGCAGAGCAGGTTATAACAACACCAACAGGATTAGAATTATCAGGCCCTTTCCCGCCCCAAAATTAATTTTGACTGATTGACCAAATTATTTTTCCAATTGTATCCTGATTTTAATATGTTTAAGTGAGTGTTAAGCCGCTTAATGGGGATTCTATGGCTTGTTCTTAGTGTGTTCTTGGGGGTGTTCAGCCTGTTCTAGAAGTGTTCAGTCAACGACGGGTCTTAAACATTTCATAAATAACGGTTCCAATTTGGTTTATTAACAATCTGCAAGAACTTTTTGAAAAGACTTTGTTATAGTAATTCGACGAGTAAAATCTTGAAACATAAGACTCAATCCTAAAATAACTCGGCATCGATACAGCGTGATCATTATGTCATTAACAATTTCCTAAATGTAATAAAATGGAAACACGAAGATTAAAATCCTCATTACAAGCCAAATTGTTAATTTCCCTCAGCTAATGTCCTTGATAAGAGCAATTCTTAACCAAAAAGATGTCATCAAGAAATATAGGTGAAACATCCCAATAGCTGTTGCAACAAACACCTAGATTATTTGGAGAAAACTGAAGCATATTACAATTTGAAGCACCGTGCATTTTCTTGTCGTGAGCATGGCCCCTTTTGAGAAATGTCCCACTTGTGAAGTGTTACGTTTACGGAATTCAGAGGTTGTAATTGTAATTTTTGCTGTGTTGTCGCCTTTTTTTGTCGGCAAAAACTACTTCTATTTCTTTACCAAACCAGAAAAATTTTGGCTTCACCCCACGGCTCCAACTTGAAGTAGGCCAGGTGCAAGGTGAGTTGTCTCGATTCGATGTTACTACACCACATGATTCATATGCCTCAAAATAGAGAGGGCTGCCAACTCTCATCATGCTAAGTTAAAGTTTGGTAATTGCAGGGACACAAATCACGGAACCTTAGTCAACTGTCACGGACTCAAATCGCGGAACCTTGGTCTGTAGTCAACAAACCTAACCACTGAGCCATCTTCGTCCATTGTCTATATTGATAACTTATTTGATATACCAAATTTTACTGCAACAATGCAATAGGAGCAATTGTATCAAAACTTTGGTTGTTTTGTCACTAAAAAAGTGACATGTGAATGTTGGTTGTTGTGAATGTCAAACAACCATGTTTGACATTCATTTATTATTGAAATTATCTTGTGTACCCGGACAGAAATGCATACTAAATTGTATCACAGAATTTTCTATTCTGTGATTGTAGCCAGGCACCGCGCAGCCTTTGGGCTGGCAGGGGCTATACTTCCCCCCTCCCACTTTTTTGCAAGAAAAGGCTAGAATAATTTTAGCAAGGTTTTCTCTAACACAACTTTGGATAGTTAACTCCTATGTTACATAGTCCAGGTAAGGGGGGGGGGGGTCTGAATTTTTTTTGCCTGAAGAAAAATAACGCCGAAAATTTCAAGTCAAGAAATGATTAAAATGCAACGTAATTAAAATAATGTTAAATAATTAGCATTTTTAAAACTTCACACATTTTCATTAAAATAAGCGAATCTCTTTCGCGACAGCGACCAAATATATCGATTATTTTATCGATATCTTTTTGTGAACATGATTTGCATCATTTTCAGCAATTCACACACTTCTTTGCTTACCTGCCTATTCTTGTGATTATTGAACAGTTTGTGTTCCATTTCTATGAGGTTAGAAACTCATAATCTAATTGTAGAAGGAGCAAACTTTATGATGATTTCTGTCGAAGGGTTAGCATTCACACTTGCGTAACACAGTTTAGAGCACCTTGATTCAGCGTTTTTTAACCTTTTCTATCCATGGCACATTATTTACGGATATTTATTGATTTTTTTCAATTTTATAGACCAATTAAGTGAAATTAGATAATTTTCCACGGTACACTAGGCAATACCTCAAGGCACACGTAGCAAGGTACACTAGGCACGCGTAGTGTGTCGTGTCGTGACACAGTGGTTGAAAACACCAAAGGGCCCCCACCAAAAGGGGACCAAGGTGCTTTTACGTCCAGATCTTTAAAGCTTTGCGCCAGTTCAAATAACTTTTGAAAACTTTGAAAGCTCCTCAACTGAAGCTCTAAAACTCAGTTCTCCCTAGCTAACAAGAAAATAATTGTCATTTTTATCTTTTTCTATTGTGTTTAACATGCTCTACACCATTTAATGTGATCTTCTTGCTGTGTGTGAATAGAGTCTCGTAGCAGTATTCTGCTTAGGGCCCCAGATGCCTCCGTTACGCGTAAGCACATTAAATGCGATAGTCACTATCACTAAATCGTGCATAGATTTCTTCCAAAGCTTTATCCATTACATTGTAGAAACAATTAAACAGAGCTTTGCTGTCTAGGTGGGTTTTGCGTTCTTCATCCTTGCAAAGGAAATAAGTGTCCTGTCCACTGTCTTTCCCCCTCTGTCAAGCCCAGTGCGTTGTGCAAATTGAATTTACAGTCTGCCAGTCCAAATCTGTAGACTTTGTGCAAGATAATTGCAACCTTGCCATTTGCTATACCAAATACGAGCTCACCTTTTTAGTGCTCAAGTTTGTAAAAACAGCCTTGCGGTCACAGTTAGCCAAGAGGGGCTAAATTTTCCAAAATGATAACCAAGTTTGAGCCTTAGTTATGATGAAGTAATTTAGGAACATACTGACACACTATTGCTAAGGAAACTTTTAATGAACTGAAAATCGTCCAGTTCATTTCGTTAGATTTTTATGATACTAGTTACAAATCCTATTTTGTGCATTACTTTTAATTACAAGTACTGATTATTGATAATTTCTATGAAACAAAATTTGAAAACAGATGTTAAACTGCAATTTTTTCCCAGCATTTTAGAAAAACCGAGAATCACCATGATAAAGTCATCACTTTTCAATAAGAATTTGGATGTCAGGAATTTGGATGTCAGGAATTTGGATGTCAGCCCCTTCTTTTGAAGTCACTTCCATGACCCCCCTACCGAGTGCACTTGTATCATAGTTAAATGGAATTATCTTTATCAAAACTATGAAATTGAAGGAAGCCTTTTCCAACTTGGATAAACTGCAGGGCATTGCCCATTGTCATGCTTCAACGAAAGATTCTTTGATGGATGATGCAAAAGTTGTCAAAGCCAGAAAGAATACATTTGCAGGGCACACTAGCAGATTAGAGACCAATAGGGATTATGTTTGTCATAAAAAATATCACGATTCAAGTGCCGGTGTGCCCAAGCTCCTAGCAATAGAGGTTTATTAAAAGTTAACTGGAAAAAGCCAAAAATAGTTCGTACAAAATAGGAATCAGCTATAATTTAGAAAAAACAACACCTAGGACAACCCAACTGCTTCAGCTTAACTTGTATTTTTAAAGCGTTTTTCTACAAAATTAGTGCTGCTAAAAATCAAATAAAATGTGAACACTTATTTTCACTCCCCTTTTTGCACATCCAATTTGGTCAACAGTCTAAATAGGACATCAACCTTTATTGCAAGCTAAATTTTGAAAGTTTTTTAGTGTGTGCTATTTACTAAAATATAAGCTGATGATAAATAGATATTGGGCTACAAAAACAGTTAAACAAAATCAGTTTGTCCTTGTTGTAAGAATTAGTTTTTGGAAGTTAAAGAATATTCAAAAGTTGGAGCACTTTCAAAACCTCTGGCTGTTGTGAAAAGGCTTGAATCTGTGGAGCTGCAGTTGCTTGTCCTCCCATTCTTATGAACCACCAGCTGTGGACATCAAGGGGGTATTTTGTTGTACTATGATCATCTCTTCTGTCCACATGATACTTAGCAGATACATTGGCTGAAACAATGACAAACCAACCTAAACTGGCACATAGTTTTAACAAATGAAGCAACAAAACACGACCATGAGCACCATCATGACCATCATAGCTGTACCTCCATGGATTTCCCTGCAGTTTTAACTCCATGCTGGGGCCATTTTCCTCTTCACATTGTATGCCAAACAACCAGAGCCGTCTTATCTCATCAGTTATAGCCTCTACAGTATCTGCTGGGGCATTTATGATGCGTATTCTGTCAGTGTAATTCAGTGAAAGGCAAAATATGGGAGCCGCAATTGGGGGCCCAGCTTGAAAAGTAAGCACACTCTTGTCATCAACTGCTCTTGAAAGGTCAATTGCCATTTGTACCCTCCAGCCGATCCTCATCAATGCTTCAAAAATCTTGCACATAAGTAACCTTGGGTATATTGCCTCTGTGCCATCTGACCACCAAGGATAACCAGCAAGTTTGAATTCATAAGCATTGAAATGATAATTCTCTGCCTGAATTCCACCCGCCCAGAATTGAATCAACATGGTCTTTACACAATTGACTACATCTTCAGGGCTATCCACTAGCCTCAGACGATCATACCCACTTAAGCTTATAGCAAATGCAGGTCTTCTTGAGCCATCCATCGGTAAGTTTGGATCATATCTGAAGAACAATGTATCTGTTGTTCCTTTCAAATTGCTGCTGGCATAAAGAACCCACCTTTGTGCATCAAGCTCATTAATAAGAGCCTTCACAAGCGTCTTCGACTGAACATTTTCAGATCCACCTGCAGACATCCAAGGGTTTCCACTCAACTTTATTTCCAGAGCATCACTTATGGCTATAACATCTTGTATGTTCTTTGGCCAGTTCCTCTGAACAACATCACGAAACATCTGATGCATAGAGGCAGGAAAATCTACAAACTGCAACTTGTCAGTGCTGCTTACCCCAATGGCAGCAAAATGAAACTGGGCCTGCTGTGTCTGCTCTCTATGAAAAATCCATGTTGCCAAGTCTGTTGTTTGTGCTAGGTCACTTGAAATTAACAACTTGCATCCCAAATTATATAATCTAAACAGCAGTTGACAACAGAGTTTCCGTAAGTTTATTGCTTCCTGAAGAGATGTATGTCCACAAAAAGGGTTGCCCCTGAGTTTGAATTCATGTGCACTAGCAAGCACATTAATTTCTTGTTGTATTCCTATAGCAATAGACAAAAATATACAACATGCTAGAGCAAATGAGATAGGGAAAGAAAGCAGGCCTTCACCTGCAAATATTGCATTAGTCTTGACTTATTCAGGAAATATTTGAAACCCTTGGTAAAGCCTATTCCTATAAGCCTAAAGTAAATGGGCCTGCCAATATTACATTAGACTTCTTATTCAAGAAATGTTTCATAGGGAGCTCCATCTTAGAAAAGCAGATCAAACATTTGCAATTATAGCTAGTTTTATGTAGCATGTGTTTTGAAACGCTTGGCAAAGTCTGCCTCTCCAAACACATGAAGTGTTTACTTAACCTGAAAGCAAATATTTATTTTGAACAAACAACTTTTCGACATATTTTCAAGAATTGCAGATGTTACAACAATTTGCTTGTGTTGTGAACATCTATTCTTGTTAATACTGGCTCAAATAGATTATTTTGGTAATGCAATAGTGCCATGCAAAACACAAGTTTCAAGCAACAGATTTGTGGTCAAAATAATCAAGTCTATGTTGCCAAATTTGAGGCATATTTGATGTGGTGAAATACATGTATCTGGAATTTTTTTGGTTTTTTTACATACCATTTGGCCAATGATGCATAATTGTTTCTCTAATTCCAGTCACTTCTTCATAGGTTGGATATATAATTCTTATTCGATCAGTTGCTGTGAAAGTGATGGCCATGTAGTCAAAGCCATCAGGCATTGGGATCAAATTTGATTGATTTGCTCCCATTGTACCAACAGATTTATCTTAACTGGTTCAGACCTGAAAATAGAATAGCAAACATTTTGAGACTGTTGCAAATAGAAAAAAAATTCTAGAATCTAAATATAAGGACTGACACATTGGGCTTCAGTTGAGTTGAAAACTTTACAATTAAATACTTTTTATATAGCAAGCTAATTACAGCAAACAAAACCTTAACAGTTACACAACTGTTGAAAACAAAACCATATTATCAGTAAGCATAATAATCGCCTTTGTTTTATGCCTAGCATTTGACTGAGATATTAGAGCCAGTTCTTAATGTGTTTAGGTATACCTAATATGGAAATGAATACTGGACTTTGGCATCATGAAAGTTATGGGATCAACCTCATGACTAGATGATTCATGTCCTATGACCTGTGTACTTACAAAAGGTCTTGTGCAAAAGAGCAGAGAATGCTGATTGACTTAAAGAAGGCCCACCTTAGCCTAGCAATCATTATATTTAGATAATCATTGAGACACAGTTACAGTAAACACATTCAAAGGTTGAACTGGTGGAGAGCAAATTTAGATGTCTATGTTGTGAAATCGTTCGTTTGAACGCTACCTTGAAATGAAAAATGGCCATGGCCTGCTTTACCTGCAGACAGTGCTATGTTCATAAATGTGTTAAATGTAAAGTTTATGAATTAGTATACGCATCACAGGTATCCAAGGGCCGTAGCTAGTGGCGTCTGTAGGGGTTTAACACCCCCCAATACTTCATAGATTCGTCGGTAAATCTTCAATTTGTCTACAATATCCTTAGTTTGTTGGTAATATCATCTATTAGTAGGTGAAATAGCGCCTAAATTCTCCCCCATCTAAACAAATCGTGCTTCGATGCCATAATTAATCAAGCATCCTACCCGGGGCCTATCATCCGTTTAAGTATTATCCACATAAAACGATAATGCATAATGTCCAAAGAATTTTAAAGCCTACCAACGCAATTGTGTAAAGATGAAATCAACTGACAGAAACAGATGGAATTTCCAACTCTTTGCGACCACTTTCCCCTATCATCAAAGACGAGCTGATTTAAAAATTCTAGAAATGAATAGAAACATTTCCTCAGGGGGGAGGCAGGTGTACTATGCGTTTCTGCATTTTCTGCATAGGCATGCGTGTCTGCATGAGTAGAGATCTTATCTCTATGGTAGAGACGCAAACGCGTTTCTAATGCTACAGTGTAATGGCGGACATGCAGGGCCTAGCTGTGAATGGCGTGAAGCGCATATGTGTTAGACTTTCTTTTACAATAAGGCTTTCAACGGGTGTGCATTTCCTAGCAACTTTTAATAAAGGTTCGTGGGCTGAAATGATTCATCACCACAAAACCATATTATAAGTTTAGACTTCTAAGTTAGAAAACAGCAATTAATTTGCTTACTCGGGAATGAAATACCAATGCAATAAAAAGGGCATAAAGTTCCTTCAGAAAAACTGCCACAGACATCAGAAAGTCAGTCATGAGGCTACGTTCCCACATCATCGAGAGCGAGATGGGCCGTTGGTGCATCGGCGCATATCGCACAACCTACTATAAGTCATTCACTAAAGGGGTTACCAAGAGAAGTTACCCAATAACCCCCAAATATGATTGATAATTGGGAGAAAATGGACAGGAAAAGCCTCTTTTCCCCACTAATAGTCAATGCACCAGTCCTACTCAATAGAATCAAAAAGCGCTAAATAGCACAAAGGATGTCTAAAAGTATGAGGGTATTTAATGATGCCGTAAAAGAAAACTCAACATCCAAAGCTATACTGAAAAGGTATTTTGCATAAAGAAACAAAACGAAGAAGGGAGGGCTAGGATAATAAAACAGCTTTCTTGTATTGTGGCTTCAACAAGCAAGGTGAGACCCACGCTATGCCAAAACCTTTAATACCTCTAGATTAACCAAGAGCATGAAAACGCCATGAAACTCAATTCTACCCTAGTTTTACAAATCATATTCTCAGGAGACCGAAAGACTTCCCTGTATTACCCATAAACTAGTAGCGCAGTGAAAGAAAAACGCAAGGAAGCGTGGCACAAGAGACCATAACGAATAAGTAAAAACAGTTATCTCAAGCGAATATTAGGAAAAGCTCAAAAGCCTCTCGTGAAAATAACTCTGATGAAATTTCATTTAATCATCATCTAGCTGATATAAAGCTGAGAACATGTGATAATATCATGCGTTATACAAATAAAATTCTGTATATTTACACAAAGAGCTTCCCCCATATGATTTCCATAATTCACAGCCAAGGATATTAAATTAGTTGTTGATGTTGTTGATATACGACTAATCTGATGGCTACAGAACCAGAAAAACTTGTCACACAGATCAAGGAAGCAACTTCTTGGCAATTTTGAATAAATCACGGTTAACATAGAATGCCTATCATTCTGATAAAAAGGTAAACCAGTAGAAGTTGATTTTCATTATCCACAGCTCTATTTCTAGTATTGTTAATTCTTTGTTTTAAGGTTTGTTAATAAATTAGAGCTGAAAATGCTTACCAATCACTTACGAAAAATCAGAGAAATACTTGTTACAATAAACAAACCTCAAATTTTATAAATATCTTACATTATATGTTGTTGCAAGCTTTGCACTTATGGTTTTTTTAAATAATATTTTGAATAACTAAAGGGAGTCTGAATTTTTCAATTCTGGTTATAGTGTCTCTCGTACTTTTTCCTATAAAAATGACCGTTTGATTCGAGGCAAGTTGGTATTGGTAATTGTAGTTCATCAAAAGAGGTTAGATTGTAAGGAATTTTTTCCACCATAGTTAGCTTTATGAAGCTAGAACTTAGATGTGATATTGTTTTATAGATCTCTACAAAAGCAAAAGCTTGAGGCATCATCAATATATACTATTATAAACCCTCTCGTGAATTCAGTTTATCTTATTGTTCAAATTTCTTTCTCGAAACATCCAAATCAACAGGCAGTATCTAATCTGAGACATCAACGGTTTTAGTTTCTCCGCCTCCATGAAAATTGAAGTACGAGTCAAAGCATGAAGACTCTAATCAGCTGTTTTACAGAACAGTTGGACAAGCTCAATTTCTTATTCAGATTGATGCCTAATTGCTTCTACTCATCACCAAGGGTGTCGCGAACAAAGGGTGTGGGGTTTGGAGTGTTACAGCCCCCAATAGTAGTTTTATTGGAATTTCGGAAAATCAGTTCAATGGAAGAAAGATTTTAGGAAGTTTAGTGTTCAGAGGTAAAAAAAGAATCACATGATGACAACATAACCTTTTTCCCAAGTCTTTACAACTACGCCCTTTTTCAGTTACAATGCTTGGTAAGAAGTAAGAAAACCTATGACAAGATATATTTCTTCGTCAAGTGTAGTAAAAATAAAAATGTCCTGTTTTTGGAAATTTCCATCATATGTGCTTTGCTTTAGTACCTATAAACAGGAACTGCAGAGCAGGTTATAACAACACAAACAGGATTAGACATATCAGGCCCTTTCCCGCCCCAAAATTAATTTTGACTGATTGACCAAATTTTTTTTCCAATTGTATCCTGATTTTAATATGTTTAAAAGAGTGTTAAGCCGCTTAATGGGGATTCTATGGCTTGTTCTTAGTGTGTTCTTGGGGGTGTTCAGCCTGTTCTAGGAGTGTTCAGTCAACGACGGGTCTTAAACATTTCATAAATAACGGTTCCAATTTGGTTTATTAACAATCTGCAAGAACTTTTTGAAGAGACTTTGTTATAGTAATTCGACGAGTAAAATCTTAAACATAAGACTCAATCCTAAAATAACTCGGCATCGATACAGCGTGATCATTATGTCATTAACAATTTCCTAAATGTAATAAAATGGAAACACAAAGATTAAAATTCCTCATCACAAGCCAAATTGTTAATTTCCCTCAGCTAATGTCCTTGGTAAGAGCAATTCTTAACCAAAAAGATGTCATCAAGAAATATAGGTGAAACATCCCAATAGCTGTCGCAACAAACACCTAGATTCTTTGGAGAAAACTGAAGCATATTACAATTTGAAGCACCGTGCATTTTCTTGTCGTGAGCATGGCCCCTTTTGAGAAATGTCCCACTTGTGAAGTGTTACGTTTACGGAATTCAGACTTAAGGTTGTAATTGTAATTTTTGCTGTGTTGTCGCCTTTTTTTTGTCGGCAAAAACTACTTCTATTTCTTTACCAAACCAGAAAAATTTTGGCTTCACCCCACGGCTCCAACTTGAAGTAGGCCAGGTGCAAGGTGAGTTGTCTCGATTCGATGTTACTACACCACATGATTCCTATGCCTCAAAATAGAGAGGGCTGCCAACTCTCATCATGCTAAGTTGCTGGTAATTGCAGGGACGCAAATCACGAAACCTTGGTCTGTAGTCAACAAACCTAACCACTGAGCCATCTTCGTCCATTGTCTATATTGATAACTTACTTGATATACCAAATTTTACTGCAACAACGCAGTAGGAGCAATTGTATTAAAACTTTGGTTTTTTGACATTCATTTATTATTGAAATTATTTTGTGTACCCGGACTGAAATGCATACTAAATTGTATCACAGAATTTTCTATTCTGCGATTGTATCCAGGCACCGCGCAGCCTTTGGGCTGGCAGGGGCTATACCTCACCCCCACTTTTTTGCAAGAAAAGGCTAGAAAAGTTTTAGCAAGGTTTTCTCTAACGCAACTTTGGATAGTTAACTCCTATATGTTACATAGGTGTACGGGATTAGTCCAGGTAAGGGGGGCCGAATTTTCTTGCTTGAAGAATAATAACGCCCAAAATGTTAAGGAGTATACTTTAACACATGTGAGCTTCTAATATTAGTCAAGAAATGATTAAAATGCAACGTAATTAAAATATTGTTAACTAATAAGCATTTTTAAAACTTCACACATCTTCATTAAAATAAGCGAATCTCTTCCACGACAGCGACCAAATATATCGATTATTTTATCGATATCTTTTTTTGAACATGATTTGCATCATTTTCAGCAATTCGCACACTTTTTTGCTTACCTGCCTATTCTTGTGATTATTGAACAGTTTGTGTTCCATTTCTATGAGGTCAGAAACTTATAATCTAATTGTAGAAGAAGCAAACCTTTATGATGATTTCTGTCGAAGGGTTAGCATTCACACTTGCGTAACACAGTTTAGAGCACCTTGATTCAGCGTTTTTCAACCTTTTCTATCCACCGCACATTATTTACGGATAGTTTTTGATAATTTTCAATTTTATAGACCAATTAAGTGAAATTAGAGAATTTTCCACGGCACACTAGGCAAAACCTCAAGGCACGCGTAGTGTGTCGTAACACAGTGGTTGAAAACACCCAAGGGCCCCCGACCAAAAAGAGCCCAGGGTGCTTTTACGTCCAGATCGTTAAAACTTTGCTCCAGTTTAAATAACTTTTGAAAACCTTGAAAGTTCCTCAACTGAAGCTCTAAAACTCAGTTCTCCCTAGCTAACGAGAAAATAATTGTCATTTTTATCTTTTTCTATTGTGTTTAACATGCTCTACACCATTTAATGTGATCTTCTTGCTGTGCGTGAATAGAAGTCTCGTAGCAGTATTCTGCTTAGGGCCCCAGATGCCTCCGTTACGCGTAAGCACATTAAATGCGTAAGTCACTATGACTAAATCATGCATAGATTTCTTCCAAAGCTTTATCCATTACATTGTAGAAACAATTGAACAGAGCTTTGCCGTCTAGGTGGGTTTTGCGTTCTTCATTCTTGCAATGAAATAAGTGTCCTGTCCACTGCCTTCCCCCTCTGGCAAGCCCAGTGCGTTGCGCTTTGTCCCTATTAGCTATGACGGTTCATGTTCAATTTTTCTCTTCAAAATACATGACATTTGGTGTTGGCCTCAATGAAATTGTAAAGACCTTGAGCAACACCAAGTCCATTTCTCATTGACTCACTTTTTGCAAGATTTAACTTATGTCTAAGGCAGTGGACATAGATGCTCAGCGGAGAACAGTCCTCCATTCGCTTTGCCAAGCCCTCAGCTTTGCCGCTCATTCAGACCGTCAAAGCATTTGCCAACAAGTTTCTACATACGCCAGGGTTCAGTTCTAAAATTTAACTTAAATGAAAAATTTAGAAAAACTTTTGCAGTAAAAACAAAGAAAATTTTAAATGATAAAACACAAAAAGATAATAAAGGTGGCGCTCAAATTAAACAAAGACCTATTGGGATATAGAAATTATAGATATAGAAAGGCATCTGATGTAGAGGAAATATAATCTTTGCTCAACTTCATAGTCGCTGTATCGTTCTTGAGTCACACATACACGAAGCAGGAAATTGATAGTGTTCAAGCAGGAGAGCCAGTTTAAACTCTTAAATAAGGGAACATTAAACATTCAGAGCAAAAAATAAACCATGTCACCAGTTTCGAATTTAAATTTTATAGTTGTATGGTCAAACAACATAGACAGAACGCTAACTTGGAGAAAATTTAACATTTACTTCTCAAGCTGCTGTGCAATTGCTCAATTGCTATTTATACCTTGCTTTATCGTCATCAGTTTCGTCCGTCTAATTGGCATAGCTCGAAAAAAGACGATATTGAAGTTTTAAAAACATTACATATTACATCGCTATTAAATGTCGCTCAACAAACACAATTTTGTTTTCAAGATTCTATATAGTTTACTTTGGTTTCTTGCGATTCTATAAAACCAAAAACTCAATGGTTGTGCTATGCTCGAAAATTTGTTTTTCTAATATAATGTACTGTATAATTTTGCTTCCAAGTTGAGTTAGAATCTACTTGCTTTTCCTGCAAATCCTCAAGGGCGTGGTCAGAAAAAATTTTCCTGGGGGTTAAGCCCGGACCCTCTGCTGTCGGACTTCTCTTTGCCCCTCCAATCTTCCAACCCTGGCTGCGCCATTGGTCTGGAGCACAAGCTATCTGTACCTGCGCATCATGTACATTTTGTTTATAATTATAAGAACAAATAATTATTCCTTCAACAGAGTGCTCCCGAGAAAATTGTGCAACTCTAAATTTTCCTTAAAAAACCCTGACATACGCTTTAAGCCGAATTTGCACAATTGCTGGGAACCGAGTTTTGTAAAATAAAGCAAAAACTTCCTTTCGGACACCATTCAGTGTAAAATTGACACAAACTGATATTTGTTCGTGCTGACGAAAGACAGATGTTTCATCAATTATGACAGTATCGCAGCCCTTTTCTTTTACTACTTCGAAAATCTTTTCAAGCACTAATTGGGCTGTTGCTGCTGTTGTCGCTTTTTTGTTTTTTCACCCTATAGATTTTTACCAAAAAGATGATCTTTGATTTTAACCATATTCCATTACTTCCGAAAGCGCTCACGATTACGACCACTTGATTTTTTTCATCTCAGAGATTTTCAAACGTGTTCAAAATGTAGTTTTTCTTATAATTTTTGTTTTTGGAGAAGGTCCTGTCCGAATTTTGAAGGCTGAAGCCCTCCCAGCCCCCCGTCCCGTAAGCCTATGCCTATGAAGTAGCAGTTCTTCTTGACTGGGAACCTTCTTTGTTCATTTTCTAGGTGTTTTATCTTGTTTAATGATATTATGTATTTTCTAACTTGGTTAGCTTGGTGTTTTATTATTTTCAAGCTAATTTTAATTATTTTTATAGCTATTGATATCATCTCTGAACCTGACTGTTAAAAATTTCAGTAGAAATAAGCAAGTGTTCTTGAGGAGGGGCGTTTTCCCGCGCTCTAGAGGGCGTGGCCTCAATGAATTTTCGGGTACACCCATTTCAGCCCCTCCACTTTTGACTGGCGCGCGGTCCCTGATTGTACCATTCGTTTTGGTTACTTATTTACCGAAACGCATATGTCACCGTAACGACCGAGGGGCAAGAAGATCAGTCTTCAGGAAAACATTTGAAAAGTCATTTTATTTTGATTTTCTGTAAGCATCTTGAAAACTGCTGTCATAAGCATTTTAACAAGTTGATAATAACTAGATATTAAGCAATAAAAATATTAAAACAAAACCCATACCTTGTCAGTGTAAATTTAAATTTTGATAAGTTGAAAATAAACATTTAAGGAATTTTAAAAACCAATAGGAGTTCCTTATCCATAGTGTCTCCTTTTCTCTTGGGCTACTGTGCAAAAGCTTGAATCTGTAGAGGTGCAGTTGCTTGTCTTCCCAATCCTATGAACCACCAGCTGTGGACATCAAGGGGGTATTTTTTACTACTAAGATCTCGTTTGTTCCTACGATACTTAGCAGATACATTAGCTGAAACAATGACAAACCAACCTAAACTGGCACATAGTTTTAACAAGTGAAGCAACAGAACACGCCCATGTGCACCATCATGACCATTATTGCAATTACTCCATGGGTTTCCCTTCAGTTGTAACTCCATGCTGGGGCCATTTGCCTGTTCAAATTGGATGCCAAACAACCAGACCCTTCTTATCTCATTACTTATGGCCTGTTCAACAGCTACTGGGGCATTTATGATACGTATCCTGTCAGTGTAACTTAGTGAAAGGCAAAATATGGGAGCCGCAACTGGAGGCCCAGCTTGAAATGTAATCACACTCTTGTCATCAACTACTCTCGAAAGGTCCATTGCCATTTGTACCCTCCAGCCGATCCTCATCAATGCTTCAAATATCTTGCACATAAGTAACCTTGGGTATATTGCCTCTGTGCCATCTGACCACCAAGGATAACCAGCAAGTTTGAATTCATAAGCATTGAAATGACACTTCTCTGCCTGAATTCCACCCTCCCAGAATTGAATCAACATTGTTTTTATACAGTTGGCTACAACCTGTGGGCTATCCACTAACCGCAGACGATCATCACCCCCAAAGAATATAGCGAATATATGTCTTCTTGAGCCATCCATCTGTAGGTTTGGATCATATCTGAAAAACAATGTATCTGCTGTTCCCTTCAAATTGCTGCTGGCATAAAGAACCCACCGTTGTGCATCAAGCTCATTAATAAGAGCCTTGATAAGTGTCTTAGACTGAGCATTTACAAATCCACCTTCAGACATCCAAGGGTTTCCACTCAACTTTATTTCAAGTGCATCACCTATAGCTAATACATCCTTAATGGTCTTTTTCCAGTTCCTCTGAACAACATCACGAAACATCTGATGCATAGAGACAGGAAAATCTACAAACTGCAACTTGTCAGTGCTGCTTACCCCAATGGCAGCAAAATGAAACTGGGGTTGCTGTGTCTGCTCTCTATGAAATATCCATGTTGTCAGGTCTGTTTTTTGTGCTAGGTTACTTGAAATTAACAACTTGCAACCAGAATTATATAATCTAAACAGCAGTTGACAACAGAGTTTCCGTAAGTTGATTGCTTCCTGAAGACATGTATAATCACAAAAGGCATTACCCTTGAGTTTGAATTCATGTGCACTAGCAAGCACATTTATTTCTTGTTGTATTCCTATAGCAATAGACAAAAATACAGAACATACTGGAGCAAACGAGATATGGAGAGAAAGCAGGCCTTCATCTGCGGATACTTTTAAACTTTTACAGCTTAATCATGATAAATCACAGTCTTGATAAAAAAGTGGATGTGTTTACCAGAATTACCAATGTTATATATATATGAGATATGCTGTGTTTTAAAGCTTTTAGAAATAAATTTTCGTGACAATTTTGCCACAAAAATTTGCTTGTGTTCTGAACATCTTTTTTTAATACTTGCTGAAATAAATTCTTTAGGTCATGTGAGCTATGCAAAAAATTATTTTCAAGCAATGATTTTGCGGTTTCTCAACAGCGATTTTACCTTGAATATAAGCAATAAGAAAGTAGCTTAAAATGCTTTTAGAGTTGAAAGAATTCAAGGTGAAATGATAATTCTGAACTTTTAAATGGACAATTGGGGATGTAATTCTTTGTCGTCAAACTTGAGGCATATTTGATGTGGTGGAATATCTGTCTCCAGAAAATGATTTCATTTTTACATACCATTTGGCCAATGATGCATAATTGTTTCTCTAATTCCAGACACTTCTCCATAGGTTGGATATATAGCAATTATGCGATCTGGGTATCTAAAAGTGATGGCCATGTAGTCAAAGCCATCAGGCATTGGGATCAAATTTGATTGATTTGCTCCCATTGTACCAACAGATTTATCTTAACTGGTTCAGACCTGAAAATAGAATAGCAAACATTTTGAGACTGTTGCAAATAGAAAAAAAATTCTAGAATCTAAATATAAGGACTGACACATTGGGCTTCAGTTGAGTTGAAAACTTTACAATTAAATACTTTTTATATAGCAAGCTAATTACAGCAAACAAAACCTTAACAATTACACAACTGTAGAAAACAAAACCACATTATGCATAATAATCGCCTTTGTTTTATGCCATTTGACTGAGATAATAGAGCCAGTTCTTAATGTGTTTAGGTATACTTAATATGGAAATACCTATTGGACTTTGGCATCATGAAAGTTATGGGATCAACCTCATGACTAGATGATTCATGTCCTATGACCTGTGTACTTACAAAAGGTCTTGTGCAAAAGAGCAGAGAATGCTGATTGACTTAAAGAAGGCCCACCTAAGCCTAGCAATCATTAAATTTAGATTATCATTGAGACACAGTTACAGTAAACACATTCAAAGGTTGAACTGGTGGAGAACAAATTTAGATGTGTATATTTTGGCATCCATTAGTTTGAATGTTGCCTTGAAATAAAAAAACCATTGCCACATATGTCCTCATGAATAAAGAGCCATTCGTATATGTACACAGGGGGCTCAAGCAAACTTCTTTCCTAGAAATTCCGATAAATTCTGGGAATCGGCCCCCGTTATTTTATCATATTCCTACAGATTTTGAACACTGTGTCCTGAAGATATCACATAAAAACGTGTTTCTCTATGATCATGATGCATATATATCCATTCTTCATCCAGTCACAACAAATCAAGCACGAACATGCATAATGTCCAAATAATTTTAAAGCATACCTCTACGCAGTTGAGTAATCAGCTGGTTGAAACAGATGGAGGAAAATGATACCGATTCTTGCTCTTTTCCCTTGTCATTGAAGAAGACGAGCTGGGGATAAAAAAGATTCGATAAATAAATAAAAATGTTTCCTCCTGGGATTATTTACCGTCCGTCAATGCCGTCCTTTGAACAATGTTTGAAATTGATTGGTTGGCTTTTGTCCTATGTTTGCTTCCCATGGCGCAATGTTTCGTTAATCGGTAATCCCGATGAGGTGAAGAATAACGCCGCGCATGCGGGAAAATTTCTGCCCCTGTTTGGAGGCAGAGAGGGGGGGGGGAAATTGCCTTTTGGCAGCAATGCAATGATAAACAGGAAATTTCGTCAGCAGTCTAGCAAACAAGGTAACAATAATTTTTTGTTTTGATATGTAATCCTGGTGGGTCTTTGACTCAAAATCCCTCAGGTGCCCTAAAATCAGGGGACTGGTAGTCACGTGATCAATCATTATATTGTCCCTGGTCATCGAAAATTTTTTCATCATCTAATTTTAAAACCAATGATATGGTTCAAAAGAACATTCATAAATGATGAGACAATCACAAGAAACAATCCCTTGGAAAACAAACCTGTCAAAAGATATGACTTCTTAAATTATTGCGAAATTACATCATCGAACGAGTACAGGGTCTTTACCATGTCTTTTCTCGCTTACTTCTAAATGTTTTGCTAAATACTAAACTCAAAATGGCTCAGGATTACTTTGTTGATGCTTACGGTGCACTTGAAGATTACAGTCCACTTTTGGCTTCCTTCTTGTGTACGCTTTTGTTAATTATTTACCCCAACCTTGCATTAATGTGAGTGGTATCTAATCAGTTGTTAGCTGCCTTAATTCGGTTTCTATAGCCTAGTAAATGCGTCTACTTGACATCCTAGCTTCGTTAATCAGTGATTTTGGAAAACTCGGTAGTGATTAATAATCACTACCGAGTTTTCCAAAAGAAACAAAATATGAGTGTGGCGGCATTTTGCACCAAGCAAAAAACATTTTTTAATTGAAAAAGCCATTCTGAGATTTAGCACTTGTCAAAACAATGAGAAATAAGCAAGAAAAAACAAGGTCAATATTTTGTACTCGTTTGATGACGTAATTTTCGTAATATTTTATCTTTTGACAGGTTTATTTAACCTATAAGTCTCAGAAACTTTTTCACCTGATACTCATTTTTCCAAAGAGGCGCACAATTTCCAAAAAAAAAGGCGCCAGACTTGCTTCAACTCGGTGAGGGAGGGGCAATTCAACTGCCATAAACAACGATAAATACAACCAATAAACAAGAATATTTATCGAAACATTTCGTACCGATATTATTTGCTAGACTTTCAACTATTGTGAGCAAGTTTGCTCTTTGATGGCGCTTAGCATCTTGGAAATTCTGCGAGAAGAATGTGCTTAATATTTTTCCAAATAATAATTGTTTGTATATCCACTAAAAGATTAAAATACAGAGTTACAAGATACTTTAAGAAATTACTATACAACTATGCTATTGAGACGTTACTCCGGGGAGTAGAAGGATATGACCAACCCTAGACCATTTGGACACAAAATTAAGATTAGTAGCGGACCCAGAACAAATTTGAAGAGGGACAGTTGATAGTGGAGGCACTGAACAATTTTTGTATTGTACGCTTCATATAACAAATCTTCCACTGATTAAAATCAAGATTTAAACCTTGAATTCACGACCGAAAAGAGAACAAAAAAGAAACAAAAAAAAACCTTTTCTTGAATGAGACATGGTGGTTGCGTCTGTTGGGTTTTTAACGGAGTGTTAAATCAAATCGGCTAGACTTTTGGTTAAATTATAGAGTAAGCAGGAGTACGTTTTGAATTTGTTTGCATAAGTAACAAACATCTAGTTCGCGAAAATAATAAATTATAAGGATAGTAAGAATTTAGCAAAAAGGAAAACTCCAAACAACTCACACATAAATTGTTTTTCTTTTGCTTGTAAAGGCAAATCTTCTTTTATAGGATAGATTATTGTGGATATCTTTTTACAATAAGAAAACAATAAACAAGGTAATAAAGAAATCTTAATATTTGAGGTTGGTTTCTGCAATGTTTTGCTTAAGCAGTTACATCGGTCATTTGTATTGATGTTTTTGGTTTACAGTTTCTACTGCTGTACAGCTTTAAACGTTATTTGCGACTGATGCTATGGCCTTGACTAGATTTAATCTTAGCTCATTGTGAGCCGAACCGTCATACGTGTTGCCAAGAAGCAGCTGCTTGATGACAAAATGGCAGCTTAAATCCAATATATCGTTTTCATTAAAATGAAATAGATTTAAAATTGTTTTTCTTTTGTTTTGGTCGAGGACTGATTAAGCTCTTTGGGAAAAAATAAATTATTCTATTTTATTCTTTTAAGCAGCTAGAAGCCTCTCTACACTTACGGGACAAAATTATTAGGATAATCGCCTTGAAAGCAAATGTGGTTAATCCTTTGCTGTATACTGTAGGAGCGAGGAAGCTGTGGAATCCTGCAGAAATTATCTAAAATTTTCTAGCACATCGTATCATCAGGCAAAGAATAATGTAAATATGTTCTTAGTAGCTCATAAAGATCATTTAGAGGAAAATGTTAGGCTCTATTTATTCTTTCTGTTTTGAAAATAAGCTCATTTGATAAGTTATTCAGTTTTTTAAAGAAACTGTATTTCTGAGAGACCTTGGGCTTGACCTAATTTCGCAAAATGTTGCGAAAGCAATAGCAAAAGTAGAAGCTTGCTAATCTTTGGAATTAACAAGGGGGGTTCAGCTCAGCACACAATATCGTCAACTTTTTAAATTAGTAGGTGTCATCAGCTATCAGTTCTTGCCAACTTCTAAACTTTTTATTTCAGTGTATTTTAGAAGATCTTCTGTAAGTTGTTTTGAGACTTCCACAGAAAAATACCATCTACACTACCAGGGCAAAAGTATTGCAACACCCTAATCAAAATGGCATCCAAAATAATTCAAGTTTTAAAACTTATAGCATTACGCTGAAACATTCCCCTCAAAAATAAACAAAATCATGCTAAACCAGGAATCAAATTTTTTTAAAATTTATTGAGGATTTCGAAATGCTTAAAGTTACAATATTAACGTAAGAAATTACACAGTTATAAGAAAAACATCTGCTGTGGTAAAATCTAAATATTATCAGGATACGGAGTGAGTGTGACATTTATAGGCCTATAGACTAAGTTTAAATACCGTCATTGGTTACTATGTTGTTTTGTAAAAATATTTTAAGATTTTTTTCAAGATTGCTTGTTATCATAATTACTTTATGTGATGTTTGAACATTGTATGTAAATAGTTGTAATGTAGTTGTAATAGGATACTGTATGTTGAGGAATTTCAAAATATAAAAAAATTAGTAGGAATTTCAAAATATAGAAAGTTTTTCCTTTTGTCTGCTCTTATTTTCTCGTTTTTCTGGTGTTTTTAATCATTTTTGGTTAGATTATATGTTAAAGAGATGAGTCCTTTGGTTTACTATGAATCAAAGACCCCATAATGTTTCTCTTGATAAACTTGTAAACTGTACCGCACTCTATCATGTCTGTTTAGCACGCATGTTCTAGGACTTTTTATATCAATTTGTAAAAAACGTTATATAATTAGAATCAAATTCTCCTTTTTTGAATTCTACTTATCCTTATTTTTATCAGAGGATTTTCACTGAACAAGTCCTGTTTAAATATTACTTATTATTATTAACTATCATTAAAATAAATTGTCAGAATATTGCAAAACGTTTGATGTCTGTTTCTGCGTTACTTTTTCGCAATAAAAATGTCATATTCATACAACCACCTTTTGTAAACCATGCTAAATTCTTTCAATTTTTTTGGATCAAATTTTTCGTTTTTCTGAACAATGGTCTGTTCATGTAAGAATATGCAAAAGTGGTTGATGCTTGTTTCAAAACATGGTTGGTTTAAAGTCTGTATAATGTATCAATGCTCCATTTGTTACAATCCTGATACTGGTTCAGACCTTCTCCTCTTTCAAGAAAATGCTCGATATTTTCGTTCCCTTGTCAGAATTCAAAACTTTTGATATTTTAGCTTCAAAGAGGATATCTTACATTTCTTGAAAAGCTTTTCGTTGCGATTACATCCATGTTATTTGAAATCTGCTGTTGGGGACACAAGTCAATTGTTGCTTTCCCTTTTTGCCATTCTTTAGAGTCAGCAAATTTCTAATTGGATTTGAGCACCTTGGAGTGATTCTTGTCAAATTTAGATTTATGGAAGCGGGCTGGCTCGTTTACCGAGACAAAACTTACGTTGGTGGGCAATCAGCTCCATGTGGAAAGAGCTGTCTCGGCAAGCGGGCCAGCTCGGCTGCATTTGCCGGCGCATTACAGTTCTGCGCACTGTATGTAAAAAGGCGGTACATGTAGAAGTAAAATGACGCGGCATCATCGGCATCACTTCCATGTGATAGCAGCTCACTTTTTACGTGCAACAGATCATAGCCATGAGCTGACCCGTTTGCCGAGCCAGCCCGTTTGCCGAGCCAGCCCGTTTGCCGAGGAGCCAGCCCGTTTACTGGGCCAGCTTGCCCCATATAATCAGGTCCTAAGCCGATTTGTGTCGAAACATAAAGATGTTCTTTTCTTCTTCGTGTTGGCTATTCTACTTCGAATGATTACATAAAAACCTACTCTTTTGTAAAAGAGTTTTGTCGTGAATTGGATTGCTACTACTAACAACAACTATTGAACTATATCATCGATTTTAAATGCCGCTCTTTTTACACTTGCTCCGTACTTCTAAACGTGCCCCGTGCCGTGCCGTAAAAGCAATGCTTAGGGATATACAATAATGATTATGCACCTAACTTGATGTCGAAAATGGCTTTGAAAAAAGCAAACATTTTATAACATTTTGGCTATAAGCTTTTTTGTCTGAAACTTCAGAATAAAGATCCGAAAGAACACGCTGAAAAATATATACCCAGTTTTGGATCGAAATAGGCCAACCAGAAAAACGCAAGCACAAGACCGGTATATTGATGTCGCTTAAAATTTCCCCACAGTCAACACAACTTTAGGGGAGATTATGGAAGCGCTTTGGCCACGTTCGTTCAATTTACGGGACCCTGCTAACTATAAACAAATATGCAGAGAAAATTCCTGTTCCGAATAAAATGTTTGAGGATCTTAGCGTTCCTTACACGGATCTGAAAGCAGAGTGTAGAATCTTTCCTTGGGTGCTTAAAGATGTGAAATAAGCCAGAAAGGAAGCCAAGTCAGGTTTAGCGACTGTTGCACGGATTTTTGCACAAGAGAATGGAGAAAGTGCACTGATTCTTATAGTGTTTATAATTGTAGTTACTGCAGGCTTCATTTCAACGCGTGTGGAGTGCTTGTTTTCTGCATTGGTATATTCCGCTCAGCAGCGTTCTATGAAGACAGAAGGATTGCAATCCTGCTTACCTGGTATATGAAAATAAGACCTTGCTGGAAGACATTACAATTGAATTTTGTTTACTTAAATGAAAATTATAAGAAGAAAATTGTTTAATTGATGAAAACGTTTTACAGCCTTGTTTGCCTGTTTCTTTTCCCTAACCAACCACCCACCCCACTCTTCAAAAACCTAACTTCAAAACCTCACCGACATTGGAAATTGGAAGTTTTTTATCTCTGCTCCACAGGTATGGCTACAGGCTTGAATTCTAGTAACCAGAAGGAATTCATTGCGATGCAGATAAATTTTTCATCCAGCAAAAAGCTTAAATGAAAAGGTTAAATTTTTGCTAATAAAAAGGTTTAATAATTAGCTTAAATTTTCCAAGACCATACTTTACGAAAAGAAGGTTGTATGTGAAGCATGGAATTTCAAAATATCGACCGTGGCCGCAGAATGCTTTTTTCTTTATCCGTGTAAAACAAACATATTCAACATAACACGATTTCAAATATGTTTCTATTATAGCCTAATCTTTATGGACTCCGACAGTAACAGTACTTAAAGGCTAACATTGCTAGAAGCTCTAAAATTTATATAAACTTATTATAACATTGAACGACACGCTGAGCCAAAAATTTAAAAAGCGGGGGGCTCTTATAAGAACAGGGAGCTATAAGATTTTTGAAAAATAAATAATGGGGGAATTTATTTATTGGGGGCCTTAGAGTAAGCTGATCAGTTTCAATTATTCCAGGTTTCAGAAATCGACATCAGGTTTGCCTTTTTTTATTTTTCTGATCCTTCTCTCTTTGAAGGCATCATCTGCTTCCGGAAATACTTCAAGGAGCCATTCTTGCTCCTTTGCTTTCGATACCGAATGTTCCCGTCGTTGCTTTTTGTTTATCCAAAACAAAGCAGATGAAATAGGGTCAAATTCTGATAGGCTTGGCATGTTTGAGACACATACAGATAATTGAACTCTTTCTTGCGTTAGCGTAAGAGGATGATATAGAGAATCGATATAGAAAATAAATGACAATAACCCCTGTGCAATTATTGAACAGAGTAAAAGTTTGGTGAATCTAGGCTACCTTTATGCAGTCATATCTCCAGTTTAGGAGCGTAATTCTAAAATGCGCACGATGAAAATCTAGAACGACCCTAACATATTGAAATAATTATAGCCTTGAGATTATTTCGCTTGCAGCAGTTCGAAGTTTGTAGTGCACTTTCATGCAGCTTGGTGGCTGTTTGGTCGCCATTTTTGTAATTGTCGCTAGATTCAGTGGTCAAGCTCTGATTGGCTTTTATACCATTTGAGAGCAAAAAGCTGATTGGTTGTAACATTTTTCGCCCACAGATTAATCTGGACCAAGGAACTTGCGCTACGATTCATGGATGTTTTGTACTGTTCTGTTATGTTATAAAGTTTCAAAACTCTATCAACAGAAAAACATATTTATAACAAAAATAAAGCTAAAATGAAAAAACCCATTCCACAATTTTGAATTTCCAAGACCACATTTTGGATTTCCAAGACCACAAAATGTGGGAAAAACCAAACTAAAATAGGCCCTGTCACCTACATTGGAAATTGGGAGTTTTTCAATCCGCTCCACAGGCATGGCTACAGGCTTGAATTTTAGTAACCAGAAGGAATTAATTGCGATGCAGATGAATTTTTCATCCAGCAAAAAGCTTCAATAAAAAGGTAAATATTGTGCTTTTAAATTTGTGTTAATAAAAAGGTTTAATAGTTTGGAAAAATCGACACATGGCAGCTGGTCTCTTTGGTAAAATTGAAGCATAGTCATTATAGATAGCTACAACTTTATATTATCTGGCTCTGTTAGTTGTAAAGAAGTGCTTTATAAATAATTTCCAATGTACGAAATGGACAAGCTCAGACTCCTTGAGAAAAACAGGTGCCATTTGCATCAGTTAATTATTAACATGAAAATCTATATAAATGCATAATAAAATGTAATCGTAAATAGCTTTAGATTATCACAACACTCCTATCTTGGAGGAAATAATGCAAGAACCAAACAAAGGTGAGGAAGGGAACTACAATAAATTTATTTGAATTAGGGGTGAAGATACTGGCAATATTCTTTAGATAATTTTCTTATTCTGCAATGAACATGTTGGTTTTCTGTTTTCTTTCTAAATTTAAGTCGGGCACATGAAATTTTGAACAGAAGACTTAATGGTAGATACGGATTGTCTGATATCAATAGCTAATTTTATATCACTGGCTTTTGAATCACGGGAATCTTTTGGGAAGTCCTCTACGTGCATATCCTCGTAACGTAAACTTTCTAGCTCATAATCATTTTTTCATCTGTTTATCTTTGTATTAGCTGTTTGCTGTTTTCTGAGATTTATTATTAATTTGTAATTATGTTAACTTGTATGTATAATAATTGTGCTGGCTGTTTTCTGACATCTATTGTTAATTTGTAATTATGTTCTGAGATTTATTGTTAATTTGTAATTATGTTAACTTGTATGTATGGTAATTGTGTTGGCGATGGGCCATTTCAGCCTACAAGCCTTATTGCAAAAAAAATGGAAATATGACATTTGTAAACTATAGGTTGCTTAATCTCATTGAACAGTGCAGTCTGAAGATTACAATAAAGAGAAATATTTGAATATGTAAACACTTGAACATGCTTTATGTGCATAGCAATAGTAAATTGCAAAGATTTATTTTGAAACATCTGAGTAAGATGGTGGGGCACCTGCATAACCAGTAAGCTGCGCTGTTGGAGTCCCAAAGACCTGTGCATTTTGTCCCTCCATACCAAACTGTGTTTGTGGAAAAGGAGCAGGTGCTGGTTGCCCACCTATTCGCATAAACCACCAACTGTGGACATCAACAGGGTAATCAGGACCCTTGTCTTGATGAACATACTTAGCAGACACATCAGCTGAAAGTATTATGAACCAGCCTAAACTGGCACATAATTTCAGCAAGTAAAGCAACAGAACACGCCCATGAGCACCATCATGACCATCATAGCCATAACTCCAAGGGTTTCCATTCAGCTTTAACTCAATGCTTGCCCCATATGGCTGTTCATGCTGGACACCAAATAGCCAAAGCCTTTTAATTTCATTACTTATAGCCTGTGCAATGTCTGGTGGGGCATTAATAATGCGAATCCTGTCAGTGTAATTGAGCGAGAGGCAAAATATGGGAAGCACCATAGGCGGTCCTCGTTGAAATGTGAGCACACTTTTGTCATTCAGCTTTCTGGACAAATCAATTGCAATTTGTACCCTCCACCCAATACTCATTAAGCCTTCAAACATTTTACACATGAAAAATCGAGTATCTACTGCCTCCGTGCCCTCTGCCCACCAAGGATTACCAGCTAGTTTGAATTCATAAGCATTAAATTTTTGTTTTTCTTCTTGTATTCCACGGCCCCAAAATTGAGCCAGCATCATTTTAACACCATTGACAGCATCTTGTGGGCTATCTATCAGCCTTAAGCGATCAGTTCTGTTCAAGCTGATCACAAACCCTGCCATTCTTGAACCATCTGTTGGTACGCTTGGGTCATATCGGAAAAATATTGTATCTGCTGTCCCTTTCAAATTACTGCTGCCATAAAGAACCCACCTTTGTGCATCAAGCTCATTAATAAGAGCCTTGATAAGTGTCTTGGACTGGATATTTTCTGCACCACCTGCAGACATCCATGGATTCCCATGTAACTTTATTTGAAGGGCATCACCTAAAGTTTTAATGTTTTGTATAGCCTGGGGCCAGTTGGTCTGTACAATACCTTGAAACATCTGATGCATAGAGACAGGAAAATCTACAAACTGCAACTTGTCAGTGTTGCTTACCCCAATGGCAGCAAAATGAAACTGGGCCTGCTGTGTCTGCTCTCTATGAAAAATCCATGTTGTCAGGTCTGCTGTTCTTGATAGATCACTTGAGAGCAACAATTTACAACCCATATTGTAGAGACGAAAAAGCAACTGGCAGCCCAGCTTCCTTGCACAAACTGCTTCTTCAAAAGAGGTCAAAGCATAAAATGGGTTGCCACGTAGCTTAAATTCATGGGCATTACCCAAAAGATTTTTTTCCTCTTGAATTCCTGCAGGAAAATAATCACAACTTGAAGGGAAAGATTGGCAGCAATGAAAAAAACAAAATATAACTTGAATAAGAAATGACAAATACAGATGCACATTTTTTACGCTGTTGTGAATTACTAGTATACCTATTTCTTGTGCTTCTGAACACCCCCCTCCACAAAAAATTATGAAAATTTTTTGTTTCCAATGAATACTTCCTCTTATTCCTATAATTCTTCGGCAATGGTTTTTCCTGTAATTCTACTTTTTCCTATGGTACTATTGCAGATCACAGATTATTTTGAAGCAAAAACCATTAACTTATGATCTCTCATCTTGACCAAAGAAAACTGTTGAACAAAGGTTGGGAATAAATTGGGCACTTGGTAACCCCCTGCTTTCTATATCAATCTGCATTAAACGGAAGAAAACATTTGACTAAATGAGACAAGACTGTCTAAAGTTCAAACTTTTGTCTAAATCTGTCATTGTTTGAAATTTGTTTATTTGAAATTTGTTGGATGTTGACCTCTAACCCCTACCAAACATTTACCAAATTTTGCACTTGGCAATGCCCTCTTCCTGATAATTTTAACGCTCTGTGTATTTCCAATCTAAGTAAGAAAATAGGTGAAAATCCATGGACCTCAGAGTTTGTGAAGAACAATATTAACGCTTTTTAACATCATTGCTATAAAAAATACTCTAACATTAAGAAGAATCTTTACATATATTTCTGAACTACACGTCTGATAATTTGCACCTCTGAAAAATTCATCCTTGATACAGAACAATAAAAAAAACCTTAAACCTATTTTTCAGTTTATTATAAACACATTCAAATTTTTTCAATTAAAAATAAACTTGACAAATCAATTTTGAATCACCACAAAAAAACAATACATGTACTAGTCGCATAATATATGTACATTTAAAAGTCTCATAATGAGCCATTTTACTACCTACCTCTTGTCCAGTATTGCATAATAGTTTCTCTAACAGCATTAACTTCTTGATCTGTTGGATATATCAGTCTAATGCGATCAGAAGCTCTTAGAGTGATTGCCATATAGTCAAAGCCATATTGCATTGGGATCAAACTCGACTGATTGCCTCCCATTTTAGTATTCTTTGATAAATTTAGACCTAGAAACAGTTAGAAAAGACATTTAGGTGAGTCAAGATTAGCAAAAGTGATATCCAATTTGCTATGTTTAGAAATGAAGTTTAATTGATGATGCAGAGATATTGGTTTATACGTTATTACACCAGCAGGTGTAAAACGCAGGTCATGTAGGTTGATAAAATGCAGGTTAAATCGTGCCGGTCCAAATTAGGGGCCATGGGTAAAAGCTTTCATGCTTACAGCCTATTGACGTTGCTGTTTTGACTTTGTGTTCTATAAAAGTTGTCACCCACTAATGTGTTGAGCATCGATAAATCCACCAAGAACAAATAAATTTGAAATATCGGCAAATCATCATTTGCTTCCTGATGCTTCCTTTTCAATTGCTGCTGGAGCTAGTTATTGTGTGCGACAGAAATTCCCAACATGTAGTCATGTGGTGGCCTGTGGGTGTTGCAAAGTCTGAACTGATGGTTTAAGTAACACCAAACTATGGTCCAGAGTTTTTTCTATTGACTATGCTTTCATATCCCATTGATCCGCAGAATAAAGTGCAGAATCTGGCTCATTCCTGTAAGAATTATTGTGGGACGAGATCCCGGAGAAAGGAGAGGAGGGCAAGGGGGAGGAGGGCAAGGAGGAGGAGGGAATGCTCCTATTCTTGGGCTTATTGATCATCGTGCTCAGTGTCAGTTTGTGGTAATTGGTAAAATTTATGGGGTACCCTAAAACCTTGAATTACACCCATGGAGAACTATCAATTCATTTAAATTTTAGTAGCAAAGCATATATCAAGCAACAAAAAGATATTTAAGTCAAAAGATATTGACATGTTTATTTTCTTCGACTGAAACCGAAACGAGGTATTTATCTTGATTCAGCCTCTTTGAGGGCTTATCATGACATGTTCGGGGATGGCGTATTCGAGGGTGGGGAATCAGTAACAATTTTCACTGCAAGTATGGCTTTTTAAAGAGGACATTGCCAGACTTTTCTTGGAACAATTAGTTATAACGGAAAATCTTGGGTACACTTTCAGGGGTGATTCTGCGACAGGGTATGGGTATAGAGTCAGGCCAATATGCTAAAAAATAAGAACAACATAAGAGACATGGCAATCTGTGATTCAACAGGAAAAAAGAAAAAATATACTAGCAAAAATTGAAAAAAGCAATAGCAACAGAACAATAGGTTAAGCAAATAAACATTGAAACAACTTTTTGAAAAACTTATTATAAAAAAAACCGAGAGCAAAGGATTCCCAGAGGATTTAAGATAGAACAAACGGATTCTTAAATGGAAACGGAAACAAAGAGTAATTTGCCCCTCAAAATAAAGTTTTTCTTTTGACTATGACAGAGCCTTCGTGAGGGGGGGGGGAGCGTGGTTGGCACTATTTCCCCTCATGCTTTTGCAAAACAATAGATTTTTCAAAATCTTTTGTTATGATAGTTAAATTTTCCTTTGTCCCCCCCTCTTTCCAACCTTAGTCAGAGCCCCTGTATGATAAAACGCAACATGATGGATTGTCTTAAGATCTGGACAAAATCTCAAAAACGTGGTTGTCAGGACAAAGTTTTGACATAGGGCGGGTCTCTTTTGTTTTTATTTTTCGTTTTAACTTTTGAATAATTTTGAAGCTTCTGTTTTTATAAAATTGTTTTTATAAAAAAGTGTTGTTATCTTAGCCAACGTTTGCCTACTGCTCCTGTATTCTCTACCAAAATCTGCACGACTTCTGACTTTTACGCAAACGGTTGTAAGCTGAGAACCTTACACCTGCCGTTATTACACACTTACTGTCTTTGCTGTTAAAACACACTTAATGTCTTGTAATTTTGGCTTGATAGTTTGAAAGAGACTACTTATATCATATAAAGCACTGTAAAAGATATGTCTTGTGATTAAATTTGAATGGAACACTATCATCCTTTTCATAGACCAAAAAATTTGAAAATTAAATTTGGAAAAATTCATAAAATTTGCCCACTTTGACAATGAATAATATATTTATCACTGTACACTTTTACTGTTTATCGCTGTAAGGTAATGTAATTTAATGTAATGTAATGTAATGTAATGTTATGTTATGTAATGTAATGTATTGTAATGTAAAGTATTGTAATGTAATGTAATTCATTGCACAGATCCTAAGTATAATATAGGTTTTTCACTGGCAGTAAAATAAATAAATAATTAATAAAACAAAAACATATAAGTAAGTATCACCAAATGTAAGTATAGTTCTTTATTATATTAAATAAAGTTAGGCTATTGTGTTAACCAGTCCAATGATTTTAAGTTTTGTGTAAATCCACAAAATAGTTTTATTATTGCACAAGTGGGTATCCTGTTCCTTAAAATTAGGTACATGTGAGACAGCCTTGTGCATGTTGCAGATACCTGACAGATGTGTTTGCTTTTTCCACAACTGTAAAATTGATTTCTGAAAGGAAGGATTTATGCACTGAATTCACAGATAAAAATTGTAAGCCTCAATTCGTAAAAACGACAATTGCATTCGTATATTTGCACCATAAGCATTTTTGTGAGCCTAAAAACGGCGTAAGCCTCAAAGTCAGGGCTTCTTGAAAAAATTCCGAGAAGATCCTAACTATAATGCTAAAAAAATTATCCATTTTGTCAAACTGCTGGGCCTAACCACTATTCGACACTTGCAGCTTGCGCGACATTCTAGCTAACCCATTGATTTCTGGAGTCAACTCCAACTAGCTACACACACTAAATGAATATCAGCTACTCCTCAAGGCTAGAACAGGCGGATTTCGGAAACATAAAACCCATTGATAAAACTGCTCAGATTCTTGAATAAATAACTCAACGCATATTTACCACTGCTACCATGTCATCATACCACATCCAATTTGTAGGCACTAATGAGGTATTCACCTCATTGGATTTGCACAAGGATGATGGGAGGGAGGGGCCAGAAAGTTTAAAGGAGGCTAAGCAATAGCGGCGTCCCCCGGTTGTCTGGGGGACACGCCACCCCAGTTCTCGGCAGGAGCAATTTTGTATTTCGTCTAAAAACGACGAGAAAAAGTTTTGGGACGAGTAATATCTTTGCAACGTATTATATTGTGTGAAATCTTATGGTTTTAAAACTGCCTAAATGTAACCGAAGTTAGCAATTGGCGTTGGTCACTGGCAATATTGGCATTCCTTGTAAGTAAAGGGACGTTTTCGAACAGCATCAAGGGCATGGTCCCAAAATATTTGTACTTTGTATTGTTGTTTTGTGCAGGGCCGTAAATCTGTCATGTGAATTGGGGGGGTCAGCAGAGCAAATTAATATAAAGTATGCAGTGGGCATGGCACCACAAGGGTGTGTTATAGAAACAGTTTAGGGGCAAATTACTTTAAAAACAAAAGTCAATATTTTTGGACTTCTCAAGACTTTCTGCTCTATAGAAGGTATTTATAGATATTCCTTAGTACATTGACTTGTGTTGGTAATTGGATGGATAATATTTTTCAGAGACGGCCCCAAGAAATTGAGCCTTGGGTGCTAAGAATCAAGTTTACTGTCGCAGGAGGACCCACCATGGTTGGGTCCGACAAGAAGAAAATTTTTGAAATTTTTACCTTCTAGAAAGGCTAAAAAAGCATCCCCCAGACTAAATTTAATAAAATATTAGAATCGCTCAGGATAAAAAGTTCGGCATTTCTTAGAAAAACACAGATTATTGTTTATTGGGTGAAATTGTGGAGGGGAAGAGTCGTGCTTAAGGTGGCAGTCTACCTTGAAAGAAGCAATATGGAAAACTGGCCAAAACTTGATAATGGCTTGAGCTTGAAGCTTGAAACTTTCAGGTTATAAACAATGTAAGATTTAAAAAGCAAAAATAGATGTCTGGAAGGGTGTGGCAATGACGTTGCCATAGAAACATAAAAACAAAGGCCGAACTTCTGCAAATTGTGGAAATGATATCTCATGAATGCTAAAGGCTATGGTGAAAATTTTTTAGCAACAAGTTTCTACTTACATAATCTATGCAATGAACACACAATTTTATGATACCAAGTCAGCTAGATATTTTATTGTGAAAAGTTGAGTTTTCTAAAATATTTTGTGAAATATTTCTTCTATCAAAAATCTATGTATTTATTGCACAGAGCATTAAAAGATACATATTATTTGAAAATTTCATCTTCATATCTTATACAGAGCCAAAGATATCTTAATCACAAGCTTAATAGATGTCCGTATTTGAGATTTGAGAAAAGTGCATTTGAAGTTTTGAGATGTACTGAATAACTGATTTTTCTTATCTTTTGCAACTTGACTGAATTTTGGTTGTGTATCACACATAATGTACCCATAGATACAACCAAAAATGTTAAAAGAAGTCAATAATAATGTTTAGAGGCATCATAAAGGTAACTGGGGGTTCAAACTGGTTGAAATATCCATGTTCATTACTCGACAGGTCCGTCGACTTTCTAGGTCTCTTTTTCTTTCCTTCCTTATTTCCTCTTTTCCTTTTTAGACTTGCATCAACTACCTTTTCAGAAATGTTTTCAGGCTCTGCAGAAAGACCAAAAGCCCTTGATAAATAGCTATTCCTAGCTACATCAAGTCTTCGCTTCTTTATTGCTTGTAATTTTTGTCTCCGATCTTTGTATTTCTGTGATGTTTTTAAGGTGGCAGCTTGTAATTTTTGTCTCCGATCTTTGTATTTCTGTGAAACCTTCCTTGCAGCATCTTTCAGCCTTCTATTGTCAACAGTTTTCAAATAATTTAAAGTTTGTTTGGCCACATTTAAGTTGTAATGCCTTCAAAACATCTGCAATTGATGATGGCCCAATATTGAAATCTTTCAGTAGGCCATCTTTACACATAAAAAATTAATACATTTTAATGATACAAAAAGTGATTCACTAAATAAAAGCAAATAATAGACAAATAATAGAAATGTACGTAAATAAGTTAGTAAATAGGTCAAATAAAATGACAGATTGCTCTCTTTTTATTTCATACTTTGTTTTCAAAAATAAAACGGTAGAAAACGGAAAAAACGGTAGAAAACGGTAAGTTTCTATCTTGTAAAAATTCTAAAAACTACTCTGCTTACAAAAATAGCCTTAGTGGCTGAGGTTTGTTGCAATAACACAGAAAAACGTAGTTTGGTTCTAACCCGGCTACCAGGGATTTCTTTCTTTCAAGGAAAATGATGGTAATTTCTCCAAAAAAATCGTTTTGCTCCAGATTTTTGGGGGGGTCCAGTCCCCCCTGTCCCCCCGGGATTTACGGCCCTGGTTTTGTGATAACATTGACTATCAAAGAGTAAAGTATTTATGAAATGGCATGGTTTCCTAACGCACAGATCCAATCCTAACAAAGTTCATCAGATATGAAATCGAGACTGTAGATAATAGATATGTAGATAACTGTATATCCAAAGCAGGAAAAGCACGTGATTTTAATAGGAGAGAGCTTTCATTTCCATTATGGCATCAGCCGTTTTGCAAATAGTCCATAAATACAAGCATTTACTTTGGTCACCTCCAATCAAGTCCGAAACTAATGATGGTTTATTGAATACCAAAATTTTAAATACTTTAAGATGATGCCGAGCAAATGAAAGCAGGGTGCTGCATTGTGTCCTTTCTGCTTTGGTGAAATTAGCTTTATGAACATAGCTGCTTAAACATAAGATTAGTTATCAAATATTCATTCCTTATTGCTTTTTGTCACATTTGATAAACAAATCATGCTTCAACATACAAATACGACAAAGGAAGTTAGCAGGCTTGCAAGAGACAAGCGACTTCAGTTGTTGCAGTCATGGATCCAAAAAGGGTATGGGCGACAATAAGATGCTTGTTTTATTGTAGCATAAACATTGCTGTTGTGCTTGCCTGTGGTGGTGGTGGATCACGTGAATGCACGTACCAGGTATGCTCTGCAAGCTACCATCCCTGGTCACCGTGGCCATCCAATGGCCAGTGCGTCTACCAATATGCAAGGGTCATCCATTCGTATAGAACAATCAAGCAATCGTCCGGGTGTCCTGGCAACCGAGGCTGCACAGAGAGAGATCAGGCAAGAGTGTATTGTAAGTAGAAATTTAACGCAGTTTCCCTTGCTGACATTCAAGCTTGCCTAATTTTCATCCAGCACATTAGAAAGCATCCAGTACAAAAGAATACATGCCTGTAGTAGTCGGCTGACAGTCTAGCAAATGGCGAAACGTCTATTAAGGTGATTTAGGCTGAAATGTCTTCATAGCCCCTAGTGCTGATGACTTTTTAGAAACTCAGATTCTCGTTTTTGCACCATGATGTCCTTTCCTGTAGAAACAAACTTCTAGTAGGCAGAATACATGACTTCTTTTAAAGTGACCCTGTCATCAACTCAAACTTTCGGTTTTCCCACATCAAACACCTACGAAATTTTTTTTTGAAAAACGATAATCCTTAATGAAGGTTTGATGCAAAGCTAGAATCATAATCAATGGCGTCGCCAGCTTGAAAAAACTGGGGTGGAAAAAAACAAATTTTCTCGGCCACGCCCTTCAAGCTCTTGGAAAATCCTTTTTAGTATTTTTTTATTTATTTTGAAATATTTGGACAAGCAGCTTTCTTAATCAGCATTTTTCTTAACGGTGGCTTTTTTGCCAGTACAAAAATCGAAATCTATCTGATCAGCCCAACTCAACCCCCCCCCCCAAAGTTTTCAGTTGATTTTGAGAAATTAGAAAATCGACTTCTGGGAGAACTAGGGTGGACATGTTCACCCCAGTCCACTCCGTGGGGACGCAACTGATCACGATCGTAGATAACTACTTTAAAGTAACAAACGATTTGAGGTCTTGATTTCTGTGGTAAGATTTTGAAACATTTTAGGTACTTTGTTGTATATTTGATTCTGTCAATATCATATTTTCCAAATTGGAAGAAAGATCTTCATTCTCGAGACAACAATGCTTGCCAATAAGACTTGGAACAACCAAGCAGTTTTAGTCAATTTTCGATCTAGTTTTAATTCGCCCATGTAGAAATAGCTGATCTGTCCCTTTTTCCCCAAACAAAGTAATAAATATTTCTCAACCAACGTGCAATTCTATGGAGAACAATCCAACATTGTTTAAAAGGTAGAAAGGAAAGAGCAAGTGTGAAGGAAAAATGTGATGTTGGTGTTCCAAAACTTTTAGCAGATATTGTATCAGTCCCATCAGTACCAAGAAAATTTGACAAAATTCTAATATCCGAACTATGTTTGGATAACTTCATCGCATCCATCTGTTTGCAGAAAATTCTGGACAGAAGATGCTAACAATATGGACGAATAGATCTAATGGAAATAATGAGTTCTACTGTGCGCATAGCTTAAAGAACTTCTAGTTAGGCGCTCTTTGATAAATATTTATGTATTTACACAGCAATTCAAACTTTGACTTAATAAGCGTTATGCGTACATCATAAAGGCAATATTAGAGAATCTGTTCAAATAAGATTAATTTTCCATTTTTCCATTATTTAGCCGACAGTCTACACTCAAAGTGCCCTGTTTCTCAAACTTCGGACCTAGACCATGCTTTGTCATAGTCCTTTAAGTTCTTGATTCGCTCTTATCTTTCTCTGCTAGTGCTGATTATGAATAATAAAATGATAGTTAATAATGAGGCGATAGGATATGGGTTTATAGTTAATAAATCTTGGACGACCTTGTTAGATAGTTTATTAACGAGATGCAACTTCTATTTGAGTGAACACACGCATTATATCAAGAACTACATATCAATTTACACTTGGTATTTTGGCCGCCATTCGTCCTTATCAATTTATGTTAAATTGAAATCTTTGAAATATCTTTGTAGCTTCTCAGTTCTATGCTATATAAACCAAATACAACATGCACGAATAACTGAGTGCTAAGGCTACCTCAGTTTTGAAATTCAAAGAGATCTCTAAACCTCTTAAAGGAAATGAATAATAAAAGCTAATGATAAAAGTGCTTGTAGGTCGAGAGTGTTTGTATGCAATTTTTTTAAGAGACATTTTTCAGAAGGTATTGCACTAAAGCATCAATATTCTTTAAAAATGTAATTAACGGGATACAGAACACAATTAATCATAATTTACTATACCTTATATTTGTATTTTTTTTCTGAAAGCTGTAGTTTTGTCACTTCAAAACTATTTCCAGGAATACAATGTACTAAATGATCAAAAAACCCAAAATATTGATCTTGTATTGCATCTTTATTTACAAAAGGTGTTCTCAGCTTTTTGTGTTTCACAGTCACTGTGCATGATTTATCAGCTCTTATTCACAACATTACCATAATCACATGCGCAAAGAAATGTTTTGTTCAGAAACGCAAATAACAACCACTAGTATGCTTTCATTTAGCAAATGTCATTCGAAAAAAAACAAGTGGTACTTGAGAAATGCTTATAGAATTGGTGAGTCAGTTAAGTGAGTTATTCGACAAGACAGCTATGCAAATTCTAAAAATATTGAGCATGATAAAACTATTATTATTGGTCTAGGTTTGTCATTTTGATGTCTCAAAGGGGACAAAAACTCATGTCAAAATGAGAGGGTATTTTTTGCTTTTTTTGCTCGTCGCGATATACGTTAGTCAAGTTCTATCTTGTGGTGGCGGAAGCAGCAGCTGCACTTACACAACGTGCTATACCCAATGGGGAACATGGTCACCGTCAATTGCGCAAGGATCCTGCAGATGGCAGGTTCAAAAGGCACATCATGTTTATAACACATACAAAAGGAGTAGTGGATGTCCAGGAAGCACGAGCTGTTCAACTAGAGATAATGCGAGATTTGGCTGTAAGAAACTTATACGTTAAATTCACGAATCATATGCACGTAGTTAGTTTTGCAGAGTACAATATAGTGAAATGCAATTTGATGATATGTTAAGGTGACTTGCAATGCCCATCAAAAGTTTTGAAACATTAGACCAAATGTTTGGAAATTTTTCACAATTTCTCTTTCATCATAAAGATTGTTTTGCATTGTAACATATTCAGATCCCCAAACCTTCCATGAAATAAAATGGCATTGCATTGTTGCGAAATTATTTGCAAAGGCCATTATATGAAGGCGTTTCAATCAAGTCATACTACACTCATATGGAAAAAGTTTTTTAGAATGTCGAAGTTAAACATTCTCAGGCTTTTTAAGCTCTGTGATATCTTTTGACAGCTTTCAACTGTGGATTGGACAATTGTTCAGTTCACGATATCATGTTTGAAAGTTTTTGATTACATGATCGTTGTTTTGAAATCATGAAGAAAACCGCTGTTTAAGTGTCGAAGAACATGACAAAACGATGCAGGAAAGCGACTTCTAGAAACAAACCTCTACAGCCATAATACAGTTTTGCCTAAGTACTAAACATTTTCTACAGAAAGGCACTCCTATAATCTTTTTAACCGTATTATCCATCATTCAACTCACCTTTAGCATAAATTGCATAAGAGTTACATAAATTTGTTTGCACACTAGTTTTATTTATTAATGAGGTTGCACCATGCAATTTCTTTTGCTTTACTTTTCTGGTAAGTTTTGAATTGTCCCATTGCATATTATTTCACAGTTCCCTGGCTTCTGATGGTTTATAGCGTCTTTTCAAAAAGTGTTCCCAGTAGCCCTGATATGTTGCAATATTTCTCATTCCGTTAATGATGCTAAAAATGTTTCCCTTCACAGCAACTTTGGCGCGTTCTCATATGCATTTCTTTGGTATCAACACAGGCATTCTTAACAATATTTCTTATATCATCAGGGGCAGAACATATATTAACACGGTTTAAAATTCGCACTATATGCCATTGCTCTTTCATTTTTAAACATTTATTGGTAGCCTGATGCCTTATATTAAAATTGCTCTAAGAACTTTAAGGATAACAACCAATTCTCACCTAATCAGTAAAAGAGGGTCCTTATAATTTCTTGAAGATTGCCTTTGGCATCTTGCACTTTTTCATTTTTCCAGATTTCCAGGAAAATATTTCAAATACTGCAAATAATATATTACAAGAAAACAGATCCTCCAAGCCTTGATCGATAATAATTTGCTTGGCACGCGTATTTGATTTTCGATTAACAACTTGATTTTCGAAAAAAGGCCATAAACAATTCCATATCTAACTCAGAATGTCCTGCATCATGCTGAAAACCCACCTAAGAAAAGATTTTACAAGCAAACCAATTAATAGAACAAGTAGCGCAACTGCTTTAAGATTGAGATATCTTCTATAAAGAAAATTGATATAATTTTGTCAGAGCACATCCTCAAATAGTAAAGGTGCTTGTTATCGGTGGTAAACCTTCGAAGCTATGTTTTTATTAATTTGTCAGTGTGTTGCTGAATGTTTGTGATTCAGAGCGATTTCTATGTGGATTTTTGCGAACTTGTTCGATCGAAAAAATCAAGATGCGATATCAAGAAGTTTTTCACTCAAGGTACCAAACAGTTGAGCATACTGCTATAATTCTATCAAAATTTATTAAAATTGTTACCAAAGTCAATAGACTTTATCAATATCATTAAATTTGCAATATGTTGTTTAAAAGCTACAATGATCTTGCATACGAACATTCGTTAATATTCCTGAACTTAGAAAGAAGGTGATGCGCAGCTGAATATATTTGAATGTTATTCCTATTTAAACAGCTAGACAGCTTGGCAAATTTCCGTTTGTTTTTGCTCTGCAAACTCCAAGTACAATAAATACAAACTCAAATTCTATATCGCGAGAGGTTCATCTAATTCAAAAATTCTTATAGAAAAGTTATGTAAAATTATAGCCTTACATGTTTCAAAATTGCGTCTTTATGTAAATTTTAGTCATACAATTTGAGGAAAAGCGGCAGTAAAGAGGCTATGTTTATGAACAGTAAGCTGCTGCAATATTATCATCAAAAGTGCAAAGAAAAGCGCATATGTAGCTGAGTTACTGTCGTGTTAGTTACCAAGTCAATAAGTAGCTTCCCATACCCATAGTAATTAAGTTTTTCAGAGAAAGCCTTGAGAAAGCACGGTCGACACTAAAGGCCTATTATGCCATCTCTCCGAATAACATAGAATTATGATTGGATGCTTTGAACCAATAAAGATTTTTAGATACCTTTTCAAGACTGCAGGCTGTAGCACCTTAATACCATAACTCGGCTGTCCTGAAAGAGCTCATAAGCCACGCGTTTATTGCATAGTTCAAGAAAAATCCAAGTTAAGTTTTATTAGATGTATACTGCTAGCGATAGAACCTCTTCATTGGTCAACTGATGATTGATTCCTTGTCTCAATACTGAAAATACCCTCTCTTTCAATACTGAAAACTTGTTTGCCTTTAAATATCTTGTATAATTATCAGTAATAAGCACTTGCAATTCAAAGACTGAATCGAATTTCGAAATAAAGAAATTTAGTTACTATCGAGCTCTTCTAGAGCATAGTAATTTGCAAGCTAGTAAGCAACGCACGTCGAACGAAAACGAAGCAATGTGACGTCAAAGTGCCACAAAATTGATTCATCTTTTTTTCTTTCTCGTAATAGGGCAACATTTTATACTAATAATTTAGAAAAAACGCTTTTATAATTTTGCATGTAGCAATAGCTGCCATTTATGTCAATATACAATTACTTTTAATTTTTGCAAGTCCTAGATAGCTTTTGAGCCTTCCTTGTTTTTTCTTAGAACCTAAAATGTCTCCCTCAATCTATGTTCTATATTTCATTGTCAGGCTCCTGCAAAGTAATAGATCAATGTCGATGGGGAGGCTGGGGACCTTTTCAGGGCTCCATATCAAAGGGATCATGTGGCACACAAAGAAGGTACAGATATGCACAGAAGACATACACCTATGTGGCAAGAGTTGGAAGTTGTAGTGGAACGGTGACAACCTGCCCTCGTGAAAGTGATTCACAAACAAGAACTTGGTGTAAGTTTTATTATCCGTTGATTTAACAACAAGTAAACAACAAAACACCAAAGCAACAAGCAAACAAAATAAGTGCGAATGATGATGATTATTATTATACTTTTTGAATTCCCCATTCTTCATATTCACTATAAATTAATTGTAAATCTATTACATGACTCGGTAGCTTGATAAAGCCTGGTAGAAAACTACTTACTGTCATTGAGCATTTTATTTTTATATCAAGCCTGCAACCAGCTAAAAAGTCTATGCTTTCGAGATAAATCCACGATAAGATATTAGACAGCAGATAACTGGAGAAGTTTGGTCTGAAAGCAAAGTGACATTTGCAAATGAATAATCAACATTTTGAAATCATTTGTACTCAGGCAATTGCAGAAAAGCAGCAAGATGTGAACCTTCAAACTGGAGTGCCTGGGCAGGAAATGTTCCTGATGGTCAGTGTGGCACTCAAACAAGCTACAGAGACTTTACACCTACGTACCAGTACATCGAGCAACAGACCAATTGCTACGGAATCCAGTCTTCGTGTGAATCAAGAAGAACTAATAGCAGAACGTTCTGTAAGTAGATCATTTCTCGATAAATCAGTGTCTGAATCTTTCCGTACTCTAAGATAGAATATCAATTTTCTGAAGCTTCAAATCAAAACTCACTTTAACTTTCATAATAAAATAACAATATTATTTCATATTTATGCAGGTTAATTTGTTCGGTAAGTAAATTACTGTTATCAACCAAAGACCTGAATGTTACAAAGTAGAGTTTACAAACGTAAAAGTTAAAGATTTACATAAATCAAAGCTAAAGTATTTACAGGGTTAACAATTACAATCGAGAAAATGATTAAATATCTAAGTTTGCGTATTTTCTGGATGCTTTGAATCTCAAAAATGATGCTTCAGTTTGCAAGTTATTGGGTAGGTTATTGAAAATCTTTGCTCCCTGGAACAAGAAGGTTTTACGCCCAGTTTCTGTTTGACAGAAATTACTTTTAGAATGACTGAGATTTTTGCGAGTATTTATTTTGCTATTGTTCCTTGTGAAATAATGTTCAAATGCTTTTGGTGCTAAGACGTTTAACAAAACTTCTAATGCACATAGTCTGTTTCGAACATGCCTTTAAAATGTCAAGAAATATAGCTGAAAGATCTTTTGTGACTGTACGGTGGAAAAAGCAGGAAAGTTTGAGGTTACCAGCAAACATGTTCTAAAATTACTTTTTCACCTGTAGGCATGTGTCCATACCTACACTGCACTCTTGAAGATTGGTCCAATTGGGTATTGGTCGCAAACAGTGGGACATGTCCGAATGAGCAAAGAGTCAGAAAACACAAAGGCACTACGTTGTTCAAAGGTGCACACAATGACTGCATTGGAATAGGTCCTACATCATGCCCAAACGAAAACAAGGAGACTCGGAAAAAACGTATGTTTATCCATAAGTTAATTTTAATATGCAAAAATAGCGATCAAAACCGTCTATATATACTTCCAAATGTGTATACATGCATATAAATACATATAATTAGTAAGAACAAACAAGTATCAACTACGCGCTCTAACAGGCAACAACAGCTGTATGATATCATGTGACACGTTTCGATCGTTGCAAATGACCGTGTATGCGTGTGCGGCTTGCTCGTTCGTCGCGCGCACGAAGGAACAGTCGGCCTGTAGCGACAAAGGAATCGAAGGAGATTTTAAAAGGATGTAAGGGCATATGGCATAGTTTTTGTGCATATTTGGACGTATATTAGTAGTTTTGTCATAAAGTTAGAAATGCTCTAAGACAGAACACTATGAAGATTTGACAACAAACGAAAGACTGTCAGTTACTTGTATATAATTAGAAAGTACATAGATTTCTCATAATCCTATTAGTTGCTTGCATCCTTTTTAATGTCAAGATGGGTGTTTCTCAGCAATATTCAAGCTTCCAAACATAACTTGCAAAATTCCTCTTTCTTTTACTCCCAAGCCACAACTTGTCCAGCAATTGTTGTTCCGGCCCATGGGACATTGCAAGAGCCAGCATGTGATGGAGCAAGCAGTTACTGTGGAGCAACATGCTCTGTTTCATGTAACAGAAACTATCCCTTGGAAGGACCTGCATACGCAACCTGCCTTACAACTGGTCAGTGGAGCAATTCAATTGGAGCATGTAAAGGTAAGCTAGCTACTTACAAGGACACCACTTATCATCATTATGCTGTTTTTACAATTAAAGATATGGTACGGAATCTTTTTTAAAAGGAGAGTAAAAGATACATTCTCAAGGGGGGAGGGGGGTATTGGGAGAGCATGAGAGATTTTCATTTCATTTTATTTTAAAATATTCATACAGGTTTACAGATTTCAATAATGAAAAAATAACTGTTTTAAAAATCGACCTGTGCAAAAACAGAAAAGCCTAAATTAAAGAGAATTACAATGTACAATAAGTTAAAATCAAAAGAGCATAACAGAAATACATTTAGGAATAAAATGTACCTCTCATATGAGTTTTTTAAAGGTAGCAAGGGACGGTGCCAATTAAGTTTCCTTATTCAGATCATTCCATAATTTTGCTCCGCGATAAGAAAATGCTTTTGGCCTGTGAATGTTCTTAAATAAGGTATCTGCAAGTTTTTCTCTGTAGAGCGAAGATTGCGAATACTGCCCTCTGAACATTTGCTGAAAAGTTCCCCTAAATATTAAGGAGCAAGAGAGTTCAATGCCTTATAGATCAGCGTTGCTGTTTTTCTTTTTTGATAAGATCTCTGATTGAGGGCCAGCCAAGATTTGGAGCAGAGGAGCAGCAGGAGCCTCATAAGGACTATTTGTAGTTATTTTTGCAGCTCTATTCTGGGTTTTTTAGAGAGAATTGAGTTTGGTTTCACTACAACAACCCCAAACCGAGCAGCAATAACTGAAATGTTGCTCAAAAATTCCTCTATACATTTTCTGCCAAACCCCTGATGGAAGAAATTTCTTGGCATGATTAATAAGACCGAGGGCTCGTAGTGCCTTGACTTGTTCAATATGGTGATCCCATTAGAGTTTGTCATCATTTTGAACTCCCAGATACTTAGTATCGGTTATCATATTGATCTTTTATTCACCTATTTCGAAACTAGGCTTATCGTCAGTCTGCTTTTCGATCTGTTGAATATTTGGTCTGGATCCAATAATCAAAAACTGCGTTTTTACAAAGTTTAGAGACAATTTATTTCCATGTAGCCAGTTCTGTAAATTCACAAGATCCTGGTTTAGATCATCCTGCAATTTAGAAAGGCATCTCGAGGAGTGTGAAATGGCAGTATCATCAGCGTACATGGTGACCTTCCCTTTGTTTAGGCAGAATGGTAGATCATTTATGTTAATAAGGAACAGAAGTGGGCCAAGACAGGACCCCTGGGGGACACCACAACTTATGTCGTTTATCCTGGAGGAGGTAGAATTTACCTTGCAGAACTGTTTTCTTTCCTGTAAGTAGGGAATTAAACCAGTCCAATTATTCCGTATTTTTCTAGCTTCTTTAGTAGGATATCATGATTTATTGTATCAAATGCCTTTTTAAGGTCAATGAAAATCAAACCAGTGTACTTGCCCCTATCTATATTCAAATACCAGTCATTTGTTCCAGCCATAAGGCTGGTGACGACTGAGTGTAAAGACCGAAAACCAGACTGATGCTTGAATATGAGCCTATTACTATATAAGTAGTAATACAGTTGATTATATGCTACTTTTTCGAATGCACGAGACAAAACAGGCAACACAGAGATCGTTCTATAATTTGAACTCTCGCTCCGCTCTTGAAAATTTGGGCAACACGTGCTATTTTCCAATTTGTAGGAAATTTTCCAGAGAATAAAGACATATCAAAAAGATCGCACAATGAACCAGAGATTAGAGGCAAAGCAATCTTTATAAAAAAGCTTGCGATATCATCACAACCAGAGCCATGCGATGTCTTCATTTTCATCATAACTTTAGTTCCATCTTTCTCTGAAACAGCTTTGAAAGAGAAATTTTCCATAGCGCTACCGATTTCATATTCATTGGATAAAAGTGGGTTTGGTTTTCTGGGATTTTGTCACTCAGTTTATTACCAATGGTACAGAAAAACTCATCTATTGACTATGGAATCGTTTTATTGTCTTTAGTCGGCTCACCTTCAACATTAAGGGATGTGATAAAAGTGGTCTTGCTGCTTTTGCTTGTGACTTGGTTAATAATCTTCCAGGATCTTTTAAGGTCCCCATGACATGCAGAAATTTTCTTAGAGAAATATTCTCTTATAACAACCCATCAAAAGGGTGGATTCACTTTTTACAGCCTGGATTTTCAATTTATCCCTCGTCCTAGCAAGTTGGAAAAATTCACCGTTCAGCCAAGGTGTATACTTGTCTGAAACTCGTCTGGTCAGGTTGGGAGCATGTTTATCAAGAATAAGCGAAAAGATGGTTGTCTAGAGATCTGCTCTGTTTGATATAAACGAAGCAAAATTTCTTCCCACTTCTTTCAGATTCTATAAAACCGCAGATCACGTGTCCAGTAATACCAGCACACCCAAACAAGCCGAACGAAAATTACGCTGAAATCGACCTCCCAGATGCAGTCGCAAGCGACAACAGTGGTCACGTGACTGTTACTATCGATACCAAGTCACCGCTCAAGGTTACAGTTGGTACACCAGTGACAGTTAAATATACAGCCGCTGATGCTGCTGGAAATACAAGGGAATGCACAGTTAAGATCCAAGCTAAAGGTACTGCTTATTTTGATTACATGTCAGTGCAAACTTATATGTCAGAATATTTCCTTATGAAGTGGGCCAGCCTAACTTAGCGGGCTGGCTCACCTAAGCAAGATTTTTGCGGTACAAATATTTATTTGTTTAGCATATGCTTTTCTAATTACACAGAAATTGTTGCAACCTATGTGAGGCCTGCGATAAGTGAAAGGGGACTAATGTTAATTGGAATTGACTTTGAGCCAGATTGCCTTTATTGTGTAAACACAATCAGAAACAGTGACGGATAAAATTAGTGACAAGTCTTATCTTCACCAATAGATTAAAATATGAATCTAGTATCTTAGAGACTTGAACAAATTTTTATAGTCGTTGTTGAAAGTTTTACTAGAATTACATTTTTTCAGATACTGAGCCTCCAAAAGTTGAGTTTTGTCCTAAGGATCTTATTGTATCAACTGAAAGGATTCCACACACAGTTATATGGAGCCGACCGGTATTCTCTGACAACGTGGACCCTGCCAATGCGATCTCAATCATTCCAAGCCACCAAAACGGCCAGAAATTCGGGGAAGGAACATTCCTCATTAAATACATAGCACACGATAGAGCACTCAACGAAGCTACTTGTGAATTCAATGTCCAAGTGTCAAGTAAGTACTAAGCTGTTAGCTTTTCTATTTACTTGAGATAATTTTCTAAACTAAACAGCTTTTCCGTTCTTCTTTTAAGCACTACTGCAGATATTTAAATAGGTAGTTTCGTTTGGCTTCTTTTACGACAAGTTCATTAACTTCTTTAATTGATTTAAAATTTTAGATTTGAGTCATGTCATACATCAAATTGCTAATATCGTGATCTAGCAAAGTAATGCCTTAAAAAATAAAGATGAAGATCAAATGAAAAGAAATTGATATACTAATAATTTGATACATTTTCACGAGTATTTTGCTGAAAATCTAACAAGGAGTGCAATACCTACAAGATTACTATTACAAGATTACTGGCTGTTATTGATTCTGACTTCTCTGAATCTTAAACAGGAATGAAATGTCCGGTGTATGAACCTCCAAAGCATGGTGCTTCGACCTGCAATATAAAAAAGATGGGCGTGAAAGAAGTGTTCGTTTGCAGCATAGCATGCAAGTCCAACTTCTGGTTCTTACAAGGCGAGGGAATACCCACCCAATATGATTTTTATATATGTACCGCTGATGGTGCATGGAAGGGACAAAATCAGTTAGATGTGACAAATCCTCAGATGTTCGTGCCGATTCCAAGCGGAAAGAGTCCTTGGCCAGATTGTTCAAGTATGTTTTTGTGACTGCTCTAGTTTAGCAACCAGTTTAACCGAGCCAAAATGTTGACATATTCACACTCTGAATTTTGAGTGAACACATTTTGGCTACAAACGTTGTAATATTACTGATTAGTATGACGGGTTATCAGAGACTGACAAAGCAGGGGGCTGAGTGGGCTAAATAACTTCCAAAATCCCAATAACTTCCAAAATGTACTTAAACGATACAAAAAATCGCCTTATTATTGGATTTTAGCATGTTTAGCCCCCCCCCAAAAAAACCCTTTAGCCCTTTCAATCCGTTATTGGTTACTTGGTCCTTGCTGGTTGTCTTTGTATAACCTGTGAGAACAGCCTAATGGTTACTTGCTTTGCACCTTAAATGTGGTAACAGCATAGTATTGATTGTTTTTACAGAAGGGGACCCCCCATCAGAAGCGAAAAAGCCTTTCAAGCTAGTAGGAGGATCTTGCTCGCAGGTGGATATCACAAAACTGAAAAGTGAAGTTGTTTCTGCACTCATTAGTGATCCCGTCATAGCTAGCCTTTATTGCACTCGACAAGCACAGCACTGCTCCCTAGAGAATGTGGAGGTTTCATGCTCCTCAGTCAGGAAGCGAAGCACTGGTGCCATTTCAAACCAAGTACACATCACATTTGACTTTTACGTCAAGGATGCTGCCCCGAGCACCGACCAGAACACAGAGATGTTAAAAATGACACAAATCATTGCAACTATGGGATCCCTTGGCAAAGAGGTTTACTCAAATTACAAATCTATGTCAACGATATCAATTTGTAATGCAAAACCTTTGTTAAAAGACTTTGCTTATCCTTAAAATGTTTAAGGCGGCAGTTTTGCTATTTTTTTCCGCAGAGTTTTGTAATTGATGACAATTCATATTGCCTATAAAGAAACATATCGATTTCTGCAAGCTTTCTGCAAGAAATATTCATTGATTCACGATGAATGTGCAGCCAGACCTTTTAGTATTTCATTGCATCTTGTCTAGTATTATATTGTTGTATTTCAATACTATTTTGCACATAATATAAATGTTTTTTAAAGATTCCCGTTGATCCAATAAATATCTTGATGCTTATTAACTTCGCATTGACGTGATAGACCCTGCAAGAATATCGTAATAGATTTCTTGGAGGTTCTACTACAGATATATTTTACAAATAGATTTGATGTATTAATGAGAATGCTGGTTTAGTTGAAGGAAATGATAAATTATGACTTGTATTTGTTTACCGTCATGGTTCTTCTTGACTGCTTTTGCTAATTCACAAGCTTTTGCTTCTCTCTTTCACTGATTCAGTAAAGATTATGAAAATAACCAATTTGTTTTAGGTAAAAAGGGTTTATGCTTCCAAAGTGCAAACTTCGGTTGCCAACATAATCATGGAAGAAAAAGCCCCAGAACTTGCCTGTGAAGCGGGATCCACTTTCTCAGTTGTAAATGGAACAGGAACAGCGAAAGAGCGTTCAAAATGCGGTGATTACTTTTGCGTCAATTTTATCATTCACAAACAACCAATTGTCAATGATTAAATCGACCAAACCTGTAATGCAGATTAGAATTGTGGGTAGAAAAGCAGACCTGCATTCTAACTGCTGGCAGTATTTCTGGGTTAAATTTCCAAGAATAAATTTATCGACCACATAATGGTTCTGAGAGCTTTCTACTGGCGCTTTTCATTGTTAGCATTGGCAAAAGAACGGCCAAGTGACAAGTAAAGGAAGATCCTTAGCATCCAGCTTTTATGTAGTACTCATATCCTTCGGGTTTTGTGGAGTTTAAAAGAAAGAAATCACTTGCACTTTGTTTTCGTAACAAGAAAGTTTATAGGGCTCACTAAAACGCTTTTTAAATGTATATGGTCTTACTGTAATTTACATTTCCAATTTGCTTTCCTAACACTCCTATTATCTATTCAAAACGTGGAATTTCCTATCAAGAACAATTTTTTGTAAGGAGGATAACTATGCCCTTTTCTTAACATTACAGAACGTTATGAAATGTTAAATCCGTTTAATGTTACGAGCCAACATCTTCTTCGTTACAAAGCACTTAAGTACCCAAAATCAATAAAAGATAGGATGATTTTGTCGCAAATCCAAGCAAGATGTCGCTTTTCCCTTTTTGGCCCTCTTTCTTTTGCTATTACGACGTAGTTTCCTATTTGCTATCATATAGACGATGTAAAGGTTTCTATCTTCGAAATGGAGGGAAAAGTACCCCAAGTAACGCTACAAAATTATTTTTCCACAGTTAAATGCCCAGCTGGAACAACGTTTAATGCCGACTCACGGACCTGTACAGTGTGCCCTGTTGGAACTTACCAAGACAATGAAGGACAGTTAACGTGTAAGCAGTGTAAACAGGGTTTCTCTACCCATGGGTACAAATCTTCAAATTACACTCAATGCAAAGGTAATCCTCTTCGGTTTTTCGAATCATTTGGTAGATATTGCCGAAGATTTATTCCGAATAGCCAAAACCTTACTATGAAATGATAGGCTTCTGTGAGTAAATTTCTACTAATTAAGATAATCTTGCTTTTCAATATTACAATCCACATTTCATATCAGAGACATCGAAACTTTCCTTTTTCAGAATTTTGTCTCCTAACAGTGCCATTTCTACTTTGAAATGATTATGACGCCCTTAATTTATACTTAAGTCATGAATGTCTGAAATGATGATCAGAAACAAAGAAAAATGGCATGTATTCTTGAAGCATTATAAACAAAACAAAGTCCAAAAGATTATCAAAATGACTTGAAATTGAAAAAACGGTTTACGAGTAAAAAAACATAATTGAGCATTCAATCCTCTGGTTCAAGATAGAAAACATGCAATCAGAATAGAATGTTAAGACTTTTTAATTGAGCTTAATCATTGCAATATTTTTTTCATCAGAAATCTGCCGACCAGGGACCTACTCTGCTGATGGTTTGGCGACTTGCATCGCATGCCCGAAAGGAACATATCAGCCATCATCAAATAGCACCTCTTGCATCCCCTGTCCCCAAGGAAAAGGAACTGACAAGAAAGGATCTGTTGTTCAGACCAGCTGTGTTACTCGTAAGTGATCGGCGATGACGTCATTAATGCATAATCATAGGTTTCTATTAAACTATTAGACTATTAAATTATTAGACTATTAAACTATTAGAATTTACTGCAAACTGCATGTTCGGATCAGACCATTATCAATTTACATGTAATACAGTTGTTTTTAAAATAGAATATGATTAAATATGCAGCTTTGTTTATACGGCCTCATGCACTACAAAATTGATCTGTAAACAGTTATTTCTTATTGTTATACTGATTATATCGATAGCGATGAAGCAAAGTAATGACAAATGCCTAAAATGCAAATTGTGAATCACAGGAGCCATTCAAGTGGAGATCAAGTCTGAAGGTTGTAACGATCCAACTGTAGCACCTGGCACTTGTGGAATAGTGACCATCAAAGTAGATGGGGTTGACTACTCACAGAAGAGAAGGGGCTACAATCTTGTGGTGGTCAATGGGAATACTGGTAAGGCTAGACACAAGTGGTAGTTTGCACTTTATCATTTTGAGCAGAAGAAATCAAATTAACTTAATTTATTTTTCATGCAAGATTCAAAGAATTTTTGAAGTATTTAAACCATTTCGGTAAGAGTTTTATGCAGAACGCTAAAATTGAGTCAGTGCTTTTTGTTCTCCTTCTATGGTATGTCAAACAATCCGGCTACCTACCTTACCTAGCTATTACAATACCAGCTTGATAGTTCTTTTTAAACGTAAACCTATACTCTTTGGCAAACGATCCCCAACCTTTATCGTTTTCATAATCATCGAGGCTAAGTAAGATCTAGTCCTTTCGAGACTTTCGAAAAAGTCCTTTCGTTTATGTTAATGTCATTCCATAACAACGTTGCAACACAAAAGAAACTTCAGGTTCCAGAAAGTTTGTGCCCCCAGAATTGCTCTCGAATTTTGACCATCAAACTTCCGAGGACACTTTTCCCCAACCATTTTTAACATGCCATATCTTTTTGATATTCTATTAGCATTTGAGAATGTTTAAAACATTGCATCTCACATGATCTATAGTGGATGACTGTGGATCTAATCAAACGATACAATCCCAAGTTGAAAACCATTTCTATATTATTGCTCCTCATAATTTTCCGAGCTGAGGACTTGTTTTTTATAAAAATCTAAGAGAAAATGTAACATTTCATTTCAATAGGTGCGATTGAAAAGTCTGTGTCATTTGACACTCATGGGAACTGGAATGCAAGAGTTGATCTGAAGAACTTGGTTGACAATTTATCTAATGGGTAAAGTGTGCTTCATACATTATAAATAGCAACATTTCTTGATAGTGTAGACCAGAGAAGTGGCCTAGTCTTCACATGCGTTGCTCATTGTTCATTTGTGCTACATTTCCTATGTACAGTTACTAAGAAAAGCAAAGCTGCACAGCTAACAGTGCTTTTATATTTTTACTGCAATCATTGTGTTTTTTACAAAGATTACATATGTTAACATATTAGTATGGAACTATATTGTAGTCATTGCAGCTGTTATATTATTTATGACGAATTACAAAGAATCACTAAAAGTAAACCCATAAACACTGCTGCAGTTTCAAATTCAGATTTCTGACCGAGCTGTGGTAATTTTCTCAAGAAAATGAATGGTGGCTGGTATAAAAAGTACAGCTTATTGTAATAGTTTATTGTCAGGTGACATTGTATCTGGGTAGGATTTCAGTATTTCCATTTACTGCCTGGCCAATGTCTCATTTTTCACGGACTATATAGCAAAATGATGCATCTTTTGCTTATGATTTGTAGAAAAATTGTTTTGGTTGGCATACAAGACGAAGCAACTGCTAGATCCAATCAATACTATGTCTACAGTTCATTAGAACGCCTTGGGGGTGTTGCAGGGTCATTCCAAATGCAGTACAGAGGATCATTTGCAATGGTTGGCTACAAGGGTACAAGCAAGCCAGCATGGGTTAGACAAGTAACCCCTGCAGCAGGTCGTGGACCAGCAATACTTGAAGCAACAATCCCTTTGGTGTAAAATAATTCATTCAGTATTGAAAAAATATTAATAGTTCGAACTGATGGTAATAAGACATATCCTCTTAGGTTTTATTTTGTGTTTTTAAGTGTTATGTAATGATGTCTTCATTTCATGAAGTGCTGCTGCTCATTGCAACTATTCCAATTGCAACTTTTCTCTCTTTAACTCTCTTTCAAATATGGAGGCGAGCTTTGCTGCAAAAAGAGGTGAGTCAAACGTTGTTGTGATCGAATGGATACGCCTAGAACATAATATGCCGATGGAAATTTTAAATTTATTGTTTTTTTCAATTTTTGAATTCAATTCCCAATCAACAATTTTTCAATTGTTTTTCATATTAAATCAATTTTTTTTGTTTTTGTTTATTTTTTCTAAAAAATATGACCAGGAGGTCCCCAATTGAAAAAATCCCCAAGGGTCCCAGCTGCCTGCATATATTGCAGCTTTTGAAAATTCTAAACTTTCTATGAAATCATTAAGATGTATTACAAATAGGGTAGGGCCTAAGCAAAATACTTGAGGTATATCACAGCTAACTTGGCAAATAAGCAAACAAATCAATACCATTCAAGGATCAATGCTGTTTTGTGTAGCAAACCCCATATTTTCCTTAACATAATAATGTAATCAAGCCTGTTAAATGCTATCTCAGATAAAGAAAATTTTATGTTGCATCAAGAGTCACGGCTTCAAACAAATGATGTAATTGTAGAGCAGGGATTGTGAAATGCTGACTGATTGTTATAATGCTACAGGAGGCAAAAAATTGGAGAAAGTGATTATGAACTTTTATCTCTAACAGCCTTGCAAAGTCTGAGGCAGACTTGTAGCTTTTTGTGCCTTATTTTGAGCCAAATTTCAATATAAGGTGACCTTTACTAATTTAGAAAAATCTAGAAATGCTGTTAAGGATAACATAGAGCTGAATATCAATGCCAGAGGTTGGGATATTATAGCAGCAATATATCTGCAGATGCTGTTGAAGTTTTATCTTGTTCTGCAAACTGCCTATTTGGAAGTAACATTTATTCATTTGAGAATAAATTTTCTATCTACTGATTTGAACTCTTTAGCTTTGGGTTGGCATTTTTATGGGAAAAGCTCTAGGGAGATATTTCATCTTCAATGGGATAGCTATCAGGGTGACATTCTTTTTTCATCAGATAACTACCAGCTAGCCAAAAGAAAGTGGCTAACTGAAATCCCAGTTTTCAATTCAAATTCTATTTCTTGAACACACTACAAAATGAAATCTTATTACTGGGAAAATGATAGATAGATGCCTTAACAGGCTACCCCCCCCCCTCCAAAAAAGAAAGAAGAAACACAAAAACGAGCTGCTGTCTGTCAAACTAGTGCAGTATAAAAAGTGCGATTAATTTAAAAATACAAATTAGATATATATGACAGGATTATGTAGTTTTTAAACATTTACTATTGCAAAATGTCTCATCAAACATTTAAACTAAAGTACTTTTATTATTTAGCTCAATCAAAAACACTCAGGTTAAATTGTTTACCAGAATGTTTTTATCTTTATGTAGACAAAACAAAATAGAACAACCATGTTTGAAATGTTTGAAGATGTACTGGAAAAAAATATCAAAAATAATCTTGAAAACTATGAGCCACTGATATTGTAATTTGTCTTATGTTGCGAGAACAAAAATACAATCTAATACTTATAAGAAAATAACCCTCACAGCATTGAATGAATGAAATATGTTGTGTGTATGTAATAGAGTTGCAATGTCATGAATTCAAAAGTTAACAAAAACTTAACCTATGTGTAATGAATAACTTCAATATTTTGTTCTGCCTCAGCTTGATTTGAATCTGTTACCATCAATGTATGGGTTGTATCATTTAAATAATCTCCCCTGCGAATCCATTCTTTCTTTGCAGCATCAGGAATCCAGCCAACATTCAAAACAGCAGACATCTTGAAAAAACAAAAGAAAAAAATTGTTCAGACTTTTTTATTATAAAGAAACTACATCAATATGGACACTTCTGAGATTAAGAAAAAATTACCTAATCAATCCAGCAGAGATAAAGGGAACCTGTCCCTCCAAGTCCTCTAATGGCTCTGCCCCTAGCTTCCACTATGATGTACCCAAAGTCAAATTGTCAATGAAATTCAAGCCTGGATATCTAACTAAATTAATTCTTAAATTTCACCAGTCTCAATTAAGCCTCAATATTATTATAAAATGTGTTCTTATGGCCTAGAACAAGCAGACTACGCACCCCATAGTCCATGCCAATGATAAAGTTTGGCACAGTAATTCGAAATGCCAGAGGCTTCCCTTCCTCGTAGTTGGTGTGGGCGTCTATTGTCACTTGAGAAATTGTGATGGCTGCAGCATCCGCACGTCTGCAGTCCTCTAGCTTTACAACCAATTGAGAAGGCTTTGGTAAACTGCCTTTCGGTGGATCATTGGTGAAAACTATTTTACCATAAACGATCATTTCCTTTGACTCCATCTTTGATCACTACGAAACCTATTTGTATGTTTGTTGTTGCTGTTGCTACTGTTTATCACTTGGTGCTGCACAGCTTCAACCCTTTCTCTACTTTTACTTTTTTCATTTCATCAATATTTGGATAATTATACTTCAAAATTTCAAACTATAAGTTAACGCAACTTCAGCAACAGAGATATAAATAAGATATATGCGATAAAATGAAATACTTCTTAATAGTGAAATTTTTGTACATACTGTTTCTTTCCAATAATACACACACCCCGAGGGGGGGCTAGAAAAGTTTCTCAGAGGGGGCTTTAAGTGTCAGGTTGCCAAGTGAAGATTTTTCAATTAAATGAAATGAAGGCATACTTTGACATTGAAAATAGAAGGGACCTTCTCCTCTGTTTAATCACTATTGACTTCTGAGTCTTGAACTAATTTTCAATCTGTTAGTGTAAATAAAAATTTAAAATTTTTCTTTTAATTTTAAGGTTGGCTCGTTTTTCAATACCTCCATTTATCCCAACCTTAAACAACGACTTTGAATATTCTCTTTATAATTTTAATTATATGGTTTATTTAATGTCAGTTTTTACAATTAGTGAACATATGTTAATTAAGACTAACATAAAAAGCAATTTCAAGGATTGCATAAGATAAGACAGATTACTTATTGCAAAAATAACAGGCCCTTATTTTCTGAGGAACCAAATTTTAACCAAATTTTGGAATTGTGCGGTACTTTGTGCTGTCTTTATTTTTGATTCTAGGAGTAAATTCCAGATTGTAGGCCCCTAAAAACTTATAATCTGGTCTGTTAAATCTGAGTCAAAGGTTGTGACATTTTGTTTTAGGTACAAAATAGTCTTTCATGAAAATGATTGATTGATTTTAGTTTAAAAGAAGTCAGGTTCTAAAGATATGAATAATTTGTTATAAATTACAATTTAAAAATCAAAATAAATTCTTAATAATTAATACATGTTAAAGCAGCGCAATATTAAATACAGTGTAAAATGTACAATGTAATATAGTCATAATGTCACTTCAATTAAAGGTGTGTATATAAAAGTAAAGAAAAAGCCTATGTGTAATGAATAACTTTGACATTGTGTTTGACTTCAGACTGACTTGAATCTGCAATCATCAGGTGATGATGTGTATCATTTAGATAGTCTCCCTTGCGAATCCATTCTTCTTTTACAATGTCAGGAATCCAGCCAACATTTAAAACTGCAGCCATCTTAAAACAATACGATACAGGTAAAAATTAGGTAACTCATATTATTCTTAAAATTCTGTTGATAATTTTAACACTGCTAAGAAAAATGCCAAAAATAGCTCAACAAAAATATCAACAGTATTATAAAACTTAAAAAAGGCTTCTTTCAAATAATGCAATTTATCACAAATATATTGAGATGCCATGCTTAAAATGCATGTTAGAGAAATATATTTTGGTCATATGGCCAACAGTTTCAACCCTTCCCCATTTCTAACATTTCCCCATTTCTGACCAGCAGGGTGCATTTTATGATAGAGATGCTAAAGGTACACAAAGGATATACCAGGTTATGCAAAGGTGCATATGAGAAAAAACCTACAAAAAATATGCTGACGCAACCCCTCTCATAATTATCAGACCAGTTATTATTCATACACTGGGGATAATACATTAATGATGATGGACAAACAATCATAGAAAAAGCTTTTTCCACACTGCAGTCCTTTTCGTTTAGCGCGTGCGATCGCACCCGCACACGCCTGCACACGCGCAAGTTAAATTGCGCGTGCTTTTGACCACACGCGCAAACAGGTGTTTTTGCAGTTTTCTGTTAAAGGGCCTCTCCAGCCAAATTTTGCACTTGCATTTTATTGGCAATTTTTATAAAGAAGTTGAGCCTGCTGATCACGAATTCGTTATTTGTTTTTCGATATTTTTTTACAGTTTGTGAGATATAAGCTCTTGCATTTCGATAATTTAATTGAATTAACCGACAAAAATTTTTGGTTTGGTGACACTGTGACGCAATTTTGACGTCACAGTGTATTTCGGATAGTCTCGCCTCAAACCGAATCGAACGACAGCGATTCGCAAATTGAACACTGCAAGTGATGGTACTCTCAGTTCTGTTCCATCAGCTTTTAGTTTGAGCATTTCAGACACCAATTCTGAAGCCTTTAGTTGTTCACCGTTTCTGGAGAACAACTGAAGTGATAATTTCGATTAATTATACACGAGGGAAGAGCTGGAACAGGAACTGGAACTGGATGCAGTTATCAACGCGTGACCATGAGTCCTTCACGCTTCGGTGGAAGATATACGAAATTCATGGCGAACGAGAGCCGCACATTGTGACGTCAGAATGTCATCAAACTGATTCGGCTTTTGTCGTTTTTTTCTCGGAAAGGTGCAACTGTAAAGTCTTACAACTTCTAAACTAATTGGAATTTTTTCAAAAACAATGACTTTGTCATAATACACGCACCAGATGCTAACTTTTAAGTCATTAAAAAAAATTTTTTTTTGCTGGAGAGGCCCTTTAACATCAATTTCCCATGGTCTCATGATTGTTTATCCTTTCCCTTGTTACTTGATTCGCACTTTTGACCACAATATGATTTTTCCAATTTTCGGAAGTGATGTTTGGCTTTTGACTGAGTGCTCCATTCAACTTAGCGTCTCGTCTTTCAGCTAAGTCGCCATTAGCATGTTAAGTGTAATAACTGATTTCCTGTCAAAACGTAATTAGGCCCTGAAAGCAAGTAGCTGTTGGAAACAATTTTTACTTGCTCTTGTAACTTTGGAGAGTGACGACGACTTTTAAAAGATGGCTGCTAAGGGCAACAACATCTGTTATGTATTGATTAATTTTGAGTTTTGCTCTTGCACGTATTCGAGTGGCTTTTTCCTTCTTGCTCCTTTTACCAATTTTATCAGGTTTGTACTTCAAATTTTCTTACAAGTGCGATCGCACGCGCAAATTTGTTTACATGTGCGATTTGCCACACACGCGTAATTTTGCTCACGAAAAGGACTGACACTGCCATGCAGTTTTACCAAAATTTCAGTGTAAGCCACTCACAGGCAGGTGCTTATCTTACCCAAACCCAGTGACAACTTTGGCCCGGGAAAAGTGGGAGGAACAAAGGGGGTCTGGAGCCCCACATTTCATCACAAGGCAATGTGATGAAATCATCAAAAACAAATTCAGAAATCTTTCAAAAACAAGATTCTGATAAAATGACTGCATCAAACAGCATTATAAAAAGCTTCAAAATTTGCCTGTCATTCGCTCTTTCTGTTGCTAGGGCAAAGTTATTGCTTTTGACAATGTTGGGTGCCTTTTTGGTTACATAAGACCATATACATATTCTGTTTCATGGCAGTTGTGGAAGTAATGAAAATATGAGACTTGCATCAGTTTTAACTTTGAACCAAACCAAATTAACAGTTTTCCTTTAGCAAACTTCAAATGGCCATATCACATAAAATATGCAAAAAATTTAACTGGTTTCCAAAATTTTCAGGTGTTTTAAGGTGTCCTTTTTTCTCATGTCTGGCTCTGTGGTCAAGAGAAACAAGTCACACAGCTTGTCATGTAAATTTTTGCGAACATTGCAAATTATATGAATACATATTCTGTACACATCACAAAGTTTCATTACTGGCCCCAAAAGTGCCCATTTTACATGCTATTTCAGTGATGTTGTCTTATGAATCATGGATCAAAAAATTTACTTTTCATTAAAATTTTGTTATGGATCAAAAAATTAGTCCATGGCCTAGTTGGCCTCTGGTTAATCTGGCCCTGGTTTTAGTGGGTCCATTATGGCAATTAAAAAATATTTTAAGCTCACTCACATAGGTTGCCTATAATTGTTTCTTTGGAAATTATTGGGGAAGCTATAGCCTTGTGTCCCTTGCACCTCTCGGGAGCTACGGCCAGGCCTTTATGATGTTAAAATATGATCTTAGATGTTCGACAATCAAATATAGCTATCCTACTCCAAGGGGCATGAAAGGGCATGCTTTATGCTTAGGATTCTAAGCGATTCTTAAATCCAGTTCTAAAAGCCCCCCCAAGGTAGTCTGCGCACCTCATACTCCATTCCAATGACAAAGTTTGGCACAGTCATTTTAAATCCCAGAGGCTTCCCTTCTTCATAGTCTGTGTGGGCATCAATAGTCACGCTACATATTACGATTGATGACGCATCTGCAAGTCTGCAGTCCTCTAATTTCACAACCAGACGAGAAGGTTTTGGTAAGCGACCTTTGGGTGGATCATTGGTGAAAACTATTTCGCCAGAGATGATCATTTCCTTGGTCTCCATTTTGAAAACAAAGTTGTGTTGTTGCGATGTCGTGTTGTTGCCTCAGTGTGCCGCATTGAACTCTCAATGGTATGCCGGATATCCTGCCGTTACCGGATATTACCGTAGCGATGCGGGAACTTGATTTAAAGATGCTTTTGCTATTGTAAGAGAATTGAATAACAGGATATATATATAAAAAATTGATATGATAACAATAAAAGTAAACTTCTTTTTAGTTATCTAGCCAAATGCCCCTGTCAATAAAAATTAAAATTTGAATTTTTACTAAAAAAACCAACTTTACTTTGTACTTAATTATTTTACTAAATAGTAATTTTAATCTAAGCTGGATGACTAATGTTGTCAAATTAACTGTGTAAAATAGTATATATATATAGAGAGCAAATAAAATAATAAGATGCTAAAAATATTGATAAAAAATGTGGATATGGTTCCAAATTTTTCAGCCTTGAAATATTATTGACTTCTTTTTGAATTCGATTGATTAAGACCAATGGTAGTGGGAAGTTTATGTTCGTGGATTATCCGGTTTGATAATTATGAAGAGGAGAAGTTTTAGTGAAATATTTAATGATTGTTATTATGAATTTCGATTAGAAATTTACATACTTCTTATTTGATATCACAGAGTCTAAATAAAAATATGTTTATGAAAGGAACTTTGCTACCAGCTGTATTCTTTGCAAGAAAGTTATTCTAACTGCTTCACGTAGATTAGGCTATAACCGTCTGTCAAACGCCGAAAGTTGCTCATCTGACGCTAAAGCCACGCCAAAAAAACTTAAATTTACTCCAAAGTTCTTCTAGACTTGCTGCATGGAATGCATCCTGTCCATTTTCGAGATGCCCACAGAAGATCGAGATATAACCAGTGGCGTAGCTAGCGGTCATGCTTGTCATGCCGGGCATGACCATCTATTTCCAGAGATAACGTTTTTCAAAAAATTATATTTTCATAAGAATAAAGTCCTATTCTCATGATGAAATAGCTCAGGCCATTCGCCTTTGGAGCCCTATGGTTCCACGCAAGAATATGGAGCCCTCCGAAGGCGCCCTTCCATTGTCGGGCATGACTAAAACAGAGGGTTTCCAATTTAGTCATGCCCATAACTATGAGCATGACCAAACCCTGTGTTTTAGTCATGCCCATAACGCTGGTTCCCTATGTTTGGTCATGCCTAACAATAGGAGTGACGCAGGAGAGAACAAAGGCTAGTCATGCCATTTCGCGAGGGCATGACCATCATTATAATCATCAGAACCGTCCTGTGTTATTTCGTGAACGCGAATGCGAGGCATCGATGGCGGCGCCAATGAGGTAAAAATAAACACTAGAGTGCGAACTCCCATTGGTTTCCGTTGACGCGAGTGAGGCCGTCATGCGCACGGCTACCATTTTGAATGCATGGCAAAAGACAACAAATAAGTGTGGAGGACGACTGTTTGTGCTACTGGAAAAACGGAGGAAAAGGCTTTTTTTATTACATTTTCGACAAAATTGTGCAAATTTAAGCAAAGCAGTGCCTAGGAAGACCTTTTGCAATGATTTCTATGGGAGGTAAGTTGTTTTAACTGCACGTCCAATGCACTGAATGTGCATAGGCTTCAGTGCATTGCCTACCTTAATAAACCAAACTAGCTTCGAAGCGAATTCCTTTATAAAATATTTCACTTAAAATGAAGGATTTAATATTTGGCGAAAAACTTCTAAACGAAACATTTGAAGCAAACAGCAAAAGCTATGGTTTTTTAAGTTTATGTGTTTTTAAACAAAACTAATTTGTTCATCTGGTGTCGTAAACTTGGTGTGTTTTTCATTACTATCTGCCTTGTGTAATGCTTGGCGTAAGTTTGCATACGCAGAAGGAAGTATTTCTCGCAAATTTTCTTCACAACTTGTGTGAGATGATCATCCTCAAAGACTGGGTCGATTTCGTGTGCATGTTTGGAAAACGATGGAAATAATTTGCTTAGGTTTTCGCCTTGACTTCGTAGCACGCCGTTCGTCATTCTCCGTATCAATCCAACTTGTGAATTGATTTTCATGTCTCCCTTCCTTGTACCTTTAACTCTCTCCCGGAATGATTTCTCACATAATGTGATTAATTTGTGCACCCCAAATGATACTTTTATAAGCCCTCCATTGTTCTTTCTATCCAGAAACAGGGAAAATGGTGCTGTCACATAGTCATGTTCCTCTGACATGCAATTGAGAATGAGGGCTTCAGAACATTGAGAGCAATCAAGCTTTTTGATGATACGACAAACAATGAATCCTGCAATGTAGTATATGATGTTTTCAGAGAAGTTTGACAAGGAAATCCTATCAAGACTCTCAGACAAAGCATTTGCGTCCTCATCAGTCATTTCATCATCATTGCTTGGATATTCGCATATGGGAGATCTATGCTTTGTCCACTTTAAACTGAATAAAGAACCTGTGCAATTCTCATCAAATGACATGACATTAGCCTGGCTCGATGCAACAATTGAATTCTTAAGCAGCAAATTCCTTATGGCATACTTAAACTGTAAGGTGTTTGGATTGTTATTATTACCACCTCGTCCTCGGATACAAGCAAACAGCAACTCTATGTGGTCTTGGGAAAACTTGTAAGTTAATACATAGTTAAATGGCCTTTCTGGTGCAGTTAAGAGTTCCTTTGCAATTGACATAATAGATTTCATTGTCATTAGAAAACCAAGTATGAAAGTTTTGCGTCTACTGAACACAAGCAATTGCCTTTCACTGGATTTCAAGGACAGAAGATACTCTGCTGATTGGGCAAAAGTTTGCTCGATATATTCAAGGTTTTGCAACCTTATTGGGCGTTTAAAGCCTTTGGCAAATGCAAACCATGAATTGAGGATGTCAAAAATTTTATCAATTGTTCTTATGAAGACAATAGTTGCACTAGCATTTTCGAATTCAGCATGTTTTAAGTCTGTCTTTAAGAATTCTAATGCATTAGCAACTGATGAGCTCAGTGTCTGAGCTGCATATTTTACTTTCATTTTATGCTGCTGCCAATGCACATGGTTTACATTAATTTTGTTTGCCAAAGTTAAACCTTCCTCTTCTTGCATCTTGCATAATTTTTCAATATATTCCCAAGAAATAATATCCCCAGAATTTGTAGAAAATTTCCCATATTCGCCCGATGTATTTCTTGCTAGCTTAACCATGTGGCATGCATCTAGAACTCCATAAACATCATATGGCCTAGTCGGGTGTTGGAAAGAGGCTATCATGCCATCATAATTTGGTGTGAATGAGCAACCAAGTAACCTAAGTGTTTCAAGGTTAGCAGATGTGCCATCACAAGTTAGTGACCAAACCCTAAAGCCATAATCAGCAACCAAGGACAATGCACTCTTAACTAGTGATGCCTGTATTTGCCCGTTTAACTTATTTGTAAAGAAATATCCTATTGGACATTTCCAGTGACTTCTCAGACCAACAAGAAGAAATGCTAGTGCTTCAGAAGCTTGGTCTTCACTGTTTTCCAGGGTGCAACCTCCATAATCAACAAAGCCTGAAAATTTCTGATTGCCCTTGTCATAAATCACTTGCTTTCTTATGGCCATTGCATCTATCATTAAGGCACAGTCAGACATGTTTGTGTTGTTGGCAAGCTGAGCAGCAAGATTTTCTAGAACATCTTTGAAAAATCCAGGCTCACAGTTCACAGAAGACTGCCAATTTCTTAAAGAAGATGGATGTGGTAGGTCAAAGACTTTCCTCATGAATAGATATGCCTTAGGCGAATAGAAATGAAGGGTTAAGGCAAACTTCTTAATCTCCTCGTGGTATCTCTTACCCCCAGCTTTTCGCTTTGAATTCTTTATTTGATTTTCAAACATTGTCAAAGTGAGGCCAGAGAATTGGTCTTTCAGAAGTTTGGCTGGCTCTTCTCTGAGGAGATTTTTGTCTGTCATAGCTTGAATTAAATCATTCAATGACTTTATTTTCTTGTTTTTTCTTCTTAGATTTTGTTGTAGAGTTTTAATCTTCCTTCTAAGTCTTAATTTTGTTGGTGATTGTTTTGTTTCAGCTTTTTTACAATAAGAATGTTCCTTGATATTAAATGTGGCATTTTTGTGTTTTTTGCTGGGCTTGCTTTCTTCTTTACTGGTTTTGCATAGATAATGGAACGGCGGGCCTTTTTTACTTTTGGTAGTAAATGAGGGGGGAAATTAAATTTTGATGGAACAGCTGACTTTTTTAATTTTGTGTAAGGCTGGCCAGGGGGGACAGTGTAGTCAGTGAACAAAAAGTGTTCGCTGCAAATGTAGCTGTACTTTGATGGGGCCCACTTATCACGCCTCATAGCTTTAACCCATTGCAAACGGAGTGCTTCATTGGCTGGAAACCTGCAGTATAATGCAATGCATATTAATTTGAACTATTTTTTGTGTTGAAATTTTGAAACATAAAATTACAAAATTTAAAGGATTTTAGATGTTTCGAAGTTTGCTTTATTAGGATTTATTTACTAAACGCTTTTCAAAATCCTCTAGCAAAAGCCATGTACAAACCAATTAATACATACATAAAACTTAACTTGCATTAAAGAAAAGTTGTATTTTCTCCGCCGACAAAAGAATATCAAAACCATTTTAAAGTTCACAATATAGAAATAGGGACGATTAAAAAAATTCCCAGCCGCGAGGCTCTTCGCATAGTATGACATTTCACATTTTTAGGCCAAAACATGCATGGCATACCGTACCTATGAAACGCGATAGGTTTTCCGTTTCCCAAAGGATCCATTGAAGGATCACTGCTCAAAACATTTTTGCCGTATCTATTTTGGCATCCGTACGCCGTACTCGAAATTACCATTGCGGTTTAGAAACATCAAAATTGCCGACAAGCTGGCGACGCGTAATGACTACCGTACTGCATGGAACTTTTTTGCCATGCATTCAAAATGGTAGCCGTGCGCATGCTGGCCTCGGGCCTCGATTAGGAGTTCGCACTCTAGTGTTTATTTTTACCTCATTGGGCGGCGCTGCTATGCCTAGATCCACGAGCTGGGAGGTAATTCTCTGTAAGTAAAATGCAAGGAATAGCTTATTGCCAAACAGCCACAACTCGTGTTAATCTCCTAAACATTTTATGGCAATGACAGGGTTTTTCAGCCTTAATGGTGTTGCACTATGTGGAGAAGTGACAGGCACGAAAGGCCACTTTTGGACATAAAATCAGCGAGCAGGATCATTTTATGCAACCAAACCAAACTCTCAGGCTTTTCAGTAATCAATTGTTACTAGTTGAACATTTGCAGAGAATCTTCTTGATGTAATGAATGCCAAATTTTGGTGCTGTTCACTGGAGATGGATGGAGGAGAAAGCAGTGTTATTTTCCAAACCAACAGATTTGAGAGCTTAAACTTTCCAGACATTTAGCAGCATATTCAGAAACTGTTAAGCCCTTTAAAAGCATCGTTACCATATTATGATTAGGCCAATAAGATTGTAGTTAATGGATAGGGAATGCCAAAACTTGCTTAAAGTTATTCTTCAATTTTTTGTTTATTATCATATGCAATAACACTGTTTTTACAAAGTCAAACTCAAGCTCTACTGACTTCACTTGTAGTTGAAAGTACCTTTTTACTACTTATAGCTGTTGAAATAAATTGACCAGAGACAAGTCAAGCATGTTGATGATCTTGTTAGTTAAACAGTTTTATTTCTTTATTATAACTTTTCATGTATTTGATAATTTACAAGATCAAATTATTCCATTTGAAACTCTTGTTTGCTAGATTTGGTAAGGACAATCCAATCATGTGGATATTTACCACTATTATATGTGGAAACATCAATGTTTTTGTTAAGCTAAACTTATTTTGCAAGGTATTTTTCTATTAAGTCTAACTTTGCAGAAAACATTTTGCAACTAGGCCTATCCATTATTTTAGCTTCCTATATTTCATATCAATATTTACATTGCATATTAATTTGCCAATTTGTTTTATTCATCTATCAGTTCTATTGGAGTAGTTAGTTAATCGTGATGGCTTTAAAATACCTTCAATAGATTGATAATAAGACTATTTGTGGAAAAGATGACCAAAAAGCTCCCATTCAGTTTCATGTGATTTATTGTTTCATTTACAAATATTAGCTTATCTCTAAAATTTACAAATGTATTTCAGCCTGCAAATTGAAAGAAAATTAGAAGAACAACACAATTTTTTATTTAAACTAAGTTTATCTACTATACTAAACTAACGTTTTTAATGTCTTTTGTACAGTTCTGTTTTGAAATTGTCAGAACATTGTCTGTATAAATTACCAACAAACCAAAACAGTGTCACAGCTATAAGATAAAGGTCATTTCATGGTGTAACAAGATGATTGCCATGAAATAAGAAAAGCTAATTCCAAAAGTTAATCAAATTTTTTTTTATAAGTCACAAGCCTTAAAATTAAAATTTTCAAAAGGAAATCATCAACTAAAAAATTGGGCGTGGTAAAATTTGGCCACACCCATATTTTTTCAAATTTGAGGGGAGGGCATGACCACTGCTATTTGGCTAGCTACGCCACTGGATATAACAACAGCTTTAAAAGAATTGGTAAAAGCTTGGAATTATTGGATTGTTACTGAAGTCTGCCCCCCCCCCCCTCGGCCTTTGCTCTTTCCGGAGCCCTGAATTTCTACCACTTTTTTGTTATAATGAAGCCGAACTGATTGTTGTAGTTGCAGGTAATTCCGATTTGATCTTTTTTAGATAATTGGCGAAAAGTATGATTGAATAACCTTTTTATTTATATCTATTCAGCGTTTAAAACTGATTGAAGGAACTTCTAAAAAAGTTAATTCCATCCGGTAGTTTACTTTCGTCCGGCTTTTTCTCCATCCGTTAGTTTTCTTCGATCCGGTATTTTACTGCAATCAAGTATGGTCTGGTCTCGAACTGGGACAAGAACTCAGATAAGTTTGGCGGGAAAAGGTTTTTTGAAGCAGTCTTGAATCCAGATAAATCGTAAACAATCGCCAGAAAATACTACTTGTTTCTTATAAGCGTCTCGATGATGGAATTGGAACAAGACTACGCATCAGATGTGGTGGTAGGTGTATCGGCTATATCTTGTAATTTTTGAAGTGAAATTTAGGCCAGGCCCACTATGCCTATGGCTGCCATTTATTTGTTATCTCCATTCATCGTATTTACCTAAGAAAAGATGCTATATATCTTGCATGAAAAGGTACATATCAAGTTATAGAGCTGGGAATAACGACGCATTGTGGATACTTTTAACCGTGTAAGAGTGTTAGTTTCGATGACATTTATGCCATCACCCACCACCCTTTAGAATGTTTATCTCTGTTGGGTATACTGCCAGGCCCCAGACCCACTATCCAGTGTTTTGGTGGCACGAGGATGCAGATGGCTCTTGTGGCTCTTTTGAAAATTTATTGCCTCGCTTCTAGGGAGCTTTTTGTGTTTTAAAATATTTCATATTCATTTGATTTTTAATGACTTTTAGCAATTTATGTCGATAGTTTATTTCTTTATAGGAGCAAATCATAGAGATTGCAACAAGATTGGGTTTGCATGGTAAAAATGCACCCTCCATTGATACCTACATTGCAAAGGTCTGACCTATGTACAGTAATTATGATTTTTTGTTGTTCAATGAAACCTATTATAGGTTTAACATGAATCATCTGAAATATCAAGAAAAAGATAAAATGATTAAATATTATTTCCCAATAAGATGGATCCTGGTTGGTTGCAATCTAGCATAAGTATTTCTCTATCTTTGAACGTAGTCAGTATTCAAGTATACCATGCATCCAAAATGAGGCTTGAAAACTATGAACAATTATCTTTGAATTGTTTCAAAGAATTGGTTATAGAGTTGTGTAATTCCTAGCCATAACCAATTCACTGTATATATGTAAAAAAGTTCAAATTGCTATATGATAGCACAACTGCTAGATAGACTCCTGAAGAATGCTAATAGTGAAGTCATCATGATGTTAAAAATAAGGAACACCACAACTTGCTGAGAATGAACAACAAACAAATACAAATTAATCAATAGACATGTCTATGACTTGAATTCTTTGGATTTTTTAATGCGGGATATGCATTTAAAAGTATTACATTGCTGTTAAACATTTGGTGCCACTTTTTGGTCTGTTATCTTATGAGGACTGATGATCATGATGATGATGAGTGTGTAAAGCAGGCATGAAATTTTGAGGTTGAAGGCTTTAGAGAAAGGGATAGGAAGACCAAAATTGAATTTGAAAGTGATGATACAGAAGGAGTTTCATCAAGTTAAGTTGGAATGAGCTTTGAAGTCAGCAGCCACTTGAAAAGGGAAAATTCCTGATCATAATAAATGATGATGGCCATCTACATAAAATGTGTATCAGGCATTGTTTATTTGTCAAAAATCTAACTGGACTTTACATCCTTTTAAAGTGCAAGAGTTATTAAAATAGAAACCTCTTGGGAGCATGTCAGTTTTTGATATAAATGATCTTATAATATATCATAGTTTTTGATATTATAATTAATCAATGTATTGAAAATTATCATTATTGGACTTAGTAATAATTTTTGTTTGTTTAGCTTGAGATGGCCATTGCTGAAAACAAAGGTAGGCCATTTTGAAAAATATATGTATTTCAAAAGCTACAAGTTTTTCAACATTTATGCAAGTGGTAAATTTAAATGTAATGCTTTGATATTCTTCTTAATACTTTGTTATGTCTCAAAACCATGTTACTGATTGCCTACAATGATACAGCATTATGTTATAAAATAGCAGAAAAACCTTTGAATCTTATAGTCTTGTATTGTATGCCTTGATATGTGTTTCTGTAGATGGATTATAAGTTTGCTTCTATTTTGTTTCAGAATCAGAATGTTCTTGTGTCCAAAGGTACAAAAACTTGCATATTTCCTCCTCTGCTTTTTTAATAAGTTTGATTGTCAAGAGACAAATTAGAATATAATATGAAGGTTATTTGAAAGAAAGTTAAGTTGTATTTCAACCACATTATGTGCTTGCAACAGATTATCACCACAAACTACATGCTTTGTTTCATGGATGAATTAAATATGAAATTTGCTGGAAAGTTTCACTGGATACCAGCACAAGAAAAATTTCAGTTAGAAAAAGATAAAACTGTTGAAACTAGCAAGGGAAGCAGTCAAAATTTGTTGAAATGCATTTGTTATCTTGCTATTCTATAGTAAGTTTTCTTTGAAGTCATATCTCTTATAGTGTTGGATTAGTAATTATCTTGTGCTATATTGAAAATTTAAAGAGCTACAAAATTCTTCTCTTAGAAGGCCAACTTATCTAGTGTAGGCATCCATAGGCATAGGCATACAACTGAAAAATATTGAAAACTCTGGCCTTTTGGATTTTCAGAGCATATGCCTGAATATCAGGGATCAATTTTGCCCATTGACTGTTGATTATGATGCTTTTCATACCTCTAGGGATCATGCTCATGGGACAATTGTTCATCTAGTCCTTTTCCACTTTTGGACCTAAAAGGCTTACAGGAGTGCCTTTCAAGCAGATTATTGATGTTGCAGGCCATCTTGCATGTCTATTTAAGAGAAAAATTTCAAATTTTTTTCTATACAAGGGAGTTTGATAGCAACATAACCTTCAACAGGGGAAAGTGCTGAAAACAATACACAGTTCAACATCACAATCAAGTAGCATAAATGAACAATCAGATGCCTGTTTCTCTACAAAGTTATGTAGAAAAGGCTAAAGATTTTTTTCTATTAGCATTGAATAAAAACCTTCCTGGCTCTGCAATCATTTTCTAGAAAGGGCCAGCATATGCAACCCCAAGATGCATAAAAACAAAAGCCTTACAAGGTTTCATGACAGAAAAACTGCCTTCAAACAATGATACTTCCAAATAATTGTGGAGGGAGAAGTAATGCTTTAGAATTAGTGCTTAGGTGTTTACTCAAGCAAGTAATTTATTATCATGTATTTTCCTAGTTACTACGAATCTCAAGCTAGACTTTCATCGGATGAAGAATTTTATTCAGAAAAAGCCATAGCCATCGAAAGTAAGTACCATTACATCCAACTTTTGCTTCTCCATGGAACTGTAAATGATGATGAGTTTTCTTTTGTTTGTTTTGTTCTAAGGATCTTAATTGCTACTAATTTTTTCTTTTGTTTTCAAATCTTTTCAGATATAAAAAGATATAAAGATATTTGGAATGTATTTTAGCAGTCTTTGTCGTTGAAAAAAGTTGTATGTTTCAGTGCCTTTTCTCTATTTAGAAACAAGGATAGAGCAAAAGAAAAAGAAGAGAAGATCTGTTTGTATTCAACGAGTTCCTTCTTGGTACAATTTATTTCTATCAGTTATTTACACCTTTTTAGTATAAACTTGAGGAATATTATTTTGCACAACATAACATCTACATGTCTGTGAATTGCAGTGATTCCATGTAATAAAAATATAAGATTGCGCAGTCAAGTTAATATGGGATTTTAAGCAGCCAAGTGATTGTAAACTCCTGGCATTTCTTCTGGATGTCATTGTATTAAACACAAACTTTATTTGTCTTGTGGACAGTCTTCATAGCTGTTTTCAGAGAAAAAAATTAGAGCTCTATAACTGGCTTATTAATTTTAAGTTACTAATCTTATACTTGTATTGTGTTGTGTTGAAAAATTATTGAAAAGTTTTGTAGACATCTTTTTATAAGAGTTCTATTCTGTACTACAGCAGTTCATCTGATGATGATGATGATGATGATGATATTGATTTTAATGGCACTAAAGAAAATGAAGTCGTCCAAGGTAAAAACTATTGTTGCTTAAAGTAACATACAATATAGGCAGGTTATTTACAATAGAAAACCATATACATCATTGATTCCATGCCATCGTAATTTGGAAGTTTAGAGATGCTAGGGAATAGCATCCAAGAAACAAAACTATGCATGTTAGAGTTTTTGCAATCTGAAATATGCATTATGCAATTTTTTCATAAGGATTTCGTAATTAGGATTTCGGATTTCGTTTTCTTCCTATAAACCTTAGAAGTTTGCATACACTCTTGTATAATGTGAATTCTTGGTTTGTTTCATTACTCTCTTCTTTTGTTTTTATCGGTCTTCGTTTACTCTTCGCAGAAATCAATAAAGAGGAAAACTATGAGTAAGTTTTATTCTGATTCTTCAAATGGTATAATATCGATCAGTCCTAATTTTTACATTCGCAATACTTTTGTTGCTATCTTTGTCAGTCCAACTTTCACGACTAGAATCTTTACTAAAAGCAATTGATTTTCAACTCTCGATAGCAAAGAGTGGGCACTAAAACATATTACATCGACGTATCCCCAGGTTGTCGTGTTTAATGTCTTTCATCCTTTTAGCAGAAAGTATTTTTTAATTTACTATGATTCCAATCAGAATCCTGTGCTAGCAAGTCTTGTCGTCTTTATGACCAGATAATGTTTATGAACAGAAAAAATTGATATTGTTGTTTCGCAAAGAAAAGATGGAAATTATTTGATTCTAGATTGTCCGAAGATGCTGCCGACGATGACGATAGCTTTAATGCCTGTAAGTGTCTTCGCCATATTATCCTTCTAAGGAAATCTGGAATATGGAAATTCTTATTTTTGGATATCACTTATTTTTTGCCGTCATTTGTTTATGCTTTATGTATCTGTTTATATTCTCATTAATTCAGTAAAACAACTTCTCTTATGTATTCCAGTTACTTTTGCCGTTTTTCATTTCTTGGATTTACGTTTTGTTGAACACAAATGAAAATAAATTTTGTGGAATCATTTAGAATTCTTTCATATTATGAAATGAAGCAGACCTTATATAAATAAACGTATTTTTTTCTTGTTTTTTTTTTGTATAAAAAAGCACGGCTGCTGTTTGCACACCAAATTTTACATTTCAGTCATTGCGTTATATCTTCATAGCTCGTTGATATAAGTAGCGTACATTTTGTTTGTTTGTTGTTCAATTCATTGGCATGTGTAGAATTCATAAACATAAAATAATTCATTTGCCAAGCGTAAACAAAATTACAAAGCTGAATGACTTGCACAAAACTACAGCTTAACCCTTCTTTTTAGTTGTTAGCAAAGTGAAGACGAGCAGTAGGAAAAAGACAGCCGTTTTGCTGTCATCTGATGACGAAGATGGGTAAGCTGTTTGGTTATAGAAAGCATATTCTTTGATACCCGTGTTTGTTCTTTTCGTATGTCATAATCGTTTGCTCAACTGAAACTTGACGTGGTAGTTAATACGTTTTTAAGATTTGAAAACATTCTTTCAACTATTTTATCTTATGACATTTATCTTGTAAGCTATTTTTTGCCCATCTCTGTGACCTTTAGATCAAATTCAGAAGAAAACAGCATGGATGATTTCATAGTAAGTGATGGATCGATGCCAAATACTCCTGGTGAGTGTGCTTGATTAGTTATTTAGCAATAAACAGTTTACCCCCCCCCACACTTTTCTGAAAATATGGTCTACATATTGCGTTTAAAAATGGATTAAAAACGCTGGGTAGGGGTAGATCAAATTTCCTAAGGAAAGTTAACTTGATAAAAATCACTGAGACGAGGCAAAATGGGCGTGGTCCCATTGGCCGCGCCCATTACCCTCCCACTCTGTAATAGCTGGCGCCGCCACTGAGTCTAAACAAGGTTCATTGCATCACTTTGCTTATCATTTTAACACCTGACGTTACTCACATAATTTACTTATTCACTCTTTTGATAATGTGATTCGACCCGTTATTAGTGCCCAAATTTAATACTCATTTTTTGAGTATCTGGGTATTCATTTTATTCATCTTACTTCTTCAATTTCTTTTTTTTGATTTCGCGACATGTAAGATATAATTGCAATCGTATGTAGCCATGTATGTTTCATATGAGTTGAGAATGAGCATGATGAGTTGAATTACAAGATCTTTAAACAAAATTTCTTTTACCCTTGACAACGCCGTCATCTTTTACAGTTTTTTTGCAAAATTAGGTTTGAATTACCAGAAAATATTGATTTCTGTCTCATACAGATAAGCAATCTTGGCGAACACCAAAAATACCTGAGGCCGTCATATCATCTTCTGAAGAAGAAAGTTACAAAGAGTATGGCATCCCTATGCTTTTTATTAATCCATTGTAAATTTGCTACAGAATTAACAAATCCAGACTAGATAATGTCAGACAAATGCGAATGAAGATTGTTTATTGAAAAGTTTTATCTTTACCAGCCTTTCAGTGATTAACTCGGATTTTACCAGCTATATAAAATTTCAAATTTCTATTTCACGGAGGCTGATATTTAATGTTATGATTGATATGATATGTTAACTGCAATTAAAAGAGCTAGTCAGAGCTTCAAACATCTGTTCGGTTTGAAAAGTTTTTAAACACTAAGTATTTACTTTAAGTCATATTAGTCTGGGCTGTTGGAACATGAATCATGCAAATTGTGATGCCAGCATGAAAATGGGTACCCTGGGGGTAATTTCACACGCTGATGACGATGCCGAACAGACACAAACCGAAAAATGCCACTGAGTGCTATTGCTAGACTAGGATACTTGGCCCCAGTCCTCGAATTTGGCCAATCTCCATACGTCATAACTGATTTATGAAAAAAGTGCGAGAGGAAAGGTTTACGTGCATTATCATATATTAAGGTATATTAAAGAGGAAATGAAATTAAAAATTACTCCTTGATACTATTTTTAGAACATGACACTGGTGCCCATGCCTCTATTTAGGTCTTCTTCTACAAATAATTACTCTCTTTTACATGAATATTTGAATATTCGAAATGTAGCTTTCTTCATTCTTTCAACAAACTTAAAAGTTATATGAAAAGACATAATTAGTAATCTTACCCCTTGATGCTGTTTTTAGACTGGAGTACTTGGCCTAAGTCCTCCATTTTTGTTTTCGTCCATACTTAGTTAACTAACGTTTAAAACGAGCATGAAGGTATAGGTTTAAACACAATTCTACACGATAAAAGTATAACAAAGAAGCAATTAAAATGATTCTATTTTTAGAATGTAGTGCTGGAGCCCAGGTCTCTATAAGCATTCATTTATAACTCATTACTATTTTTGGTATGAATATGAAATAAAGTGAATGTTAAATCTCTGGATTGCTACTGCTCCTCTCAGAGGCCTTCAAAGGTTGGAAAGCACAGAGGATAGATTAATGGTTTACTGTAATGAAATTAAAGTCAATGCTAGTGTCGCTTGTTAAAGCAAAAAGGGATTCGAGTTTCCACATGTTTCTAAGTGCCCTTAATCAGATTGCACCTTGGATGCTTTGCCTTTATCATATAAACTACTCGCGCTGGCTGCCGATATAACATTAATCGTATCAGAAAGTCATACAAATACAGCCTATAATCATAACGATTTTCGCCCCTATGAATATGTTCCAGTTTGAAAATGCATTAAGGGTTCTTAACATTTCTGCTACTTTGGATAGTCAGCATTTTATACTAATTGTAATTGAGACTTTCAGAAGTAGCGAAATGTGAAAGTCACATTTTCATGTGCATGTGATAATTTGCATCGACCTTCGGAGGCAGGAAACGCGTACATACTTAATGCTTATATTAACTGCTTTGGAAAAGCAAACATTTTGAGTCACACATAAGCTTTTCGTCGGACACACTGCAGAGTATAAAACGTCAGAACATAGATCAAAACACTAAGCTAGGAAATATATATACCCAGATATGGATAGAAAAAGGCCAAAAGGTGGATGATAGGACATGCTGTTGGCTTGATGATGGAGAGATTGGCTCAGTGTGCAATTCACGATGGATTCACAGGCCCGAAGCCAGGTATAACTTTCAGGGTGGGAGCTGGGGCTAAAAGCCTCAAACTGTACTATAGTATATAAAGCCAAAAATAGTTCACACAAAATTGTGCAACTCTACGTTTCTTTTACCAGGCTGAGTCACAAGATCGTTGTTTGCCCCCATTGTGCAATTTTTCAATTGGGACGTTAATCTTTGTTAGAATCCTGTTAGGTCGACTTGAAGGGCTTGAAGCCCAACCCAAGGGCTGTAAAGCGTATTTTAAAGAGAAGGCAAAATGTGATTATTGTGGGTGTAATTCGTTTAGGCCGCCACCATGGTCGGCCGCAAAAAACCTTAGATTATACTAATCCAAAGATGGCCAGAAACTGGATATAGAATAGAATTTAGGAAGAGAGAATCCAAGTCAATATTCTTACTATAATGTTTTATATAGCTAAGTTCCATAGTTTTATCTGTTCTAATGTTGACATGAAAAAGGAAGGGTCTTAAAAAGGAAATATTTTTGAGGCAAAAGCATTTGGCAGGCCGGATGAAATCTTTGTTGCGGGCCGGAGGTTAAGAATAGCTGCCCTATTTCAAAATATAGAATGCTATATTAAACTGGTAATATTAAACTATTTTCTCTTAAAAATACTGTTTGGTTAACCAAAAGGTAGAAAGCCATACCATCATGTTTACGTCAAAAATAGATAATGCCATGAAGAAGAGCGTTTACATAGAGGCCTAGAACCAAGAACCCTAATCTAAAAAAGAATCAAAGGATAATATTGTTTCTTTGATATACTTTCATCATATTGAGTTGTGTTTAAACTTATACCTTCTTTAAACGCTAGCTGACTAAGTATGGATGAATCCAAAATTGAGAAATTGGGCCAAGTACCCCAGTCTAAAAATAACACTTGGGAGAATTTTTCGGATTGTGTCTATTCGGCATCGTCAATAACGTGTGAAATCACCTCAGTATACCCATTTTCATGCTGGTATAACAATTTGCATGATTTAAATCAAATTATGTGCTAAGAGACTATATGTTTTCTTTCCATATCTTTCCATAAGGGATGAACACTTCACTTCTCGAGGCAAAAAAGTTACTAAGTTTCAAACTCCACGTAAGTGCTTTCAATGGCTTTACTCTTCTGTATTGTCGATTGCTAGCAAACATCAATCATCGTCATCACAATCAGTTATCATTAATCATCAATATGAGGAATAGTTATCCTCATCATTGTTGTTCAATGTCTTCTGAAAATCAGTCCTCAAAGAATACTGAAAGAACATTTTTCTTAACATATTCTATTTCTGCTATTTTTGGAGTTAATGATAATTGATAAACTTAAATGAGAGTTTTGTTCGTTTTTTCTGTGTATAGAAATTGTAGTAGCATTCCTATTGAGTTTTGAAGTGGATGTTTTACTTACGTTTAGTATTGCTTTATTTACAGGCATTAAAACTCCAATGTCCTCAAGACGACATGCTCGATGCACACGTAAGTAAATAGCTATTTCCTTTATCACCAAAAACCAGGTAATGTTTTTCGAATGAATCCCTTCATTTTTTACGTTTCAACTCAAAATTGAGCAGAAATAGAAAAAAAGGAGACAGTTTCTTAACTATGTATTGTGTTATGCTCTCTGCTTAGAGGGTGAATTTTCACTTGCTATCGTCTTTCTTCATAGCTGGCATCTTGGACCGTGTTACGACCCCTAAGACACCTAGCGGTAGTGTTTCATACAAGAGAGATTTCAAGAAGTTAAGAGACCAAACTGCTAAGGAATTGCTAGATCTTTTCAACGAAACTGTCTTCGAAAACAAGGCAAGTATTAACCATCATTCAATTTGCACTAGATAATTGGTGGTTCCCAGTGTTTGGTATTTGTTACTCCCTACTATCTTGTACCAAATGGTTGAGACAGGCTTTAATTGTTTTGAAATTCAAGAAAATAATTTCAACAGAAAACTCCTGACCCCCCTTTCCCGCCTAATCGATTTTTGAGTTATAGCCGTAGCATCTAAGAGCAATCTAAGAACTTTATCGTTGAAGTTTGGGGCTGGGGAAGGGTCTTGCACCTTTTTTGGAAAAGTGTTTTGTTTCTAGGAAATCACACCCAGTGTTTGGGAATGTTACTTTCGAAGGTAGTTTTAGAAAACTGAGAGCTATGCTAATCGAACAGTTCCTCCTGACATGACCACACCTCGTGACTCCTATGCCTGGAATACCAGGGAGCTGCTATTTACATCATTTATCATTCCAGCTTCCTGATATTAACATCGTCTTCAATAAAAGAATGACCAAAACTGCAGGGTTTTGCTACTATTATCGGTAGGTACATTTCAAAGTTTCCTGATTTTCAAGGAATTTTCAGTTATACCTAATGTGGTTCCTACAGCACCCACTATTCTGTGTTATTGCCGGGAGGTCAGTTGCAATGAGGACTGCAATGTATGTATACACATTAGCTCACGTATTACAAGGATTACCTTAAATTTGTTACCTCCAGAGACTCTGAACGTGATATAACTGAAGACATTTTAGATAACTAGGTTGGTACCTTTTGACAAAGGTGTAGTTTTCTGAAAGGAACATGGGGCTGTCGCAGTCTGGAAAACAGTGGCAAGAAGCATTAGACATTAAAAAGGGGCCTCAGCTCCCCTTGCACCCTAGCTCTACATCAATGCCTATAAACCATTTCGTATTATTTTCTATGGTATAAAATGCATTTTATCAATTTTGTAAACTTTAGTTCTAATGTATTATCTGTATCCTTGCTTAACAACTACTTTATACTATGTACAGTTCTGACTTCTAAATTTTGAAGAAATCTTAATCTTACCAAACCATTATCATAATCATCAACAATTGTAATTTTTCTTCATAGAAATCAAGTCACGAAAGCAAGAACAGCTAAAATTGAGCTCGCCGAGAAAGTTTGCGACTCCGTCGGTAAGTATTCATTTTCATATCAAACAACAATTCAAAATGTGACTGAGTTAGTTAACGTTGCTATATCTTTGGGGAGACGAACATAAGAAAGTATTTCAATAAGTGAGCAACCCTTCGTTCTGGAGTCAAAGAGCATGCGCATGGAATGATGTCGTTATTACGCATGCTCTTTGCCTTCAGGACGGAGGGTTTTACGCTCGTTCGACCTCCCAACAACATAGCAAAAATGTGGAGGCTAATTGACAAAATTTCAATGCATTCAATGGTGTTCTCCATGTTATAAAATATAAATTCAAAGTTAAAAGTTTCATTATTCCTCGCTTTGGTTATTTGAATCAAGTTGATTTCTTTTATTTGATTTGATAATGCTTACCCAGGTGTTTCAAGCTATCGGTAAATATAATACTGTTGTGCAACCTGACTGCTAAGAATATAATTGCGTAATTACAGCATATACTCGTATATTTATTTAAAAGAAATAAAAAAAATAACAAATGCATTAAATAACATAGAAATCAAAGACATTTCTTGAAAGTTTTAATGCAGGCAGACTGTTTGCTTTCCTTACTTTGATTCATAAAATAATTATAATGGTTGGTAGCAACGGATATAAACCAAAGGACTCTTACCATAGAACGACTTCGAGATACGATGATTCATGAAATGTGCCACGCTGCCGCGTGGATATTGAATGGAGTGAAATGCGGTCATGGAACCTTCTGGAAATATTGGTTTGTTTCATTGGCATTTCTTTACTTAGTTACGAAAGAATGGGGATCTAAACCGAGGTTGATGGGGACAGGGGTTGCACCTTCCACTTAGCAATCTTGCTATTTATATTGTGTTTTTTATCTTTAATGGTAAGACGGGTAGGGTAGGCTGGGGGGGGGGTATGATAAATGAAACTGTAATTTGGGTTTGAATATTTAAATGAACGGTTTTTGAATAGACAAAGCTCAAGTTTTTTTAAAGCTGAATGCGATCTAAAATCTGCAAATTTTAACCTCCATCTATGTGTTCTTGCTGTAGCCTTTAACTAGCATACTTTTTCCAATTCCATTGTATGCTTGAAAGTTGGTATTTCTTTTCAGGGCGAGCAAAGCACACAGAGCCCATCCTGACTTGCCCCCAATATCAAGATGCCATCAATTTGATATAGAATGCCGCTTCAATTACAGATGTATCAACCCATTTTGCGGCAAAAGGTATTTATCATAATCAAGCGCCTAAACGTCGCGCTAAAGTATTAATAATATGTGGCTTAAAAGTATTAAGTCTTAATAAAAGGGCGCCCATTTTCATCTCGACATTTTCTATGCATTCATTGATTGAATAAATTTATATTTATTTGGCCTTATTTGGTGAAACAGTCTTGAGTCTAGAGAGGGAAACACTTTCGTTAACAGAAAAACCCCACCTTCAAATGTTCCAACATTATTTGGTTTCATTGCTATTAAAGCGCTGATCTACAAATTCATTTCAAATCTATCCCATTTCCCTTGACTTGTATCGATTTTTCTATTTAGTTATGGCCGTCACAGCAAGTCTTTAAAGAAATGTCCAGACTGCAACGGGTATGTTTATGATTCACTGATCTATTCTTGTGAGAAGGCTGTACTTATTTTATTAGTTTTTTTAGATCTGAAGAAGAATATTTGCCATAAACGTTATTTAGTTGGGAAAAACCTTGCGGTCCGTGTGGCAAATAAAAATGGCCAAGCACTTTTCTGTTCCCTGGTATTTTTAAATTCTCTTAGTTAATGACTGCTACACAAAGTTGAGTCATAGAAACTAGTCCTCAATTAACAGTTACTAGTTGTGTTTTTATTTGCAAGAACTAGTTCCAAAAAGAAGATCGAAAACCCTTTTTGAAGAACGTTTCAGACAGACAAGACAGCCAATCTTTTTAGCAAACATAATGATACCGCCAAGAAGGTCACAAAGGTTTTATTTCATCAATTCTTTCAGTGTTGACTATAGCTCAAATTAATTTAAATAATGTTCAGAATAATCTTAAGCTCAAAATAAAAAAATAAGAATATTGAGGCTCAGCAAAAAGCTAGGTATTCTTATTGTAATATTATGTGGCATTAGTGTATAATTATGTCTATTGGAATGTCTTTATGAATGAGACAATTTGCTAAAATTTAAGTTGCTTAATCTCTGTTCTAGATCGCTACAGTTACTTGGAAAAGATGGCATTACTCCGTTAAAGCCAAGAGTGCCAAATAAATTTGCTCTTTATGTGAAAGAAAATTATCCCCCGGTCAAAGCTGATCATCCCAATATGTGTCATGCAGATATCATGAAGTTGTTAGGGACAAAATTTAGCATGCTGAGCACATAGATTGTTTGAATGCAAGTTTTCATTCTGTTTCTGCAATCAAATGCTGCAATAAGAGCCAAAGGATGTCATGTTACCAGCCTTTTTAAATTTACGATTTTATGCCAAATATCCAGATTTTTAAGTTAAGAATGAGTAAAAGACATTTGAAAACTTTTTAAGCCATGATTAGTACTATAATTAGCATCTTAGCTTTTATTTTTGGACATGATTTATAGTTTTATAGAAAGAAAGTGAGAAAATTGCTTTGTGCTTTTCTGTTACAATGTCTTACACATATAAATATCTAATGATGTGCAGTAAAAATCATTGGCAACCGTCAAATGCCCAAGCTCTAGTTAAAGATTTTGATTCACGATAAAAAGAGAGGGTATACACAATTGTACTGAGTCATGATATTAGCGCTGCACTGCTATTGGTGGTGCTGAGACTGATCACAAAAAAATTGTCTTGAAATAATTTCAAAAGGAGCTTATGTCAATGACCAATGTAAATGATGGTCACCAAAGTCTCATGAAACTACACTGATCACACAATAGAGTGAAGGCTGCCTGCAGACGATGCCTTTTAGAAGCAGTATTTACTCCATTTAATTGTTCTCAGAATCTCCTTTCATGGCCACGATTTTCAATGACACAAATATTTGTTGGTTTGATGCACAAATAACCAATCAGAATGAAGAACCACCATAGTGTGCTCTTCCTGAGTGACTTGCTGTGAATTCTGTTTTGGTTTCAAATGTCTAAGTCAGTTTGGATGATATAAAGATCCAGCCCTTTTGGAAGTGTTCACCCACAACTGATGTCTGATGCCAAAAAGGCAGTGGATAAACCTCTTTGAAGACAAGGCTTTCAAGTTAGAATCAGCCAATCATGGAGGGAACAGACTGCCTGTAACCACGACTCTGTGCCCTTAAAGAGTTAACAGTAAGGATCTTCAGAGATATTTTAATGTAGCCATTGTGAATGGTTACCATACTCACAATATACACAGCTGGTAGACATTTAAGAATATTCAGAAGTTTATTTGTATATCTTTATAAATATTGACAGAAATTAGTATCTCATAATGATGAATTTTGCAAAGTAAATGAACTAAAATGAAATGAGAAAAACTTTAACAAGTTTTAAGCAACATTAATGGTCAATACCTTAACTAAAAAATAGAGTACATTAACCAACTCATTGTACATGACATATATCTTCAAAACGCTCTCTGTGCTGTCACTTCAGGATTTATCTTTTATCCAAAGTATTCATTGTGTAAACAAAGCTGTAAACATAGGTACACCAATGCTGCACCAATGTTAGTACACAGAGAAAAAAATCACTGTATGTGACACTATCTCCCATACCTGAAAAAGGCAGAGAAATTCTATAATAATTGACAATTTGTTGATGTTCAATACTAAGAAATGGCAGAAATAAAATGGTTTAATTTTCAGCAATTGATTGGATTCGCCTTTGATCACATTTGACCATCAAGTTCAGAGTTGCTATATGCAAATTTGGCACAGCTGTTTTATACACAAAATTGGATCAACATGTAAATCTTTTTGTATGGCATCAAGACTGGTTACAACATTACAATATTACAGACTGGTAGAATATCAATTTTTAATAAATTTATAAAGGAAAAAACAAATGGCAATGATACAAAATTGTTGGAGGTTTCTTACTTTTGTAGCTCCCATTCTCTATTGTCTAATGGGCAGACTTGGCGGGTTTTAAGCCATCGAGATATGCAATGAAAGTGAAAAGCATGCTGGAAAGACAGAAATAGACATTTGAGGGTAACATATTATATAGTTTAAAATAAAAAGAAAATTTGAAGAGTCAAATGAGACAAATCTTTTGCTTTAGACATATCATTTTATTTACCCAGTCAAATGTGTAATGTGTGTGTCCTGCTTTGTTGTTTTCATGAATTCTATAGTCCTTTTGTGCTGTGTTTTTTGTTTTGAAAGAGATCTTGATGTTGTAATTCAATTACAAGTTCAAGCATGGTGAAAGGGCTTGCTTTCTGTAAGTTTATTCTGTGGTAGACGCTGGATTAATAGACACTAACTTATTTCAGAAAGTTTTATTTGGTCACTGTAATTAACCTTCGTTTCAATTTTTTTGTTTTGTTTCTTTTGTTAAGGTAATTTATTTTGTTTTGTACTTAGTGGATTCATAGTTGCCAAGAATTGGTTTCGTTTCAAAGAAAGTTGTTTATTTGGTCTTTTGGCTGCTACAGAAAAAATACTACTAAAATAACAAAAAGCGTTTCAATAAGAAATGGTGTGTGATGGTTTAAATATTGGTAGCAAGGTATTTCTGGCCAAATTTTAATACTCATTGCTCCTCATTATACCTTTTGTGAATAAATGAAAACGTTTTTAGTACATACATTAAACTTTGTTTCAAACTATAAAGAAGCACTCACATTGCAAACACCCCAAGCAACCGTACACTCTTCACTTGTTGCAGATGCCTGGTTAGCCTGACATTCAATACCTAAAAAATCAAACCTTTTAGCAATACAATAGTGCAGAATGTTAACAGTCTGATAAAATTAAGGTTAGATTGGCTTAGTTATGAAATCAAACTTAGGCTAAATATATTTTCATACAAAAACCATACTGAAACAAACTAGAGTAGCTGTAACAATAAACATGAATTGTCAAATCTCTTCAATGTCAGAAAATTTTTTTATAGATAAAAACTTTCTTTTTTTCATAATTATCTTATATTTGAGTCAATTATTTAAATAGGATACATTATACTCACATAGATCCATTATATGATTTCTACAGATAGCACAATTGTCTACAACAATATCTGTAATAAAAGCACAAAAGGTTAAAGCACAAGAATCATTATGACTTTGGAAAATGCAACTGAATGATCAGACAAAAACAAGGACAAGAAAATATTACTATTATATATTTGATATAGAATTACTATAATACTATAATATATACTATTATATATTTGATATAGAATTATTACAATATGCAGAAACATGTATATTATTATTATAATATACATGGGGGACAACACACTGAGAAAGTTCTTATTATGGTTAATCCTAACCAAATTCCATCTTAATTTTGATAACTCTTAGCAGAATGCAAAACTTCTTCAAACAGGTGCTGAAAAACTTTAAGATTGCATTTGGGGATAATCACATTATTGCATATTGAGAATAGAGAATAACACTATTTCATTTGACTCTTTTATGTTAAAAGGTCAGTGAAAAAAAGTAAATATATGTATCAAAACTGGGATAAAAGGGAAAACAGTAAAATATTCCTTTCTTTATCCCACTTCCTTTCTTAAATAGACCATGTATGATCTGCAAAATTGTTGTACTAATTGTTATTGAGACTTCTGAAGAACATTCAAATAATGAAAGAATAGATCATGAAAAAAGATGCTCTGACAACCCATTGATTATTAATTTATATACGAATCCCAAGATCCAATAGCACCTTTACTTTGCTTTGAAGCCAGTAGGCAAGCATTTATTCTACACCTTTCAAATACTTTTGCTATAGTAACTTCAAAAGGGTAAAATGTGATACTAATTGTGACCTAACTTACCCCATGCCCACAGCGCAACAGCATTCCACTAAAAAAATCAATACAACAAAGTGAATTTACAGGCTTTTCATCCTGACATTCTACATTTTAAAAATAAATTAGCAAATAGGACGTTCTGCATTTGGTAGATTTAGATGCTGATTTAGATGAGACTACCATTAAGCTACTTAGCTTCATTTAATATTGAGCTAGCTTTCGATAGTAAAAGGTCAGAAAATTTGTTAACGGATAACAAAAGTAGATGCATGCATGCATTCTGCAGGAATCCGTCTGTGGTGCTAATGTGGTTCATTTCAAATATCAAATCCCCCTAACGTGAGAAAAAAATAGTTTCTTAAGTATAAAATGTAATGCTTATACTCTTACCTACCAATCTGGTAGGGAGAAATGGCCTAAATGTAAGAAAGGATGGAAGCTAAATGTCTCTCGACCTCACTCTAAAAAACCTCACCTTCTTGACTTCGAAGCGCTTTTTCTCGGTTTTTAAAGAATTTCCTGACGTTGAGGGAGTAACATCCTGCATTTCAACATCGCCTTCTCCCATTTTTACTGAATATTTTTTCTCTAAAATTCACGACTTTCGTTGTCAAAAAGATGTATGTTGAAGTACTAACAAACTAGGCCTTCAAGGTTGAGGTCAACATGGGAAAGAGGTTGTTGTGAAATCAACCAGAAGCCCTGCCGTCCACCAACAACCCCCTCCTCCCCACCTGTCATGGACAATTTACACATTCAATTTCACGAAGATAAACCCAAACATAGGTTTAATATAAAAATATTCTATTATGCAAACGAGGCACCCGATGATTGCTACCCATTATTTTGAAAAACTAAAGAGCTTTTTAGTTTTTTTAAACAAAATACCAGCCAAAATTGCTCAAATTGTTAGAAAATGTTCCTAAATTTGATCCTGGTATGATCCTCAATTTTACCTGTTTTAAAAGAAGACGCGGATTTTTGATTAACAATGCAGAGCAATATGCAGAGCGTTGTGATTGCGCATTAAAGATGCAGGCATAGAAGTGCTGGCCCAGTGCTAATAGCGCACCTAAACTCTGTTAAAGGCTCTTGGGCAACTGGCTTACTTTGCGGCTATCTTTTCAAAGCCGGCCTTATACACTGATCTCCTTATATCATACTGCATGAAAATACAAAACATTTCTCTTTGCATAAATAGATAGCTACCGCTAAGAATGCCGGTTGCGCGAGAGCCTTTAAAATATCCACTGGAAAAGTTTATTGTGCTGGTGCACCTGGCATTTTCGGGTGATTCATGGGCGCCCGCACGAGAGGTGCCCAAAACCCTGTCAAAATGATATTTTCCTTGAAATCTGGTTAAGGGGTATACAGTGAACAAAAAGCACGGGTCTGTCACCATTACCCTGGGTACCAGACTCGCTATATATAAAATAGAATAGAGATATTTTGTTTGTCATATCATCTATTATTTTATATAGTGACTCTGGTACCCAGGGTATTTCACCATAGACATCAGTGGATAGATTACCCTGGGTTCCAGAGCGTCAAATATAGCGAGTGGGGCGTCGAGGAAATAGGGCGTTGCGGGAGAGTGCTGGGTAGGAATAGATAGACGATAACCAGCCATCTCTCAAAAGGTACAGAGACGAGTTTCAGCTGTCTCTCTAGTGATTCATTCTTGTTCTGAATGTACCAGTCGTGGCATCTATTTACTAACTTATTGAGCTATATTTCTGTTCTTTGTCTTTTATTTACAATTTACATCAATTCAGTAGTTAACTCTCTCATTTTCTCTCGATGTCATTTTTAATGTGGTCTACTGAAAATACTCGAGAAAAAGAAGATACACATGTGTGTTCAGGAAGTAAAATTCCCTCAGTCAACTCAACATCATTGAGATGTGCACTCTGAACCAATGGTCAACCTTTCTTCCTTTCCCGACATTTGTCACCAGAGTTTTAGCATGACTCTTCCCCTCCCAAATTTTTTCTAAAAATAAATAATCAATATTTTTCTGAGAATCGTCGAACTGTCTATTCTGAGCGGTATGGTATTTTGTTAAATTTTAGTCTTGGAGATGCATTCTTAGCCATTCTAGTAGGCTTAATTTCGAAAATTTTCTTAATTTCATCCTATGTCACTAAACATGTACCCTGGGTACCAGACTCACTATATAAAATATTTTATATATAGTGTGTCTGGTACCCAGGGTACTAAACATGATTCTTAGCCCTCCCAGGTTCAATTCCGTGGCGCCGTCTCTGTTGGGGGAGGGGGGGGGGTGGGTTAAACAGCAGACTATAGCTAAGCCGGTGATGATTAACTGTATTGCTTTAAGTACAGTTTTTGAATTATTCGAGGGGGGGGGGTGGGATTTAGTTCTGTCAGCTGCTCCCTTTCTTGCAATTTTGTCGAAAAGTCAATGGAAAAGCAAAAAAAAAGTCGACGAAAAGCAGAATTCTCGTAAACGAGGCTAGTGCCATGCTCCATTTTGAAAACCGATTCTTGGCGGTTCGGGTAAGTCTAAAGCAGATATGTCACTTTTCTAGGAAGACAATTTTTGATTGAACAGTTATTCGCTTTTATCGTTCTACGAGGAGTTACAAAATTTGAAAACGCATTGAAGAACAAATAAAGCAAAACAAAGTTTCCCAAAACCAACCATATAGCGGTGCCCGACTTGCTTTGGATAGCAAGACAGGAAGCTGTCATGTTTGGATCAACTCCGAAAACTCCTTTTGGCACTGGGGGGTTTGGAAACACAAGTTCTAGTAAGTATAAATTGACCAATAAAGCTCTTTATCTCTTTTGAGCAAAACAGATTTGTGTTGCGAAATTGGGTTGAACAATTAGGCAACCACTCGAAGTTTATTAGATGAAAGTTAGACCTGATATGATTTGCATATCGATAGCTAGGCCTACCTAAAAGACCAGACCGGGTCCTTGTCAAAATCAGCATTCAAAAGTTGAATGGTTAGAATACAGAGGACAAAGTTTCTGGTCTGGCTTGTAGTGCTGATTATTCCCCTTTAAAACAGTATAATTTTCAGTCCCTATAAGTAAAGTAATTTTCTATACCTCCCTTGTTGTCATTGTTTAGCTGGATTATAGATGAAATCCTGGTCCATTTTTACAGGATAAAAAACAGGTCTAAAGTCAATTGGCTATGTTTTTTTAGGTTTATTTGGAGCCAAAACACAGGCAACATCAGCTTTCGGAACACCAAGCTTTGGAAATACATCATCTGCATTTGGTGGCGGAACCTCTACTTCTGGTCTCTTTGGCAGTAGCAATGCTGGCAGCAGTCTGTTTTCACAACCATCAACACAGCAATCAACAGGTGTTTTTTGTTATTCATTTAGTTGTTCAAGACTATATATATGTTTATGTACAACTACACTCATTTTTTTATAAGAAACTGGCTGTAAGAAACGAGTACTGGACATTCAGAAACAATTAAGAAACTTCAGTACTCAAAGCAAAAAAATTAAGAAACTATTAAATCGTGATAAAACTGAAAACAACGAAATTTTTTAAAATCCAAGAACAAGATTGCCCTGATGGCCAGAACTTAAAACACAAGGGATAAAAATATACTTCCCACATCTAAATACAGCATCAGAACAGAAGCGAATCTTTTGAAGTGATAAATCACAAACATTTCATAACATCATTCATGACATCATAATTAAGGAACTCTTAAGAAACAATGAGTATTGAAATTCCCAGAACATTAAGAAACTGGAGTACTCAACATCGACCTTTGTTTCTTATAAAAAAAAATGAGTGTATTTAGACCTGGCCATAAGACTTTTAGCAGAGGGCAATAAACATCTCTCCGGGTAATTTCCAGGTGAGCTCTTTGTAGATTATTTTTCCCTTCCCATCTTAATTGCAGACACCTATACTATCACTCCCTATTAGTTTCTATGCAATTCCCTTTTGCAGCACATCAGAGTTTTTGTTAAGAATTGGTAGCCAGTGTTTCAACTTAATGGTTTGATCTAACCAACAACTAGAATGAACTTCTAGCAAATCTGATGTCAGTTTTGCATTTCAACCCAATTTATTACAAACTTAAGATATAGCATGTATTTCTAAGTAAAATTCCTTTCTTGCTTCTTTGTTGTGGTCAGCTTTTTTGAAGGAAGCCCATAAATCCTTACTGCTCCAATGATCTCCAAAATATCATCAAATTCTTATTCAGTGTATTGAGCTTCAGTTATTCTTTTGTAAGAATGTTAGTGACAGACTGCTAAATGTTCTTTCAAATTTTGAATTTGATTCAGAAATTGATATGATAAAACTTAATCCTTTACAAATGTTTGGAAATTCTTCACAAAAGTTAGTCATGATAGATTGTTTGCCATCTTGAGCTGCAGGGAGCTTTTTATAGTAGCTGAACTTCTAAATTTTGAAGTTTCAAATTGGCCTGATTATTTTTTATATTGAATATGCAACTTATCTTGTGTGCTCCATTGACAGCTTGCACAACCTTTTTATTATGACAGGCCACTTGAATGTTCTTTACATTTAAAGGCTACATGTTTGATGCTTGCAAAACTTAAAAGTTTTTTATGTACTGTAGAACTCTAAACTTCCAACATCTGGCTGTATGTAGTTGCAGAACAAAATGTCAGGTTGTCACTCTGGTGATGGTATTAAATATGTAATTCTTTATTACTGACATATTTATTGTCTAATTTTTTCTTATTACAGTGCATGATACATGCTCTATTAGGATTATTTTAGTTGGCCAAGATGCTTTTTTATTCTTGAAAATTTATTTAATTTTTAAGTCATTTGTCATTTTCAGGTTTTTCCTTTGGTCAGCAGAAAACTGGTGGGCTTTTTGGGACCAGCACTCAATCTTCAAATTTCTTTCAAACACCACAGACCACCAGTACCTTTGGAGGTTCGTTTTTTTTTTAAAATTTCTTTTTACTTTGGCACGCTCAGTCTGAAAATCACAATTCTTAAGGATAGCTGGCATAGCAACTTAGACTCTAGCAATATACATAAACAGTAACAGGTCTATTAACAATTGCCTGTATGTATTATTATTTATTAAGCTGTAATATCTGTAAGTCCTCAATTTGAATATAATATTGAATATTGCAAATGAAACTTCACATTTTGAGCATTTTTGCAAATAGGAGCTTGTTGAGAATGCAACTAGCAAAGGTCTTCTTTCTTTATTTTCCTACTTTGTTGAAAACAAGTTAGATTCCAATTTTGCAGGGTTTGGCACAAATACAGCTGCAGGGACAACCTCCACTGGGTTGTTTGGAAGCAGTTTTGGGACAAGTACTTCAAATCCAATAGGAGGAGGAGGAGGACTCTTTGCTGGAAGTTCAGGTATATTTTTTAAACTTTACAAATGAATGTTTGTTTTTTTCAAAAATTGATTTTGATGATAATGAATTTAAAATCGATAAATAAAATCTGGCAACAACTTCAAAAAGTCTTTATTAATATTCTGGAGATACAAAAGCTACAAGATATGGTTTAACATTTTGTACTTTCAGATAGCCATATAAAAGCAGATTTCTATTCATCAATTTTATGGCTGGATATGCACCCTGAGATATTTTAGGTATCCCCATTTTAATGCATTAAAACCAATTCTGGGTTAGTGAGCTCTAAAATGTGAGCGCTCAGGCCATTGATACATCTTTAGTCAACAAGAAAACCTCATAATAAACCAATGAATTTCAGAAGAGGTAGCATTATTAAGACAGAACACAACTTTTGTAAAGAGTCTATTTGTGAACTATTTAATTTTTCTGTATGATTTTTTCTCAACAGCTTTTGGCAGTGCTGCACCAAATGGAACAACTGTGAAGTTTAATGTTAGTTCATTACCTATTCAACTTACTTTCCCTTCTTGCTAAATTTAATTGTATTGATGTTTTTAAGCTTATCCAAATCAAGTAGGTAAATGCAGCTCAATTGAGGAAAGTATCTAATTGGAAGTTAAAGATATATATATATATATACTTGTTATAATATATACATGTTATATATTATTTTTAGTACTTAATTTGCATAGGTTTCATGTTATTTTCAATTTAGATATTGTTTTTGTATTGAATGTAATTAAACTAGAGTAAGACTAAAATTAGTTAAGTCTATTGCCATGTCCTCTTATCGTTTTTTCAAACTCTTCATGAAGCAGTATGTTATCTGTCTTCCTTGGTCTTAAAACCAAAGCTAATTGGTATTTTCAACTATGATTTGTTCAGTTTTGTTCTAGAAACAAATATTGATATTTTTGACAATTGATGATCTTTGCCTTGCAGCCTGTCACTAGTACCGAGAGTGTCAACAAAAATGGCACAAGTATTAATGTGCAAACCAAGTACCAATGTATCACTTCAATGAAAGAATACGAGTCAAAAAGCATTGAGGTTAATCAGCTGCTTACTTTCTAACTTTTGATCAGCAAATATTTTTGATATGCTACATTAAGAAATATTATCAGAATTTTTCAGGCTCCATCCATTTCCACTTGTATTTAAAGCCGAAAACCCACTCCGGAAAATGATCTGCGGATCAGATCAGATCGTGTTGTTCTTTCGATCTGCAGATTGTTTCAGATTGGAATGCACGTTGACATTATCTCCACGGGATTCTTGCCTCATGATGCAAGTGCTCTATTGTTTAAAAAGTTCTAATTCGATTTTGATCAAAAGAAAACTACTGTACTGGAGTTGCGGATCAGTCATGTGACCATTTTTGCATCCAAAGCCCTTGCAAAACACAAAATCTAATCCGATCCGCTGATCATTTTCTGGAGTGGGTTTTTGGCTTAAGAAATTCTTTTTGGATCAGACTGTACATTTTCATATAAAAAGTAATAAGATTTTTAAAAAAGCTGAGTTTGTTATAAAATGAAGAAAATACCAGGATTTGTTTAAAATTTAATAACGGTTCCAATTTTGACAGAAAATAATGTGTTTTTAAATACCAGTGTTTTAGTTTAATATGTAAGTTTAAAACTTGTTTTTTCTTGAAAACTGCTTTTTAGATTCATTTTGCTTTACAGCTTTAAAAGCACAATAAGAAACTTGGAAATTAGTTTTTTTTGTTGGATACTCAAGTTTGAAAAAGTTTGCCTCCAGTGATTTACAAGTGGGGTTTCAAATGCCGGCTTTTAAATTATTTAGTGGTCGTTTCATTTGATCATATATTGATTTGTGTGTACATCTGTACTTGTTTTCCTCTTTCATTCTATTAAAGGCGGTAAAACTTTATGGAACAAAAAGAACATAAAACTAAGTCCATTCAAAACTTTCCTTGCTGTAAATCTTATCCCATTTCAGGAATTGCGTTTTGAAGATTACACTGCAGGAAGAAAGACAGGATCAAATGCATCGTTATTTGGCAGCAGCACAAACAAGCAGCAACCATCGTTGTTTGGATCAAGTGCAACAACTGGATTCGGCCAGAATAAAACAGCAACATTTGGAGGTATCACTTCATTGCATAGTTACAAGATTGTTGCTTTTTCCCGAGCAGAATTGTGAAGATATAACATCTTAATTGATCATCAATTCGTAAAAATGTGCACATTCTGAGATATAGTCTGAAATGTAAAACATCAATATTTAGCCATATTGAAGTTTTATATTTGTAAACGTGACTAACATAGGTACTCCTGTGGGTTGTGATGCTCAGGTCCTTTAAATATAGGGTGGATTCCTCTAAGCCCTAAAAAGGGGCAAAATAAAATGCGAAAAATCTGCTTTTTTAAGATTTGTACCTTAAAGGGTCCTCGACTGAACCTCAGCGGCAGTTGTATCACTTGCAAAACATTTCTATGTTTAAGAAACTTCTTTTCCGCATTTACAGTGGACGGTTAAATTTGCCGTATCTTGGAATATCTTGCTTCTGCACCGTGTGGGGTTCACATATGGAGTATCTAAAGTGGTAGCTTTTCAGCCAATAAATTGTTTTCTAGTATGGCAGATCGCGTTCTCATACAGGCCAAGCAACAATCGAGTATATGAAAGGATTAACATTGTTGTGTGGGAAAAGGCATTACTTAAAAAGAGTGCTAGTTATATCCAAATCTAGCCTCGGTATTTAGTTTAGTTAGGTATTTATTCCTTGTTTAGCTTGATTAAGTGTTTAGACAACTTGAATTTAGATGTTTAAAACGCAATGTTTGCTAATACAGTGGTTATTTTCAAGGATTTGGTCCTACAGCAACTACAAGCTCTTCACTGTTTGGTCAGTCTAACCCAAGTGGAGGAGGTCTTTTTGGCAGCAAGCCGATAGGTACTGGCTCTATTTTTGGTGCAACTACGACAACTACCAATTCTGGGTTCGGTTTAGGAACAAGTGGTGGTTTGTTTGGGCAGACAAGCACTACAGTAAGTTGATGCTACATTTTGAACCCTTTTATTTCGAAGATATGAATGTTTGTACTGCAATATCGTCCTTAACCGCACCCTGGCAGGCAAAATTTGCCGATCTTGGACAATTATTGAGTCCTGATGTGGGTATCATGATTTGGGTTTCTTTTGAACCACAGAATAAAGCATGTACAATTGAAACGACGCCAAGATGAAGAGGGAAGGGGATAAGCCGAATTTAAGACATTCCTAGATGTGGTACTGATTGTCCCATGTAAATAGCATGTCCGTAAAATGTCTCAAAATGAAGATGGCTTGGGAACGAAAGAACTGAAGTTGCGACTGAACTATTTTGGAACCTGAATTATTCACATTGAGTAAACATAATGTCGCAGTCTTTGCACTAAAAGACTTGATATATCTTCTGCATGCTATATATTCGGCGATTGCATAAAAAAAACATTGATAAAAATGTGCAGTTTCGAATCGAATTTTGTCGATTTTTTATCGATTTATTTTACAGTACCCCACATCAAACCGTGTTAATTATCATATTTGTTTTAGGGACCACGTTTTGGCTCAACTGGCACAGCAACTGGGGGACTTTTTGGTGCCAGCACAGGTTTTGGTGCAGCGCAGAAGACATCAACTACTGGCGGTCTGTTTGGGACTAGCACCTCGACGTTTGGTCAGCCACAGGTATGACGCATTCTCTGTTTTTTATTTTTTATTTTTTATTTCTATTTTTGACGCAGTTTCTCTCTATTTCATATAACATCTGTAATTGCACAGTATTGTTTCTCGTTTAAAGCACTTTGTTTAGAAAGAGCCTAAAACTTGCACACTGGCGTTAAGATGCTTCGTGACATCTTTCTTGGGAGTTTGCTACCAAATCAATATGATAGCTTCGGAAGATATTTTGGTTTCCAGAAAGAGAAACAAAAAAAGACAGAATTTATAGAGAATGATACTAAGACTTTAGAACAAAAGAATCCACAAAATTCGGATACAAAAAAGAAAAGCAATAAACCAGTCAGCAATGATTATTCAGCCATATGATCATAAATTTGAGAACTATCGGGAACAAACTTGTGATAAATGGTATTAAACCTCTATGATCAAAGTTTCAATTTGCTGCAAAATTGGCGTATACATTTATTGAATCTGTGAGTCACAATCAAAATTAACAATTTGGTTGCTTTGCAAATTAGATCAGCATACTTAATAGTAATAGCAGTACTGCAGAATAATCTTTTAAAAAATAAAATGAAAGTATTATTATCTACGTAAGCCAAATCTCAATAGACTCAACTTAATTTGATACATTATGTAGATAATCTTTTATCTTAACTACGGTGCCAATGATAATTTCTTTTTTCATTTCTGATAGCCACCCACCTTTTAAGCACGATGAGGCCATGGCTGGCTAAGCAGAGTTGTCACTGCCTTAGTCTTTATCTCATTCAAAAGAGTCTATCGTTTGATTATGTACTTTAAATAGCCACTTGCGAAAACAAAATGGAAGGGTTTGAATATCTTTATAATTAAGATTCTAGAGAGCAGATTAAGTACCCTGTTAACTGATTTGTCGACTCTCTCATATGTTACGTAATTTCTTGTTGAACATCAACTGTAAGATTTTTACAAATATCTTCACCTTTCATTGTTTCTCGAATTTTAGTCTGGTGGTCTATTTGGTGCGACGTCTAAACCATTCACTTTTGGAACTACAAGTTCCGGAACATCAACATTTGGAGGGAACACGTTTGGCACCACTGGTGCAACTGGGTTGTTTGGATCGACGGCTACATCGAAGCCAGCATTTAGCTTCAACCCGTCAGGTACCTCTGGGTTTGGGTCCACTCTTGGAAGTTTTGGAACCAGTACGTCACTAGGATCTGGTGGATTGTTTGGTTCAAGCACCGGTACAACAACCGGTGGAGGGTTATTTGGTGGACAGACGAGCACAGGGTTCGGAACCGGACTGGGAGGAACCTCTGGTTTTGGTTCAACTCTCGGTGGTACCACAGCCATAGGAGGTAAGTTGTTGAGACCATTTTATATTAACGTTGTCCCATGTTATCATCGTTTACAGGTTTTCTGTCTCAATTTTGGCAAGGCATATTGAATAAGAATCAGTTCCCTCTCAAGATTGACGAGTGGATTGAAAATTTCAAAGGCTTACCAGATGCATTATATCACATTGTATCAGAGGCATCTATTATGAAAACAAACTATTATTTCAATGAACATCTAGTTGTGTACATAATAGTTTTTCTGTTAAATGATAAATAAAGGAACTAGCAGATTTACTGCAGTGTTGTGTTAGGTCATGTTTTTCTAGACAAGCAGTTAATGAATAACTGTCTTTAGATTTACATACTTTAACATAATTTTATGACATATCTCCACAGGTTTAGGTGGACTTGGTGCAGCAACTGGACTAACGGGAAACCAGAATCTTGCTGGGCTCACTGGCGTGTATGTTGTTTCAATTTTCATTTTATCAAACCTCTTTATTTTGTAACTTTTTTATTTCAGGGAGGGAAGGGTTGTTGGTTGGGTCTTCTCAGGCGTGGAATTTTTTGTTGCTGCGTACACAATCCTTCTTTACGTACACAGAATAATAGCTTGCTTGTTGTAGTTTGAAAATTTCTTGGTTTGCGCCTGAAAAGATGTTGATGATGCAGAAAGAGGAAACCACCAAGGGAAAGGGAAAGGGAAAGGGAAAGGGAAAGGTTTTTTTCTCACAAGATGTGGGGTTTGGTGTTGTAACTACTCCAAAGTCATATACAATAGCAATTCATATGTTTTATGGGAATTGAACTGGTTTGAAAAACTGCTATGTTTAATTAGAATTATGGGTTTCTTTTTGCAAATCTTTCTCACGTCGATTAATAGTTGACGCATAATATTTGCATTTGCTGGCTATGTTCAGACTTTATATCAGGCCTGGCCATAAGACTTTTAGCAGGGGAGCTGTAAACAGCTCTCCTAGTAATCTACAGGTGAGCAATTTCTAGATGAAAAAAGAATATAAACAAAAGTAAAAATTGATTACAAGGAGAGCAATTAGCTTTTTAAAGCAATTAAGGAGAGCAATCTGTAGCTCCCCTCCAGCATTTGAGGAGAGCTTGGAGGGGAGCAAGAGCTATGGCTCTCCTGAAATGGCCAGGCCTGTTTGTATGTATCTTAAGATAAAACTGTGGGATACTACTGACCGTTTCTCGCACGCAAAGCTATATTATTTGGAATGAGTAGCTTCTTGCAAGCGGCCCTATGTAAGACGCGGTCTGTTCTTCGTATAAATTCGTATGCATTCTTCTTCGATTTTCCAGCAACCAGGCCAGCTTTGCCGCGTTTCAGCAGCAGCAAGTTCTTCAGCAACAACTCAAGGCATTGGCAAATTCTCCTTTCGGTGACTCTCCCCTCTTCAGAAATTTAACGGTAAGTTGCAATAAAGTTGCAATATAATGTTTTCAAATGCTAAAACCTTTGTTCAAAAGCAGCTTGTTTGTAAAGCTGGCAAACGGTACAATATGTCTGTCACAAAAAGGCGCTGCATGTCTCTCGCAAAAGGGTGCTGCATGTCTCTCGCAACATGTTTTTCCTAGTATGCTGCCCTATTTCTTTCTTTCACATCTCACTTTCCCTTTGTTTCGTTTCTTTCTCTCTCCACCAGGTACTTCATTTAAAAGTCTACAAAAACATGTTATGTCGTTTCTTGAATTTAGCATTTTTCAGTCTCTATTTTGAAAAAAACACCCCACGCTAACTTTTAGATAAAAATGAAAAATGTTCTTAAATATTTTATCGTGTAGCTTGCAGTTATTTTTACTTAAAGGGAAAACGTCATTTTTGTTGCCATTGAAAGGGATAAAAAAGAAATGGGAAAGCAAAGATTACATTTTCTTGCCAATGCCTAATTTTCCCATTTTCCCAACTATTTGTTGGGTATAATGTTTATTGTGGTAAAATGTTCTCTGCCAACTTTAAAGGTAATGTGTCCATATAAAAGGACTGCGTATACCCAACTTGTCAAGCCACCCATCAAAATAACGGTTTGCGATTGGTTAGTATTCTTGCGATGCAAAACTGCTCACATGAAAAGCTGACCTCGCAGCAGGATAAATAAACAGAACGACCGTAATGACTGGGGCGATGACATGAAAAATCACATGTTTCTGAAATCCCCGCAGAGTCGCTTGCTTTAGCTGGACACATTACCTTTAAAAAAAATTTTCCAATTCTTTTTGCAGCCCTGATTAACATCATCTAGTTATATATACATATACATGTGAACTCAAAGATGCATTTTCATTCTTAACCGTAAATATTGGCATTTTGTTTCAGGCTTCAAGAAAAAACGATTCAAATGTTACCGTACCAGTACCTTCGTCTAAGTCTGCTACAGCGTCCTCACATTACAAGGTGAATAAGTATAGCTTTTCTTCAACTAAAGCCTCTGTAGTCATATTATGCCAGAATTTCCATTTTCATATCTATGGTTTGTCGAACGAATATTCTACAACCGTTATTACATCAAATTTGGATAGTTGAAGAAACCAATGAAAATTACTGTTTTACCTGTCTGGCTTATTTTTTGATGCCGTGTAGGCAGAGCTGTACAGGGGTATAGAACAGGACGGTTTTAGGTTACGACCCCAAGTTGCACACTTAAGGCGATCATTAGGCAACTGTTGAAGAAAGGAAGCTGTTTTTTTTCATCCAAGTATCCTAGTTATTTACAATAACATTTGTTTACATATGTTTACATCATGTTTCTTCTGTGGTAGATAGGAAGAACTAAGGTAAGTAGATGATTTCAATAGAGAACGGGCACGAAAGTATGTTCGTTCTTACGAAGCTTTTTTCTGTTGGCTTTAAATAAGCCTTCAATTCTATTAACATATATACAATCTATGCTTTCATTTTTAAGTAAATAATTATTCTAACTTTCAGGTTTTTTCAAAACCCGCAATTAAGGTCAGAATGAAATCTTCTCCATTCTTGGCCTCAACAAAGGTATGTATAAAATCATCACAATTCTGTGTATTAATCACCTTCCTGTGAAAATTAAGAGAAGACAAATTTTCAGAAATTCCTTGATTAAAAATAGCATTCATTGTAATACCAGATTTTTCTTGATTGTTTTTGCCAATTTCTCAGACATCTCTATTTGACGGAATTGGTGATGACTATTGCGAAGAAGACGCTAATCTCACCCCAAGGAGAAGTGTGAAGAAACTGGCCATTAAAGGCAAATCGAAGGTTCTACCTCTTCATCAATTCATTTCACTTTACCAATTATTTGTTTTTCTAGGCTACCCTGATGTTTTATAAGCTTTTACTTAAAACTGTAAATGTTTTTTTTGTTATATATTTATTTGTAATTTAAAGCAATGATATCATATCATTTTAAACACAACAAGCAGGTAAAAATAATTTTTCTTTATGCACCAGAAGGGGGGGACATATTCCATCCTTTATATATATTCACGTCTACGTCATGGGATTGTACACAGGGCCTATAGGCATTTCCTGTAGGGTTTTTACACCCAAAAAACTTCATTGATACTGTTAAGGAATTCTGTCATGCAGTAGAACGGCTGATTGTCGTCCTGTTTTCTTGAAATGTTTCAAATTTGGAGATACCAATATTGATATTACTATCAATGTCATATTCTACAGTATAAGATTCAGAATATTATAACCAACATTTTATTCTTTTCCAAGGGGTATTTAAATGGCACTGTGGAAAGCTCTCCACTGCGTTTGCGAAGCACAACTGATGTTGATTATGATGACTTGGTATCAAGGATTCCTGCAATGCCAAGATTGCCAGCCGATAGTCAGTCTGAAAAGGTGCCTACTGAAAATACAGTAACGTCTCCCATATTGAATATTGTCAAAGAGAAAGCTGATGAAAATAAGGAAACATCCGTCAATGAAGCCGATAGCACAGTGGATAGCAGTGATGCGGAGGAGCATTCAGATTCTGATGAAGAAACGGAAAACCCTTGCGGAATTGTTTTGAAAAGGTCAGCAATAGTCCAGCCTTTTATGCCACTTCCATAGAAAAGAGTTGTACTCTTTTCCAATATCTTCATTTGAATTTCACGTTTTAATGTCTCTACAGGCCTGAATACTGCACAATCACATTTTATGCCACATCCATACATAAGAGTGCTACTCTATTCCAATGTCTTCATTTGAATTTCAAGTGTTATGTCTCTACAGGCCTGAATACTACACAATCCCTTCTACCAAAGAATTGAATAAAATGGATCTCAGTGATGGAAAATGCCTTGTCGAGAACTTCATTGTTGGTAGAGAAGATTATGGTGAAGTTAAGTTTTTGGGAACTACAGATGTGAAAGATTTGAATCTGGACAAAATTGGTAAGAGAAAGCTCTAACAAACATTTATTGCGTTTTTTGACGATTGTTTTGAAACCGACAGGCCTCATGTTGTCATTTGGATTCGCTCTTGGATGGAAGCAAAACATAGGTAAAAGATTCGTTCATAAAATGCTTTGAATATAGTGGATTTCTGTGCTTGTTGATTCTAGCTAGAATCACTTGCAAGGATGTGGACAGAGGTGGAAAAAGTATCGGAACCTGGGAACGTAGTTCCCAGAAATTTTTCTAGATGAGAATATTAGCAGAAAGTATGGATTACTTTTTTCAAGAGGTAGATATATTTGAAGCTTTGATAGCTTGCCCAGCAAGCCAATTTTCAAGTATGAAATGGGTTTATTTGGAAAATATTGTATTCTACACCTGTCTCGTTTTACAAGGAACGCCAGTAATTTACTTCAGCTTTTGATGTTTTAAACTTTTAAACTTGCGAAGTTTTATGACTTGTTTGTCTTTTGCGATCTGCAGTCTTCTTCAGAAGAAGAGAAGCAGAAGTGTACCCGGACGATTATACAAATAAACCAGAAGTTGGAAAAGAATTAAACAAAAAATCAGAAATCAGCCTTCACAAAGTCTGGCCTAATGACAAAACGTCGCATACACCAATAAAGGTAAACTGTTTGGTTTTTCTGAATTTAATTGTTTCTACCCTTTGAAACTACGCACAAGCTTAGGACGTTAGTTCCTATTTCCCACTCAAGCATTCTTTTACCTGCTTACTCTGTTAATTTCTCTATATTCCTTTTAATACTTATGTTGTTTACTCAATACTGTAACGATTAGGGCAAAAAGAATATGTATATACGTATTATTTTACATTTACGCTTTTTAGCCAATCTATCGTCCTTGTGTTGTTTTAATTTTTGCTGTTTAGCTGCCTTTTTAAAACTAAACTGTTTATCCTGCATCAGCATCATCACAGATGTTGTGAGCTTAGACCTTTATACTTTTGAAACGTTAGTTTTGTCTCCAAGGCTCTTGTTAAAACATAAATACAATCCCTTTCCTTCGTCTCTACACGTCTTGTATCTCTGTTTTCTTTTCGGAACAGCCACAACTTATATAATTTGCTCTCATTTAATCAAAGTTTCACTTCCCATCTGTCGGTGCTAGTACGATCGGTTAAGTTGGATTCGTTGTATCTTTTGGCTGTTTCTGTATTTATGTTGACCAATGAAGCTACTGACCATTTTTTTCAGAGTCCAGAACGATTAAAGAAATCCGGATTCATTGAGCGTTTGGAAGAGAAGACATCTGCTCTTGGTGCCATGTTTTTGGACTATAAGCCCGATCAAGGAACATGGGTGTTTCAGGTAAATCACAGTCTAAAGTTATGATGTTTTGTAAAGTCAGATTGACTAAAATTGATGGTAGCGTAAAAATGACGTCATTGTTGTTCTCATAAACTAATTGGGCTGTCTGAGTTTTTTGCCACCTAAGCAACTTTCTTTATAGTATTCTTATTTACTGGATTTTGTTATAAATACAGATGTATAGAAATTCTTAATGTTGATAAAGCAATATTAGATATAGATTTACACCCCTCTGTTTTATTCCTACATTCAGGTGGAACATTTTACCCGATACGGTCTCAATGAGCAGCTTTATGAAGAGGACAGCAAGCAGATCATTCTAAAGAAGCTCAAGATGGCTGCTGCACAGAAGGCAGAAGCAATAAGACAAGTATGGGTTGCCTTGATTCCTTCATTTTCAAAAAGAAAGCTTTGTAGTAATGGTTAAAATTCAAAAGAAGCAAATTAAAGCTGGAATCATTTGGGGAAATTGTGTTTTGGTTTGGGCCTAATTGGAATAAGGTAAACATGTGCAAGAGTTGAGTTCCCTTGTGAGCTACAGTGAAGTGTTAGGGCAAAATTAAAGACTTGTTTGTTAAATGCCTTCTTTGACATAAGTCTTATTCGTAAAATCCTTCATTTGTTATTTACGTATCCTTATCTTAAGGAAATGGAAACTGAGAAACAGAATAAAATGCTAATCGATGAGGAATCTCAAAAAGAAAAATTAAAACAAAAACAGAGTGCCATCTTGACAAGGCCAATTGTGGAGGGGGAGTTAATGGACGAGGAAACAACCATGGCAGGAGGTATTTTTTCGTTACATTTGAAATGGCAGAAATCAATTTTCCAATTAAGATGCCCCAGTCTCTTTCAACTCCATTTGATTATTGACATTCGGAGCTTGTCCTTTTGGTCAGTTGTTTTAGTTTTTCTCATTGTTTATTATACTGCGCTTATGTCAGAGCCATTCATGCGTTGTGACTCTAAAAGTCTTCAAACTTCGTCGACATTGTAGCTTTACTTAGAGAGTTTTGGAAACCAACGTTTTTCCACAGCAAGTTGTAATCTCCAATTTAAAACAGATCCGATTAAACTTCGTCATGCAAGTTACGATATTATCTTTATACGAAAATCTTATATCAAGCGTTGCCATTTCTTCACAGCGGATTCTGATGCAGAAAATGATAAAGAAGATGCATTTTCGACAAGCATTCAAACTGCAAAGATATCTGGCGTAGATCCACAGAGGCTTCAAGGAATGAAAGCGCTTCTCTTTGGTGATGATGATGATGCTGGCGATTTTCTTAGCCCGAGGGAAAAGTCTCTTTTAGCAAACAAATCTATAATAAGTGCTGGGGTTCGAGAGGCTCAGCTGATAGAAAGATTTGACCAAACCAATGGAAGGGTTGACAAGAGCAATTCAACTATTTCCTTGTTTTCTGAAAGACTTCCAAGGGCAGATAGTCCTATGACTGTCACAAGGCGTACAAAGTTATTGAAGACGTCACATTTAGATGAGGAAGAAGGTGATAATTTTTTTTGGTTCTGTGATTGTTATGGCCTAATTTTTTATCAAAACGGTATTGAATTTTTCTAGTTTCTTGCTAAAAGAAAAAATCTTATTTGATACTTTAATTTCCAGGAAAATTTGTAGATTTTGCTGACTCGAATCGGTTGCTTTTCTCCTCGACAACCAGATTTTCTCATAAAGAGGCTCAAGCCCAAATCATTACCGCAAAACGAAAAGCGTTTCTTGTTCCTCGTCGATTATCATGTTTGCAGTCAAAGGAAGCCCATATCAGTGATGCTGGTCTTTCAAATGGCCGCAGAAGTCGTGTTGGATGGGGCCCAAAGCTACATCTGTTTCATGCCGGTGGTCCCCTAGGGAGTGAAATTGATGGTCTCAAAAGTGCCACAAAAGAACAGGCCGTGTTGCTTGGTTTTGATGGTAATGCCTCGCGCGCCTTGCCTTCCTCCCCTTTCACGGTTACAGTGGAAAAGATTTGCATCGGTGATGAAAAGGATGATCATTCTTATCTTGTTGTGAGTATCCTCAATGTATTCTTTTCTCAGTGTTACTGGTACTTGTATAAAATTTCCTCGTACAATCCAACTTGGATTTTGTTGCAAATGGATGCACAAAGGAGATTGATGCAGTATGTCGAATCTGCAACATTTTCTTTGGTGAAAAAGAGTTTATACGAAATCTCAGGGCGGATTTTCCTATTCAGCGTAATAGTTATAGAGGAACAACAAGCTGACACGCTCTCCTCTATTTTCGCCTTGGCGACAAATCCGTGGACAGCGAAAACAACTTAATTTCATTATTTCTAGCCATGTCCAGTATGAAATTGCTACCTTTCTTTGTTTTGTTGAAAAGTCAATGTGTCTTTCATATATATTCATATGTACCGAGAAAACATATGCTTAACATGAGGAGGACGTTGTGAAAAACAAGCATGAATGTCATTTTATCTCGATTGCCTTTGTTTTTCTCAAAAACCACTGCATCTATAGCCCTATCTGTCCCTCTATTTGCTTCTAAAATACGTTCGTATAGACGAGTTTGCTGGACGTCATCAAATTGGTCTGTACGAATGTTTTTTTAGAAGGAAATAGAAGAGAGAGATTGTCTCACGGGAAAATTAAAAATAAATTCGCCAGGCAAAGTTTCAGAATCTATGCTCTGTATTGCGGTTTTATAGCAATGAGTTTTAGAAGAATAAAACAGTGAGCAAGTTTAGAGAGTTGTAAACTGTCCTTCCTTTTCCTCCTTTTAGTGCATACTCGCCCAACAGGCGATAAAGATTGCCATATTGATTGCCGTTATAAATTAGTCAATGTCATTTTTGACAATTCGGCGCTGGATTTGCTCTGATTTTGTCAGCCATGATTGATTTATTCATCGTTCTTGGACATGTAGCTTCGCTTTAAAAACAATGGTTGCCTTTCATTTGTCTTATCACCCATGACTATAAAGATTTCGTGTTTACCAAGATGGGCATTTTTCCATCTCAGAATCTGTGTAACAATGTTTTCATTGAACCTGCTCAAAAGCCCAGCTCATGCTACAGCGCAGATTCTTTTATGCGTCATAGTGACGCAAAAGGATTATATTTCGCTGTAATATTGCCGAACTCTGAACTGCCTAATATGTTCGTGCATGAATATATTTTTACTTTCGTTAAGCAGTAGTTTGTGTTGCGGGGGAGGAGTTTTGGTTGACTTATTGACGCAGACAAAGGTTTTTCCTAGGGGTGGGATGTTTGCAGTACCATCACGTGGTATGCAAAGCTTTATATAGCGTACACATCGAAGACTAGAGAATGACAGAATTATAGACTTCTTGGAGATCGTAAACATGGCAAATATTTATTTGATTGTCTCGGAATTTATCTTGCGTAATCTGGTTCTTTGTCAATTACAAAGCTAAACAAGGTAATTTAAGTTTGAAGTAAACAGACTTACGCATAGAAGTACCATTATTTCTATGGGCTAACTATAATAATGGTTTTGTTTGGAAGCTAATTGGTTTCATTAATCTCATTACGTATGCATCAAGGCTCTGGATTAATAATATTACATCAACCCTGTTTACACCCAAACATTCACATAACATCACTGTTAATCGTATTTCTAATGACGTCATACTTTCGTTGGGTGCCTTAGCATAATCCTTATGATTTCGTGATTAGATGCCGCACTGCTCACCTTTTGTTTGCTGCTTAAAAGAGGGAAAACCTGGTTAGCTTTTACGTCACAAGAAGCTTATCGTATTTTGGTCTGTTTGAAGTGCTGCAGTTACTTAAACACCGAGCAAATTGAGAGCTTCAAGCAGCTAAACTACTAAGTTACTTTTTAATCTGTAGCGTTGCTTTGGTTGCAGTCTTTTGTGGTGTTCTTTTCAACCCCCTTTTTTATTTATATATCAAGAAAATCAAACTCTGATTTTCCTAGAATATTTGTCACATACTAGGGGGTGTGTGAAAACCAGTGTGGAAGTAGTCAAACAGCTATTCAGTTACATTACAGAAAAGGTTAAGAACTACGATATTTTACTCAAATTTGTTGTGTAGGTTCTAATTCAAGGTGCATGCTGAAGAAGTATATACGGGTCATCAATACTGAGCTTGTCCCTAACATAAATTATAGAACTGAGGCGACTGTACTAGCCTTATCAATTGAATGAATGGTCTTCATTGCAGTAACGGGGTGCATTAACACACAAGGAAAAAACTCTTTGTTACTCCTCAGGAAATATTGGGCTTGTTGCAAAGAAGACTGAGTTATCAAACTCATTTGTAACAGTTTTCTCAACCATTACGTGCCTGTAGCTGTCTCTTGTTTAATTAGAAAAACGACGTTTAAGATGCTTTATATATATTGAATCTCTGTACATAAATTAACTCGTGTATTACTTCACGTGAAGACACCTGCCAGTTTGGTATGTAGCCCTTTTGCACTACTCATCGAACTCTACTGAAAGACTTTTATTTTCTTGACGCCTGTGGTGAGATAATAAAATTGAAGTTGCCTTCATGTATAGAGTTAGAAAAGTAAAGAAACGTAATCTTTTCCCCGTAGCTTGTAGTCTTTGTGGGAAGTAAGGCTTTTTTAATTGATTGCCATCGTTTCTGCAGTTTCTGGCGGGTTTCTCTATTTACATTCTCTTTAGGAAAATACCGCCCGTAGCAAATAAACCCCACTCAAAACACTTAAGTTAATCTTCCGAAGTTACTGTAAGTAAAGTGTCAATTTGCTCCAAAAATAGCTGTTTCAGGCAAGTCACGACCAAGTAAACTTTAACCTTTTCACCTCAGGAAGGTGCCATCGACTTTAAACATGTTGATAATAAGCGAGAGTGGGGTCAAAGGCTACTTTCTCCAGAACACGCCACCAGCCCGTTCAAATGAATGAAATATTGGGAGATAATTGCGATCGTTTTGACACTTCTGAGCAATGATCTAAGCTCTTGATCGATTATTCTTTCTATTGCACTTGAACGTATTGCCTTCTGTTTGCCTTTTTTCAAGGATTCCATTTCCTGGAGTTTGTGAGTTTTTGAACCCACGTTGCACACGAGAATGTAGTCGTAATTGATTGTCTATATATTCCTTCCTTATAAAATTGAGTTACCGTTTCGCGTTTTTCCTTTAGGAATGCCTTCAAAATGTCTTGAAACATAGTAAAGTGACTGCTGAAAACGAAGAACCTCCTTTCGTTGAAACTGTTGAGGGGGTAAACGCTCTGCACGCCTTTGCTGAATTAACCGAAAAATATCTAAATAATAAAGGTAACTTTGCATGCTTGTTTTACTCAGTTCATTCTTAAACAACCTCATGTTACTTTGAGATTGAAACATACTTAAGCTTCGTTTTGAAGGGTAGACAAATTGTCATCGTTCTGCTCATATCGAGGTTCAGGCTCCAGTTTCCGAGACTGTAAAGGACTTGAAAGTGAAAAGTGACCGGGGCTTGGAAATTACAACCGGGATACTTTGAAGCGACAGATCTTGAAAAGAGGCTTTCCAGAGATGCAAAAACCATACAAACCTACAGACTTGGTAGGGGGAAAGTTTTGGCAAGAAAATGAGGAAGGTTTTGTTGACAAAAACATAAGTCTGTATTTTTGCTCATTCAGTTGATTAAAAACAATGGCTACTGCATGATAATAGTAAGTATCTACTTCATGAAAATCAGAGTAGAAAAATGAGGCTTGAACCGTCAATACAAGATAAGATAGAAAATCTACACCAAGACTCAGTAAAAGAATACCGAGTTTTGGTTTCATACTTTGGAAAGTGATCAAAATTTGAAAGAACAACGGATTCCGGCAGATTGGCAGATTTTTTTCAAATTCAAAGATATTTTTATTGAACTGTGAATATTTCTGCTAGAACTGCGTAAGAACTGTTTCTGAGAAAGAATACCTTAAGATCCACAGTTTTGGAGATATAAATCTGTGGAGTTTAGGATTGCTTTTGTTGTCTCTTCAGATGCCATGGATTATGCAAACATACAGTACCAACATGCTGTTGTTTGGGATCTCGTCAAAGCTCTCTGGGGGCGTCTCGAAAATACAGGTAACGTTCTTGCATCTTTTTATAAATTGCCTTTATGCCATATTGGAATATATATATATAGCGTGAAGTAATGCCGACTGCTTTGTTGCCGGAGCTGGGATAAAGTACAGTATCTGGCCAATCAGAATCTTTTTCAGCAAATAAATTAACCTGCCCATACTCTAAGCATCAACTTTTCTCGAAATCACGAAAATTTTACCAAATATATATTTTTTATGGCAGAGCATTTATCCGAAATCGTAGATAGGGTGTCTCTCTAACTCTGCGAATTTCATTTCAGCTAGGTGTGAATATCTCGAGGGGTAGTTCACTCTTGCAAATAGTGTACGAGATTTTCACGAAAACAAAAGGATTTCCAGGGAATTTCTCATAAAACAATAGGATTTCAACCAAAGGTGTACGAGATTTTTATTAAGTGGTTTGCCCCTCGGAATATCGAGATAAAGCCAGCATCGATTTTTATTCTGCCATTGCCTGCTATCAAATGTCACTAGCATGCCTATATTTTTTGCAGACCATGTAAAACTCTCCTCCTACCAGTCTCAAGTGCACAGAAGACATGCAGTTTCAAAATGGTTGTCAAAAATTGTCGAGAAAGAAATCAAGAAGGAAATTGATAGTTTAAAGACAAAGGTATGCTAATCAGATGCTTTTATAACGTTATGAAAAAAACAGTTTCTAAACGATTTGTCTCAGACAGCCAGTAGAACCAAGCTGCATACTAAGGCGGCTGTTTATCAAAATAAATGCCAATCTTAGTTTTGAGTATAGTGTGGATTGAAGGGGGATGAACTTTTGTTAGGTTGGGGGGGGGCGTGGCAAGGCGTACTAATGAAAAAAGCAACGCGATGTTGTGTATGGTGTTACGTCAATTTTGGGGGCTAAGACCCTTGTGCGTCCCTCGACCTTGATCAGGTCATCGATAAGCATGACATATTGGTGCAAAAAGCGTTTAAATTCAGCTTTGTCTACCCACAGAAGGTGTCGTTGCTGTTATTAGGTAAAAACGGTTTTGTCAAATTCCTATACTGTTTTATTGACAGGATTCAGGCCATCTTGATGCGATATTCAGTCTTCTAAGTGCTCGGAAAATCCGCGAAGCTTGTGAGCTTGCCTGTCAGAACCGCGAATACCGCCTTGCCTTGCTACTTTCTCAAGCATCCGGCGATTTACAAATGAAGCATTTGCTCAGAAAACAGCTGGATGAATGGAAAACGTCATTGGTAACCCTGTTAATTATTCTCTTAGCTATCCGTCATCATCAGACATAATCATAATCATAATCATAATCAATCGTCATATTTCATGATCATCACTGACATCCATTATAATTATTGTCACTATCAATTGCCAGTATCATTATTGTTATTATCATTATTTTGGGTATTAATTATTGATTTCATTGTTAATCTCATTGTTATTCCATTAATATGTCGAATGTTATACAATTTGCAATGATGTAAGGATTTTTCTTTATCAAAAGGAATGGGACACAGATAAAAACGGATAAAAACTGGCCAACCTACATATTTATCAATAAGAAACCAATCACGATAGAATTCCTTTTAGTTACCAGACATTCCATACCATAAGATATGTCCTTGATACAGCTCAGTGCCGTTTCAAATTGAACTTAATTTGAATTTATATTGAATATAATTTGAATTTATCTTTAGAACACTAGGATATATGCTCGTTGATTCTCTTGAATGAATATGATTTATTAAATTAACAGAAAAGTCTCTGCTAGAAATACCGTAATTGCTTGAATTAGCGCTCCTTCGAATGAGTGCACCCTAAAACAGCTGAAAATATAACGAGCATCTACGGTATCATTAGAAGATCTACGGTATTTTTACCATGCTTAATTGTCGTGAAGCCTATTCCGTTGTTAGAAATTGATTAGACATGAAAGATTTTGCTTGAATTAACTGAAATTTGGAACTATTGCAATAATATTCATATTTATAGTTAGCTTGCAAAAAACGTGTTTCCAATTTATTTAATCATTTGATCTATATTATCCAATGGTTTTTCTAATCAAGGCTGACAAATTTATGAATGCTTCGAGGCTGAAAATTTATCAGCTGTTATCTGGTCTGATGGTTTGGATGTCTGCCCACGGTGACCTCAACCTCTGCGAGAATCTTGACTGGAAGCGATCTTTCGCTTTGCATTTATGGTAATTATGTTAATTCATACAGAAGCACTGTTGATTGATGTCACAGCTAGCTGAATAACTTCTAGTTCCTCAATTACTATTTCCATAGACATGACTAGACTTTCAAGTCAGACTAAGAATGCTTTTTGATTTTGTTTGCTTTAGGAGTATCGAAGCCCAGCTTGACCAGCTGGCGTGTTAGAAAATGTTCGAATTCTGACTGGAAGTATTTTAAAAGATGCTTGTGGTTTTGGTCGTTCAGCATAAAGTAGTTTGCAATTTTTAAATTAAAATATATTTTTAAATGTATTTGATTATGGTTCTCTTCTTGATAATGGTTCTTTTTCTTTACAGGTTTTTCTGTTCAACAACATCTTCGATTTCAAAAGGTTTGGAAGAATATAGGAATGCTTTCAAGGTATGATATTGGATGTTTTGATTTCCTGTTCAACGGTAAATGAATTTCAGATATTTTTCAATGGACAAACTGCAAAAACCAACTGCAATATTAGACTTAATCGAGATTTCATGAAGGCATTCATTTTATCGATAATTGTAATATCTGAAATTTTTATAATGATTGTAGTATTGTGTATTTATGACAGATTTATTTTTTGGTTCCTTATAAGCAGGAAGTAGGTAGTATTAGGCTTTTGTAGTTTTCGCTGATTGCCATCTCTTTGATTCACATATCCCATCACCACTCGCTGTCAAATTCCAGGGAACAGACACTTACTCGCCTTACGCAGCGCCTCCAAAGCCATGCTATGCCACAGACAGATGCGCAATGGTTGACAATGAAGACCTTGAAGCACAAAGACAACCCAAAGACATTTGTTACCATATTTTGAAATTATACAGCAAAAGATCACATCGCTTAGAAAGAGTTCTGTGTCCCAATACCCACACAGAAGATCCTCTTGACTATCAGTTATGGTAAGTTGCCACTCTTGCTAAACTGTCGTTGTTGCTGCTCAAACACCTTATTCTTATCACGTGATTTGGTCACAATCTTTTTATACCTTCAGGAGTGTCGAACGTGCCATATTTGCGCTTTTTGTGTTTTGCAGTATCAGAAACATTTTTGGAAAATTCAATTTATACAAGCTTTCTGTATATTCTGGCCATTGGTATTATTTCTGCCTCAGTAAAAGAAGAGTTTACTTTATTTTGGAAACTTGAAAATCTTCTTAAGTTGTTCTGATGTAGACATACAGAGCTCACTTTCTCACAATTGCTCTTTCAACTTGCCAATTCTTTTTTGTTAATGAAAACCAACCAGGCCCTCTTCCCAGCCATTCGCCATTTTCGACCAGTATGAAGTCTTTTTAACATATTTCTGTCATCAGTTTTTAAGGCTCTTTATAAGTACCTAATCACAGAATAGGCATTAGGCAGAAAGGAAACTCTCGTTGGCTCCTTTGTTGTTTTTGAAGCCTGAATCACCTATAGAGATTCTTAATTTCCCTTTAACTTCGTTTTTTATAAAATTTAGCCAGTGACGAGTTCATTATTTAGACTGTAAAAAATACAATTTGCAATTTATTTTGCTTGCTGTCATGTAGCATTTCGTCTGAATTAATTTGTCTACTTTCCTTATTTAAAAGATATTTCACCTGATGTACTGCTTTTTTTCTATTCTGTGACCAAATGAAAAGCAAGCTTAATGTGCGTGTATTCTTCGTAAGTTTTCAATAGAAATGCTTGAACATAATTTCCATGGTTGACCCTTGCTTAAGTTGAAATGTCTGCTTTCTTAACTCTGGTGTAGATTTATCTCTGGTGTAGATTTATCGTAACTCATGTGGAAATTTTTTGTAGCTGGCAATTGCAGCAAGTTTTAGAGTCATTGGGCTACACCCACCTGTCAGAATCCTACTGTGGTCTCATTCAAACAAGCTTTGCATCACAATTGGAGACTTATGGCCTGTGGGAATGGGCAGTTTTTGTCCTTTTGCATATCAAAGAAAATAAAAGGTGTGTTGATCTTGAATCTATAAAATTGCTCTTTTTATGAATCAGTGGACATCATCACTGGATTGTAAGAACAAAAGAAGGAGCTAAAATGGAGTGCCCTTGCAAAAGATATTGTTTAACTGCGCTTTGTATCAACATGTGATAATGCAAGTAGACATGAGTCTGACAAAGGATATAATAGCAACATCAGTTGCAGAGAGTGTGGAGGCATAATGAAAATATACGCTTTGGATGGGATCCGTTCAGCTCATTTGATAGGCCCATGAATTTTTCTGCTCATTTGATAGGCCCATGAATTTTTCAGCTCATTTAAAAGCCCACTTGCAATCTTGTTTACCCAACCATTATAAGGAGTCATATAATTACAATGCAATTGATCTTGCTACTCCAACATTTTGCGATCCCAGTGTAATTGTGCATCTTGTCCACATAAAGCGTGAAGCTTTAAGAACCCAATCGTGTCAAGGGTAACCTGATTATGATATTCCCCTTCTGTGTAAACACTATTGCCTTGTCATGCTTTATTAAACTTAGTATCTTTAAACAATCGTGCCTGATTGATTTTAGACGCGAAACTGCTGTTCGAGAGGTTTTATCAAGACACTGCTGCATACAAGAAGATTTTAATAAGCTCACAGAGAAGGAGCTCTTGCTGATCAAGTCCTTGAAAGTACCTGCAACATGGATTTATGACGCAAAGGTAATGTCATTTTATGTGGCTGTCAATTGATGGCACTTTAGCAAGTCTTCAAGGTTTTGTCTTTTCGTGTCTTTCAGGTTTTGTAGACATTTTAGATGCATAGATATGTATCACTCAGGGGCGGACACTTTGTCAAATATTGGGGGGGCAAGCCTATTGTTTTAATTAGATGACGTCATATTTCCCATTGTTTTAGAACAAAAGACCATTGTTCTCTAAAGTATTGGGGGGGCGATCGCCCCCCCCCCTCGCCCCCCTAAGTGTCCGCCACTGGTATCACTCATGTAAGATCCCATTAGTTGGGACGGTAAGGGCTTCTTTATATTCGAAAAAGCCCGTGTATGCTGGCTCTCCAATGTGCAAAAGTTTTTTGAACCTTTTTCAAAACATTTCATACAATACTATTTCTACATGGTATTTATAAAAGTAAACGCATCTTTGTAGGCCCAGCATGCTCGCTATAGTGGAAAAACCCAAGACGAAACATTTTATTTACTAAAAGCAGAAAGATGGAGTGACGCACATGAGGTGCTTGTGAAATATCTGGCAGCAGATGCAATCATTGATGGTGACTACAGATTTTTGAAAGAGGTCTTATTAGAACTGACACTACCTGAGCGTATGTGCACGATTAAGAACTGGAAGCAAGCGGGACAGGTAAAGCAAGCTTATATATCCTAAAATAATGGAACCTTTTAGAACTGTCGATTAGAAACATGAGTGTGCTTACACGAGTAGAGTGGAATATCCTGATTAATCCTGATAAAATATATACTTTTGCTACAAATGTATATTTATGTTAATTTGATTTCTCTTTTTAAGGTTTTTCTGGATTACATTCTATTACGTGAAAAGCTTTTGCAACTTGAAAAGGTAGGTAAAGTGCAAAAAATTGGAAACTTTCTTTATCTGATAATGGAGAGGACTAATGATTTGTAACGGTGACTTTACTTTGAGGTGTTTAGCACAGAGCTGTATGCCACAAACCATGCCATGCTTTTCGTGCCACATTCTATAAGAGTAAAGCTTGACATACGAAGTTAGTATCAAGATATCAACTTTAAAATCATTTCCTTGAGATGAAAATTTTTGCACGTAAATCAATTTTCTGTGATTTGCGCCACCATGGGAGATGTAAATTATTGAATTCATTCGTGCATTGTAAGTAGCGGAAAATCACACACAATTTTTAGTATTCTTTACTATTTAGTGTGAGGTCTGTTGTGCACTGACATTTGCTATAACTTTTATTTACTTCAGGGAACCTTGGTTGTAACTGCATATAATCTAGAGGACTTGCGTTGTGACGTCACCGCTTTAATTAATATGATCAGCAACATGAAAGCGAATTCTTCCAAAGAGAGGCAAGTATTTTAGCATTAATCCCCGGTTTTATTGAAGTCGTTAAATAAAGATTAATTGCTTACCAATCAAGTTATTTGATGACGTCATAGATTGCTGTCACACAAGAATCATTGCCTGTCTCCTTGATATTGATTGGAATAAACATGACCCACATTTCTGTTATTCAGTTCTCTGCTCTTGTTTATATGTTGTGTTTCACTGTTGATTAACGCGTAACCGCACTAAGTATTGATAGAGCTTTATTGAAAATGGCTATGCTGTTTTTCATTTTATTCACCTCCAGGATATTATATTTTATCTGCTTATGATTACATACTGTCAAAGTTTTAATGAATCAGTAAGTAAGGACTCAGACTTAATCTGTAAGTGTATATTGAGTCCAGCAGTTCATGGATCCTTCAATAGTTTTAGGGTAAATGGATTTTCTGACCTGAACTTGACCTTATTACAGTCAAACTATAATCTCTCTTTAGGCTGGCGCATGCTGAAATGGGCAAGACTGCCTCAAATCTATTGAAGATCATCATTTGTGAATTAGCAGAGCAGGTAATGAGCGAAGTTGAAATAAAAATCGCTGAAATAATTTTTACCTTTATTCATTTGGCACAAATTTTGATCTTCCTACCAAACTAACTCTTTTAATTTTCCCTGTACAAAAATATGGAATCGATCCTTATCTTCATCAAATTGGGCTATTCTGAAATTTCCCAGAAAAAACATATCTGCTCCTTTGTACCAGTGCTTATTGTTAACATTTGCCTGTCATTTCTATTGGTACTGTGTTCTGATTGCAATCAGAGTTTTCTTGCCACGCGGAGGCTATCTTTAGACCTTAATACACTGTTATCTTTGGGCCCAAGTTGTTCCACGTTTTTCTATGATCATCGAAGGCAAGCAAAAGTGAAAGTTTGAACCACCTCAGAAAATGTACGATTTTTGCTGTCAGTTTGACAATGTTTAATCTCCGATACGTCAATCGACTCCGCTTATAGTCATTCTACATAAAGTTACACTACTGTTTACAGTCACGTAAAAACTATACCCAAATATACAAAGCTGTTTAATTAAGCCCCGTCTACAGTTACACTCCGCTTACTGTCACAGCTTTTCAAGCACACTTTCGTAGAAGTTTCCCTTCAACGTTGCTTAGAGTGTTCCTCTAAGATCCGCGTTTGGACAACTTTGATGATGTTTGTCTAAATCGACTTTGTTCTTGTTACAGGGAGTTCAAGTTAGTGACGAGGAAACGGAAATTGTAGACAAGAAATACTCCTGGTCCTTGTGTCAAGTGGCTCCTTTTATTGCGACGTTGCCGCTGCCGCCAGACTATATACAACAAGAACTCGAAGAGTTTGTTTGTAACACTGAGAGAAACCTGCCAATGTCGCCTTGAATATTCGTAGGGAATGGTACATGGTAGAAGACCTATTGGTTCTGCGATAAATCTTCAAAGTTAATTGTACCTTATTTTATAATTGTGAGTAGATAGGTAGAGGTAGTGTTGCAATAAAGATAAAAAGTTGTGTCGGTAACTTTCTGTGGTATATAAGCAGTGTAATTGTCAAGTGAAATTCTTGGTAAATATGATCCTAGTCTGTATGTAAATGTCGAAAATTAAGTCGCATTTAGTAGAGTGACTTTTGCCAGCGCTAGGTAACCCTCGTTGCATCATGTGCATATAGAGATTGATAGTCAAAAGTCCTTGCTAAAGTATTGACTCATTAAATGTATAATATTATTTCAGCAAATTGAACCCATCGCAGAAACTGAATTAACTTTAGTTGTATTTTGTTTAATTTCTGTATTTCTTATTTTGTCCGTTGCTCTATTTTTGCTAAGATGCATTTATAGTATGTCCATGTTTGTCGAACACATTACAACCCTTGGCCTAGCAGCTTAAGTGCAGTTATAATTAGCAGGAGGAGTGGAAAATTTTTCGATTTTTCATCATGAACCACAAATAATCAGCTAGATAGGTTATTCTATAAAGATCCATTGTCAAAATTATTTATTTACACAATGCCCGTAATTATCCACTCATGACTTTCACCTTTGCGAAGCTTAATGGAAAACATTTGTTGTCAATGGGAAGACTGGATACTTTTGCACAGATGTGGACACTTTGTTAAATATTAGGGTGGCGGGGGGGGGGGGGGGGGGGGCAATCCTGTTTATTTGATAAGATGACGTCAAATTTCCCCCATTGTTTTAGAACAAAAGTTCATTGTCCTTCAAAATATTAGAGGCGACCGCTCCCTCGCCCCCCTCCCCCAGGTGTCCGCCACTGCTTTTGCAGACATTAGCCTTGCTGTTTTGATGTAATTCATAGTCGTCTCTTGATACTTAAACGTTTTCTAGACATTAGAAGTCTATTCCGAGACTGTTATTATTGAGAAGATCTGTGTATCATCATAGCTTGTAAGAGGTCATATGCTTATTGTCAATCTTTATTTAAGAATACGACAAGAAAGGTTTTTTCTGCTCCGTTCTTATCTGCATTGATTTCACAAGCCACGTTCTGCAGCCGTCAACTTTCAGGGACACTGAAGTTATAGTTGTTTTGAATCTATTTTGTATCTATAAGAAGCATGCTTTATTGCAAAAAGTTAAGGATAGGAGTGAAAGATACACATTCAAGATGATTTATAGCAGCTGTTAATCGCAGTGTGAAATCTCACTTCCTTAACAAAAAGTAATAAATTTTCTACATAAGTATAGATACCTAAGATAAAATAATGTCGGTTACATTTAGAAAACCAGGCTTTCTACATACTGAAGGTTCTTGTTTTTATCAACGTTTTAAGCAATTTCACTTACTTAGATTTTTATCGAAAATAATAAACTCTTGAATCAACATCTCCCAATGTTGTCAATAAGGATATGTACTACTAGGCTTTTAAAAACCACAATGTTCGGTGCATTGAAGTTAATCTTAACTTCAGTCCCCCAAGCACGCTGGTTTTATCCTCTCTTCTTCAGTACAATCAACTATCAAAGAAATCCTGTTTCCTCAAAAAAAAATTAACAATAGCGTCCATATTGATAGAGAGTTCAAAAAATGATTTGCTAGGAATATTGCTTGGCTTCAGGTTCCGCGCAATACCCGAGTCTCAAGGCTTGAAATATAGTGATGAGATTCTTGTCGAAAATCGTCTCCACTTCACTGATTGCATGAAAATTTTGGTCCCTGTAAATTTAGTCAAATTGCTTATTTAGAACATTTAATGATAGCTGATTTAGGAACTCGATGTACAAGGTGACAGCTTTCAAGATATTTTTTGCCAGATATTGCTGTATGCTGTTCCTAAGAATTTGTCATGGAGTCCCCTAATTAAGCCAATGAAAAGTGAAATCTGCCCAATTTATGTTAGTCTCAATATCTGACAATTCTTCACACCAGGTCACACTTAGAGCTATTCAATATTGCTTTTTTTATTTTGGGATGGTTTCCTTCAATAATTAGGGCATTTTCCTCATGTGTAGAGAACACCTTTTTAGGCACCGCGGAGCAGAGTGGGCTGGAGGGGCTTTAGCCCTCCCTCACATTTTGCAAAAAATGTCAAATATATTAAGTAATAAACTACCAGTAAAGCCTCTTTTATACGGTTTTAGCCCCCCCCCCTCCACTTTTTTTAGACCCCCCACTTTTCTCAACGCTCCGCGGTGCCTGCTTTTCTGAATTTGCTATTAGAACGTAGATTTGTTGAATTAGAATTGTATTGAAGATGTAAACATTAACGGCGAACCTGATGCTCTAATTTGGATGCAGAGATAGAACTTTTGAAGCACTTCAGTTGATGGCAGACGTGTTAAGATATTTTAATTGGTTACAATCCTAGTAAGTATCGTTTCCTACATTGGCAGGTTCTGTTTACCACCCAAGTCAATCACTTAAGAGAATCTTTCGTGAGTACCTCTTTTCCTCGTGGATATCCTTTTACAGCTGGTGAGGTGAATCTAGTGAGAGGCCCGCTTTTGCCGTTGACAAGAAAATCTAGACCGTTCTTCACGAATTGTCCGGTGTTTGGATATTTGGAGTAGCGGCGCAGTTCAGGCCATATTGGCCACCATCGGAAAGTTTCACGGGTCAGGGAAATCCAATTAGTTTGCAATATGATTCACTGCCAACTTGGTAATCACAAACTGTTGGGCGTTAATTTATGTATTCTTTCTTCTATAAATTTAAAATTGTGCACGACATAATAGTCAGAAGGAGGTGCTGTTGCTTGGCGTTAGTAGAGCGTTGGTTCATGCAAGGTGAGTCTTTCAGGCAAATGTTCCGTGATTAGTGTATTCGTGCATACCTTTATTGCAAGATCATCTTATCCTGTATTGATATGAACATCGTGTTGCTCTTTGTCACACTACCCATGCTATCTCTCCAAGTGTGTAAGCATGCACATGCTTAATACCCGGTTCAAAATTCAATCGAAGTATAATTTTACGTAATTGACAAGCTTTCACTGATACCCTGTTCAAAAGTTAATCTTCAATTTTTTTAAAAGGTTATAAATTTTTCAAGGTTGCCAGCTCGATTTTGAGCTCGATAAAAATCCTCGATTTTGAGAAAAAACCTTGTTCAAAATTGCATTTTGCAGAAGCTCATCCCAGCTTGTTCTGAATTTGTTCTTAACTTTTGACCAGTATTGAGGCTCGTGTTCTTATAAAATTGTTCTTATAAAAAAAGAGTGTATCCGATTTTTCGAAGACCCTTGCCTGATCGACCCTGAAAAATTGAAAATCAACAACGATCAATAATAAACAGCCATAAATCAGTAAATTTATGTTTATTAATACAAAATGCAAGTAAGAGTCGAGGTGCTACAAATAAACGTTGGATTAAACTTGATTTTCTTCTTTTCTGATTATAACGATCTCCATTTTATCTCCATTTTATCTGTTTCGTTTTATCTGTGTATCTGTTATCTCCAAAAGTTAATACTGTTTCGATTAAACAATGCATGTATTGTAATAAATATGGTTGAATGTATCTTAATAAGCAAGCGGAGCCAGGTATTCGAAAAAACTTCCTGTCTGTAAACATCTTTGTCCGATTGCATTTTTTCTTCATTGACTGGAAACGGAAAAAGCATTTACGATCGTGATGGTTGAATTGAACTCATGATAATGAATCAGCATCCCTGGCAAGTGACTAATGAAATTTTGTCTATGTCCCGAGTTAAATCATATTGGTTTGGATTCTAGATTTGCATTGCTGCACGAACTTCATCGGATATTGCATCGATTTTCAAAGGGCATTACAAAAAGAGAACCCATTCTCCTGGAGTTACGAAGAAAGTCACGTTGGGTCCAAAAGCAACAAGTGAGTAACATTGATTAACATTAACAAGTATAGAATAACACACATTATCAGAACATTTTCTAACAAGAATGTTTTGTTTTAACGGGTTCAGTTATTGGCCAAATGCAAAGTGGAATCGAGCGACGACCAGATCGCCTCATACGGACATGTATGACACAATACTCTTCGTTGTCTTTTACTTTTACAGCTGAGTTGGTGACATTTTGTATTTGCAAAAGAGAAATCAATAAAAGAGTGAGGTGGGGCTTTGCGGGCGTTACTATTTTCTAGTCACAGTAGTGCGTAGTGCAAGCAAACGTACTGCGTAGGATCGTAACACCACCATACGTTCTTTTCACGCTACACGAGAATTGATAATCTTTTGGGAGACAAGCAGTTTTAAGTGCAGTTTTTAGTGCTTCAAGGCTGTATGAACCCTTTCCCTCACCCCGTTCCGACCACCACTACTCTGACATATAGCTTTTTTAAAGAATGATGAAAAATGGTATCTACGTAGTTTTAAAAAACGACCCCTTTTACGCCTATTCCTATCATCAAAAAGTGCCCTATTATGAAATGGAAAAGCTCTGTGTCGAAAAACGTTGTCATTCTGTGATCCTAATATAAAATTAAATCACTTATTTGAACACTGTCTGAATATTTTTATTTCATTTACCTTCAGAATTTTTATAGCGAGCCTATTACAAGTACAATTACATTTATACCTCTCTGAGACTGATTCGCATATTTTTGATCCTCATTTAGGAATGGCTACTTTACAAAGCACGTTACAGCAAACTCTGCGATTAATTTTAGCAGTTTTCATTGCGACGAGTTTCATGCGCGGGATCTGGACACAAGCGCAACCGGTGTCCCGAGGAATCGGCTGTCGTCGTCAGTGCCAAGGTGAATATAGCTCGTGTGTCACACAGGCGACTAGCCCGGAGGTACACATGATCTGCGTGCTAGTGAAAGATCTTTGTCGAAGCCAGTGCAAAGAGAGAAGATATCAAAGAAAAGCCTCGAAGAAAATTTCAAAGGAGATCTTGGATTTTGTGAAGAGGAAACTCATTTTTCGTGACCTCACTTCTACAATTATGCCGAGGGTTACAGTCCCCACTACCGGTGTGTAGTCATTATGCATTGGATGCATCACCCATGTCAGCCTGTGCTGTATTGCATTAGTCAGGTGAAAGAAAAACAGCAAATGCGATTTCACCGTTGGTCACATCCTGTATACTGCATAGTTCATAGAAAGATGAACGTTCGCCTAAACTCTTTATCAAGTTGAGTAGGCAGGCATCTTATGTCAGAGGACGGAGAAAGTATAACACACTGAAACACTTTATATGTTTAACAGATAAATTCAGAACAATTAAGTTAAAATTATCAATGGAGTTTTAAGCAAATATTAACTACGGCCTGAAATTATTTTTTGTCTAGCCATTGCTACAATGATCTTATCTATGAATGTGTATTAATCATATCTTAATTTAAGTTCTTGTTTCATTTCTAATGTAAATATTATTTTGAAACAGAATTCATTTTATCATATTGTTAATAAATTTGATTTGCTTTCACGGAAACGCAAGTATGTTAAGATTGCCTCAAGCATAAACTTAAGCCCATCGACCAACAGGCATTGTTTTCATAAGGCCAAAAAGTTTCGAAAAAGCAGTAATAAATTGGAGTAATACTTTGGATGTACTCAGCCTGAAAATAACGAACGTTCATTGCTGCCTTCGCATCAATGCAGTATAAAAGGTCTCGTTTTTAGATAGCCAAAGTTAGATAGAGGTCTCGTTTGTAGAGAGCCAAATTTTTCCTGCAACATTGCAATTAATGTTTAATGGTGCTGTTGCATCTTTTGACCAAATTTGTTTGACCTTCTGTACCTCCGATCTTTGTACGTGAGAAATTTGACTGCCATTTTGTTTATATGTTGAATATGTGTTAAGTTACATAATCAAGCAGTTCATTTATCTAATATGTTGCAATATTCCAATAAAGACAGCGTTACATTATTTCTTTCAGTCTCGATATGGTATCAGTTACAATGCATGTGCAGGCCCGTCGGAACCGTGGGGCTGGGGGAACATGAAAACTGAATCCGAGAAACATTAGACAGACACATAGATGTGCCCTCATGCTCCTATAATATTTAAATCTCTCCTTATAGCATATACAAACATGTAATGATACAAAGTTATTCCTCTACCTCTAACTTTGTTGATAAATGTGAAGACAATAATTAAAGGATCACAAAGAGTAAATCGAAAATACGACCATTTTGATAAGAAAATAAACTCACGAGGATATAAAGAAAAGAAAAACTTATTCCCAAACATAGGCAAAGCATAAACAATTCCCTATTCAGTCGTCTGAAATAAAAAATATATGATAAGGTAAAAATCAAAAACATTAATTTCTTTTTTTGCAACTACAAT